TTACAGAAAAAGTTTTTCAGTAATATCAGAACATTAATATTTAAGTATGTGAATTAATGCATCTGAACTCATGCAGTAGGAACTAGGAAACATGAAATACTAAAACCATTTTATTTTAATTTGATTAAACTGTTTTTTTCCTAACGTTGTTGGCATGTTTCCCACACACAGTTGAACAAAACAATGTTGATTGAGGTGTGTGTGTGAGAGAGAGCGGGAGAGCGAGCTAAAATAATAAAATTAAAACAAACGACCGGAGCGAAGGCAGTGACCGACACATGCACGAGCCGTTTTCAGCTCTGTCTTGTCAAATGCACCACGTACGTTACGAAAAAAAGTAACTTTAATTAAAGCTGCAAGCAGCGTCGTTCGGCTCTCGCAGCTCCGCGCCGCTCCGGCCTGGCCGGCAGCCCGGGGCACCAGGCTGCATCTGCGAAACAGAAACGTCGACCACCCCGACACCAGAAACTGCTAACGGTCACCTCGTCCGCACCTCACCCTGACTCAGCATCCCCTTTGAGCCCACCATTATATTTTATGTCTCACCACTAGGGAAACCTCTATCTTAACCACACTGGTGGTGTGATGACAGTGACCAACTTTAATGCTATTCTGACCATGTTTTTTAAAGTTATCGAAGGATAACGTTATCTAGGGGGCGCTGTGACCAACTACAGAAAAGTCCCATTGAGGTCAGCTTTGGTGACATTATATAACATTCACCAACTGTTTGTGCCTCATTGGCTAAAGGGCATGATTGTTAATTGCCATGTTCATTCTCGGGCAAATCGGAGGCCGTTTGTGGAAGTTACAGTCAAATGTAGGGTCATGGCGTCACGCCAGCATTCACCATGGCATCAACGCCCCTCCCTTTCTTGAAAGCTATCAGATCTGAATGGTCATTACAACATCATGAAGACAGTGTATGACCTTAGTGTCATGTTCACTAAATTAGAGGGGACAAATATGGGCATTTAACCATAAAACAATAAAGTTCCTGTTGTCAGGGGGCGGGGCTTAGGTGATGTCAGCTGTCCACATTGTCGTTGTCTTGAGATGTGGTCAGTGATCACACAGACAAAGTTTGAAATAGATCTGATCATGCACTTGGGAGTTAAGTCAAGTAATGTAATGGCGAAAGGTTAAAGTTTGAGGCTTAGCCACGCCCACACCTTTCAACTTTTGAAAAATCCCACGGTTGAATTTCCCCCCCTACGTCTTAAGAGTATATAGCAGAAGTTTGAAGGCGATTGGTGAAAAGGGCGACGGAGCATCACTCTCCAAACAACGTGTACGAAAACCACTTAATTGCGTACTTAGACCAAAATGGCCGACTTCCTGTGCGACTTTGCACTTGGCTCCAAGAGACTTTTTTGTAGGTCCTGAGACACCACATTAGTGTACCAAATTTCGTAATCCTCAGTGAAAGCCTGGCTTGGGGCTATTAGTTTAAATGGTCCTAGGGGGCGCTATTTCAGAAATTAGGCCACGCCCACAAATTTCAGCTGTCTATTTCTCTTGGGGGTCAGACTAGGATCACTCACCAGTAGTACCGTAGCGATATCACGATAACTGAAGAAATGAGAGGCAAACGTATTTCCATGGCGTGATGGCGATTTTCGCCATGCTCCCAAAGCCCCGCCTTTTTTTTTAACCTGCCAGTACTGGAGACCAAGTGATCTCAAGTTGTCTACTGCTATTTGCCAGAGATTCCTCGTGATTGGGTAAAAGGAGTCCAATAGGGAGCTGTGAAAATAAGAGTGGCGTGGCGAAAGGTCAAAGTTTGAGGCTTAGCCACGCCCACACCTTTCAACTTTTGAAAAATCTGACGGTTGAATTTTTTCCCCTACGTCTTAAGAGTATAAAGCAGAAGTTTAATGGCGATTGGTGAAAAGGGCGACGGAGCATCACTCTCCAAACAACGTGTGCGAAAACCACTAAATTGAGTACTTGGACCAAAATGGCCGACTTCCTGTGCGACTTTGCACTTGGCTCCAAGAGACTTTTTTGTAGGTACTGAGACACCACATTAGTGTACCAAATTTCGTAATCCTCAGTGAAAGCATGGCTTGGGGCTATTAGTTTAAATGGTCCTAGGGGGCGCTATTTCAGAAATTAGGCCACGCCCACCGGATGTTCACCTCAGATTCTTTGGGGTGCTGGACTAGGATCACTCACCAGTAGTTCCGTAGCGATATCACGATAACTGAAGAAATGAGAGGCAAACGTATTTCCATGGCGTGATGGCGATTTTCGCCATGCTCCCAAAGCCCCGCCTTTTTTTTTAACCTGCCAGTACTGGAGACCAAGTGATCTCAAGTTGTCTACTGCTATTTGCCAGAGATTCCTCGTGATTGGGTAAAAGGAGTCCAATAGGGAGCTGTGAAAATAAGAGTGGCGTGACGAAAGGTCAAAGTTTGAGGCTTAGCCACGCCCACACCTTTCAACTTTTGAAAAATCTGACGGTTGAATTTTTTCCCCTACGTCTTAAGAGTAGCAGAAGTTTAATGGCGATTGGTAAAAAGGGCGACGGAGCATCACTCTCCAAACAACGTGTGCGAAAACCACTAAATTGAGTACTTGGACCAAAATGGCCGACTTCCTGTGCGACTTTGCACTTGGCTCCAAGAGACTTTTTTGTAGGTACTGAAACACCACATTAGTGTACCAAATTTCGTAATCCTCAGTGAAAGCATGGCTTGGGGCAATTAGTTTAAATTGTCCTAGGGGGTGCTATTTCAGAACCTGCCAAGTGATCTCAAGTTGCCTACTGCTATTTGCCAGAGATTCCTGGTGATTGGGTAAAATGAGTCCAATAGGGAGCTGTGAAAAAAAGAGTGGCGTGACGAAAGGTCAAAGTTTGAGGCTTAGCCACGCCCCCTTTTTTCCCCTACGTCTTAAGAGTATATAGCAGAAGTTTGATGGCGATTGGTGAGAAGGGCGACGGAGCATCACTCTCCAAACAACGTGTGCGAAAACCACTAAATCGCGTACTTGGACCAAAATGGCCGACTTCCTGTGCGACTTTGAACTTAGCTCCAAGAGACTTTTTTGTAGGTCCTGAGACACCACATTAGTGTACCAAATTTCGTAATCCTCAGTGAAAGCATGGCTTGGGGCTATTAGTTTAAATGGTCCTAGGGGGCGCTATTTCAGAAATTAGGCCACGCCCACAAATTTCAGCTGTCTATTTCTCTTGGGGGTCAGACTAGGATCACTCACCAAAAGTTCCGTAGCGATATCACGATAACTGAAGAAATGAGAGGCAAACGTATTTCCATGGCGTGATGGCGAATTTCGCCATGCTCCTGAAGCCCCGCCTTTTTTCGAAACCTGCCAGTACTGGAGACCAAGTGATCTCACCTCAGATTCTTTGGGGTGCTGGACTAGGATCACTCACAAGAAGTTTCGTGACGATATCTTTAGAAATGACGAAATGGGAGGTAAACGTAAGGCCATGGCGGTACGCCTGACTTCGCCGTGCCGCCGCAGCCCCGCCCTCTGCCGAAAACTCCCATAAAGTGACGCCAAGCAACCCCCACTTGTCTTGAGTTACCAGCTACAAATTTGTGGTGATTAAGTGAAACGGGGCTATTTGGGACCTTTCATAGTAAAACTTGACCTTTTTGGTCCTGAGGGGGCGTGGCTTGTGTGATGTCATCATCCGACCATTCAATTTACTTTGTGGGTGGATGGCAAATAACCACAGAAAGTTTGGTAACTCTGTTACATTCAGTTATGAAGTTATAGCAATTTATATTTTTTTGGCGAGTAGTCAAACTTCGAGGCCTGGCCCCGCCCCTTCAACATATACGAAAAGTCAGAATCCTTGTCTCATTTTGTTCGCCCATCCCTTCTGAGCAATTTTACACAATTTTTGAGACGATCGTGCAAAAAATGATCGAGCAGTCCAATCAGAAACGGACCCTAAAAACGGCAAAAACGGCAAAAAATCACCATTTCAACCCAAAATGGCCGACTTCCTGTTTGATATTGATCATGCTTGCAAGAGACTTTTCTGTGTGGACTGTTGAGTACTACAAGTGTACCAGATTTCATAACTGTACGATAAACTAAGCTTTATGGAGAGGTTTTTTTTTCACTTTGTAGGGGGCGCTGTTCAGTCATTTTCTTTGCGATTTTTTTGGGACCTTTAAAATATCAAATTTTTCACCAGGCCTGACAAGTCTGCAAAATATTGTGAGTTTTGGGGTATGATAAGGTCCCCAAAAGGCCATTCAAAGCGGGCTAAGAATAATAAATAAGATATAAACAGAGCAAAAACAAGAGGGCTTCGCAGCGCTTTCGCTGCTCGGGCCTAAATATTCAGGCAAAAAAGAGATGAGCTGAAGAAAACCTAGGGAGCACTGACGAAACGTGAGCAACAGTGAAGTAAGCACAGAGAGATCCGTTACTGTCTGTGTGTGTGTGTGTGTGGGTGGGTGGGCTGGCTGGACACAGCTCCCGGCTGCAGTTTTGTGTGTAGGGAGGGGCGGGCACTCTATGTGATTGGCCAATCACAAAGCGTGAAGACAGTCAGTTATCCAATGAGGATTTTCCTTCAGCATGATAACAGATATTTACGAGTTTTACTCGTTTCATGCTCGTATTCATCAAAAATGCTTTATCCGTACCGGATACTCGTCTGAAATGAGTATCCGGCTCATCCCTAGCTGTAACCACCCTGCCCTGTCCCTCCTTCTTGCTGCCTGCCGGCTGTGATCACAAGCAACAACAGAGTAGTTCCCGCTGCTTCTTCGGGAAACGGCGCCAAAAAAAAAAATCAATAAAACTTGGGATCTTGTAGCCACGATGGCGGGCCGCCACGGCTACGCCTATGTAAGGGAAACACTGAATACATTATTTAAAGTTTACTGAAAAGGAATCAATTATTCAATATATGAAGAAGATTTGATTATTAGTGTAATAGTATTGTTACAGTTATGCTGGACTTTTATATTGGGGGGAAAAAATGTTAACAGTGAAAATTTCATTTTCAGCAATCCATATGTGAGACCACGGGGAGGCCCCGGACGGTTTGACAGAAGCAAGCGACAAGGCAAATCAGGGGGAGGTGGAGGTGGAGGCGGTGGAGGTGGCAACAGGGCTAGAGGAGGTTTGAGAGCTCAGTCAAACTGGTATAAAGTAACGGTGAGTGACAAATTTACATTAATACTTCTGGCTTAAAGTTTAAAGAGGAGATTTTTATTTTACTTCTTTGTGTGACAGATACCACACGGACGAAAATACGATAAGAAATGGTTGGTGCCAGCTCTTCAGAACATCTGTTCAGTTCCGTACACACCCATACATGTAAGTCCTAAGGGATGCTTTCTGACTGGATTATTATCAGGGCTGTGTGATATTAGAAAAATTCACATTGGAATTATTTTTCTAACTCTGTCATATATATTAATATATTTATCTCACAACTTTGTGTGTTTTGATATTTTTTATTAATATTTAATAATGAGAGATTTCCCCACAGACGGCTTTCTTTTGAGGTTCCTGGTCTAACTGCTCCTAAATCGGTTCTAAGAACGTGGCTAGCCTGAATCCCCTCCCATTCACCATGTTAACACATGCTGGAGAACAAAACTGCTCCGTGGCAGGCTAGCAGCTAGGCTTATTAACGCTTTGTGAATATGCTTGGGTGAGGCGAGTGACGTCACCTTTTTCTTGTCGGTGGCTGGCAGCTACGAGGTGGTGAATTGGCGCCACCGCTGGCCCATGGTGGTAGCAGCAGCTTTGTTCTTGATGGCTAAATTAGTAATACATATGGAGTTTAAACTTTTAAAACTGAGTTCTTATTGGATTTACATCTTAACATTTTTTGTAATTAACCTTCATTTGCAGCCAGGAGCATTTCATTCCAATGATGTTTCCCCTGATGTCAACACTATTAATAAGTATAATTATATATCAGCTTTTATCTGGGATGGACCCATATAATCTTACAGCTGCTAACATAATACTTATGTAAAAGGAAATACTTTATTGACGTGACTACATATTTACTCTGGTTACACGTGTCAACCATGTTAATATTTGATTTAAATGACATACGTGATGTTTTTTCCTCAATGTGTAATATATGTTAACTTTAAGGTCACTTTACCACCACGAACGTATATTCTTAAAAGTCACAGCTGCTCAGCAAAAAACAGTCATAGAGTCTCTAAACATCCAGACTCATAAGCAGAACATGAAAACGACAGGTAAATGATGAAAACTTTAATAACATATGTGGAGAAATGAGCTGAAGTGGACTTCCAGCATTGTCGTGGAAGCATGTAAACTCTGCACGTTTTAACTAAATGGCACAGCTACACAGCTTTATTCAAACAGGTCATGGTCTCTTATCTTAGTTCTGATATCTTTGTAGTCCTCGTAGGCATGAATGAATTATTGCTCCTTCTGGATAAAGAATGAGGCTCTGTTCTTCCATTCTCATTTATCTTGGATCGATTAACAGGGACTGCCTGTGGACGCGTGTGAGCCTCATTTCCCGCCCCTCGCTTGGATTATAGGCAATTGAATCCACCTGAGAATCATTAGTGTAGCCGGCAAAACCTGGAGGGGAGGGGAGCTCTTTGTCAAGCAGCGGTTTATCAGGAGATTCCCGATGTTCTAAACTTTTCTGGAATACCCCCGTTTTCTAATCATGTTCTGTTGTTTAATAAAGTAAAAGGAGAAAAAAATGTTTCCCTAGCAGTTTTAAAAGTTTCTTGTGTAATCCAATTAATCGAGTCAACTGTGATCCAAAGCATTTTTTTGCATCCCTAGTCGACAAAATTAAAGAACTCCTTCCACGTGGCATTTTTCGCTGCAGGATGCAAACTCTACATCACTTCATCACTCTCATGGAGTAAAAGTTCAACAGACATGTTTGCCTACATTTTTGACATTGCTCGCTTGCACGGTGTGAGGAGGGGAGCAATGCTGCCCTCAATGTCTCAGCGGGCTGCAAAGTTGGAGCAACTGGGCAGCTAGTATGATCGGCTCTGAAAGGCGTTGATCAGGGTTTGCAGATCACTTTTTTTTTCATGGAGATCGGTTGTGGATTCTTCAGGTTGGCAGACTGAGAATCAAATTTAGGAATCTGAATCAAAAAATCAGAACTATCCCAGGAAAAACTGATAGTCAGTCCCAGTTCCAGTCGATGCTCGATGCCCAACCCTACAAAACATCAGGCAGCTCTTGGGTCAATACTGTTTGCAATCAAATGAATACAGTTTGTTGTTTTGTGTCTAGTAATTAAATCTCATTTTGCTTCCAAGTTCTTATCGAGACTTGTTTGTTAGTTGATTTTATTAAATGTCTCCACTTCCCCCTGTCTGTTTAGTACCACTTTGACCACCACAGGGTCCAGTTCTATGTGGATGACTCTGCCACTGCCAGTGCTTTACACAGATGCTCACACAAGATCACAGACTCAGATGGTTATAAGGTGGGCTGAGTTAAGTTTTTGTTTTAAATAATCAATCTGCTGATAAAAATTCTGTCGCAAAATCTACAACCAGTGTTTTTACAAACAAAAGCCAAAACTACCTAGTCAACAGTACTGGTGTTTCTTTAAGGTGGAAGTACAAGTCAACCCAAGTAATCCACCAGCCTTCCTGCAGTCTGACCTGAAACCCGAGCACTTGGAACATCTTAAGGTGAGCCCAAGCAATTGGTTTAAAGGAGAAGGAATGCAAGCTCTCCTTTGTGCAAATAATAAACCGACTAAAGATAATTATATATATATTGTGTATTTTTACATTGACTTTTGTTTCTTCCTGTACAGCAATGCATGGCAAAACGTTTTGATGGTTCTCAGCAAGCACTGGACTTAAACAACATTCGAATGGACCCAGGTTTTTACTATCTTAATGTATTACACACACACACGAGATACATAAAAAAACTGCACAAATGGCGAATCCAAACTAGGGCTGAACTATTTTAGGAAAAGATTGAATTGTGATTTTTCTAGCAGAAATTGCAATTTCAGTTCAATTCATGATTTTCTTCAAAGGTACAACACTAGCCTGCCAAGCCATCCTGTATATTAAGTGAAAAGATGGTCTATATTCTAATCTAGTACAACAAATCACTTTAATATTTACTATCTAATAATACAATAAAAACAGTGAAACCTATTGATATTTTCTCATAGTTTTTTATATCTTTTTTTATGTGCTTGTGAAGCAACTTGTGATTTTTATCTAGAGAGGTGCTTTATAAAAAACATGTTCTTGTTCTAATCCAAAAATGCAAGGAGGAAATCTGAAGGTAGAAACAGCTTTCAAATGTATTAAATAACAAAAAATGCACACAGTTTTCCCTGCATTACCACGGCTGCACGTTTTTCCTCACTAAAACTCCTCTATAATGCCTAGCTTATGCTAGCTCCGTGAGAGAGACGCATTCAAAGAGACACTCTGACACGTTAGCTAGTTTGAATTAACGTGTGTCATCAGAAAAATTCTAACCATCCTTTTAAAGAGAAGTTAAAGTTGTTAAAGTTTCAAGTCAACTAATGTGCACAAGTAAATAAACCAAGCTTTAGAAATCAGCCTGCTCCGATGCGGGAGGAGTCTCTCTCTCTCTCTTATCGGCTCTAGCAGCGCTGTGTGTGGAGAAATATAGCAGGGAAAGTAACCTAAATGTGCAGCTCTGTCAGTTGGGAAATTGGGCTCTGCTCCGAATGGTACATGCCTCCCCCTCCTTCGCTCTAGCTGTTGCCGCCGCCGTTACCCAGCGGGAAACCCTGGATGTAAAAAAAAAAAAATTTTTTTTTTAAATGGACATAACAGATCCTGGATTAGTCAAAACTGCTTTAAGAAAACGCAGCTTAGACGGTCACATGATCATTCTGTTTGAAATCGCAATTTTGGTTCAAAAACAATAGATCGTTCAGCCCTTATCCAAACATATTGCAGCTAAATGAAAACCGTTACAAAATGAGATGCTTGGGTTATACTTAAAGTCAGTCGCTTATTTGTTTTTATTTTTCTAAATCTCTTCAACTTCCATGTGATCACATAGAACCAGCAACAGGTATTTCTTGTGGTTAAAAATGGTTAAATTTGTCACATTGACTTATCTATTGTCCTTATTTGACAGACTTGGTGTCCCAGAACATTGATGTCATCTTGAACAGGAGGACAATCATGGAGGCTGTCATTAAGATTATTGAAGAAAACATTCCTGAGGTAACTTTGATAGATATCAGTTTAGTTTCTTTAGTTTTCTGTTGTAATTTGTTTGGTGTGTGTGTGTGTGTGTGTGCGCGCATGCGCTGATAAAATATTGCATCTATTCTAGTTGTCTCATTACTCTTCTCCCATTTATTTAGCTGGCATGTTTGAATCTAAGCAACAACCGCATTCACAAACTGGATGACCTTACTGATCTGGTCACCAAAGTGCCGAATCTGAAGTCTCTCAACCTTTCAAACAATGAGGTGAGACTGGATGTTCAGACATTCCCACGAAACTCTTCAATATAATTTGTTTTCCCATCTGCTCACATCAAGTTGTTTTTGCTTGTGATTTTTTTTTATTTCTTAGCTGAAGACTGATCGAGACCTAGAAAAAATCAAAGGCCTGAAGCTGGTGGAGCTGTGGCTGAACAGGAACCCTCTGTGTGAGCTCTTCAAGGACCAAGCTGCATACATCAGGTCAGTTAACTGTTGTGAGGGATGATCTAATGTTCCTTAGAGGAAATTCAGTGTTTAGGCCTAGGGTGTCCAGAGGTACACCCTGAAAAAGCATCAGCCAGGTGCACGGAGCACGCCATCCTAATGTAACGTCTAAAGTAACGTTTAGGATGGCATCAGTTTAGCCATTTTCTGATCAGTACAGACGTTTGGACCTAGTGGATCTTGCACTAATGGGTTATGAGAGATTTTTCTCCCACCAACAAGCTGTTTTCTTGGACATCCTTTAACAGATGGATATTATTTCCGAAGCGTCCTATTTGCACCTTCAACTTATTCTGTGCCAAGATGATGAAAAAAACATTAATAAACATGTATATGTACTGCCAATATTCTGAAGTTCTACCTATGTAGTTCATTGTACTTAGTTTGTATGCCATGCAGTATTTTCTACATTTGTCTAATAAATTACTTTTAGTTCTTTCTTACTTGATAACTAACATTTCCTTTAAAACTGCAAATCTAAATTTTGTATTTTCAAACGATGCTGAGGAGACAAGATACAAAACTGTTCCACCTTTAACTCAACACCCATATTTTCTCTGGCAGTTTTCAGCTTCTCTGTGGGGTGACATTTTCCTGCTCTCTTCTTTTTTTCTTGGTGTTGTGGTTCACAGTGATGCTCCACCCAGCACTCCCCGCTGACATCTTTAGTTATCCCCCAAACTGCTTTGAAACAAAATGTCATAGCTGATGGTAAATACAAAGCAAACTAGCTGAGCATGACTCTCTGATACAAATGTTCTGTGAAGAGCATCAGAACTATGAGCACTATACAAGTACTATAGAGCAGCACTGTAACATGATATGTGCTGCCTTAAAAAGAAAATCATTTTCATCTTGAGAGATGATTGGATGAAGCAAAGACAAGACAGCCGAAGACTTCCCTCCCTTCACTGAATCATTGCCCACTCGGCTCCTGTAGCAGGCGAGTATGGAAGGCTGGATAGCCCATGACGGGTAAGATCCCACCTCCAAACCCTGGGACAACCTAAGGCAGGCACAGTCACGATTACTCCGCCTCAGTCCCTGTGAGCTCAGATTCACTGACTCCATCATGAGAGGATGTTGAGAAGACGGGACTCCACAGGCAAAGCCGTTGGGCTGGGGTGAATCTGGTCATTTTACCCTCCACATGAGCTGTGACGAACCAGAAAAAGGAAAGCAATCTCTTCCACAGCGTTCCACCTGTTTGCCTTCAAGAGGCCTCTGCTTTTCAGTTAATGAGGTGGAGACTGGCAGAAACTGTCAAGAGAAACAAATGTGATCTCATCTGGAAACTGAAGGTTCAGTTTTTGCTAAAGAGAAGCTGAATGGAAGCAGTCGGTAACACTTAACCTCCTGCAGTTTCCGACGGCTGTGACCGGAGCAGGAAAATAAAGAGAGAGCTTGGTCATAAAGCAGAGAGAGCTGAGTGTTATCAGGTAAATTCTTAAGCTTTTCTCTGAGCCACTTTGCAACTAAAGGCTTGGTCCCAAATTAAGGAATAAAAAATTAAGTGCTCTACCAGACGGCACAGCTAAGAGGGACAAACTACAGGATGAGTGGTGGGACTGCTGGGTCCAGCTCACTTTGAGTCCTTTTTGTTCGGCTCTGTTCTCCTGTTTCTTTTGCTGTCTGTTGTTGGCCTGGACACAGATCATCTCTGATCGTTGGGTCTCTTGTGTCTATTCGTTTTGCTGATACATTTTTAATAAACTTTTTGTTTCTTGTGACATTAGACTCACCTGTTCCCAAACACCTTGGCCGGAGTTAAACTCTACACTGGTGATAACCACCTCTCTCCCAGCCATACATAATCTCTTTATTTTACTAACTGAAACTGATGTGTAATCTGGTCTGGTAGCTGCTGGCATGTTTGTATGTGTACCTCTAGAAAAGTGTGCTTGTGTTGCTCTTCCGTGTCAGATCAGTGTATATCAGCATCTTGGGTTAAAGGGTGAGTATCCCTGCTGGTAAGTACATTTAGGGGTGGGAGGATTTTATAAAATGCAGTATAAAACCGATGGAAAGGTTACAGCTTCTATGTCTGCTTTTGGATTTAAGATTATTTCTACTAGTAAGGATACTCATGTGTGTTTTTGGACATGAAAGTACTCTCTCATCAAAATTATGAAAGTACAAAAACATAGGGCGGATCAGCAGGTGTTACTGACAGTGGTGAGGTTTTTAGTAGTGAGGATTGTTTTGGTTTTGTTGTGTCTGGTTTGAGAAAATAACTTTATTGTTCTTGGTTTTGCTCCTGTTCCAGTGCAGTACGGCAGAGGTTTCCTCGGCTTCTCAAACTGGTAAGCTCACTTTAGAAAATCATTTCTAATCACTCTCCTTCTGTTATTAAAACAATTAGTACTACTTCAACAATGCAACTTACCTAACCTGTTTTTAGCATCTGCTTTTTTAATCCAAAATGGCGTGGGTCATTAGAATAACCTGTAGAGATCTCACTTGTTTTTGAAAATGTTTCAGTAAAATCATTCTGTAGATTTCACACAAAACAAATAAACATTTTCTCATGCAGCTGTGTTGTTTCTCCTCAGGATGGGCACGACCTCCCCCCACCTATTGGATTTGATGTAGAGACCCGCACCGCCATCCCTCCCTGCAAGGTTGATTTATTATTACTGTATAGGTTGTAGTCATAGAGATAAATTAATGTCATATTTCCTTCATTCCATTCTCTTTGTTCATGATTATTTTAGAGTTGTAGCAAAATCTTGATTATATCCATGCTGATGAATGTGTTTTCATTCATTCATTCATTCAGGGCAGCTACTTTGGCTCAGATGAAATTAAGGGGCTCGTCCTTCAGTTCTTGCAGCAGTAAGTTTAGATTTGCGTTTTTAAAACAGAAAACCTGAGCATCGGGGACTGTGAGGTGAACATGTGACTGTGTTGCAGGTACTACAGTATATACGACTCTGGAGACAGACAGCCCCTTCTGAATGCTTATCATGATGGAGCTTCATTGTCCATCACCACTCCCTACACCACCCAGAACCCCTCCAGGTCAGGACATGCTGAAAAACACACCTGGTCACTAGGGCTGCTCGCTTATGGCAAAAATTATAACCACTACTATTTTGACTGAAATTGAGATCTCTGTCATTTAAGACCATTTTTTTAATTCATGTTGATTTTATATAATTGTTTATTCATTCAGTCATACAATTGCTCAGGGCACAATCAGGACAAAATTGATAAGAAAAAGAAAGAAGTTTATGGATTATGACCCAATGATTGAGGTTTAACTAATCTAAACTTACCCAATACAGACCCATTTTGATAAAGATATCTTGCAAATACACACAGCAAAAATTATACTGTACATTTATAATATAAAATTACTAAAAACATATAAACATCCATGTTGTAGTGAAGTTCCACAAAATGTTGCGTAATAATTATTTAGTCCTGTTCAGTGTTCTGTAGAGGAGTGAACAGTAGCAACGTGTCGCTCAGAGAGATTAATTAGTTATCAGCATGAGTAACTTATTTCTATCTATTTCAAAACTATTTTTTACCGGTCCCATCAGTTAATGTAATTATAGTCACAGGCACAGCGATTGGAGGTGCGCTGCAACCATTATCATCCAGCCTCCACTTGTCTTTCACGAGAAGCTCACCCGAAGCACCGCAGCTAGACAGTTCGGTTGTTTAGAAAGAGAAAACAAGTTAGTCTGAATGGAGGTTGTTACCATTGTTTTTGCTGGAGTTTAGGCGTGGGCTGTGGCTAACAGTAACCCGGAATAAAGATCAGAAACAAAAAGAACAAGTTGGAGTCATTACAATATCTTTAAAAAATCAACAAGGTGTGGCGGCTTTTATTTTGCCGTGGCGGTGTGACACGATCAATTTGTGTAGGCTTTTATTTTGACAAACATAGCAGGGAAAATAACATTTTTTGATGCCCATTCTGATTGGTTAGTGAAAAGCTACAGTAACCCCCATTAAGGCGTTTCTGTAGCCCAAGCAGAAACGCCCCGCGGCTGGCTGGACCCTGCACGCTGCAACTCCCCCATCCCCCAAACCCTGTCTCAGAGCAATCAGGGACAAGCTGCTGCGTGTGTGTTTAGCACATTTAGCCGTTTTTAGCAGCTTAGGAGGCTGCAGGTACATTGTGTGTCACTAACTCTGGCTAATCCAAGAGGAAGCTGACTATAAGAGCCGTTTCTTTTGCGATCAACATCAATACATCATTCCCTTTCCTAATGTCCGGAGCGCAGGCTAACCTGCAGGAAATGTCAACAATGGTTCTCCAGAAAGTAGCTAAAGGTTATCAGAATTGTTTCTAGGTTGTTTTCTAGGTACTCATAGGATTTAAAAAGTCAAGAAGAGGCCATGGAAAGCTGTTAGAATTAGCGACAAAGCCACTAGGTTGGCAACACGGTGAGAGGAGTTCTTGATTTGCAACTCGTATCAGTGCAAGAGGAAGTAACAAATAATCTGCTTGTTTTTATAATCGTTCAAAACTCATATTGTAATTGTGATTAAAATTCGATTCATTGAGCAGCCCTACTGGTTACAACAGTTTACCACCTGAACAAGGTGTGAATTTTATTTGTGTGGGCCACGTGACTAAACAAGTGTTTGTGTCTCTTCTCTGGTGTTCAGGAACAGTCTGGGAGAGTATCACAAAGACAGTCGAAACCTGAAGAGGGTCAAAGACTCTAGTGAGTTTTCCCATCAAGAGTTTCTCACACGTGACTGAAATGTTTTGTTTTAATGTCTAACGATGTCTCCTCTTTGCTAACTCTAGCAATGCGGTTTCGACTACTGAAGCACACTCGACTGAACGTTGTGGCGTTTCTCAACGAGTTTCCAAAAACGCAGCACGACATTGCCTCCTTTACAGTTGATGTGAACACTTACACGGTTAGTGGATGCTTTTTCAGCCTGAAGCTGCTCATAACAAACTTTCCTCTGTTTTTGTTCCTTTGTTCTAAAAATGGTTTCCTTTTACAGAACACGCTACTGTCATTCACTGTGAGTGGCGTTTTTAAAGAAGGTGAGTTGTTTGGTCGTTGTTTTGTCTGATTTTGCTCCCAACAGACAAAAGAAAAGTTCTCTTTCTTAACATTCGTTTCGATGACTCACTATGGGATGTACTATACGCCCCTCCGCGGATTCCTCAGGAGCACTTATCTCAATACGCCAATCCTTATTGACCAGTGACCGTGACGCACGCGTCAACTGCTACTATAAGCAGCAAGCTTCCAAACGCAAATGTCATTCAATCAACTCTTCTCACTTCTGTGGTTGCTTATCTTACAGGTAAGTTAGCTGAACTGTTCACAGAAGGAGCCAGCTAATATTTTCTCTCCGTCGCCAAACACTAACTTACCGTCCTTCTTTCCTGACCTTCACCATAGGTTCAGGGCACAGCGAGCTGTTTCACACTCCAGTGCACCTGTTTGTTCTTTAGCTAACACACCAGTTAGTCCACATGGAAGCCGCTCCTTCCACCAGAAGAGTTGATGTTGCAGAAGCTCGCCTCTGTACCTGCGGGAACAAAATCTTGAGCAAAGACTCACACAAGGTCTGCTCTGGCTGCCTCGGGCTTGAACACACCCGGCTAGCATTGGAAGTTCCCAGGTCATGCGAGAGCTGTGCATGCATCACCCCGAAGAGCCTTCACCGTCGGCTAGCGCGCCAAGCTAGCCTGTCAGGGAAGGACCCATTTTCTGACCAAGTCCTCCAAATACACCCACATCACCCCGCTTCTCCTCCAGCTTCATTGGCTGCCAGTCAACTTCAGGGTTCATTTCAAGATCCTGGTTCTGGTCTATAGGGCCCTACATGGACAAGCACCATCTTACATTGGTGATCTTCTTAGTCCCTACACCCCCAGCAGGTCCCTGAGGTCCAGTGATCAAAGCCTACTGGTTGTGCAGCGCACCAGGCTAAAGACCAAAGGTGACAGATCATTTGCTGCTGTGGCCCCCAGACTCTAATGGGCCATTCGCATCTGTACCGGGTCGGCCCGGGCAGCCCCAGTCGGCCCCAGCCTGGCCCAGTTGATTCCACACATCCTTGCCTTAAGCCCATGTGGGCTGATTCTACCCACCAATCAGAGGTTTGCTCTAATGGAAGGTGTGAATTTGCTGTCAGCAGTGGGTGTGTTGGCCCTGGTCGGCCTGAAGCAGACCCCCTCGAGAAGAGGGCTGAGAATGAGCCTTGGTTGGCCCGGAAAAATACCAGGCCACCCAGATATGTAAACAACCTACGCTACCCGGCCCGGGCCGACCCGGTACAGATGGGAATGGCCCTTAAAACTCTCTCCCCCTGAGCCTGAGATCAGTGGACTCAGTGGTCTCCTTTAAAAAGCAGCTGAAGACTCACTTGTTCAAACTGGCTTTTGTATGACCTTCTTCACCACTCTCTCTTTATTCTGCTCTCCCCACCTATTCCACCTTCCTCAGGATCCACCAATTTCCCTCTTTCCTATTCACTTTCTCTCTTTCTTAACATTTAATTTTTTAATCACAATTGTCTATTTTTTGCTCATTTTAAATATATTTTTAACCATTTTCTAAATTCTTTTTTATATTTTTACATTTTTTGTTTTTGTGAAGCGCCTCGTGATTTTTATCTTGAGAGGGGCTATAGAAATGATATTTTCTTCTTCTTCTGCCGGCTCCTGAGCCACCGCCTGGGTACGCTGATGAACATGCCCTCCCGGAACCGTGTGCCGAACCCAGCTGGGGCTCCCAGCCTGACTTGGCCGTTCCGAGCCACCCCGTTGATAATGTGTTGGAGTTGGACTACGGAGACGACGAGGACACCTCGGAACTCCTCGTTTCAGAGGAAGACGAGAATGACAACGTTTTTCTCCCCCTCGCTCAGGCCTCCATGCCTAGCTTTCCGTCCTCTCCCAGGGAGGGAGCGGTTCCTCCAGCCGCTCACCTGGACATGCAGTCAGTAAGCCGGCACGCTGCGACCAGGCTCAACATCCCCTGGCCCACCGTGGTCACTGAAGCTGTCAGATCCTGCTACGAGGGAAAGAAGCTGCCTCAGGCCACAAGAGCGGCAAAGCCTCTCCTGCCCGTTTTCCCAGAGCTCCTCAAAGAGGTTCAATCATCCTGGAACAAACACCCTTTCAGCTTCAGGTCTCCTGTCCAAGGAGCCTCCTCGTTGGACTTCGAGGGTATGGAAAAGGCTGGTATGCTACGCATGCCGCCATGGAATCGCTGGTCGCAGCCCACCTGCACCCATGGCTCTTGGCAATGTCCTCCAGACCTCCCACTCTCCCTTCAGAGGCGGACTGCTTCCAGTCGGCGCTGAACGAGGGAGAGTACAAGGCTGCCGCCCTCTCTATTCGAGCTTCGAATGTCTCCTCTGTGCTCTCAGCATACCAAGCCGAGCTCTGTGAAGAAGAAGAAAATATCATTTCTAAGACATGACCACAAAGCCGGACCCAGACGTGTGGGAGGAAATCACCGTGCTCACTGACATCTGCCTGCGGGCGCTGTGCGGTCCAGGCCAAGGGTAAAGTCATGAGTATGATGGTGCTTCAGGAACGTGCTGGATGGCTGAACCTCATAAACCTCTCTGATAGAGAGAAGGAAGACATTTTGGACATGTCGATTGAGCCTGAAAGCATTTTCGTCTCCGCATTGGCTTCAGTGCAACCTTGGAAATTGCCGCCTCGCAGGAACCTAGTGGCCCAAGCTGTTGGCTCAATCTTCCATCCTCATCCAGAAGGACTGGCCCTGTGGGCCTGGACCCTGACAAGTGCGGGTTAGGGTCAGCAGAGCTGTCCCAGGCGGTCCCAGGGGGTTTGAAGTCTGGTGCCAGGGCAGGGATATCTCTCCCTCCCAGTGCCCAGTGAATGCCATTCTGTCTTTCCTGCAAGAATTGCTGGATAGAAAGAAGGCGAGTTCAAATGGAGACCTCTCTGGGCCTGGACCTTAAGATCCTGTCTCTTAAGGTGGTGCTACTCCTTGCTTTGGTATCTGCAAAGCGAGTTAGTGACTTACAGGCTCTCTCTGTGTACCCATCCTGCACCCAGTTTGCACCAGGTGACATGTGGGTGTCCCTGAAGCCCAACCCTGCCTTTGTGCCTAAGGTAGTGGGCTCCTTTTCTCCTCTTCTCCTCACAGCTTTCTACCCACCACCCTTCTCCTCTCCTGAGGAGGAGCGGTTGTGCAAGCTGTGTCCAGATTGCACGCTCAAGGAGTATGTTAATTGGACAGGGAACTTTTGCAGGGGTGACCAGCTCTTTGTGTCATGGGGAGGACCTTTTAAGGGAAAACTCATCACAAAGCAGCAGCTCTACCACTGGATTGTGGAGGCTATTTCTTCGGCTTACTCCTGTCGGGGCATTCAGGCAACTCAGGGCCCATTGTACTAGGGGCCTGTCTTCTTCATGGACCCTTTTTCGAGTGAGATGTCTCACCAGGCAACCCTTCTTGCTGGGCAAAGCGAGAAGAGGTGTTTATCTTGAATAACGCGTGCGTAGGTATGCTTGCTACTTACAATAGCAGGTGACGCGTGCATCACAGTCACTGGCCAATCAGGATTGGTGTATTGAGATAAGTGCTTCTGAGGAATCCGGAGGAGCGTATCCCATAGTGAGTCATCTGACTAATGTTACTCAGAGAACCAGGGTTATGACAGTAACCCTAAAGTTTTCTGCTGCCCTGATTTATTTGACCTTTTTTCAGTTGTTGTAGACGGAAAATCCAGAGAATCCACCATGGCCTTTTTTCGGGTTCTGATCACAGTTCCTGCAGGGACTTCTGGGTAAGTTTAGTTGGCTTCTTATTGATTTAGTCTCTGACACAGTGCAGTGTTTATTAAAACACGTCAGACATTACCAATTTGTTTTAATATTGTCTGACCAAAAATGTCAAATAGTCTGACATAATAACTGATGTTAGCCTTTTCTTAAAGGCCCAATGTGTGATATTTCATCTTATAAGTTATCAAATTTCTTGTATCACATTCTCAAATTTGTTTTTTTTTAATGATAATTCAAACAAGCATTTATTCTAAGCATTATTATTAGCTTTATATTTTAATATTTTAGACAAAAGAAGCAGACCGGTGCTCCATATGGCATGCGCCATCTTAAAATACAGTGACCTTTTAGGGACATACAACATATTAAGCTTCGCATTTGATGTTTGCGTTTTTAAATGATGTAACCTCAAAGAAACAGCAGGGGGCAGAAGTGCGCCTTGTAAGCATGCAGTCTGACAAAGTAACTAAGAAGAAGAAGAAACTAGCCACACCGTACTTCTAGCGATGGAGGATCACACATATTCTACAAGCAAACTTGAGAAACGGGATAGTTTGTCTCATCCAAGTAAAAGAAAAAGGATTTTGAAAAGTGAACAAGACCGGCGTCATGAGAAAACCAGAGTAAATATAGGAGTTGCCTTCCCAAGATGGAGAGACCTCATGTTACAAAAGGGATTCAGTAGACACGCTGAGCAGCTCTGCCTCTTCCTCTTGTGCGTGGGACGTTGCGGCTGGTTTGAGCAAATTCGGCTCCTTCATCTTGGGATGCTTGCCCTGCTTCTGTCGCATGTCTAACACCTCTGCCTCTCTGTGCGCTGGCACACGTCTGTCCTCTCCCTCTTCCTCGCCCTCTTCCTCTCCCTCGTCCTCTGTCTGTCTCCACTGATGAACCATCGGATGATATCTGACTCTGTTTACGGAGAGAAAACAATTACAGACTACACTACCTTGTATATTTCCAAAATGGCAAATAGAAATATAACATTTCTCAAATAAAATGAACAAAATATTGTCATTTTTTGTAGTCAGAAGTCATCACTAACTAGCTGCCGTTTGCTATTAGCAAACATAACTGACATAAAAAAGTTTTTCTTATTCAAAACCTATTTAGATTAAATTAATAAAGTAAGTTAGATGAAAACAACTAACCTGTTCGCTGACTTGAAAGCTGGAATTAGATGATGACATGCTGCCGTTTACAGCAACACGATTTTGTATTGTATTTGTTATATTTGTTAATAAAGTTTTAAATAATGATAAAAAAAAACTTTTTGATCCTCGGGGGCTCCAATAGCTGCAATACCGACTCTAAACTGCGTGGTGCTAAAGAGTCGGATCTTTTTACTATGATTTCTGTGAATTTCACACACGGGGCCTTTAACCTACTAAAATAAAATTAAATCCCTGAAAACTGCCAACTGTTTCTCTAGAGTTCATGACAGACATTTTTGTCAATAATCCATCAGTTTGTCTCTGGAATCTGTAGCAGCACACTGGAAGCTTTCAGCAGCTGTATTACAATGGCAAGATGGCTCAAGAAAAACTCTTTATTGTAACATTTGTGCTGAAGTAAAGAAGAAAGAAAAGAAGAAAAGCTCTTTTCTATAGCGCCTCAAGATAAAAATCACGAGACGTTTGACAAAAACAAAAAATGTAAAATATAAAAAAATTTAGAAAATGATTGTGAAAATGGTTTTTCACAGTCTAAAACAGCAGACAGAATGACATTTTGTCCTTTAAAGAAGGTTTTTTTAAGAGTGCATGTATTAGCCAGCGACCCGTCACGCTGCCAAATGGATGGCCAGTTCAAGTTGACAACCTAAGTAACGGGATGGCAAACTGTCCTCGTTTCTGTAATATCTAATCAAGAACTTGCATTTTTTGGAAGTCAAATTAAAATCTGATGGTTGCAAAAATCTGTAAGCAAACGTGTTCAAGTCTGTACTACTGGAGTTAGACAGATTCGTTGCGGAGAATAACCCAGCACAGAATCCTGGTTTCTGTCAACTTTGAATGCAGCGGCTGCTCCTGGAGCAGTGGATGAAGACGTGCTTGTATCAAAGATGTGGTACCGTCTGTTACACGGGCATAGTTAAGGTTTAATTGGTCTGATGTTGAGCAAAAAAACCTCAGTAAAATATGCTGGGCATAGGTCATGTCTTATCTGCAGCCAGTCAAACCCATGTTTGATCCTGAAAGAGATGTGAAGATGGTGCCAGGGCATGTGGCACGCCTTCTGCTTCCTCCGTTTTATTTTTGTTTAGACATATGGGCCATTCCCATCTGTACTGGGTCGGCCCGGGCCGGGTAGCCCCAGTCGGTCCCAGCCTGGCCCGGTTGATTCCACACATCCTTGCCTTAAGCCCATGTGGGCTGATTCTACCCACCAATCAGAGGCTTGCTCTAATGGAAGGTGTGAATTTGCTGTCAGCAGTGGGTGTGTTGGCCCTGGTCGGCCTGAAGCAGACCCCCTCGAGAAGAGGGCTGAGAATGAGCCTTGGTTGGCCCGGAAAAATACCAGGCCACCCAGATATGTAAACAACCTACACTACCCGGCCCGGGCCGACCCGGTACAGATGGGAATGGCCCAATATTTTCAAATGTTTTCTGATGTTTCCGGTGTTTCATAATAATTCTTCATAACGATTATTTTCTGATCAAGTCTTTTCCTGAGCAGAGTGATTGTCTAAATCTTATGGTAGAAAATAATTAGCATTTTGCTGAAAATCACACTGATGGTTCATTTTTCCAATTATTTCAGCAGATTAGCATCACAATAAAAATATGTATAATAAGTAAAGGTCAGAGGTCACTTTTAAATAGCTACAAATCTGAAATCTGTGAGGACATTGTCCTACATTGTTTAAAAAAACAAGACTCATTTAAAGCTGCTTTACCCAAGTCTTTTATTTTATTTTTATTACTCAAATTAGTAATCATCTTTAATTTGTTTTATATTTTACTTTGTTCTCGTTATGATTTTAAGATGTTATGCTTTTAGTTTTGATCTATTTGAAGCACTTTGTGATTTTCTGTCTGTGACAAGTGCTATACACATAAAAATTTACTTGCTTACTAAAAATGTCCCGTGTGAGACGCTCCTGGCAGGCAGAGAAGTGTCCAGCCAGCCACGGGGCGTTTCTGCTTGGGCTACAGAAACACCTTAATGGGGGTTACTTACGGCTGGGCGATATGGACCAAAACTTATATCTCTATCTTTTTGCTGAATCGGGGGTGATATATATCTCGATATTCTTCCTCCTGTAAAATCTTTACAAGTTAATTCACTTCAAGCTGTCTTGAGAAATTATACATAAACCAGTAGATTAAATGCATAACAATGTATTGGTTCTTGTCAAACTTTAAACTTAGTGCCTATTCTCTGGTACAGCTGTCTTTTAACACACAGCAGCCAATTGTCCCATTTGTCACATTACTTTTGGTTCCTTAACAAGTGGGAGGCACATATGCAAACTGTTGTAATTCCTACACCGTTCACCTGACTTAGATGTAAATACCCTCAAATAAAAGCTGACAATCTGCAGTTAAAGCACTTCTTGTTCATTTCATTTCATATCCATTGTGGTGGTGTATAGAGCCAAAAATGTTAGCATTGTCGATGTCCCAATATTTATGGACCTGACTGTAAAGGCAGGTTCGGGTTCGGAGAGCGTGGCGCGCGCTCACCTCAAACCAGCAACACAAAATGAAAGGGCAGGATGAGCACATATGATCAATACCTGTATAAGAAAGACGGAAAACAGATGAGCGGAGAAAATAACTTATTTTGAAACATCGGGGGTGAAGTAACATTTCAGGAGCGAATAAGACGGGGCGTTCCCGTTTTGGAGTGGGCGTTCTCGTTCACAAACAGAAATGCCCCTTTTAGAGGCTGGCCGGATGATAATGAGCAGGCGGTGTGGCAGTTTGCCAGTTCTGTGTTTTCTTTTTTTTTTTTTTCTTTTTTTTTTTTTTTCTTACATGCTTCCTTATGTCATTTCCTCTGTGGCGAGTGCATCTTTAAAAAAGAGGCGCGTGACCTGATTAGGTGTGTCTGATTGCCCCCTCTGACAGTGAGAGGCAGAGACGCAGACAAGCGGAAGGAGGATTGATGGAGAGAAATAAGTCATTTTGAAAAAAGGGGAATATTTGTGAAAACGACAAAACGGAGGACAGACGAGAATGCCAATCCACAGCAGAGATTAAGAGGAGGACAGGATTGCAGTTTCGGTTGGATGCGCAGCTGTTTCACCCAGGTTCCTCTTCTGAGTCGGACCTCTGTACTTATGCTCTTCTGCGAGAACCACGAGACCCGTTGGGTGAAAGTCGGGTTCCGTGAGTTCAAAATAGAGTTTGACTGCGAGAGTGCCGCCGAGCGCAGAACGGTTACATTGGTAGCTTCCCTGTCACTGATGCGAATCAATAATTAATGAGGAGCAATAAGCTGCTGATTTGTATGTTGTTGGTTGTGTGATGTCTCAATTTGAGTTGATCAAGTAATTTTAGTTTAGTGTCTCCTTTGAAGAAGGGTGTTTCTATGTTGCATTCTTTTTAGGGATTCTGCGTACATCAAGGTTAACTAATTGATGCAGTTGATCTTATATGTCAGGAGAGAGACCTGGCTGGCACCCCACTTCTTGATGTACAAATCCGTTACAGAGTGGCTCAGACGTTTTCGCAAACCCTGCAGTGTGACAGAATCTTTCACACATCTGAAAGTTTCCTCCTTCTACTAAGAGGATTTAAAACTCACTGACTGCTTCCTGTTTTTACAGTTTGTGCATTGTCAATGATCAGCTATTCGTCCGAATGGCGACGACAGAGGAGATTCGCCGTGCGTTTGTAGCTCCAGCACCAACCCCATCTTCCAGTCCTGTCCCAACACTAACAGCGCCCCAGCAAGAGATGCTCACGTCCTTCTCCCAGAAGTCGGGCATGAACCTGGAATGGTCACAGAAGTAAGGATCTTGTAATATTTTCTAATAATCAAATGTTTTACATGTAACCAAATGTGTCTCTAAAACCCTGTACTACTGTCATAGATGTCTGCTGGACAACGAGTGGGATTTCAACAGAGCTGCTCAGATATTCACACAGTTGAAGGTAATGGAACATCAAATCTTCCTTTTTTTGTTTTTCATCACACAGAAGAATAAAGCTAAACTAAGGCTTTGATGTTTTTTCCTTCTGTGTACAGGCGGATGGCAAGATCCCTGATGTGGCCTTCATAAAGTGAAGAATTCAACCTTTTTTGTGAAATAAAACCAGCTGTAATTTTATTTATAGCATGTTTTCTTTTATTCCTGCCCCTAATTTTACAGTCACAATATTCAGGTTTACTCATGTTAAATTTGTTTTAACAGCTAAAAGTCTTCTTTTGAGCTGCTGTCTTTGCTAGTTACACGTCACTCAGTAGTCTTTCTGTATAGATGATAGGAGACGTGTTCATAGAATACATACGTGATGGGCAATTGTTTAAAGTTGTTAATCTGGAATTTGTTAAATGTTAATAAAATATTTTTCGGAAAGCAGTTATTACATTTCACTTCATATTGAAAGAAAAACATGGAAAAGGCTGGGTAGTTTTATTAATGTTATGCTTATGTGGACAGAAAAGATACAGAATGGTATTAGAACTAAAATACAGGATTTAATGGTGCACACGCAATACCTTTCATAGATAAGGGAGTTATTTTTATTCTGCATAACCGGTGCATACACCATCCTATTTCCACATAACACATTGACTAGTTTACAGCAGCGTCAACTCCAGAAACCTGGGGGAATGCTGCTTCTCCTGGCACTCACAGAGCACAGTCGCTTCTGCTTTGCTCCCTTATCTGCTTTCCCAAGGCTCTTTTTGTCCTGTCTGCCTACAGAGCGCTTCTCTGCATTTCCTCTGGAAATCACTATTTTTCAGAAATTGATTTAATGAATTGGTCATTCAACGCGATTTAAGATTTTTTCTACGATGAGAACGGAGGTGGCGTCTCCCACTTGCCCTCACGGGACACACGCAGTGGGATATATGCTCGATTCCTGGAAGGAGTGGAAGGTCATCTGTCTCTCTCAGCTGTCCATTGAGGACGTCGAAGATATGTGGATATTTGGCTTGATGATCACTGGATTTCTTCTGATTGGAGTGGGAGGATATCTGGTTTTCCGAAAAATTGGGATGACTGGAGCAATTGGAGGGCGACCCGCACCCATGGACAGCACCGTCCGGGCGGAGACCTCACAGACTGGGACGTTACTCGAGGTGAATCATAAGCTGGACAATGTCTTAGCTGCGTTACCGGTGTTAGTGCGCAAAATGGATGTCATCTCGGGAGAGGGTCACCGGACGGTGTGGAGATGTTTAAAAACCCAAATTGGCTTCACTGAAGGACTGAAATGATCAGTTTAAAGACTGAAGGCAGAGAGGAAAATTATCTCAGCCTGACCCAAACAAAGTCTTGTTATCCGAACCTGACGCCATAACAGCCTTGAGAGGCTAGGAACAAACCCCCACGAAGGAATGCAGACAGATGCTGTGAAAACCCGACCCGACACCCCCCCCCCCCCCCCCCCCCCCGGATTGGCGGACTTCAGCCTGGCGAGGTCATCAACCTGCTGGAGTCAATGTGCTCTGCGCTTCTCCTGAGATCTCCCTCCCACCTGTGGCTACAGTGGCTGAGTGCCGTAGATGGCTGCTCTCACTGGGGAAACAGGATCCCAGCCAGCCCCCCCCCCCCCCCCCCCCCCCCCCCGCCTTCCTATTGGAGTCTCATGTTGTGTTGTCTGAAGTTTGTTGAATATCTGTGTAGCGTAATGGTTTATGGCTCTTTTATGAAAGATGAACCATCCTACATAATAATCTGGAATATTAATTTTTACAAATTAATAACCAAATGTTATAGAGATAAGAAGACTCAAAGATTGTTTTCATCGATAAACTGACGATCATATCCGGTTGTCTGTGTTTCAGTTAAATGAAAAGACAAATTTGAAATTTAAGAGTTTTAATTCTTCAATTTAAACTAACGATTTGAAATGACAATCATAGGAAAAATAATCAACATTGGCAACCTTGTTGGACAATCTTTAACAGTTGATATTTTAAGCTTGCACAAATAGACCTTGTGTTGGATGTGCTAAGATTTGAGGATGATGGAATTATGAATGCGTGCATGCAGGTGTCTGAGATTGCTTCAGGGAGAGAAAAGGTGAATCTGAGTGAAAATTGATGTTTTGAATTAAACTTTAGTTTTTATTAGGAAAAACTGCATCAAAACGATATCTATCGTGTTCTGCCTCACCGCATTTAGGACCCCCTTTCAGATCCGGACCTCGGAGGATGTTCTATCCAGATGACACCTTGGCTGGCAGAGAAGACGAAGGTGTGCTGACGGTCCAGTCCAGAGTTGACCTCGGTACACATTGCTGAAGCGTTTAGCAGATGCGCTTTCTCAAGTTTAAATTAACTCCGAAATCAAAGACTGGACGAGTTTGCGTAAGCTGGTTGCATTTCAGCTATTCTGTCTGGCTTGACAGAAATAGCGTGTGGGGGGGGGAGAAGAGCCGGCAGGGCTCCTTTCCCCGTGGTGTTCGTTCCACACGCCCGCTCTCTTTCGTTCTCAATCTCGTTCTGACTAACTTACCAAAAAGCCACTTCTCTTCCCAAAGCAAACTTGTGCGTCAGAGCAAATGTGTTTTGAGTTACTGTGGATACAGACCTGTGTGAGCGAGTGTGAAGGTCATTGCTAAACATCTTCAAAAACATTATTTAATTAAGTATACTGATTCATTATAGTTCATTATGATTACCCAAAGCATAATAATCATTCATTTGATTAAAATACATTTATAATGAGCAAAGTGATAAAATTATTATTTAATGTTTAAAATAAAGAAAAGGAAGTTTAAGACTGTTTTATTATGACTAGCTGATCAGTGAAGTCCTTCTTCGGAAGACCAGGTGTTGGATGTTGTGGAGTTCTTTCAGACTTGCTGGCGGCAAAAGTCGTAATCTGTGGGTAGAAGGTGCTGCGTGACCCATCCGGGTAAATACGACCTTTGGCACAGAAAACCCATACTTCCTCACGTTACATCTGTTTGAGGCGTTTTATTGCAGAGCAAAGCTGCCCTCCTGGTGGGAGGGTAGCTGTGAAGTGCCTTCTTTTTCCCTCCTCCCGAATCAATTCCTCATGTTACCCTCTTATCTCTATTATTGTAGCGCGACTCAGGGTTGCGAATGACCACAGTCACCAATTCTTGTCATGTGTCTTGCCCAGTATGTCTGATTTCTGAATTGTATGTACTGAAACTCTAATTTCCCTCTGGGATTAATAACGTATATTTGATTGATTGATTGATTGATGAGTAATGACCTAGAGTGAAGATAGGAATTTAAGCAGTATTTCTCTAATGGTGAAACACCTGATATTGTGCATCCGCTAATCCAGGGCTATACAATTCCGGGTCTCGAGGGTCGGGATCCAGCAGGTTTTAGTGGTTTCTCTAGTCCAACACACTAGATTCAGTGGTTGAATTACCTGTGTAGCAGCTCATCAAGCTCTGCAGAAGCCTGTTGATTACCAGCCGATTGAAATCAGGTGTGTTGAAGCAGAGTTAAAGCTAGAACGTGCTGGATGCCGGACCTCGAGGCCCAGGAATAGCCCTGCTCTAATCCCTTACTTTCTTTAGCATAGAAAGTACTCAAGTTCATCTGTTTTTTTTTTATCTGCTGTGTCTTCTCACAACCCCAGTTGGTCGTGGCAGACGTCTGCTCATACTGAGCCAGGTTCTGCGTGGGATTTCTTCCTGTTAAAGGGGAGTTTTCCTTTCCACTGTTGCTACATGTAGATTGCTGAAAAGTCACTAACACAACAGGGTGAATGCTGCAGTGACTCAATTCAATCTGCCGGGTTTCCTTAGATATGGCGCTTACACATCTGGGTCAGTATGGTTAGGGGAGGATAGCATCAGTTCGGTCTTGTAAGGGCAGTGTGTTCACGTGTAGTTCAGGAGTTCTCGGGAATGAGGAAATCCTGAGCATGTGGACGGTGTTTAAGACAGTTTTAAGAAAGTCTGGTGTCCTCCTTAAAAAGAAAAACAAAGGCAGGCATGAGCTGTGTAGTTTTAGATACTCTGAACAACATTATTTTCTTACTTTGCTCCTTGTTCTCTCAATGCCGAGCATGTCATCAAACTCTACTCACACACACGCTGTTCTCTCCTCCCACTGAGCAGCCGTGGCGAGAGCTCCATGCAGGAATGTTTGCTGCTCAGAGGCCACACTCACACAGCTCTCTTCTCCCTTCCCACTGAGCAGGGGCTTCTGAACGGAAAATGCATATCTGACCCTGGTGTGAAACCAAATTCCGGTCCCGTACCAAACTGTGCTGACCCAGATGTGTAAGCCCCAATGGAAAACTTTTTAATAAGTGAAAAAAATAAATAAAGAACTAAACTCAATTATTTGCTTAATTAGTCTATTTAATTGGAATGTTTGCTTTCTAAAGTGCCTTGAGATGACTTTTGTTGTGACTGGTGTAATAAAAATAAATTGAATTGAATAGTAAAGTGCTTTATCTGAATGTCACAAAAACAGATTACAGATATCCTTGAAAGTTTTAAAAACTAAACATTTTAGAAACATTAGCCTACCTGAAGATTCCTGTAAATGTCTCCCATTCATTTTCATGCTAATTAATTTTTAATAAACCTGCTCACTGAAACAGATTTTTTACATAATAGTTTTACCAAAGGAGGGCATCACTAAGGGTGTCATTTATGCCAGTGACTTAAATCATTTAAGTGTGTATTTTCCACCAGATGGCAGCAAATCACATGGAAAGGACTGGGAAGATATGGGACAAAGGACATGAAAACCCTAAAATATAAGGTTATCATCCCTTTTTAAGAGTATAATAGAAATGGAACACCTGGTTGAGTAATTAAGTTAATTAAAAGTACAACAGGATAAAAATGATCTTATTGCACCTATTGATCCAACCAAACTTCAAATTGGTCAAATTTGTGTCTCAATCAAGTGTAAAAATAATCATGTTACACTCTTTCTTTCTGAAAAAAGTCACACACTAATATTTCACTGGATCACCTTTAGCTTTGATTAAGGCAAACATTTGCTGTGGTGTTGTTTCCATAATTCAATTCAATTCAAGTTTATTTATATAGCGCCAAATCACGACGAGTCGTCTCAAGGCACTTCCCTTAATAAACATTCCAATTCACAGTTCATTAAGCCAATCAGAAATAATGTTTCCTATATAAGGAACCCAGCAAATTGCATCAAGTCACTGACTAGTGTCAGTGACTATACTGACTAGTGTCAGTGACTATACAGCAATCCTCATACTAAGCAAGCATGCAGCGACAGTGGAGAGGAAAACTCCCTTTTAACAGGAAGAAACCTCCAGAGAATCCTGGCTCAGTATAAGCAGCCATCCTCCACGACTCACTGGGGATCGAGAAGACAGAGCAGGCAGACAAAGACACAGACACACACACACAGACACACACACACACACACACACACACACACACACACACACACACACACACACACACACACACACACACACACACACACAAGTAATGTGTCTATAGTTATATTGTGATGTCTTAGTAAATATTCTATTTGGCGAGAGATAAACTTTATTGTATTTATCCTAGTGGATCTATAATTAAACGGATAAACTAGTAGTAGCACATCAAAAGTCAATGAAAACAAAAAGTTATTATCAGGAGAGACAGAATGTATTAGTGGTTAGCAGCAGTGTGCTAGTCGATGGCCCCCTCCATGAGGCCACCACAGCTCAGCAGAACGTCATTGTAGCTTCTTCTGGGGAGAAAAACACTTACAGAGAAAATAAAGTTAACAGCTGAAATTGCACAAAATAGTACAGTTAAAGAGCAGACTGTAGAATAAAGCAGTAGAGTGTGAAAAGTGGTCAGTGTGTCCTCCAGCAGTCTAAGCCTATAGCAGCATAACTACAGAGTTAACTCTGGATAATCTATCCTATTTAGATGTAGGCATGTTGGAGGCAGGGCAAGGGAGAGCCGTCTTTACCGACTGTATACTCCACCTCCCTGTAATCCCCCACTTGTCCAGATTCAGGCTAACATCAGATTTTAACTATAGGCTCTACCAAATAAAAATGTTTTAAGCCTATTCTTAAAAGTAGACAAAGTGTCTGCCTCACGGACTAAAGCTGGGAGCTGGTTCCACAGGAGAGGAGCCTGATAACTAAAAGATCTGCCTCCCATCCTAAGTTTAGATATTCTTGGAACCACCAGTAGACCTGCAGTCTGAGAGCGAAGTGCTCGGTTAGGAACATATGGAACAATCAGATTACTGATGTATGATGGACCTTGATTATTAAGAGCTTTATATGTGAGAAGAAGGATCTTAAAATCTATTCTGAATTTAACAGGTAGCCAATGTAGGGAAGCTAAGACAGGAGGGATATGATCTCTCTTTTTAATTCTCATCAGAACTCTAGCTGCAGCATTTTGGACAAGCTGAAGACTTTTAACTACATTCTGTGGACTTCCTGAGAGTAATGAATTACAGTAATCCAGTCTTGATGTAATAAATGCATGAACTAGTTTTTCAGCATCACTCCTGGAAAGTATGCTTCTAATCTTAGCAATATTCCGAAGGTGGAAAAAGGAAATCCGACAAACTTGTGAAACCTGGGATTTGAATGACATGTCCTGGTCAAAGATAACACCAAGGTTCCTTGCTTTGTTCTCGGAGATTAATGTAATGCCATTCAGGTCAGGCGATTGGCTAAGCAATTTCCTTTTCTGGATTTCTGGTCCAAAGATGAGAACTTCCGTCTTGTCTTGATTTAAAAGCAAGAAGTTAAGAGTCATTCAATTTTTTATGTCCTCAAGACAAGCCTGTAATCTACCCAACCGATTAGGTTCATCAGGGTTAATGGATAAATATAACTGAGTATCGTCAGCATAACAGTGGAAGTTTATCCCATGCTGTCTAATGATTTTACCAATTGGGAGCATATATATAGTAAAAAGAATTGGTCCAAGCACTGAACCCTGTGGTACTCCTCAAGTAACCCTGGAGTATGAAGAAGATTTGTCATGTACATTTACAAAATGAAATCTGTCAGACAAGTAGGATTTAAACCAGCCTAACGCTGTTCCTTTGATCCCTACAACATGATCAAGTCTTTCTAAAAGAACATTGTGATCAACTGTGTCAAAGGCAGCACTGAGATCTAACAAGACTAGAACAGACACAAGATTCTTATCTGAGGCCATGAGAATATCATTTGTAACTCTCACTAATGCAGTTTCAGTGCTGTGATACTCTCTAAAACCAGACTGAAATTCCTCAAACAGAGCATTAGTGTTTAAATGCTCACATACTTGGATGGCCACTATTTTCTCCAGGACTTTGGATAAAAATGGAAGGTTAGATATTGGTCTATAATTCATTGGGTCATCTGGATCCAGAGAAGGCTTCTTAAGTGAAGGTTTGATTACAGCCACCTTAAAATCTTGTGGTACATACCCATTTACTAAGGATAGATTGATTATATCTAGAATGGGGGCAGTAACCAAAGGAAATGCATCTTTAAATAATTTGGTTGGGATTGGATCCAAAATGCAAGTTGAAGGTTTAGATGAAGCTAATATTTTTGATAACTCTGAAAGCTCAACTGGATCAAAACGGTTCAAGCACAGATGAGGTTTTAGAGTCACCTCTGAAGCTGCCTCACTTACTGAGGAAGAAGAAATCGCATTAGGGAGGATGCTAAAGATTTTGTTTCTAATAGAATTAATTTTACTTGTAAAAAATCTCATGAAGTCATTGCTGCTGAGGGCTAAGGGAATGGATGGCTCAGAGCTATGATTCTGTGTAAGTTTAGCAACTGTACTGAAAAGAAATTTAGGATTATGCTTATTCTCCTCAATTAATGCTGAAAAATAAGCAGTTCTAGTTTGTTGAAGCTTATTTTTATAAAGCACAAGACTATTTTTCCAGGACAGGTAGGCCTCCTCATGGTGCGTAGAGCGCCATGTTCTCTCCAATTTCCTAGAGTTTTGTTTTAAGGCTCGTAGATGAGAGTTAAACCAGGGAGCCAACTTCCTGTCCCTAATTACCTTCTTTTTTAAAGGGGCAACATCATCTAATGCCACACGTAAAGAGGAATTCACATGATGAACTAAGGCATCAATTTGTGAGGGTCTAGAACTGAAAATATTGCCCTCTGCTATATGCCTCTGAGATGCTGAGGACAGTAAAGATGGAACAGTTGATTTAAAAGACGCAACTGCGTTGTCAGATAGAGACCGACTATAATGAAATTTACTTTCATGTCTCGAGAACTCAGTTATAAAAAACTCAAAGGTTATCAGAAAGTGGTCCGAGAGGACTGAATTATGTGGAAAGATTGTTATTTCCTCACACTCAATGCCATAAGTCAGAACAAGGTCCAATGTATGATGGCAGTTGGAAAAATGTTACCCGAAATGCCTCATTTTGGTGTTCGTCGCCCCTTGGCGATTGTTGCTAGTAAATGCTTTGTTTAAAAAAAATAAAACTACATTCGGCCACCCATTTCCGGGTATTTTTTTTTACTCTGCCTCTGTCGTCTCGGTGACGCAGTACGTACTGACGTTCACCATACCGTCAGCCTGCGTGATAACAATAAACAACCCTGAACAGAGATATGCACCAACAGGATCTCTCGCTGTAATTCGATAGAAACGAAAATGAGCCGAAACAGCAGCCGTCGGCTGGAGTAACTCTTCCTCACGTAGCACAAGAGGCACTTCCGTCCTGACACTAAGGATTTTCTAGTTTCTGTGGAGGAGAACTAGAGTTACGGTGAACTCCGCGCGTAGCCCTCTAGCTAGCCGCGGCTCATTCCTTGTTTTTGCACACTTTGTTCCAGCCTGTTATGCAGTTACCAGAGGACTGTCATCGCTTTCGGTCTCCTCAGCCTCCTCTTCGCTCCCTCTCCCCGCTTTCTCTGGCCCCATGTCTCGCTGGCTTTTCCCCTGGTCAGGCTCAATTAAGAAACGGGCCTGTCGCTACCTTTTACAGCACTACCTGGGTCACTTTTTGCAGGAGCGACTGAGCCTGGACCAGCTGGGTTTAGACTTGTACAACGGCAGCGGGATCATCAAGGAAATCAACCTCGATGTGTGGGTGAGTTTTTGAAATCAGTTTGCGCCAAAGCAGCAGTCATCTGGTGTTATGGTGGGAACACTTGTTTCGCAACTGCACTCGAGTTCAACAACAACAATCTCCAACGTCATGATTTTAGCCTGGCTCGCGTTTCTTGTCCGAGACACACTCGGGAGAAACACTTCCCTTCCCTCTGAATCAGGTATTTAATTAGATGCATTCCCCGCTGCTAAACTTGGGACACTTAATTTCAGAGTCGTTCTTGATTGTTCCCATCACTGATCATACGGCCTCTGCGCTCCTCTGGCAGGCGTCTCCTGGTCATCCCTAAAGTCAGGACGCACACTCACGGCGAGGCGTCCTTCCAGTGTTATGGCCCTCGCCTCTGGAACGAGCTGCCAGAGGACCTCAGGGCCGCAGAGAACGTTCTTGTTTTCAAGTCCAGGCTCAAGACCCACCTATTTAGGTTAGCTTTTATCTAAATATTTACTACAGTTGTCTAAGGAGCTTTGAAAGAAAAGCGTCTGGAAAAGCTCCTACAATGACCTGGATGACTGAGAACCTTCACAGACATTTACTACAGTTTTATTTCTCGTTTTACATGATTATATTTTATTGCTTGCTTTGCATGTTTTATATGATCATATTTTAGTACAGTTTTATTATTTAATATTATTATTTTGCTGTCTATATGATTTTATTTATTACTTATTTTCTAACTTTTGTCATTTATATTAGCTTTTTTTATTATATTTTTACTCATTTTAATCCAGTGTTTCCTCTGTAGGGGCCCTCTGCCCCGGGAGCGGTGGTCGACTGTAGCTTCCTGGGCGCTCTATAGGTGGGGGTCTATGCTCCCCCTCCACTGAGCACCCTGATTTAGTGTGGAAGACCTGATGCTGCCGGGGCAGATGGCTCCTCTGATGGCGTTTCCTTGCCTTACCTTACTTGGCTCATCTGGACTCATCCAAATATAATTTTTACTTGTGTGTGTGTGCGTGTGCTTGCATATGTCTGTTAATGTTTTTAACCTGTTATGGAAATCTGGGGTCATTTTGTAAAGCACTTTGTTTGAAAAGCACTTTGTAAATAAATCTGATTGATTGATTACTCTTTGTCTGACTTTTGCAGGCAGTCAACGAGCTCCTGGAGTCTCTTGGAGCTCCCCTTGAGATAGTGGATGGCTTTGTGGAGAGCATCAAGGTGACCATCCCCTGGCAAGCTCTCCTGAGTGATCATTGCACCTTAGAAGTTTCTGGTCTTCAGATAACATGTCAACCCAAGTACAGAACCAGTAAGTTGATTCAGAAACACCAGCTTCCTCTGCATTTCCTGTTCAAGCATCGCCCAGATCGAAGCAACATTTGCCTACCACTGTGATTTATAGTTTTTGTTACTTTAGCTGTCTAAACCTGTTCACATGATATTACTCTGCTGTTTAATTAGGAAGAATCAAAGAACGATATAAAATGTGCAACGCATTACAATCCATCACATATTATGCTTTGTTCAAAACAGCAATACTCTTTAAAAATTTTGTTTTTAAATAGGCTATGTAAGATGTCAGTAGGGCTGCAACAAACGATTATTTGGATAATCGATTAATCGGATGGGGTCTCGACACGATTAATCGATTAATCGGATTACATGGGGAAATTTTTAAAAACTGCTAGGGAAACGTTATTTCTCTCCTTCCTTCACTTTATTTAACACAACATTATTAGAAAACAGTTCAATAGCAGAAAAACAACATGCCATCACCTAAATTGTCTTATAAGGTGTATAGACAGAGACCCTAAGCTACATCTATCTGTGACCTAAAATGCTTGGTCCAAGTTAAACAGCTTAAGGGCAATTCTCATCTGTTTTGTTTGATCTCATCTGTTGACATATATTTTAAATGTAATTAAACATAGGCTGTGAATTAATCAAAATTGATCACTATTTCCAAAAATGACTGAAAAAATACCAAATAAAACAAAAGTAAATGAATGCCATCCTCCTTGCGATGATGCCCTGGGCAACTGCCATAAAGTCACATCAAGAAATGCTGCTGATCATTCCAATGATCCCAAATAGACTCACATTAGGCCACATGAAAGCAACTGAACCCAAAAATATATTAACCAGTATATAACTGCACTCTCACACAACACGCCTGCAGCAACAGTTAGGACTCCTCCCTCCCTTTTAAAAGCGTTTTTGCTTCTGAGGACATTGTGGTTGTAAAACCACATGCTAGTAGTATGGCCCCGGTGTGATCAACCAGTTTCTGCGGGAATGTGACGGCGGAACCAGGGCCAGATTAACACTTTGTTGTACCCTGGGCAACAATATTCAAGGGCTCCATCATCACGACCCAAGGATCACCATAATGTGGTCACATACAGAATATTTTACTGTAATATGCAGTAAATATACTCAATACTTGAATGCCTGACAACACGTAACCCGCCCAGAGTAACCTTTGACCCACCTCGTGTGGACTGACCAGTGAGGAGAGGGTCTTAACTTGAGGCCCTCTCTTCATTGGTCATTCTGCATGAGACTGACTCTCAACTGACGTTCAGTCGTAGGCAGCGAAGCGTCTCTGTGCAGTGCAAAAGCCCGGGTGGACACTTTGTTTAATGTAGGGTGACCATATTTCCATTTCCAAACAAGAGGACAGGGGATCTGTGCCTATGACGTCACACTATGGCAACGCCACACAAACCATGTTGGGACCCATTTTTTGTAAGAACTAAATTAATATCAGATTCTGCCAATTAAAGGGCTCTAAAACAATTCATATATAAATATTTAGCATATTTAATGCAAAATCAAATTTTTCTGCTTTAGTTCTGCAACAAGGTTTTATTAATAATAAATTATTATACCTTTTGTTTTACTACAGCATCGGTACGCTTCCTGTGCAGATTATTAACGATGCTTGTTTCAGCTGTGAGATTAGACGATAGGATCAATGAAAAAATAACTAGTCACACACTCCATGGAAACTTTCAGAGAATCCACAAATAGTGGCTTTCAAATGGTTTTGTTACTTTTTGCAAGTTTATAAAAGAAGCAGATGAGACAGCATGTCTGATAATTTAGTTTTTCATCTGATAATATTAGAACATGTCAGTAATGTCTGAGGGGCTTTTATAAACACCATATAACTAACACTACTGGAGAGGGCATGAATTACACAGAGGCTTCTGGGGAGCCCAGTTATTGGGGGGGGGGGGGGGGGTCATTTTGCCTTGGCCCCCAAAATGTCTTGAAACGGCCCTGGGTGTGTGACTGAGTTTTGAAGGTGATCTGAATTGTATCAGATGTATAAATATGACATGTGTATAACTTATTGTTTTTTATAGGTAAAAACGTGTAGTGGTGATAAATCTACCTACATTTTACTTTTCAACACTTTGTTTTCAGCGCTTTGTTTCACTTTCAGCGCTTTGGGCTTCCTGACAGGGTTGCGGAAGGCGCTTTATAAATAAAGCTTTGATTGATTGATTGATTGATTGATTGATTTTTTGTTTTTATTGAACTATTTTCCTGTCCTGTCTGTCTCTCATCTTCCTGCATCTCCTCTTAATTCTCCAGAAAATCTGTTGCCTGGATTCTTACCTTTTCACCTCATCAGTTACTTTTGAGCAGATCAAAGGGATCTCCTGACCGAAAAGCGCAGAGCGCGTTTTCGATGCTGCGTGAGGTGACATCACCACAGCACAGGTGATGAGCTCCGCAGTAGCGAGCTTCAGGCACAAATAAGACAGAAAATAGAGAAGATGTGCAGACAAGAACGATCGTGTGCTAATTATAGTTTTTTGGTTGCGCCACTTTGAGAATGGACCGTGCGCTGGAAGCAGCTGCCTGGATCGCTGTGCAACAATGCGGAACCGGTTCGCAGCAGCGCAAGTCTGCAGGCTCTCCCTCGCGCTGATCTGCCGCTACCGGCTCTCCCTCACGCTGATCTGCGGCTCTCCCTTGCGCTGATCTGCGGCTACCGGCTCTCCCTCACGCTGATCTGCGGCTCTCCCTTGCGCTGATCTGCGGCTCTCCCTCGCGCTGATCTGCCGGCTCTCCCTCGCGCTGATCTCCCGGCTCTCCCTCGTGCTGATCTGCCGGCTCTCACTCGCGCTGATCTGCGGCTCTCCCTCCCGCTGATCTGCGGCTCTCCCTCGCGCTGATCTGACTTGCTCTGGTCTGCGCGCAATGGCGGGCGGGATTCGGGAAGGGGGGGGGGGGGGGGGCGCTTTTGGAAGAGTTGTGCGACACAACGAATCGATGACGCAATTCGTTGCCAACGCTTTTAGTAATCGATTTTCATCGAATTTATCGATTCGTTGTTGCAGCCCTAGATGTCAGTTTTCCCATCTGTTACTATGCCCAAAAACCTGACCTCAGACACTCACTAACGACCATTTCATCCATTATACTTTCTGATGAAGCTTTTAAATCATCTCCCAAACGAAAAAGAGTCAAACTGTAACAACTTTGACGCACTGACAATATCCTTAATGTACAAACTTAAAAGTTTAGGGCCCAACAATGACCCTTGTGGGACTCCACTTCTAATCTTCATGCGATCAGATATCTTACCAGAAAACTGTAGATATTGTTGTCCGTTATCCAACAAACTACTTAACCACCCTCTAGCACCATATGCGTGCAAATTAGAGGTTAAAATAGAATGGTCTATGGTATTCAAATATATATTATTTCTATCCCACTTGACACGCCTATATCATTTCTGCCATGCTCTTCCTATAGTATCTCTGCGCCCTTTGGACATACCTATGTTATTTATGCCCTCTATGCACACACCTATATTATTCCTGTCCCCTGTGCCTATATCATTAATGCCATGCCCTGCCACCATCATCATAAGTAAAATACAAACCATGAAAGAATAATGTGATTACACAGAAATTGCTCCTCCGGAAAGCTTTTAATTTAGCAAAGAAGTAAGTCCTCCTGCACCGTGTTAATAAAAGGGCATAACAACCATGTGATTCAAAACCCAGCAAAGTTATTTGTAAAAAGGTGGGTTCATACTGATAGATAAGCAAGTGGAGGAATCATGAAGCTTATAGAGAAACTGGGTTGGATCACCTTTAACGATCCTGGTGTAATGAGGATAGTCAGCAGGAAGAAAATCATCAAAAACCAACAGAAAAACAAATACACACATAGTATTTGCTGTTTAATGTATCAGGTGTAACATAATCAACAGATGTTGCATGATTCCAGTTTAAGAATAAATTAGTCACGGAGGTGTGTGTGAATCTAAACCAGGCATCTACTGGAACATGTGCCAGCTGACGTGCGTATGTGCAGACTGTGCCCGTTCCTGCTGAGTGTGGTGATGTGGTAATGATGCGGTCCCTGTGTTTACACAAATCCAACGTTTCAGACTGATAACAGACGTTGAAGGTAAATAAGTGACGGCTGTGTCAGTCGCCAGTCGTGCTTTTTTTCACCCACTAAAAGCAAAACTGAAAGGAGAATGAAACAAAAGCCGAAAAAGTGACAACGCTTACCGAGACCTTTTTAGATGTCTATAGAAGTCATGAAACCCAGTGTGGTGGTGTTTTCTTTCAGATGGGGGTTGGGACTCACAAGGTTGGTCGTCCAGCATGACCTCCAGCATGCAGCTGGCTAAGGAGTGCCTAAAAGACCCTCCAGAGGCGTCCGAGGAGCCGCCTGCTCCACTGGAGGGCCTTGAGATGTTTGCACAGACTATTGAGACGGGTGAGCAAACTTGAGGTGTCTTCTCTTTGTAAAATCCCATCTCAACTGTGACTGTTAACAGTGCATTTATCATCATTGTCCACAGATTTACATTAGATCTTTTTCAGTTTATCAGGACTTTGATGCATTAAATCATGCTCCTCAGCTGACTCTACATGAGACATACGTTCTAACAACCATCTTTTTTTTTTACTTTGTCCCGTGTTTTATCTGTTTTTGCAGTTCTTCGTCGTATCAAAGTCACTTTTCTAGACACTATCGTCCGCATTGAGCACCATCCTCCAGAGCTGAGAACAGGTGTTGCCTTAGAAGTGCACATCAAACGGTAAATTCTCCTTTCCTCTCAAAGTCCTGTTGAATAAAGTGAGCTGTAAGGAGAAAAACACGACTTTTTTATTGTCTGTTTATGATCATTTTTATTACTACAGTAAATCTAGCACCACACATTACTTGAGCTAGTTTTTGTTGCTGAAATTTGAAAAGAGTGCTGTTCCACATTTGTGGGCCTGTAGAGAACCTAAAGGCCACTTTTAAGTTTTTATGACCGCAGTTTACTTATAGAAAACCGTTCTTTATTTGCTTTTTGATGGTTTTCTGCTCTGTAGCATAATGACCTGCATAGCTTCAAGTCTCTTATATCGTGTCTGTGTAATGTGCATAATCGCAACAAAATACACACGTTCTTCTTTTACATTTAAAACGTTTTACGGGTTACTGAAATGTAAATAAATACTTTTCTCTTAATTTCTACAAATATTGCCTCTTTTCACTGTGGTCAGCATATAAACTACTTGTGACCCGGCTGGGTGCTCTTGCTCACCCACTGGGGTGTAACGTGATCATTATCTCATAGCGTAACAGATTAATATCTAATTTTTTTTGTGCAGTACTCAGTTTTTATTTCATGAGGTTTTCATAGTTAGTTCAAAGAGCCAGGCTGGTTTTCCTGATTCTGCCATTTACGTACAAGTGTTTGTTCGTAGACTGATGTGATTCGCACATCCGAGTAACTTGCAGGTTTTACTGCGCAATCAGAGCGAGGCTGGAGACTTCCTGGTCATTTTTGTTCTGCTTTTTACCAAATTTGTTGTTGCAGCCTCGAGGACAGCTGGAGGTATTGCATAGATCTGAGAATGTGGTTTTAGCTCTTTAGTTTACTGGTTTTTTACTGGTTATTTGTGTCACACTGGTATTTGTGTTACAGTCAAAGGAGAGTAAATTCCAGAGCTTTGGAAAAGTAGCAACTCATAACACAAATAATTATAACATGTCCTTTCTAGACACACAAACTAGGGATGCACCGATACGATACTGGTATCTGTATCGGCACCGATACCCATACCAATACCAGTATCGGTATCGGTAAAAGTTAACCAATACCAGGAACCGATACCAATGCAGTTGGTTGAAAATGGCTTCACTGTAACTTGTCATTTCTGTTCACCTAATATTTTAGTTTTGTGATGATTTCCATTCATATATTTTATTTTTTATCTACCTCCCAGTCTTTTCCTGTTGAAAACAGAGAAGAAAATTAAATCTGTATTCCAAATCATTGCATTTTTTTGTGTGGTAGAAGTATCGGTATTGGTAATCGGTATCGGCTAGTACTCAGATCCAGGTATCGGTATCGTATCGGTTTGTAAAAAAGTGGTATCGTTGCATCCCTAACACAAACCTGTTGTCCTTGTGTCCCACGTGTCTTTTTACTGTTGGCGTGCCATGGTTACAGTGCTGAACCCTCTGTCCTCCTGCTTTCTTTACAAAGCTGCTGAGATCTGAGATCAGTGACCTACAGCATTAGCAGGTTGATTGATCTGACTCCACCTGTCACATCATAATAGTCAGACCTGCCCACAGGGGACACCAGGAGCCACATTTACTGATCTATTACAATCTGTGTTTATTGTTAGTTTTATGATAAGCCACTTTGTTTGGACAGTGCAGATCAGGTAACATCACTTTGTTTAAAAATGACATTACTTTTTTTCCTCCCATGACCTAAAATCTTACCCCGTTTTACCACCAAAGTAAATGTTACAGTAACAAAGCAAAAGGTCTGACTGCACTCATTTTCAGGCTGGAGTATTTTGATGAAGCAGTGAGAGATCCATCCAGCCAGACTGCTGTGCCTGTTGACATCCACCAGCCCCCTGCCTTTCTGCACAAGATCCTGCAGCTGAGCGCAGTTCAGCTCTTCTGCGACGGCACTGGCATGGTACGGACGGTGGTCCTCACTCTGTTGTCAGTCATACTCCGTGCCTGTCTGATGTTCACTTAAAGAAACACACAGATTCCAACATGATCTACTCTAAGCTGATGGCATCATCCAAGATACCATCTGTTTGGATGTTTTATATTCCAGTATGTGTTTACTGGAACATCACGAGTACATTATGCAGGAGTTTGGAACGTGACCGGAAAAGACGTCTTAATGACTCTGTGCTTTAGTCACCCGCTCGTGAGCAGGATTGGGAGCTTTTGGTGTATATTTAAACAAAATAGATGATTTTGTAAACAGCAAATGATCACATTAACTGAATGTTGAAAGTTTGCTCTGACCTTTTTTGCAGGGTCCTCCTGAGGAGCAACATCAGAACCCTGCCATGGCCTGTGAAGGAGAGGAAGTGGAGGATGGTGATGAGGATGAAGCTGAGGACCCCAAGTCCTTGAAAACCAGCTCTAGTCCTCCATCTCAGCCGCTGCTCATAGGACGCTGCTCCGGTTTCATGGAAACCACCATCAAGATCAAACAGAACGACATGCTTCCTGGACCAAAGGTGTGTGCTGCTCTTTCTAAACTGCTAATAAAATAAAACCCCTCTCTGTTAATGACGTGTGTGTTCTCTTCTTTGCTCATTAGTTGGAGTTGGATGGGAAGGTGGGCTGTGTCCACTTGCTGCTGTCTCCGGATCAAATAACCCATCTGACGGACCTTCTGGCTGCCCTATGCATCGACACTGGTACAGCTTCAGTAGCTTCAAATCAAATCAAATCACTTTTATTGTCACGTGACATGTGCAGGTACACTGGTACAGTACATGCGAGTGAAATTCATTCATTTAACACTCAAAGAGCACAACAACAGTTTTAAGTGGTTTTTGTGGTCAGTTTTTGTTATTAAGTGTATTTGAATCCATTTAATTTCATTCAGGTGATTATGGTGCTTGGTTATGAAGGTTGGAATAAAACTGATTCAAACCAAACCGAATCTGGCTGTGCAGTTAAAAACAACGCTCTGGGACAATTCGTCTTTTCTTTTCAGATCATTGGGAATGTACTTTTCCTTGTACCCCCTTTTATGCTCATGATGAGTGGATCTTTTTTCTGAAGTTGTATCACAAAGTTTCATCAAACCTTCTACGTGCCTCAAATAAAGATAGATAAGGTACCAGCAAGCATTTTTGAAGCAGCACAGATAATAATCTCTTAACTGACCTATTAAAGGTAGGATGCTTGTTTCTGCTGCCTCTGGCTAAACAGCAAGGGCACATTTTAAATGGTTCATAAATGTCACATTTTCCACATGTTACCCTCCTATTCTGTTAGTTTTTCTGTTTGCTCCTCCTCAGAGCCAGAGACGACGTGTGGTGGCGGGAGCAGCCGTCCTTTGGACTCGGTCGACTTTCGGATGATTGAGGAAGACCTTGGTAAACAGCTGGGATCCAGTCCCAGGGAGAGGGAGTGGGAAACCAATCTGGACCTGGAGCCATATGTCACCAGTCTGGACAGCAGAGGTAAGCGGACCAGGACGGGGCCTTGTTGGTATTTATCTGCCTGAACTTTGTCTGTCTCCAACTAAAAAACAACCAAAAAGTCCAAGAAGTTCACTTAAATTTCTCATTCAAACTTATTTATAATTTAGTGTCAGCACTTTACACCACATTCAGTTGGAATAAAGCAAATATGTATTAAAAGAAAAACTATTTCTTTAAAGAGAAATATTTTCATTAGGGCAATATTTGATCTTATTTATCTTTTAAAATAACTAACATGGAAGCTTGGTTTACTTGTATCAGAAGAGGTCTTAACCATTAAAGTAACTCCTGCTGTTTTTTGTTTTTAATGAAGCGTGTGTGTACACTTTAATGTTGACCTTGTGACCGTGTGTGTTTGTGCAGAGATGTTTTACTCCATGGGTCCTGCTGGGATGAGCAGTAGTGTGACGTCTGTTCGCTCTGGCAGCGAGATGTCGGACAGCGACATGGAGTCGTCCACTCACAGCTTGACCGGCCTCACACAGCCGGCCGCTCTGTCTGCACAGGTACCGCCGGAGTCCGTGGGCACTACACTTTCAGCAAAACAGATAAACGATGTGGTTGTTGAGGTCAGAGATCCGTATGAATAATTAGTGAAACAAAAAGTGACTTTGGTTGTTTTATAATGTGTTCATTGCTTGGCTGAAATAACGACAGACATGTATGTAACTCATATAATGCTGTGATTTCCTTTCCAGGGCTTGGCGAACTGTCCCAGGAGATATCCTGTAGTCGGCTGCCTGCCGAGTCTGCCACAGTCAGGTCGGATCAGAGGTAAAATCAGCGCAGAGCAACTGAAGCCTGACGCTTTGATGAGAGTGACCATCGGCGGGCTCACGCTGACCCTGCTTGAAGAAAACCCACCCTTTAAGTCTGACGGAGCCTCGTCATTGGCTCAGGTGTCGCAGACGTTCTTTGAAAGGCTGGACTCCTTTAAGGACAGCATGTTCAGTGACAAAACCTTCAACAATTTGAGGGTCAGCTTCACCAAAGCCTGCCCACTATCCCATCTCAGGTAGAGTAGCACACATTTTACATCGTCCCTTTTAGTTGTAACTCACTCAGACTTCGCTTTACAACAGCCACAGTCAGAGGGGGAAAACGTCACACAAAGGTGAAAAAAATCATCTCACAATCGCAGATCCTAAAATATTTATTCTTTAGAATAGAATCATCATCCTGCAGTAGTTTTTCATCCTTCTCCTCCGTTGTGTTTATTAACAGAGCACGACGACATACTTAGAGGTTGCTCTATACTCGAGTATCGTCCCCATCGTCCATGTTTCTTCTCTTGTAGACTGACAGGAGCAGCAGTGCAGGTCGTGTGTGAGATGCGCAGTGGGAAACGCCGCGGTCAGACTGTGACCTCTGACCTTTCTTTCAGCAGACTGGAACTGCTAGAATGCCTCTGGGAGGATGAGAAGCCTCAGTACTGTGAGGTAGTTAACCTAGCTTGTGACAGTAGTAACAGCTTAATCACTTGTGCATCAAACCTGTCTGCGCCACGCGTTCGGGGCTGTCCATCGTGTGTTTGTGTTCTTAAATTTGCTCAACAGTCAGAAGCAGGTTTGTGTAACGAGGCATCTCTTTTTGTGTCTCGTTCCAGTTACTGCAGTTCCACAAGTCTGGTGTGTTTACAGCTGGAGCTGTAGCCAGACCGTGTGCTCAGCTACACTACAGCCTCACCGAAAAACTCCTGCGTAAGGTATGCTCACACACACGCGCGCACACACACACACACGCACACACAGTCTTATCTAAAATAAATAGTATTTGTTCATATGTTGAGGTTTTTTGTATTCCAGTGTACAAAACACGTTGAACCCAATAACAAATTATTTTTATAGATTGTCTTGAACTTTTCACACTGCTGTAACTCTGGGTCTGAGGTAAGACGCATACAGAAGTGTGTTTAACATTTGATCATATAATACAACAAATCATCATGTAGCCTGTAGCTAAAGGGATTCCAGCTTGTTCTTTGTTTTGGTTTAGGGCTAGAGGGCGACTCCCTTTCTGGGTATCATCTATAAAATATAAATTTTCAGAATTTACAAGTTTTCTGCGCAGCTTTGAGCATACGTACTTAGTAAAGGGACTTATACTCTTCAGTAAGTGTAGGAGTGTTCTCAATAACAGAAATGATCAGGGCCAACTGAAAGAAGGACTCTTCGGGGCAAACTGAGGCCTAGTCCACATGTAGCCGTTTTTTTTTTTTTTTAAACGAATATCCGCCCCTCCAAAAGCTTGCATCCACACCACCTCGATAAAAAAAAACTGTAGGCGGCAGTACTTCCCCCGTTCTTAACCTCGTCCTTTGTCTGTGGTCTTCCGCAAGGAGCAGTAATTCCGCTTGCAAAAACAAACGAGCAAACAGCGCTCGGACAATTGATAAAGCGAGCGCAGCTCTGAGGGCATCCTTGCTGTCGGCCAGTGTAAACACAGGTCGCACACCTGATGTCAGCATTTTTTTGTCGCGGAAAGTGACGTTGCGGTCCTTAAAACTCCAGTTTGTCCGTCCACACGCAGACACCCAAAACGGAGAAAACGCAGATCTTCACTTTGGCCGGAGTTTTTAAAAAGATCCGTTTTCGTGTGAAAAAACTCCGTTTTCGTGTGGATGACAGGCCAAAACGTAGAAAAATATCTACGTTTTGGCAGATCCCCGGCTACGTGTGGACAGGGCCTGAGACGCAAACAAAAATCATTTTCCACCTGTCAGATTTTAGGTCTGCAGGGTTCCTCCTCGTGAATCTCCTTCAGGTCGAGGGCCTTGTTCAAACGATACAAAGGTCATGAGCCTTGAAAAAAGTAGCCCCGCCCCGCCCCCATCCCAGACACCTTACCTATTCTTGGCACCTTCCACTCGTTGGACAGTTATCACACGGTCCATGTGAGAGACTCGCTGGTCTGATTCTACTGAACAACAGCTGGTGTTTAGACTACTCTGGTGTGCTTGTGGCAGAGAGCGAACAAACAGTTCGACCTCATGGTATGATTAAAGCTGAAGGCCAGTGGCACAGGTCAGCATTCTGAAATTACACTAATTATCAAACGAACCTATGAAAAAAAGACATTCACTAAACCTGATTTCCTAGCCTGACACAAACGGGATGGTGGGGTGTCTGAATTATCCACTTTAATCCACACCCCCCCTAAATTAACCAGAAGGTATTTTAAAATTTTTGTTCCTTAACATTGTTGGATTATCAGTGATCAAAGAGTCTGCCGACCAGTCACAATTCCTTTATTGCAAGTTTTTGTTTCAGGGTGTTGCATTTTAAAGACGACCCCTAAACACGATCCCGAATGACAGGGGTTGGCAACTCCTTTCCCCGAGGGCCGCTATCTAGCATGTTTTAGTGGTTTCCCTGCTCAAACACGCTTGATTTTGATCAGCAGGTGTGGATTTTGACGAGCTGCAGGTGATTCAACTGTGTGGAAGCAGGAAAATAACTAAAACAAAATAACAATAAATAGTTTATACAGACTACAAACGGACATTTCCTGCAGCTGTCCTTGCCTCATTGGTTACAACAAATTCCTCTTAGTGGCTGTAATGATTTTAGCAGCATATTTCCCATTGCAGCAGCCAGCTGCTGTTACATTATTTTTTGGGTGACTGGGTGAATGTTGAGGAAGAAACATCAGATAAAATGTAAAACACTCCTGAGTTTACACAGAGTCTGAAGTTGGACGTATAGATTTATTAATTATTTCCAAGCAGCCTTTTGCAGTTTTTAGAGATGTGTACGGATAAATCCATTTGTTCTTATAGTTTTCTGTGCCGGCAGGGTAAACGGCGCGTGTTGCGGCGGGACAGCGTTGTACAAGTGGAGCTGGCAGAGCTCAGCGCTGAGATGGACCTGGACATCCTGAGTCGCCTGGGAAGCCTCAGCAGAGCCTTCAGCCCCGGTTCATCCCACAGCTCTGGAGCTGGACTCACACAGGTGGGACCTTTAGGGTACTTCCAAAGCTGAAATACAAATACATGCAGAACTAACTTCATTAATGAAGATATGGTAATGTGTCAGATATGACCAATCGGCATATGTGAAGGTGCCTCTTTTCTCATCATGACGGCGTACATTTACAGTCAGGACCGCACACAGGTTCAGAACAGGAGCCCGTCTCTGTCATATAACAGACGGCCCCTCAGAATTCACATGATATCGTTTTTGTCTTATGCAAGCGTGTGGTTTTGCAGCCTCTGGCCAAATCCAGCAGGAAATGGCCTCGAAACGTGATCCTGTCACATCTGACTGATCCAATTTGTGCTGATGGAAACAAAAGTGTTTGGGTTAAGAGTGAATCAGCACTTCTTCTGTACTCTTTAGACTGAGCTAGAGCTGTCCAGGTTCTTTAATAAACCACACAAATGTGTGTGATAATTACAGGCGTGTTAAAGTTTGAATAAACTCTTTATTTTAAGTATGACTGACCCTGTTGGAACATACGTAGTAAATATATTCTCACTTTCCTCCCAGACCCAGAGCAGTGAGCTGAGCTCTTCCTTCACCCTGCGCTCCCCCAACGCCGTAGTCCGACTCCGTTTTCCCATCCCGGACCTGCGTCCCCTTCCTAAACGTCGACCGCCGACCCAGAAAGCAGTGAGGGAGGAGACGTTGGTGCTGGAGCTGATGGAGCTGGAGCTGAAGCACCAGGAAGCCCCGGACCTCCAGAACGAGCGGGCCGCCCCCGGACAGCCCTGGGGTCCCTGTCTCACCCAGCTGCTGGAGGCCTCCTTCACCGACATGCACGGTGGGAGCAGCACCAGATAGTCACTGTTGTGTGATTATAATCCAAGTTTAAAATAACAGATAACTGTTACTTTACATTAAAAATTCTGATAGGAAACAGACTATCTCTTAATTATTTTTCCCTTGAGTTGTAAGAATGAGATGTGTTCCTACGTGTTTCTCACCAGGGTCATACGAGGGCTGGGACGGAGGCTCCTTCCCCTGCATCAGAGTGAAGAGAAACCACGACTCCCTGCCAAGGTTAGCCCCGTGATGCTGAAAATAATGGCCCGAGTGAAGCAACACAGCAAAATATTTATATTTTTTCTGATCTTTTTTCCCAAGTTTGCCATAAACCGTGTTCTAGCTGCGATGGAGGTTAAATCCGATTGAGACACACATGAGAGTGGGTCACAGATGACCGGCTTAGTTTCATGTCATGAATCAGATTTACCGACAATATTTTTTCACTTGTTTTTAGTGCGGAAAAGCTATTACCCTTGTGCTTTATGAGACTCTAGTTAAAGCAGTCGGTAAATCACTTTTGTGGCTGATTGATTTACTCCTAAAGACATGGACTGATGACTCCTACCATCTCAGAAACCTTAGGAACAGACCGTAACGTAATACGGGTTTAAAAGATGTTCCTCGCTGATATTCGTCTACAAACAAACCAAATCTGAATAACATGTCATCATCTGGATGTGGAATGTAAGATTCCTGTTTCCTTTTAGGATTTCGTTGCCAGTAAAATACGAATAAAGTTCTGGGAAACATTCAAGATGACATCCTGGGATTTGCTGAGCTCTAAGTCAGCGTTAACTTTCTGAGTGTGTCTTTAGGATATGTGTTCGTGTGCGTGGAGGTGAAGCTCAGTGCCCATCAGCAGGTCTGAGTGGGATGAACCTGGGCCTCGTGAGGGACCTGGGGACCACCTTTGAAAGTCACTGTGAATTCAACGAGAAACCCAGCTCTCCCTTTTCTTCAAATCGCACCATGTTTGAGACCGAGGAGGTGAGCTCGCTGCCTGTGGAGAAATCTGATCATGAGATCTCGGCTCTAACCGTTCTTCCTCCCGACTGATTCAGATGGTGATTCCAGCCGACCAAGAGGAGATGCTTCAGTTTCAGGAGCAGTGTGTGGCTCGGTGTCAGTGTGCAGTGGACATCAGCTTACCGCTGGCCTACATCCTCCTGCCCAGCAAACAGGCTTTCCAGAGCATCTACAACAGGTTTGTGAAGACCATCAGAAGATCTGCTCTCATCTCATTAATCACTTCCACTTGTAGCTCGTTTCCTTTAACTCTTTATGTTGGCCTTAAATCATAATTAAGAAATAATTGTAGTTTTCCGCCCCTTCATCCAAAAGGATCAATAACGATCTTTTGATGTGGGAGCCGCCTCCCCCTCCTCCCCCCTCAGCCCACAGCCCCGAGCAGAGCCGCCAGAGCCACGACGAGTTCCAGCTGTGCAAGTCGGCCTTCAGACTGGGTGAGCTTGACTGCTCTGATGGAAAAAATGTAATCGTGGTTTTAGATTTATTATGCAAAATCAACTCGCTCTGCGTCAAAATGGCTAATGCTGGCTTTTGTGTTGATTTTGGATTCAAATGTTGGCTTGAAGGCTGAATGAGATGATACAGAACTTCTGACTCTGCCGTAGACTCCGATTCAGAGGAGGACGAGCCTCAGTTTTACTTGGCCAATGAATCATCTGGAAGGATGCAGCAGTCAGCTCCTCAACCCAGCCACAACCTCAGCCTCCTTTCCCTCACTGTGATTATCGAGAAGGGGCGCCTCCATGCCAGAACTGACAGGAAGGTGAGCCAGCGGGATGATGAATTAAACCAAGGGGCACTGATGAGTTTAACGGGATCCACTTTTCTTTAAGGGTTCAGCCGTTACATTTTATTCCTGCTTTCAAAACCTAATCGTTCTCATTTCAGTTTGATAAATGAACGCAATCACCTTTTACATCCGTTTTAAGCTAACCATCAATTTATGTTGAGGCCTTATGGAGTTATAGCTGTTGTGGTTGGACCTTGAAAGTGATATGATGCACAGGCACATGCAGTATCAGAAGGTCTTATGCAAGCTGTTAGCATTTGGGGTGATGTGAGTGAGACCAGCTTCTTCCATGTGAAGTTTTAGCTCATCATCTGCCAAACTGACTGAGACCCTATACACACGTAGCCGGTATGCCGCAGAGCAAGAATCTTTGTCTACTGTTCGGCCTGTCATCCACATGAAAGTGAAGATAAACAGCACTAAAAACAGTTATTTCAAAAACTCCGACCAGGGTGGAGATTTTTATATTCCCAACTGTCAGGATTTGCTTGTGGATGTAAATCACCGAGGTTTTGGGGTTTGCAACATCACTGTCCATGACAACAAGGCCCTGGCATCACGTGTGACCTGTGGCTTTTATGTTTTACAAGCTCAATCACTGCTCTATGTAGAAGTCTACAGGTGAAGGACGATGGTAAGGACGGTTATTGCCCACCACCGAGATATTCCACACCCAAGGACTGTTTTTTGGGAAAGACGTTGACGATTTGGGGAACTGCTGCCACCTACAGGCTTGGGATGCTTATGAATGTGCTACAGGCGCTTGATTTTTTTCTGCTGAAAATGAGGTGGCGTGGTGGACCCACATGTTTTCCTTTGATGGGCGGGGTTCGGTTACCCGACTACTTGTGTACATGGCCTTAGTTTAGCCATTATTTTGTGTTTGCCATGTTGATTAGCTGTCATCTTGAATTTTTTTAAGTTTATCGATTGTACATCCAATGAATTCTGAATTTGTCATTAAAATCCATTCAGTGGTGCATGAGGTAATTTGCTAACAGACACACACAGGTATTATTGTCTGCGTTTGGATTTTCAGTGGTGGAGGAATAACTTCCAAATGTGCAATAGCAACAAAATGTTGCTAAACAAAATTTTATCATAAAAAAAAATCACATGTGCTCAAATCTGCTTTATACGTCGTCTTTATCCATTTGAATGTAGACAGGTTGTTGATTTAAATAATCTCATTCTGGAGTTTAAATATGCTGGGTTGTTCATTCTTGTTCTTAATTTCAATGCAATCTTTCTTTATTACTTAAATGTCACGACGCTGGCCTCAGGAGGACCAAACTTACGGAGAGATCGTGCTGGACCTTGAAGGGGGGAAGATTTTCAGTGTGGCGCAACATCAAAATGACCCCAATCTCAGTTTCCTGTGTCTGGAGAGCAAACGAGTGGAGCTGTACCATCAAGGTGCACATTTTGTTATAATTAACAAACATTTCATGTTACATAATGCAAATTTTGTTCTTGGCTGATTAATTAGAAACGTTTGTTGTTTAAATGTCCAGCTGTGGTGAAGAACACCCCCATCCCTGAGCGGTTGGACATGCCTAGCTTCTCTCCCCCGAAGCACTTGGACCCCACCATCTACCCCACAGAGGTGGGGGTGAGCAGTGTGAGTGGGAGGGAGGGGCAGTCACAGATGTTGTCCACAGCCATCAAAATCACTCTGGACCTGGATAGAAACGTCAAGGTTTGTCCTCCACATGTCGGTCCCCGACTAATGCCACAGCTACAAGCTTGTTGCTGACCATAGTTTGTCTTTCTAGGAGTTCTTAGTGGCTCTTCAGCTCCAAGGTGCCACCATACAGCATTACATGACTCAGAGCAACCAGAGCTGGCACGAGCAGGTGAGGAACAAAACCCTTTCCTCGTGGTGCAGGGAGAAACCGTTCCCTTAGCTTACTGACGCTGATGAAGCTAATTCATGCTAAATGGAAACAGACTGATCCAGGGTCAGTTGTAATTGGTCTGTGGTATGTGTTATTTAGCCCCTCAGACCTACATAATAGCCGCTGCCAACAAAAGCCTTCCTGCTGGAGATAGTAAGCATCTAATTACTTTTGTAAAAAGTAAAACTTAATGCAATGTGACAGTTTTCTAAACCATGACGACTTCTCTGTTCCACTTGTAGTGGATCCTCCTTATTTTACCTTTCAGTTTCTCTCATTATCTGTCCCGCTTCATCCTCAGTGAGGTCACAGGGCCATCGGGCGAGAGGCGGGGGACACTCAGAGACACAGAGACCATACACACATCTAGGGACAACTTAGACTCCAATTAGCCTGATGTGTGTGTTTTTGTTTTGTTTTTTCAAAATAAAAGTACTACGGCGATACTATTTCATATATATGAAACTTACATGTGACCCAACGACTTATTTACTCACAGCATCGTTCCAGAAGTGCAGCGGTGTGTTTTCCATAGCTTTAACCCTGGCAGTGGAGAGGAACAGCATCATATATGACTCTAAACAGCAATAACAAACGTGATTTCCTTCTTTTCGGTTTAATTGCATAAAAGAACCATGACCTATGAAGTCTAGGGGGATTTTGTGATCTTGCGAGTTCAGCGAAGAAGCTGTTCCGCGACCAAGACTCTCCCAGTGTGTAAAGGACCACATTGACGCTCGCGAGTAAAACAATCCGCTTTGCTTCATGCTTCCAGTGTGTAACGGGTCATAACTGCAGTGGATGAACAACATGCATGAACCTGAAAATTCACCAAGTATTAAAAACACAAAACAGTTAAATAGAAATAAGTAATCAGTAAACAATAACGATTTAAAGTATTTATTAAGCAAATGTTTCTCAGGAACGTACTTACACATTGGGATGTGAGGGTTAGGGTTGGTTGCTGCCAACTGCTCCACCTTGCAGCCCTCACCAGTTTCTTTTACAGAAACATGAACATGCTGAAGTCCAGTTGGATGGATAAAAGATAAACTAGTCGCTTTCTTCCTCTGAATCTGTCGGTTTCCTGCAGCTGGTCGAGTTTCTGGATGTAATTGATGATCCAATCCTGGGATACACACCACCAGCCATCATCACTGTCCTGCACACACACCTAGCTACCTGCGCTGTAGACTACAGGTACAAGCCCTAAATAAAACCGTCTGGATTGTGTTTAAATGCTCAGATCCTTTGTCTTTACTAGTTTTCTTAATCTTCGCTGTCTCCCCTCCAGGCCGTTGTATTTGCCCCTGCGGGTTCTGTTCACAGCAGAGTCATTCTCACTGTCCACGAATATCATCGTAGACACGGCCACCTTCCACCTCAGGTACAGCTCGCCTCTCAGATCCTCATCTGTTGAATGTAAATAACAAGCGATGAAAAGTAGTTTAATCATACTTGCCTAAAGAGGGCTAAGTGATGCGGTAGGTGTGTAAATGTCGTGTGTGAAATGATTAGCTCTCATGGTCTTATCAGATTCATTCTGGATGACTCGGCTCTCTACCTCTCTGACAAATGTGAGACCGACACGGTGGACTTGAGGAGAGGTAGGACCCCCTGTTTCCTGGTCTCAAACAATAGTTGTAGTTTTGTTTATAACCAGTTTAACCGGTTTTCTTAGAAAAACTTTAGAAACCTGAAGAATTATTGATCAAGGTTGTTTTAAAATATTACAAGACGGTTTCGACTCCTTGGAGTCGAATTGTAAGGAAATCAGAGAAGCTTAAAATCTTTAGCACAGGACTGTGGTCTTGTCTGTATTTGCTGCTCATGATCTCTGCAACAGGCGCGTTCGTGTTCATGAGTCCCTGCATACCAGCTTACGTTTGGGTTTGTCTCCACAGAAATAACAAATCCTCAGCTTCAACAGACTCCCAAAACAGAAGTGTCTGGTTGTTTTGTTTCCTCAGAGGGTTAGAAACTCATCAGAAAGGCTCCGTTTGAACCTTTGCTGTCAGTTTTAAGAAAGTTCAACAAAAACGACTCTGTTGAAACTTTAAAAAGAGTTGTGACGTGTGACAAATAAGATTATAGGTAGTAATTCACAAACGTATCTGTCAAGATTCAGAAAATTACCATCTGAAACTCGGAAGTTTTTATGTCCAATAAAAACAGTTGGGTTGTGTGTTTGTCTTAGATTATGTGTGTGTTCTGGACATTGACCTGTTGGAGCTGGCCATCACCACGTGGAAAGGCAGTGACACCGGCAAACTGGTGAATCCTTTGCTTTGATTTATCTACCTGCTTGTGTTTTTAACATTTAACAGCCAAAACCAGCCATTCCCTCCAGAAAAACGTGTGAAGACAAAGCTGTATAATTATGTTCACTTTCCTTGAAAACCCACTAACAAGCGCTGAGCCGCATGTTTATAAATATTTATGTTACCATAGCTAAGTTTCTCTACAATAATAGGTCCAGCCAGCAATTAAACTTGAGTCTCGTTCTCAGTTGGAGCCGAGACTAAAATCAGTTAGAAAATGACAAACAAGCTACGCTGCTGCTGTTCTCTGAGCCCGAGAGGAGATCTCCCAGGTCTGTGTGAGAGGTAAAGTTACTCTAAAGGACCTCAAACTGCTCAGACGTGAACCTGATGGTGTCTAAGAGTGTTCCAGTCCAAAGCACGCTCAGCGTTGGGAACGATAGCTGCGTTTCCCTCCTTAACCGTTCTGTCTTTTCTCTTCATGCTGCAGACTCAGCCTCTCTTTGAGCTCCGCTGCTCCAACAACGTGGTTCACCTTCATACCTGTGCTGATTCCTGTGCTGCCCTCATCAACATGTTGCAGTATCTGATCTCCCAGGGGGACCTGCATCCCCCGCCCCGCCACTCCTCCCCCACTGAAATCGCCGGACAGAAGTTACCTGTAAGGCTTTGTGTTAGCTAAGCGTACGAGTTAACTGGACTTTGATAGAGAGGTCAACAACTTGGGCTAATTTTGTTCATGAATGTGAGTTTAACAGTTTGTAAGACGCAGTTTTAGATCTTTCTATTCAAAGAAACCTTACGGAAATGAAAAAGAAACTGACCCTGAAGGCAAGTTTGAAAGATGAATGCCTCCGTTCTTCCAGGAACAAGATAAAGTTATGATGAAGTTTGTAACGCTAGCTGCAGTACAGGGAAGAGTTCAGGGAAATGTTTAGGTTGCAAAACAGCTGAATCAAAGTTTCTATAAATATTAAGAGGTTTGGTTCAAACCAACCTTTATTTTAAAGAAAAGAACGACAAAAAACTATCTTTTATATAGCGCTTCTCAAGATAAAAATCACGAGGTGCTTCACAAAAAAAAACGATTAAAGTACAAAAAAGATTTAAGAAAAAAGTACAATCAAAAATATGTTCAAAATGAGGTGAGTCTTCAGCTGCTTTTTAAAGGAGACCACTGAGTCCACTGATCTCAGGCTCAGGGGGAGAGGGATCCAGAGTCTGGGGGCCACAGCAGCATTTTACCAGGTAAACTGTTTGAGAACAAGTTTTAAACATTTCCTGGCCGACAAGTCTCAGAGGTAGTGCAAAATAAAAAAATTACATTTGAGCATGCAAAAGGAAACCAATGACATCATAAACAGGATAAAAGGATGACATTAGAAAATTATCAGAGGTGGAAAGAGTACTAAAATTTACTACTCAAGTACAAGTATCAATACTTTCATCATTTTTTTTACTCAAGTACAAGTAAAAAGTATCATAAATGAAATGTCCTCAAAGTAAAAGTTACTTAGTTACTTTTTTATCAGTGTAACGATGGCTATACCTAAGTAGTGCTAAATCACAAAAACAACTCACAACATGCTCGCGTGTACACACACACAGTTTGAGTTTGATGTAATCAGTGAGAACAGGACGTGCACGTTGATTGGATGAGGTTTTTCTAGGATTGTGTTTCAAAGGTAATTAAAATTATTCTTTTTTTTGACTAAACATTTCATTTATTAGTTGCCATCAGCATCCGAAGAGCATTTCAAGCAATATGACAAAAACCTCTCCAGAAGAACATCTCCTTCCCCACCTTTAAACTACAAATCTACAAACCAAAATGGATAACAAATGATCACAAGTCTTGTGACTTTCCCTGAATGACTCAAAGAAAACCAAACTGTTGGGTACCTCAGTGTTTTCATGACTAACCTCTAACATGAGACTGCACTCTAACCTGTCACATAACATAACAAGACAACTGTAATTCAAACATTTCAGATGGACCGTATGACAGCTGCTAACGTTGGCCCTGCCCTACTTTACCTCTACATTACAGTTCCTTTATCCATGTCCATCCTAGAGCTCCTCTCTGACCTTCATGCTTGTTTAGAGCAGCTGATTTTTAAAGTTAGCAGAGTTCATCCTTGCAAGTGGGTTCTCTCACTCATTTAACCGTTCATCAATTGTTCATTCCAATCTTCCTAAATAATCCTCTAATCCAACTGGAATCCTTAAGCATCTAGTAACTTTCATCCTGTCTGAATACGCCTTGGGCACCCAGGTGTTACTAGAATTCAATTCAAGTTTATTTATACAGCACCAAATCACGACAAGAGTAGTCTCAAGGCACTTCACAAAGTAAACGTTTTAGTACAGGTCAGTTCATTAAGCCAATCAGAAAAAAGTTTCATATATAAGGAACCCAGCAGATTGTATCGAGTCACTGACTAGTGTCGGTGACTTTATAGCACTCCTCATGCTAAGCAAGCATTTTGCGATAGTGGAGAGGAAAACTCCCTTTTAACAGGAAGAAACCTCCAGAGGATCCTGGCTCAGTGTACTACTGAACAGAACTAACTGTCTCCTCACCACACAGCATGAGTCTCCAAACTGTGAAGGTTGGTGTCCAAACATGAACTTTAAATGATTATTCATGCATTTATCTCCTCTTGTGACACACTTTTAACATGTTTTAAAGGCTTGTATCATAGGTTACACCTCCCAGACCAAAGGAAGCACAATATATGATAAAATGTTATCATAGACACTATTGAGACGTCATTATTTATGAAATATAAGTCATTTTTGTGAGCCATTACTTCAACCAAGAAGTAAGATGTGTGGTTTTGATAGAACCACGTTGCCTCATGCAGTCCTATATGTGTAACACACACACACACACACACACACACACACACACACACACACACACACACACACACACACACACACACACACACACACACACACACACACACTCTGCAACATTTTAGAATCATTTGAATGACTAATTTAACTAAATTGAACTGCCTTTGAAATAATTTAATCTCTCTTGACTAAAATAAGAAACAAGCTAAATCATCATATCTGTGACGTCAAGAAGCAACTTCTGAGTACACACACACACACACACACACACACACACACACACACACACACACACACACACACACACACACACACACACACACACACACACACACACACACACACAGGGATGGAGCATAATGTTTACAACTGAATTAGCTCCAGTATCAAGATGTTTTAACTCATAGAGGCTGCAGGTCTCCTGTTTTATGAGCAAGGCGCAGGGAATCAGCTTGTTAGGAGCGCTACCAGCTACCAACTCAGTGGCATAGTGGTAGAGTGTCCGCCCTGGGACTGGGAGATCAGGGTTCAAATCCCGGTCGGGTCATACCACAGACTTTATAAAAACAGGACCCGATGCCATAATCCTTGCTTGACACTTGACACACTAATGGGTTGGATTGGGGAGTTAAACCACCAAATAGTTCCTGGGTGCAGCCACGTCTGCAGCTCATCACTCCCCACGGGGAGAAGTCAAATGCATGGGACAATTTTCACCACACCGCACCAGTGTGTGTGGCAACTATGGGACTCTAATTTTAATTTAATTGAATAAATATTCTTTTGCCGTAGCCATGCGGAGCAGTTGGGGAAACGCATTTCAAAGATGGAACTGAGTCCAGCTACTGAACCAGGCAGAATACTGACGTAACACCGGTGCGCAAAGGTGTGGGTTTCAACCAACAGGAGAGGGAGGGAGAGAGGGGTAAACGGCGAGTGCATCAGAAGGAGCGAACGCATGTTTTTGAGCAGAACTGCAGGAAAAGTGTGGCTGATTGGCTCCATTATAAAAAGTGAACAACCACACCCCCCACGGCTGAGACGTGGGGCTCATGCAGGTGTCCCTCTTTCTGTTCCGACGCTGCTACGTGCAATATTTTTGATTTATTAAACCTATAAGTTTTTTTTACTTTGTAACGGATATGATTGAAAATGTAGCAAAGTACAATTCTTTTAAAAAAGTAAAAGTATAGACTTAAAAAACGACTTCTAACAATATAAATACACCAAAAGCTACTCAATTACAGTAACGCGAGTAAATGCAATTGGTTACTTTCCACCTCTGGAAAGGATTGATCAGTAATTGGAGAATGTATACAGGAACACAGACCAATCAATGTAAAAGGGAATGACTATCTATGAAAGTATGTAAGTAAGAGCGGTGCAGGTGGTCAACTATAACCAGGTTTAAGGGTGCTCTGTGAAGTGTTCCCGTTACAACGTTCCGTTTATGGTGTGTGATCTCGTGTCCCGTTAGATGTCGGAGAGTCCTGCATCTCTGTTGCCGTTCCCTCCTGCTGAAACCGCAGAGATCAACCAGTACGACCTGGCTGATGCCTTAATTGACACAGAGAAGAGCCACAGAGAAGACAGCACAGAACCAGGTCTTTGGTGTTTCTGAAACATGTGGAGGAGCTCAGCTCGGCTTCAAGTTTATATTATAGAATCATGTTGCTGTTGCCATAATGCGTGTGTGTGTGGTGGTTTTTGACAGGTTCACCATCAGTGCCAAGAGGCTCGCCTGTTTCCGTCTACTTGTTCCCCGGTGAAGCCTCAAAGCGCATCCCTGCTGGCTTGCAGAGGGAAGACTCTGACCTGGATGGACTGGTTCCCACGGCGATGGAGGCACAAGCAGATATGATGTCAGACGAAGGCTCTGAGGGATCCACCGACAATGATGACTTCTGCATCCTAGAGGCTCCCGGCATGGGCATACCTGTGAGACCCACATGCTGTCTTAATTAATGTAGCTGTTGTTGGACTAAATCTTGGCTCACATGGCGAATCTGTTGCAGCCCCGGGACGGGGAGCCCGTGGTCACTGTGCTTTCTCAGGGACCCATCAGGGTGAAGGACAGTCACTTCTCCAGACCTCGAGGCAGCTCCGACCTGCTTCGGGCTCCGAGTGGTTTCCCAGTGCCACACAGCAGGGTGGTGCTTCGGGAGATCTCTGTGGTGTGGCATCTCTACGGGGGGAAGGACTTTGGCAGCAAGCCGATGTCCATGCACCTTCAGAGCGTCAACAGGTGAGAGACCGGCTCTCTGGTATTCTGTTTACTCCTCATGTTTGGTCCTAGTTTAATAGCTCCTTGGTTTTTCTCCAGGGGTCGTTCAGCCCCTGCTGGAGTTCGCGCATCCCTGTCTCGCACCGCCACTGCTGCCCGCCCACAGAACTCCTGGCGTTGGACTGGAGGCAGTGGCCGTCAGCACACGCTACTGATGGAAATCCAGCTCACCAAGGTGCTCGGGCCTACCAGGGCTTTAATGAGTTCTGTAGTCCAACGAGATTCTGTTCTACCATATTTCAGAGAAATTAAGCATTTTCAACTGGAATTGTTTTTATACTTTTGCCAATGTGTTCTAATTTAATTAGACATGTTATCTCTACATAAAGCAAAACGTTTTTAGACACATTTGTTTATTTATTTATTAATTATTTTACAAAATATAATAATTTTCATCATTCATGCAGTGAAGATGACGTTAATTTAAACTTTAAAACAGTTTTAAATACCCTCTTCTGCTTCCTCCAGGTGTCCTTCCAGCACGAGTCGTACCCGGTAGCAGTAGTGGGTCAGGACGGTGAGGGGGCGGGGCCTGCTGGCGTTGGGGTGCTCCCCAGTGGCGAGCAGCCTCTTTGCAGGCAGGTCTTCATCGTCCAGGAGCTTGAAGTTCGGGACCGTCTGGCCTCTTCACAAATCAATAAATTCCTCTACCTCTACACGAGTGAGAGCATGCCCCGCCGAGCCCACTCCAACATGGTGAGACCTCCGGGACTGATCTGATTTGTAAACATTTCAGATGGAAACCAGTTCATCTTAACAATAATGATCTGGAGCTGGTTAAATAACGTCCTCTTAATCAAACACCTGGATTCATTCTCAGCTAACTGTGAAAGCCTTGCAAGTATTACCAGAATCTGGTCTGGGTGGTCCTGAGTGCTGTCTGCGGGTCAGCTTGCTGCCGCTACGACTCAACATCGACCAGGTAGATGCACCTGCTCAGTCTGGAGTTTCTGTTCCAGTCCAGCTTTTGTGGAAAGTTGCTGCTGTTTCTAGAAGATTACGTTTGGCTTCATATCATTGATGAAAATGTTTTAAGGAGGCTATGTTCTGCCAGAGAGGAAAGGCAGCTCAGCAACACTAAGAGCATCCTTTTGTCCCTGATGTTTAGAATTTATTCTGAACTAAAACATTATTTTAAAAAAGTCAAGAAGCAGTCTCTCTGAACTGTGAGGAATGTAAATATCTGACATAATAAAGCTGTTCCACATGTGTTTTTGATATGATTCTGACATCTAACCAGACTGTCTCCTTTTTTCCAGGATGCACTTTTTTTCTTGAAAGACTTTTTTAGTAATTTAGCTTCCTTTGTTAACCCTTACCTGCCTGTGGACTCTGCAGCTGAAGGTCAGTTACTAAACAAGTGTAAATGTGGAGTATTGAATCCATTTTTATCAGATTAAAACAGTTATGCTGTATGAAACATTAGGATTTACATGTTCATCCACAGTAAAAGCAGATTCCTCCCAGAAGGGCTGTAAAGAGGCGGACCCAGCTGCTGGTCTGGGACTGGACCTCACTGCTTCAGTGGAAACTACCAACAGCGAACAGAGCTCTTCCTCCGCCGGCTCCTCATCCTCCTCCGATCAGCCAATCTACTTCCGGTAGGTCGCTGGGATCAGCTGATCCGGACTAGTTAAAGGGGGGAAAGATTTTTCTGTTATAAAAATACTTGTGAATGTCACTGAAAACAGAAAATTACTTAAAGGCAGAAACATTTCTAAGAAAAAAAAATACATCATTTCTCTTCTTGTGTTTGATTTCAGGGAATTTCGTTTTACTTCTGAAGTGCCTATCTGGCTCGACTATCACGGCAAACATGTCGTCATTGAACAGGTGGGAGATCAATAATTCTCATCCGTCTCTGAACCCGACAGATCAGATGAACATCTGTGTTTCCTCACATTGTCTGTCTCTTTGCTTCCCAGGGAACATTTGCAGGGATTCTAATCGGTCTGGCTCAGTTAAACTGTTCAGAGCTGAAGCTGAAGAGGCTCTGCTGCAGACATGGGTACACACACACACACACACACAATTTTATACTTCTTTTAACTAAATCTTTTTTTGTTGTTGTTGTTGTGGTTCCTGAGATTTGAAAAGAAAACCTCAGTTATTGTGTTGCAATGTTTCCAGTCTCCTCGGTGTGGACAAAGTGGTTCAGTACGCCGTCACCGAGTGGCAGACTGACATCACCAAGAATCAGCTGCCGGGCATTCTGGGAGGTGTTGGTCCCATGCATTCAGTGGTTCAGCTGTGTAAGTTAAATCCTGTTATAAAAACAGCCAGCCTCAGCTTTGACCTGGTACTTATCCTTGTTTCTTCTTTGTTTCATCCTCTGTTCAGTCCACGGAGTGAGAGACCTGTTCTGGCTGCCCATAGAGCAGTACAGGAAGGACGGACGCATCATTCGGGGTCTCCAGAGGGGGGCGGCATCTTTTGGCACTTCCACAGCGTCGGCTGCACTAGAACTGAGCAACAGACTGGTGCAGGCCATCCAGGTACTCAGTTTGTGGAGGACTGTTGGTCTCTTTTTGGGAGCAGAACACCTCTAACTTGTTTAGTGGATTTGCCGCTTTACCAACAGGCTACAGCAGAGACAGTTTACGACATCTTGTCTCCCACGCCTCCCCTGAGTCGCTACGCCATCACAGAAGGTCGGACCCCATCCAGTCGTCCCCGGAGAGCTGCTCAGCCCGCAGACCTCCGTGAAGGAGTGGCAAAAGCCTACGATACCGTCAGAGAGGTTGCAAATAGTATTTTAAAATCCTTCAGAGAATTAAAAGATTATTTTCAGCTTATGTTGTAGTTGCAGCTTTCCTGTGGAAAAAAGCAGCTGGTTGGAGATCAGAGAAGATTAGTTTCTTATGCCAGATAACCAGGTGTGTGTTTGTACTCATCCCAACCTGGACTCTTTGCTCTGCAGGGAGTGATTGACACGGCTCAAACCCTGTGTGATGTAGCGTCCCGTGGCCACGAGCAGAAAGGCCTCCCCGGTGCTGTGGGCGGAGTCCTGAGACAGATCCCACCCACCGTTGTCCGACCCTTGATCGTAGCTTCCGAAGCAACCTCCAACCTGCTGGGCGGCATGCGGAACCAGATCAAACCAGATGCAAGAAAAGAGGATTTCCTTAAGTGGCGTATTGAGGATGCACAGGAATGAAGACAGTGTGTGTGTGTGCGTGTGCGTGTGCGTGTGTATACATGAAAAAATGATGTGGGAACCATGTTGAATGTGGACATGCATACATGGACTAATGTGCTCTGATGCAAAAACCAACACAGACTAAAGACTACTGCAGTTACTGACAGTGATTCTGTTTCTCCATCAAACACGTGTGATTCTTGTTCATCAGTAAGAACCGTCCTGGTTTGTCTTCCCTCGGTCTGCAGATGATCCTAGTGTCTGTTAACATATCGCTGCTTTCCTTCAGCCCACCCGTGACAGATTGTTGACCCTTCGTGTAATTGAGAATCCAGCTGCTGACATCTGTTTGTCTTTTGATTTAAGCAATGACTCTCAGCCCAAAGCTGATGCTTTTCCAAAGTAGGTGGAGAATGAAAATTGCCATGAGAGAGAGAAGATCCTTCAGTGTGTTTTTTATTTTACTGTTGCAATCTTTTGAATTTATTTTGAGCAGTGACTTTAAATTCTGCTAAAACAGCTCCACCGGCACAGAAATAAATTCCACCGTTCTCTTCTGTTTAGTTTTGACCCGGCTATGCACCTGCTCCTCTTACTGCTATCACTGGTGCCATAAATTCCACGCGGAGTGACTTTTTTAAAACTTGTTTGTGTTGGCTTCTTAGCGCCTCGTTATTTTTATTTTGAGAGGCACTATAGAAAAGATCTTTCTTTCTTTCTTCTTCTTCAAACCCCTTTCCTCCTTGCTAACTGTGTGACTTGTTCATACAAGTCTGACTGAAGAGAAACACACAAAGCCTCTAAAATCTGTAGCATAATGGATTTGTGTTTGCATCGGTAGATCTCAACTCTTTTGGTCATAAAATGTCCTGAATTGACCATTTGTCTTCTCAGAGTTTCTTTGCCCACATTTTAGATGCCTTCCTGCACTATTTGTTTTTGGTTTTGTTAAAGCGTAACTACTATTATTGTACTCCAAATAGAGTCTGGGAGGATTTGAATCTGTTGAAATTAGAGGAAGAATTATTTTGGGAATTGACATTTTTACCTTTTTTATTTTGTGTGTGTGGATGGATATATGTGTGCGGGGGGGGGGGGGGGGGGGGGTATTTCCATCTGTATGTATGAATGACCAGGTGCGTGCTTATGTGTGTGTGTGATGCACGTCTGTGAAGGTGACAGGTTGATGCTTCTTACACCACTTGTGTGTAATATTACTGTCAAATTGTATGAATGACCTGTATATTACAACAAAAAAAAACATACAAATTAATGCAAAAAAATAATAAAAATGTTTAATATAAAACTGAATCTGTCTTAAATGCTTTGTGTCAAGCAACATTCAAACAATGTTTTTTCTTTTAGTACTTTTAGAACATTTCTGATAAGTAATATTTTGGACCTGATATAAAAAACAGCCCAAAGTAATATGAATCATAAATATCCATATGTTACTTTATGCAGGCTTATATTTTTACAACAATTATGTTTTTATTATGTTACGTTTATCAAACACCTCTGATAAATATCAGTTTTTGCCGTTGTCGTCTTCCTCCGCTTATCCGGGTCCAGGTCGTGGGGGCAGCATCCCAACTAGGGAGCTCCAGACCATCCTCTCCCCGGCCACCTCCACCAGCTCCTCCGGCAGGACCCCAAGGCGTTCCCGGACCAGATTGGAGATGTAACCTCTCCAACGTGTCCTGGGTCGACCCGGGGGCCTCCTGCCGGCAGGACATGCCCGAAACACCTCCCCAGGGAGGCGTCAAGAGGCATCCTGACCAGATGCCCAAACCACCTCAAGTGACCTTTTGATCCGGAGGAGCAGCGGTTCTACTCCGAGTCCCTCCCAAATGTCCGAGCTCCTCACCGTATCTCTAAGGCTGAGCCCGGCCACCCCACGGAGGGAACTCATTTCGGCCACTTGTATCTGCGATCTTGATCTTTCGGACATTACCCAAAGCTCATGACATAGGTGAGGATTGGGACGTAGATCGACCGGTAAATTGAGAGCCTGGCTTTCTGGCTCAGCTCTCTCTTCACCACGACAGATCGGCTCTGCGTCCACATCACTGCAGATGCCGAACCAATCCGCCTGTCGATCTCCCGATCCTTCCTACCCTCACTTGTGAACAAGACCCCGGGATACTTAAACTCCTCCACTTGAGGTAGGACCTCTCCCCCGACCCGGAGTTGGCAAGCCACCCTTTTCCAGTCGAGAACCATGGTCTCAGATTTGGAGGTGCCGATCCTCATCTCAGCCACTTCACACTCGGCTGCAAACCTACCCAGCAGGAGCTGAAGGTCGGAGCTGGATGAAGCTAGGAGGACCACATCATCCACAAAAAGCAGAGATGAGATTCTCCTGCCACCAAACTCGACACACTCCACGCCACGGCTGCGCCTAGAATTTCTGTCCATAAAGGTAATGAACAGAACCGGTGACAAAGGGCAGCCCTGGTGGAGTCCAACCCTCACCGGGAACAGGTCCGACTTACTACCGGCTATGCGGAACAAACTCACGCTCCTCTGGTAAAGTGACTGAATGGCCCTTAACAGAAAGCCACCCACCCCATACTCCTGGAGCGTCCCCCACAGGGTGCCCCTGGGGACACGGTCATAAGCCTTCTCCAAATAGACAGAACACATGTGGATTGGTTGGGCAAACTCCCATGCCCCCTCCATCACCCTTGCAAGGGTATAGAGCTGGTCCACAGTTCCACGGCTAGGACGAAAACCACATTGCTCCTCCTGAATCTGAGATTCAACTATCGATCGAACCCTCCTCTCTAGTACCTTGGAGTAGACCTTTCCAGGGAGGCTGAGGAGTGTGAACCCCCTATAGTTGGAACACACCCTCAGGTCACCCTTCTTAAAGATGGGGACCACCACCCCGGTCTGCCACTCCACAGGAACTGCCCCCGATTACCATGCAATGTTGCAGAGACGTGTCAACCATGACAGCCCTACAACATCCATAGCCTTGAGATACCCAGGACGAATCTCATCCGCCCCTGGTGCTCCACCGCTGTGTAGTTAATTGACCACCTCAGCAACTTCTGGCCCCGAGATTGGAAAGTCCATCCCCAGGTCTCCCGGCTCTGCTTCCTTCTCGGAATGCGCGTAGGTGGCATTGAGGAGCTCCTCAAAGTATTCCTTCCACCGTCCGACTACAGCCCCAGTTGACGTCAGCAGCTCCCCATCCCCACTGTAAACTGTGTGAGTGAGTTGCTGCCTTCCTCTCCTGCGGCGCCTGACAGTTTGCCAGAACCTCTTTGGAGCCGATCGATAGTCTTTGTCCATGGCCTCACCAAACTCCTCCCACGCCCGAGATTTTGCCTCAGCAACTGCCACTGCTGCACCCCGCTTGGCTTGGAGACCCACAGACCAACCACGTTCTGTAGGTCTCCTTCTTCAGCCTGACAGCTCCCCGAACCTCTGGTTCAAAGCTTTCAGCAGCTTTCGGGACACCTCTGTGTTCCACCCGGTTTTACCCAGCGGTCAGATCAGCGTATCTCTGACTCAGAAGCTCTGGTGTTGTGCACAGTTAACTCCGGTTGTAGCTAGGTTGCTACCTCTGTTAGCTTAGCACCCACCTCCACGTTAGCTTTGGGTTAGTTTCAGGTTAGCTTGTAGCTAGTTCGACCGAGTGTCATTAGTTGATCCCAGCCTTACAGCCACACCCTCAGCTCCACCTCTCTTCCCTTTTGTGGAATTGTCTGGGCTTGACGGAACCCGTGACACGGTCAAAATGGCGGTGGTGGCAACCTCCCATTTAGCCTCAAAAACGTGTTATTGGAGTGTATGGAAATGAATTGTCCAGTATATATGTCGATGGCCCCAACCCCAGGCCTGGCTCCAGGGTGGGACCCCGGTAACCCTCCGGGCCGGGTACTCCGACTCCTTGATGGTTCATCCATGAAAGATCCTCTGAACCGTTCTTCGTCTCACCCTTCACCTAAGACCAATTTGTCATGGGAGACCCTACGAGGGGTACAAAGTGCCCCAGACAACATAGCTCCTAGGATCATTAGGGCACAAACTCCTCCACCACGATAAGGTGACGGTTCAAGGAGCTTGCAAAAAATCCTTATTGGTGCAATCTACACATCCAAACAGTTAATCAACTTTTAAGTTAGTAATAATTACAAGATGATCGACACAAAAATGTGGATTATTTTAAGTCATCCTTGTAGAGCTTTGGCATCCAATAAACCAAAAATATTAACATTTTCTTGAGCTATATTTACTAAGGTCTTTTAAGATGCTTCAAACCTAATCTTTTGACAGTGGCTACTTCTTCACACATACGAAGGCATAAATTGTACAATAGTTTAAGTTCATATTTAGTTACTATGTGATTTCTAGTGTGTCATTTGTAGTAGATCAACCTAGGAACCAACAGCAGGACATTGGGTTGTCTTCAGGGATCTTTTATGTGGTGCTTCAGCAGTACTTCCGGCCCACATGTAAAACAGTACAGCGTGATTTATCTGCAAATAATACATTATTATTCTGAGTGTTTCTAATATAATCTTGATTAAACACATCTGCGATCATGAAGCTGCTCACACACAACATGCTGACGTCTCACGTAAAGGGAGTCACGAAAGGATACCCGCTGCTCATAAAGGTAAACAGTGAACATCTGAGTAGCATAGCGGCTAATGCTAACACGAGTTTCACCGTGATACCCAGGCCTGTCTTCTTCTAAAAACAATGAAATACATTTGTAGATATCTCTTCTTCGTGTAAACAAACATTACTGAGTTAAAATGTTTTCTGTTAAAACATCCAGGAGGTAAATTTGTGTCATGACTGCATAAGCTTGCACGTAAATCCTAGAAAGTACGTGAAGACATACTTTACATGAAATTAAAGCAAATTAAGGGTTTTGTTTACTTTCAATTGCCGGTTGAGTTGATGTCAGTGGTTGCCTGATGTGACAGCAGAGTCCACCTGACAGCCTGTGTTTTCTCCTAATGCTGTTTGTTCAGGCCACCGAGGTGAAGGTGAACGATGTAGACTTCAACCCTCAGTTTGTCTGCAGGATGATCCCCAAACTGGAGTGGAGTGCTCTGGTCGAGGCTGCAGATCTGGTGAGTAAACAGGTTTCTCCTTAAGCTAACCCACGGAGAGCCTCCACCTGCAGCTGTATGCATGCAGACATTTAATACTACACAGATTTATCATACATTTGGTTTTCTTCCTCTTCATAGTTGGGTCATCGACAAGATCTACCGAGTGAGCTGGTGCCAGACTACGAGAAAAATGAGGACTTCCTGAAGAAAGTGCACAGAGCTCTGTTGGAGGTAAAGGTCTCACTGACCTCCTCGTTCCTGTCACCCACATTTAAAAACATTTCAGTTGCAGAACCTGTTTTTCTCTTTAGTATTGACAAAGCGATACAGCCATAAAGTACTCTTAAACAAACTGTTGGAGTCTGGTTGTGTGTATTCAGTCACACTTAATTTTGGACTCAATGGTGCTTTTGTGTTACTGGCTGCAGAAATCTCAGCAGAGCTCCATTTTTATCCTCTAATGAATTCCATGACTTCAGCGCATCCGTTTGGCTCAGGATGGCGTTATGTGGAGGTCTACCGTTGGGACTGAAGAAGTTTTATACTTTTCTAGCTCACTTTAAACTATATCCTCTGCAAAACATTACACAGACACACTTTTACTCTAATTATGATCTTGGTGCGTTATAACTGGAGGGATTTTCTTAGAGGTTTTGGCTGCAGAAGTTTTCTCCTGTACTGCAAAGTTGTAAACACTTTGTTTTCCACAATGTGGTTCTGTTGTTTCACAGATGACTTCCTGTGTGACCAACAGGATGATGGCATGTAAAACCACATTAACACAGATTAGTGCAACACAAAAATTAGCCTTAAAGGGGACTTATATTTTTCTTAAGTTATAATAGTTCAATAGTTGATACAAAGCATGTTTATGAAGTTCATTTCACTACATTCCTCTAACATAAAGCAATTTCAGCAGTTTTAATTTTGGCAGTTTCAGTACCTTCCAGAATGAGCCGTTTCAGGGTCAGAGTCTTTTTAAGGTGCTGGCGATACCCACCCATCTCCTGCTCCTGCTGCTATAAGCTGAAAAGCTCCAATTCCTGGTAGAGGCTTGGAGGAAAGCCGCTTTGATCTCCAAATCTGTAAATGTGTCCTAAATTAAACATTTTTCCGCTGCCATGGTTTCCCCATTTCTAAAATGCTCTTGGTTCAAAGTTTGCTTAAAGTTGTCACATATTTCCATCAAGTGTTTCTTCATAAATCACAAAGTTTTTGTGGAAACACGCAGTTTTCAGACCCCCGCTTTGTCCGTAGGCAAACTTTATTAATGAGGCCCCTGGTCTTTTTCAGGGATCAGAATGACCCAAACCAACCAACATCCCTCAAACGTGCACCGAAAAGCAATACATATTAGTATCTAGATTAAACTCTATAGCAGCTGTCCCCAACTCCCTTCCCCGAGGGTCGGCGTCCAGCACGTTTTACTGTTTCCCTGCTTCAACACACCTGGTTTTAATCAGCAGGTGATTAACGGGTTTCTGCAGAGCCTGATGAGCTGCTGAATTGGTGAATCAAATGTTCTGGATTAGGGAAACAACTAAAACATGCTGGATACCGGCCCTCGGGAAAGGGAGTTGGGGATCACTGCTCGACAGGAAAAACTTTCTAAATGTGTAACCTGCTGGAGACTTTTACATCCCTGCTTGTAGTCTTTTAATGTGGTTGCATTATGTTAGGAAAGAAGCTGTAAACCCACCCACTGGGATCTGAGGTGGCTAAACTTTTGTTTTAGTCTCTTTTATGGTTTCAGCTCAGCCGGAACTAGCACTATAACCCTAACATACGAGGACAATTCTAATCATATTGTGGGTGTTCGTTTTTTCATGTTGTGTGTCTTTCCGTCTGTTGCAGGTGGAGGTGATTGAGGGGTGTCTGCAGTGTCCTGAATCGGGGCGAGAGTTCCCCATCTCCAGAGGAATCCCCAACATGCTGCTGAATGAAGACGAGGTCTAGCCTGCATCATCAGCTCCTGCTCACTAACTCTTCTCAGCGAGGGGATGGACTCTGATTTGTTTTCAGGAAAAATGGGCTACAATTTTCACATGATTATTACATTTTAAGTGGCTCGCGTTGTCAGTGGATGGAAAGGATTTGAAGAATGACGGGTTCCTTGAGAGTAACCCCCTCATGGTTTTATTTGTATTTATTTTTGTTGGTTTTTTCTCAATAAAAGGTTCAGAGTTTTCTAACAGCCAAAATAATCTGGTTTTAGTGGAAAATATGGATTGACTTCTATTAAAGACGTGCTGAAATCCCAGAGAGACATGCTCTGAACCTCATCTCGCCCTCTCAGCGTTGGATGACGTGGCAGTGGGTCGTCTAAAATTGGCTTTGAGGAAAAAGGCAGTAAAATCAGGCAGGCTGGAAGTTGTTTTTGAGGAAGTCTCTCTTTTTCTCTGTCTTTTTTTCCTCAAAGCCACACATTACAGCTCACTCTCACGCCCCACCTTAGAGGGATCTACTACGATGCCTCGCTCTTTCTCTGGTCTTGCTGACGGGTGGAGACAAAGCCCACGCTGATAAAAGGAGTCTGTCTTTGTTCCGATGAGCTGAAGCAGAAGCCGTCAGGTTGGAACAGGAGCCGCGTTATCGTTTGTAGAAAGCTTGCCAGGACAGACGATGAAAGGAAGGGTTGGCCTGACCAGAAGCCTTCAGGCTGCCGGAGTCTCTCCTACCTTTCCCTTCTACTTAACAGCAATTACAGGCCTGCAGCCGCAACTATAATAACGGTATAATGTGATGGCAGCAGAGCAGCAATAAAAGCCACCCCTGGCAGATTAATAGTCCTCCACAAGTGCTGAGCTGTAATTAACAATGAGACTGAGGAGGAACAGAGAAAAGAAAGGAGCTCTGCTGAAAGCTGGAAAAGCTAAAGATAAAAAAGGATGGGCTGCTTTTGACTGATCTAATAAAATCAAGATGCTGAACCTGGAAGTGACTGATCCATCACATTAATTACTCAGACTGGATTTTTGCTCTGGAAGTCAGCTTTTGATAAATATGCGCTCCGTTCTCGTTTATGCGGCTGATGTCAGCGTTCTCCAGCACAAAAACTAAAACGGATAAAGTAAAAAGCCACAAAAATCAACACGTCACATTGAAAAGCAAAGAGAGGTTTGGGGGATATGTGGGGGGAAAAGTGTTATTATTTTCTGTAATATTTTAAAATGATTGTTGTTCATTCTTGATTTTGAAAGGTTTAACTTTAACTGGTTTCATTCCAGTCTGCCCACTCTGCTCTGTTTTGTTGAACATCAAAAACATTTAAAAGAATATGTCTTGTTCCACAAAAGCTAAATGTCTGAATAAAGTCTCTGCTTGTTAGGCTAAATAAATCCTTCATAAACACCAGCTGGTAGTGATATTTATTATTAAATATCACCTCAGATAGATTTTATTCTAAGCCAACAGCTGATTGACTGAAATTATAGTCATGGAGTCACAAAAAAAACTCTTCTATCCAGTTTTGTGTGCTTTGGTATTTAAAAAAGGAAACACTTGTGTTTAAAACATTTCTGTCATGGCTGCAGTCCGACAACGCTGAACAACATAATCAGTGCCGTCCATAATCACTAATTGTATCACTCCACTGGTTTTTACTTGAGACTGGTGCTCTGGGCCAGAAGTTGTAAAACTGCTGTTATTCACCATGACTGGCTCATAACGATGAAAACGTCTTATTCTCCCTCCTGGCTGGTTTTATGAGGTATTTAATTTTTACAAGACCCAAAAATATTCATGAGAGTTTGGTGAATTTTAAGCTCAGCATCATAAACTGTGGCTCTACTGAGTCTAAATATTTAACAAAAATATGCAATTTGGTTTATTTCATGTGTGTGTGTGTGTGTGTGTGTGTGTGTGTGTGTGTGTGTGTGTGTGTCAGAAGAGGAGAGCTTATGCCTCCATAGTCACGCACACACTCCCTTCACCCTGGTGGCATCCCGCTCCACCTTCTCCTCCTCCTCCTCGGCTCCTCTGACCGTTTCTCTCTGAGGACCTGCAGAATAATTGAGTCACATCCTGGAGCAGGTCTCTGTGTTTTTAGGCTCCTTTATCTTTCACTCCACAGAAAAGGGACATATTTCATGTTATTTTATCCTGACCCTCTTTTTCGTGTTTTTTCTGTTTGGGAGAGGGGCTGTGGGGCCCAGGTTTTTCCAACAAAAATCATTTTATTTTAAGCTTCAGCATTACCTATAACAGTGGATGGGAGGACCTTGTTTGGGTTTTTCTGAGCTGCAGTTGTATTTTCTGGAAGCGGATATGGGCCCGGGTTTTGCTCCACAGATGGGTCTTTCAGAAGCCGACGCGCTGCAGCCGCGCTGCTTCAGATGAGGTGCGCCGCTCAGGTTCTTGTCGGGAGGATTTGCGACATGGGCTGAGCTCCTGTGATGACTCTGTTCTCCTGAAAGCTGCTCAGACAAGCGAAGATGGACGACGGGAAGCGGAGACGGATAAAGCTTTAAGTTTTGGGGACTTGCAGGAATTTACTTTTTTTTACGCACAGAGCGCACACACCGGCACGGCATTTCGGCGCAGAAACTGGAACTACTCGCAGATATTTTTACGGTAAACTTCTGTTACTTCTGTTACTGCACGAGAAAAACTAAATTATTGTTTTTAGGTGGATAAATGAGAGACTAACAATGCGTCGCGTATGTTTTTGTTTGAATTCCTTTGTAGAAACAGCAGACGCGTGGATGAAAGGGGTTTACACTTAAAATATCAGAAGTCCAAAGAGTTAAAGGGGCTATGTTTTTCGTGTTTACTGGCTTTGATCAACGCAGCTGATTAGAAGTGGACACCGAACTCTCCAAAGTTACTTTGCGCGCACGTTGCCTTGCATCTGGTTCGGAGACGCAGCCTCTCCGCCGTTCTGGGAGCACCTATCTTGGTTTGACCTCCTCTTCGGACCATGTGGTTCTCTTGCCTCCCGCTGCTTCTGATGCTGCTCCGGTTCTCCGGTGTGCTGCTGCTGGTGGAGGGGATCAACACGTGCCAGTCCATCAACCTGGAGGCGCAGAAGTCCCGGCGCATCGAGGCGGTCCGCGGACAAATTCTCAGCAAGCTCCGCATCCGCAGTCCGCCGGACGACGATGACGACGACCCTCCGTCAAGCTCCGTACCCCCGGAGGTCATGCTGCTCTATAACAGCACACGGGAGCTGATGAAGGAGCGCGCGCGGCTGGCCGAGTCTGCGTGCGAGCGCGAGAGCAGCGAGGAGGACTATTACGCCAAAGAGGTGCAGAGGATTGACATGCTACCCCCCCGCACCGACTCAAGTAAGTGACAGCAGACAGACAGACCAGTGGCGTGTCAAGATCTTTTAAAATGGGGTGGCCCAGGTGAGGCACAACTTTGTGCATGGGTGGCACCAATGGTTATGCTTTTTTTGTTTTACCCCCAAGCCTTTTGTGGACAATGAAAAGCCCATTTAAAGGTAAATTAGTGTGGTGGCACCTGGGGTGGCACTAATTAGATTCCAAGGGTGGCATGTGCTACCCCAGGCCACCCCCTGGACACGCCCCTGAGACAGACACGGGTTCTCAATGTGTGGGCAGAGGTCCACAGGTTGGGTTCAGGGACAATAATGTAGGTAGTAGAGTTCAGACATTATTCGTAAGGGCAACAATTCCACAGATTGGTGTAAAACTCAGATTGGTTCAGATTTGGTGGAAATCCTAAATGGTGATTTTTGGCTTTTGCGTTTTAAAGGTTTTCATTAGAGTTTGACTCGGTGATGGATCTAAAATAAAGGTCTCGGCAGGGCAATGGTGGACCTGCTCATTCAAATAAATCCTCTTTATTTTTATTTATTATATCCTTATTTGTTCTAAGAAAGACACATTTCAGGTATATGACACATAAAATAAATACAATGGCAAGACATGAGCGTTGGTCGCAGTCAGGGGAGGACTGACCATGTGTGAGTTCTGGAGATTCCTCCGACAGCTCCCCCGGACACATTTTCCAACAGCAAAAATAGAAACATTTTCAAGAGGGCCGAGGAACCCTTGAGCAAGGCAGTCTGAGCTATGTGGTGCAGCTGACACTTGGTCTTGACAGACTTCTTGTTGGAGATTTAAGAGTAATGGTGTTGGATGCTATAATTATATAACTGTAGGTGATTTTTCAAGCAGTAAACCCCATCATCAATCAGCCACATATTAAACACCAGACCCAGCTGAAGCCTGTAATTTAGCTCAAAGACGCTCATTCGCAGTAATTATGTCCGAGACAATGCATCAGTCCCACAGTCTGAAAAGGAAGCAGATGATATTTGACCGCTTCATTCTTCACAATATGATTTTCCCTTCCAGACACCGTGCAACCTGCAACACCCAGCCCCTATTACAGAGTCGTCCAATTTGACGTCGGTGGGGTCGATCTGATCAACAGCACCCTGGTCAAAGCTGAGTTCAGGATCTTCAGAGCTCCCAACCCGCAGGCTCGGGCCTCGGAGCAGAGAGTGGAGCTTTATCAGGTACCCACCCAAACTGCATGTCAAATACGCCACTTAAAACACAAACATAAAAATAAAACAGTACCTTTATGTGTTGGTGCCCCCAGAGGGTGGTCAGGGGAGGCTGTGGCCATCTCTGGAATATTGTGCCATCCCAAAATTTTCACTGGCCCCCCCTTGAAATCTTCTGTGGGCATCACTCCTTATAGAAAACACCAGATAGTGGTTTGAGATCTGAGAGAGTGAATACACCTCCATCACTGCTTTTCTGTGTTTGTTGCACCAGCTACTGAGACCAGAGGAGGACAGCACCTCCACCCAGCGCTACATCGACTCCCGCACCGTTCAGCCCAGAGCTAAAGGAACCTGGATCTCTGTGGACGTCACAGAGACCATTAAAGACTGGGTGTCGGACCCAGGTCAGCATCAAGACACGTCTCTGTTCAGGTCAGCACACCCTGGTTTGTGTATTTTTTCTAACATGCGTTTCTTCCTTTATCAGAGAACAACCTTGGCCTGAAGCTGGGCGTGCACTGTCCCTGCTGCACCTTCGTCCCGTCCACCAACAACATCGTTCCCAACAAGAGCGAGGAGCTGGAGGCGCTGTTCGCTGGTCAGTGGCTCCTGTCTCTGATCTCTTCTTAAGGCTTCAGCCTGATTAGAACCATTTCAGTCTTTTCTGAGAGCCGCAGCCACCATGTGTTGATGTTGGCTGGTTGTGCATGTTCATGTGAGGAACCACGTCACAAAAATAAACATTTCACCCAGGGAGATTTTTGATGGGCGGCAGCAGTGCACTCAATCTCAGCCACTCCACTGCGGAGGTGAGAAATGCACCTTTTCAGACTTTAGTGACAATTTCTCAAGTGGTGGATTCAGAGTTTTCTAAAAGGCACCTCTGAAGTCATTCACAGTGTCATGCAGGGATGAAGGCAAAAGTGTTCTTTCACACACTGAGATACTGTTTAATACCAGACTGGATTTTAAATGACAACACTCCTTGGATTTACACACAGCTCTGCCAAGTATGGAAACAAGTTTTCTCACTGTGTGTGTGTGTGTGTGTGTGTGTGTGTGTGTGTGTGTGTGTGTGTGTGTGTGTGTGTGTGTGTGTGTGTGTGTGTGTGTGTAAAAAATAAATTAGTCCTGTCACTTCCTGAGGAAAATTAACTCTTCTGAGTAGAATAAAAACAAACCTGCGACGTAGCCATCCCAGAATCATTAGCACAGAGATTTAAACTAGCGCTGCACCGATATGAAATCTTTGGGCCGAAACCGATACCCGACATTAAGATCACTGTTATGACCGATAACCGATATTTGCCGATACCGATATGCTGACATTAGTGCTTCTAAAATCAGCAGATTTTGTATAGAATGAAAATTATTAAAGCTGAATTTACATTATTATGTACACACGACACACACATTTACGCTTCTGAGATTATTTCATTCACTGTTCACATGACTACACATCACCCCCTCACCTCTGAAACAGGCAAACAAATGGAGACGAGATGGAAAAAGTATTGGTTGATCACATCGGCCCGGTTTTATTTATCGAACTGATACCGACATGTTAAAAATGACTAACATCAACCGATACCGATATTGATGCCGATATATTGTCCATCCCTAATTAAAACTGTAAGAATTTAAAGATTTCATGGGTTATTTAATCTGAGAGTCTTTTACCTGTGTCAGCTTTCTATTTACTATAAAGCACATGAGTCATTTCTGACTCGTCTTTGTGAAACTGCTTGTTTTCTTTAAATAAATAATCTGTATTAAAATTTGACCAACAAACAATTTAATCAGAAATGTTGTAGCTGCTGTAAGTGGTTACATAGGGTCACCATGGTAACCACACACCCATGGCCATACTCACTGACAAAGAAACTTAATAGAAGAAGAAAGGGATATGCAAGCTCAGTAAAATGGAAGCGTCAAAAGGGACAGCAGTAGTTCAGTTGTCCAGTAATCGTAAGGTTGCAGGTTCAATCCAGGCTCCCACTAGAGAATGCTGCTGTTGTGTCTTTGGGCAAGACACTTAACCCGCCTTGCCTGCTGGTGGTGGTTGGGTTGAACAGGTGGAGCCAGCGCACAGCAGGCCTTGCCTCTGTCAGTGCACCCTAGGGCAGCTGTGGCTACATCGTAGTTCATCCCCAATGTGTGAATGACTGATTGTGTTGTGAAGTGCCTTGGGGGGTTGTAGAACCTTAAGAAAGGCGGTATACAAGTACAGGACATTTACCATTTTAAAATATCAGCCAAGACTGTACTTCAGAGAGTAAAATAAGACTGGTGAGAAGCAGAAGAGTCTGGTGGTCACACATTTTAATTTACTGTCTACAGTGATTTTGTAGGAGTTAAAAATAACTTCATTTCCAGTTTTAAGAGGCTGATCTGAGGTCAGCTATGAGGAGAAGCTACTGAAGCTTGGCTGTGCACTTTCTGCTCTCCAGAGTGATGTATGGGTAGACAGCAAGTCTTAAAGAAGTGAGAGACATGTTGAGTGAAGGAAGACACGTGTAAACTCTTACTGGTAAACTCATAAAACGGGATCAACTCTTTCTTTCCTGAACCTCCGCCGCTGTGCTCCTGCAGGTGTGGACGATGAGAGGCTTCGTCAACTGAGAAAACCAGGTCAGATTAAAGGTCAGGCAGACTTCAGCACCAAGACACCACACCTCATCCTCACCCTGCTGCCCAGTGACAGAGTGGACAACCTAGCCAAGAAGAGCCGAAAGAAGAGGGCTGCCGCCACAGACACCACAACCTGCTCCCGGTAAACCACCAGCCCGCCGCTTGTTCGTGGCTCTGCTTGACTGACAGCTTCGGCTGTCCGCTAGAATTTGTAATTTTGTGATTTTGATGCACAGTTGAGATGAGGGTTGAGAGAGCAGGCCAGCTGTTTTATTTAGACTACCTCGCGCTCCAGGGAAAGCCTAACATAGTCATTACGTTGGGACAGCCGGTTCTTTGGTGGTAACCTGTTGTAATTTTCCCATGACCCAGCTTTGGGTTGCTGCCTCAGACACAGCAGAGCTGAGACTGGAGCTGAAATGTGTTTTGTGTGTCCCAGTGGCTCAGATCAGGGCTGCTGTCTGCGCTCACTCTACATCGACTTCAGGCGTGACCTCAACTGGAAGTGGATCCACGAGCCCAAAGGTTACAAGGCCAATTTCTGCGCCGGCAACTGTCCGTACCTCTGGAGTGTCAACAACCACTACAACATGGTAAGTGTCCATCAGGATGACGCATCATCAAGTCCTCAGTCAGGCTGGCTGCCGGGTCAGTTTTTTGTAAAGGTCTGACCTGCAGATTCTAATTAATCTTCGAAAACAATAGTTGATAAAACTCTTGTTCCTCTGATTTCTACTTCAATTTAAACACGGACATTTCCTCCCAAAACAACATCAGGTGATCAAGTTTTCTCAGAAATCTAAAGTTGAACTAAAATGGTAAACCCAACATTTATAATCTTGCTTACACACAAAACAGGGCCTGAAAACTGCGTTAGTGACTTCCCACGCTAACATTGTGATTCATAAAGAAAAACTTTAATGAAAAATGTGGCAAATTTAAGCAAACTGGCAGCAGTAGCTCAGGAGGTAGAGCGGGTTGTCCGGTAATTGCAGGTGTGATTCCAGCTACCGGCAGAGAGTTCTGCTTGTGAAAACACACCCAACCCTTCCTGCCTGCTGGTGGAGGTCGGAGGCACCGGTGGTGCCTGCGCTGGGAAGTCTTGCCTCTGTCAGTGCGCCCCAGGACAGCTGTGGCTACATCGTAGCTCATCACCACCAGCGTGTGAATGTGTGTGTGAATGAATTGGTTCACTGTAGTGTAAAGTGCTCTGAGTCCACTGGAAGGTGCTATACAAGTGTGGGCCATTCATTTATGATCTAAAACTTTGAACTTGGCGTAAGTACATTTTGGAGATGGAGAGACTGGCAACCCAGTTGATGAGAGGGTGAAATGTTTACTTTAAAGGTGTGGTTCACTTGTATAATCAATACAATTGCAGTGGACACTAGTAGGAATGAAGGCCTTGTAAGTTGTTCTTGGGGGAAAGAATATACTGGTGCACCATTTCGGGGAACTAGCAGTGACTACCAAGACAGCTGAGCTTCAGATGGCAGGTTTTGGGTTATTTCTTGATATCTGGACATCTTGCTCCGGATTGGATAACAGAAACACGACTCTACCACTGACCCAGTTTGCACTACAACGTTGATTTTTTTTATCCACAAGTAACCTAAGCCTGGAGGAACCTCTGCTGTGTGGTTTGAGTTGCTAATGCCAACGGTTAGCTTCTACTAGCCAAGACATTCATGGACTCACCATGAATGTTAAGTGACAGTGTGACGTAAATCTGTCAGGCTTTTCAAATCCTAGAGTTTTACCGTCTATCAGACGCTAATGCAGGAGATTGGTGTAGGAGCCTGTTTTCATGTTCAGACTGAATGAAAATGTCAGAGTGACTGATAATATAATAATTTTAAATTTTTTTTTTCAGTGAACCACTACTTTAAAAGGGGAGCTAGGCAGTTTTGGCTTGCTTTTAGCTCCTCTAGTGTCCGTTTGTAAAACTAAAAGCAAATCTCCTCATTGTGCGTTTGTCTTTTTAACACCTTAATCTAACATCTGAAACGTCTCCCAGTCTTCCCTGGGGTCTACAGGAGTGATAATCACTAAATTAAACAAGTCAGCCGTGTTGATGATCTAAAACTTACAGGAAATGTGCTGGAAGCAGACTGCAGCTCCAGGCATGTCAGCTCTATTTTTTCTAAGTCCCAACAGAGCGGCGCGTGAGTTTGTAGTTGCAAGTGGAATATTCTGGCCTTAGGGGCCGATAGGGTCCGGGTGGCCTTTCATTAACACTGTAAAGGCACATACTGGCTTGCAAAGTATCTCTTTAAATGTGAAAATAATGGAATGATTTAATAATTGTGTATAAAACCAAAAGGGACAAAATTAAGGCGTATTAGAACGTGCTTTGGAGCTCTTCTCAGTTATGTTCAATTCAATTCAAGTTTATTTATATAGTGTCAAATCACGACAAGAGTCGTCTCAAGGCACTTCACAAATTAAACATTCCAATACAGTTTTGTTCATTAAGCCAATCAGTAAAACATTTCCTATATAAGTGTGACAGTGTGAGCGTCCTGTCACAATGTCCCGATTGATCATGCGCCCTGGCTACTTGGCCAAGGGGATGTCCCTTTGGCTGACTGGTTAGTGCGTATGACTCTCATCAGGGAGTCTGGGGATCGAATCCTGCCCGAGCCCTCATTTCTCCACCATGCCACATAAGGAACCCAGAAAATTGTATCGAGTCACAGACTAGTTTCAGTGTCTTTACAGCAATCCTCATACTAAGCAAGCATTTAGCGACAGTGAAGAGGAAAACTCCCTTTTTACCAGGAATAAACCTTCAGACTGTACATGACTGGAAAAAAGAGGGCATTCCTCAATTCCTTTTTCCAGTTTCTTCATCTGACAGGTTGTTTTGTACTATTTTTCTATTAAATATGAGCTTCTAATGATTTTCAAAAAATTGCAGTCTTTTTTCATTTAGCCATGCCAACTATTTTGGAAAAGAAACCGTAGACAACTCTTTTCACAAAGGCCAAGTGAAGACAAATGAGTCCTTTTTTCCCCAAATGATATTTTCTTCCAATTTGAAGATTCATGGCCTTTTGTGTTGAATAATTTCAATGGAAACACTACAGACATGTCAGCGTGGAGACGCTGCCAAATTATATAAACAGAACCATCTGTGATTGTCAGAAAAATCTGAGTAGCATGTCGGTCTTTCTGGTAAAATGCTCCGGTCTGGTCCAAACTCCGATCAGTTCTCAGCCTGGCTTTAATACACACACTGTTAGAAATGCTGCTGCTATTTTTCACTAAATGAGCTTGAAGTTCATTGTTTGTGGTGACTGAACACAGCAATTAGCTAAGACTGGTTAACCCCAGACCCATAAGTGGGCTGCCACCTCTCAGAAGCTCGTCACAGAACTTAAACAGCACAGTGTGTTTGTCTCACTGACCTCAGTGGTCGGATTGACTTTTACAAAACCATCTAGTTTTATTTTTCCACCCTCTAAAACTTCTCTCACTGATCTGGCTTGATCTTCACATTCATTTGATCGTAAAGTTCACAGCAGTGATGTTTAGTTTCATGTAGGTCTCTGGTTGTAGACACAGTGGAAGAGTTACACAGCAGGACCTTATTATCTCATTTGGACTTTGTGGGTTCGAATTACTCATAGGAATAACAGAAGGCTTGGGAAATTTTGCTTTAGGTTCAGTGGCACCCCCAATGAGTGGCTAGGGGGGCCATGGCCACCCCTGGAAAATTGTCAGGCACCCCAATGGCCCCCAGGAAAAGCCACCCCCACCCCTCCTAATAAATCATATTCATGTTCCCGCAAACCATACGCTCATCTTCTTTATTCAAGACATGAATGTTAAAGCCGATAAATAAAACTTCTTTAATAAATAATTTATTTTTTATTCTTTTTTTTTCCTCCCGTGCCCTGTCTGGCTGTGAAGCAAACAGAATTGATGTCTGAATGCTGGTGACAAGCCTTACAGATTTACTCTCAGGTGGAGCATAAAAGCTTTTGCTTTAATGTCACGCCTGATACTTAAAACTTTATTGTTATTGTTTTTTGGATGCTTTATATTCCGACCAGACACGGAGACAGAGGTGAAAGAGAAAGGAAGAAACAAAGGGGGGGGGGGGGGGGGGATTCACCCGGAAGAGCTCGGCCAAGTGGCTGGGGAGAGGGGAGTCTGGGTCTCTCGGCTTAGGCTGTTGCCCCCGCAACCCGACTTCAGATAAGTGGAAGAAAATGGATGGATGGATAGAATTCACAATTTTATTCACTGAGGCTCACCATGAAAAAGAATCCCTGTAGTTTTTGTGGATCTCTTTATTGAAACAGTAACAAGCTAATCATTTATTTAATTAAATTAGAAAGAAAAACTGAAATAACTTTTTGAAATTTTGCCTTTTTTCTCAAATATTTGGCCTACTTAATTTTGAAATAAATGTGTTTGACGCATGGGCCTATTATCTTCTAAATGTTTTTGATGGATAGTTGCAATTCACATGTATGGGCAAAACTCTCACTAAGCTACCACAGGGACCAATTTGGTGTGCCACCCCAATATTTTCACTGGCCCCATCCCCAGGGGCTCCTTCTTATGTGGGAGTAGGAGTCTACTGCTGAATGAGTTGCTCAGATCTTGTACTGTATCAGGCAGTGAGTGGGCGGCTTGATCTATAACGGATGTCAGCTTACACAACATCCTCTCCTCCCCAACCTGCTTAATGGACTTCAGTGGTCAGTTCAGGACAGACTTGGCCCTTTTGGCAAGTCCGTAGTTTTCCCCCGTCCCTCTCTGCCATTCCCTCACACACAGCACAAAAGACAGCAAATGCTACCACAGTAAGGTAGAAGGTCCTTGAAAGTGAACTGTTCATCCCGAAAAATCTCAGCCATTTTAGCAGCTTAGTTACTTTCTCTCGAGCATGGGCAGCAACGTCTCTGGCAGATTTCATTGGCCACTCGTCATCAGGAAGTTGGAGAAACTTTGGACCGGACTGCCACTCAGAGTTTTTAGTTAAGACGTTTGGACTAGCCCCTCTGCTGATGATGTCTGCAATGTTTGCTGGCCCCGGAATCCACCACCAATCTTGGACGTCAGTGCTGCTCTGGATCTCGCCGACACGATTTGCAAAGAACGCCTGGAAGCCATAACTTTCGCGTTGTACTGCGCCTAGGATCGTTTGGCTGTCGACGAGATGGTACCATCTCTTGATCTGAATACGACAGTGCTTCTGAAAGTAGGTCTTCAGGTGGGCTGCTAAGACGGCGCCACACATCTCTGCATTTACAGGGTCACCTTTGTGGTCTGGTCGAGAGGAGTCAGCTTGGCTTTGGATTCCACTAGCTTCACGACAACACCATGACTGCAGCTCCAGGGAAGGTACATCACTGCGCCATATGCCTGTCCACTGCCGTCAGAGAATGTGATTGCACTAGGCTCTGCACATGGATCTGGTGGAGTTAGGGCTCTAGCAAAGCGAAGTTGGTTCAGATCTGCATACTCTTCCAGAACCTTTATGGCGTCTTCTCGGAAACCTACAGACAAGGCAGCATCCTACGTGTCTTCTGAGAAGTACTTTATTTTGGTTTCTTGAAAAGCTCTTCTAACTAAGATGACACCTTTCTGCTTGACAGAAGTCACAAGGCCAAGTGGGTCATACAGGCTGGAGACTTGGCTCAGCAGTTCTCATCTGGTGAGTGGATCAGGGGTTTGAGTTCTGACGTCTTCCCTTAACAGATTTTGGCCAAGGTGTATCTTTTTCTTTTTCTTTGAGAAGTTGACTGCAACCATGACATGGAGCTTGTCGTCTTCGATGGTGTAGCCAAGGCCGAGGGCTTTGCTGTTTTCTTTTGTCGGCTGGTTTGGAAGAATTATAGTCTTTGACTCTGCTATATCCATCTCACTGATGGCTTCTTTCCTCCCACTTTGATTGGAGTAGACCCAGGGCTTCATGTAAAATCCTCCAGCTCTCAGGATATACTCGATGTTGCCGGTGAGGCATTACAGATGGTCTTGGTCATTGTGTGAAGTCAAAATATCGTCGACCTAAGCATCTTCTTCCAACGCACGTTTCTCTTCTTTAAAATGGCTGAATGAAGGCAAGTTTGCAGTCTCTCGCATGGCAACTTGGGCTGTGCAACCAGCAGGTTTGTCCCCCATGTTCACTCTTGTTATGGCGTACGCTTCTACTTCTGACTCTTCTGCGTCACGCCACAGAAACCTGTGGAGGTGGACCTCTCGAGCTTCCAGCCAGACAGAGTTGTACATCTTGCGTATGTCACCAAGGGCAGCAAAAACACCAGTTCGGAACCTCAGCAGGACAGCTCTGATCGGGTTCAGGACGTCGGGACCTTTGATGAGGATGTCGTTCAGGCTGAGACCTCTGTACTTCTGGCTGCTGTTCCACATACTAGTCTTACTGGGGTGGATATAGAGTGAGGATTTGGTGCTATGAGATGGCTTATATACCACACAGGCAGGACGTCTGTGCAGAGGAGTCAGCATGAGGAGGAGACAGTTGACAGAGCGACCTCTGCCAATTCAGCTTGACAGCAGCTTCAGACTGGCGCTCTGTTGGACTGTTGGAAAAAATAGAGCTGACATACCTGGTGCTGCAGTCTGGTCCCAACTTGTTTCCTGCATGTTTTAGATCATGAACACAGCTGATTTTTTAAATTTAGTAAGGAATCCCTCCTGCAGACACTAAGAAAGGCTGGGGGACATTTCAGCTGTTAGATTAAGGTGTTAAAAAGACAAATGCATGGCTCTACAAACGCACACTAGGGGGTGCTAAAAGCAAACCAAAACGGTCTAGTTCCCCTTTAAAAAATAAATTTTTATTAATATTCAAAAAATTGTGTTTTTGAAAGAAAAAGTCCTTAAATATTAAATCATCCATCCATCCATATCCGGAGTCAGATCGCGAGGGCAGCAGCCATAGCTAAGAGGCCCAGACTTCCCTCTCCCCAGCTACTTGGACCAGCTCCTCCGTGGAATCCAAAGGCGTTCCCTGGCCAGCTGAGAGACATAGTCCCTTCAGCTAGTCTTCCCTTGGGTCTCCTGCAGTTGGACCTGCCTGGAAAACCTCATCAGGGAGGCGTACAGGAGGCATCCTGACCAGATGCCCAAGCCACTTCAACTGGCTCCTCTTGATGTGGAGGAGCCCCTCCCGGATGACCGAGCTTCTCACCCTATCTCTAAGGGAGAGCCCAGCCCTGTGAAGAAAACTCATTTCAGCCGCTCATATCCATGATCTTTTTGTTTCGATCACTACCCAAAGCTTGTGACCATAGGTGAGGGTAGGAATGTAGATTAACCGGTAAATTGAGAGCTTTCCCTTCCAGCTCAGCTCTCTTCATTGACAGATCAATACAACGCCCGCATCACTGTAGATGCTGCACCAATTCACCTATCTCACACTTTATCTTTCCCTCACTCGTCAACAAGACCCTGAGATACTTAAACTCCTCCACGTGAGGCAGGACTCGTCCCTGACCTGGAGAAGGCATTATACCCTTTTCCGATTCAATCAATACAAAAGCAGTTTGAACTGAGTTGCATCTAAAAATATGGATAATTACTGCTGCAAAACCTGATCAAAGCTTCATGACACGATAAGTTTGGATTTGGATCAGTCTCGGAAGTGGAGAACATCAAACAAACAAATCACAGCATTTTGAACTCCAAGCTGTGAAAGTTGCATTTTAAAAAGTCAGCAGACTCAATGAGTGATTTGAAAAGGACAGTGAAAGTCATGGAGTGTCCCAGTCAGAAACTGGCACCACACTGACATTCCCAGTTTAATCTGATTATGCTTTAAGACTTTTGGAGTGGGATTGGTAGAAAATTCCTCGTGACGTGGTGGGACAACAGGATTATTCACAAAAAAAAAATAAAATAAAGGACTTAGAGCAACTGTTGCTACCAGAGGTGCTTTAAAAACATGCCCAAAGAAAAGACTGACCTATAAAAGCTGTTGTGGTTTTATTTTTTTAATTTAATTTTATTGAAAATTCTTTTAAATCAATTTCTTACCCTCTCACTGTGGAGACCTGATTTATAATTAAAAAAAAAGATGACAATGAAAATAAATGTGGAAAAATGTGATCGGGTCCAGAAACTTTCCATCAGGACGGTATCTTGACTGGCTCTTGGCCGTGGCTTTTATTTCTACTGTACAGATGTGAGAATGGCATCAGTTTTCTTATATAAACCGGTTTCTCACATACACAGACCATGCAGTAGTTGCCTGGCAATGCAAGAAAACAACCTCACAACTCTGTTGTATAACAACTGAAAATGCAAAGACTTGGCCAAAACCCATGCTGAGGCAGAATCCCATCATTCATGGTGAAAAGCTGGTGAAAAAAATGTATTTTAATCCAATGTGTCTCCTCTGCTCCCGGGTCAGATCCTGCCTCTGTACAACAAGCTGAACCCAGAGGCCTCAGCGTCGCCCTGCTGTGTCCCTCAGGACCTGGAGCCCCTCACCATCATGTACTTCGTAGGCCGAACACCACGCGTGGAGCAACTCTCCAACATGGTCGTCAAATCCTGCAAGTGCCGCTGAGTGGAGTGAAGAACACTCCTCTGGGAGGGATCCTCAGCTCACTACACTTCACTGACTGATCACCTTTTTGGCAGACACGCTATCTGAATCAGATGTCAGGGTTTTTTTTTTGTTTTTTTTTTTACAGTCATGAAAGCTTCTCTTCTTCATTCTCTGGAACTTTCCATTTGATATAGGACCCTGTAAATATGTCAGCACTGCTTCATCAAACCAGTGCTTGAGCATAAAAACCTAAAAACAAAAAGGTGTTGTGTGATTTGGCCACATTTTAGTCCATCTGCTGAAAAAAAGCATCTGTTTTGTCAAGATTCTGAGTGTGCCTGGATAGCCGTGGGCAGCGGAGCACGCCAGACGTGAGCCTCTTTGCTTTAGGGTTAAAGGTGTTGATTTGAAGGAGGCGGTGAGACGAGCCATTCAGACTCAGATGCAAGAAGTGAAGGAGGAAGGGAACAGATAGAAAAAGAGGTAGAGACCGTGTCCAGGCGGAGGCTGTGCCAGCTCTTTGCGGTCCCGAGGCTGAAATCTGCCCGGCGTAAACAGGATGTGAAAGGTTTCCAGACACAGACCCGACCACTCACAGAACGCCAGATTTAAACACTCCCCTCATCTTTTCTCCCTTTCTCTCCCTCTTTCTGTGTTACTCGAGGTTCTGGGACTTGTGGTGGGAGGAAAGGGAGAAAAGAGAGGCTTTGAAAATGAGACGTGGGATGATAGGGCTGTATTTGGAACAGCTATACGTTTGGAAGGTGGTACTTTACAGTCTTGGCAAATTTGTAACTATTTGGGTCTGGCTCGTACATTATATAATCACACTCAGGCTCTTTTATTTTTCTTGCTGCGGTGTGCATTCATTATCTTATTGCAGAAAAGCTGTTGACCCATTGCTCATCCTGTGCTGTGATTATATTTTGTCATACCTGTGTTTACCACCAGCCTTTCTACACCCAGCCATCCACACAGAGCACTTTTGATAGAACGTCTAAAATGCTAGGAATAAAAAACATCCCCGGGGCTGATTTTAAATATAGCTTCTCTGGTATGCCAGTGGTTTGTGTATGAGAAGGAGACGGGGTGTGTTTAATGTGTGTGTGTGTGTGGCAAATGAGGTCATGCGTGAAAGCACAGAAATGATTCCTTAAGTTTTATTGTGAGTTTCATTGTGATTGTGTTTAAATACGTCTGCAGGAGATGTTCCCTTTGTGACCCGACTAAAAGTAAGATGTGGACTTTTTTTTGTTTGGGTGTTTATAAAAACCTGGGTGACAATAAAGTTTCAGTTCAACAGGAAGTATTCCGATCATGACAAATACAAGGCTACCACAACAACAACTAGCTAGCTATAATTGTATTAAGCAAGCCAGTGGTTTCCATGAGTTTACTGAAGTTGAACCACCGCCAGGCTTTAAAAGGCCTGGCTGTAAATTGTGTAACTGGATCCCTCAAACATTATTCTGGTTAACACTTTGTGCAACAGCTGTTCTAAATGTGTGTACAGAGTCAATTAAAGACCTTATTTCCCATTTAAATGACTTAATTACTTTCCATAGATTTTACTCTATGAAATCTGTTGCCTCAACTTAAAACCTATTTAAAGGCCAAGTTCACTGAGAAACTGTTTTTTTTTACTTGTTATAACTCAGTCATTCAGAGTTTCACATGCAGGTCAAATATGAAAACAATCTTTTTTTAGCTGTATACGTCTTTGATCCTCTTTGAGAAACATTTTTGGTGCATTTGACCCATACTTGCATTAGTAAGGAGCAGGGGTCTGATTTGCATTGCTCCTGGGAGAAACTTTGGGGGTTGGCATCTTTCCCAAGGATGCTTCTAGGGATCAATCCTATGACCTTTGAATCTTGGGACAACCGCTCACCCTGTTCAGCCATGGTCGCCCCATTCTACCCTTATTTCATGCATTAGCTGCTGAAAGAAATTAGATGGGGAAATGCCCAGGTCAGAAAAGCCATTCAGATCTATCTCACACTGAAAATTGGCATATAAGGACTCACCCATCTCCACCGTGTGATGGGGAAGGCTATTACTGGTTTATCATCTAGGAAAGAGCAGAGCACATCTCGGCTAGTAGAAGCTAACCGTTACCATTAGCAACTCCATGACCCAGCAGAACTCCTCCAGGCTTGGTTATTTGCAGACATAATACATCAATGCTGCAAAGCAAACAGACTCAGTGGTAGAGTCACATTGCTGTTAGCCAATCAGAGGCAAGATGTCTGACTATCAGGAAATAAGACTCTAAATCCTGTCGTCTTCTGCCCACCTCTCCTCTGGTTCACATCTAGTTCCTGAAACAGGAGCGCCATAGCTTTGTTTCCTACAGAGATCAGCTATGTTTATACAAGAGACTGCTGCAAATGTGTTGGAAAAACAAATGAACTTGTCAAAGAAACTGAAAAATATCAAAGATTTGCAGTTCCTGATGATCACTGCGTAAAGTACACAAATGCATATTATTGGCCAAAATTCTAAACAAAAACAACAAGAAGTGTTTCCTTCTGTGTTGTGAACAAATAAAATCTTCTTGTTGTAGATAGCTTTTTAGTACAACCTCAGTTTGAAGAAATAAAGAGTAGTGCAGGCAAGGCAGATAAGCTAACAGATAAAATCTAATGTAACATGATTGCAGTAAGTGCGGTTACATGCATTACATCCATGTGGATCTTATTGTAATAAGCTGGGAGTCTTTATCCTAGTTCACAGATGCATTAGAAAACCGGCCTCTCAATTAAAGTTCGTTCCACTCCAGTACAGTAGGTGGCGACATGCCCCTTTTCATACTCATTCCTCCTGTTAGCCACACAACACAAGCAGTGTGACAATGATCTTGTCAGGAGACCACTTTCGTGGTGTTGTCACTTCTGGAACGCGAGCGTAGTTTGGCTAACCCGTCAGCTTATAGCAACACCAGCAGTAAACAAAAGCTGGTGGGAGTGAAGCAGATGGAATTGAAACAGGATATGCACAATGGCTAAAGGAATGTACAAAAACGCTGCAGCACAGCTTATTTGGTATGTTCATGTGTGTTCCTTTGTGATGATGGTCTTGTCACAAGACCACTTCAGCTGTCTCGTCACTTCCGGAATGCGGGCGTCCTACCGGTTTATTTCGACTGACCTGTTTTCATGCAGGATGCAATTGGATTGCTACCACATTATTTTGGTGCTTCAGCTCGATTAGAACCAGTCCACCTTTAGCCAGACTAACACGTTTACATGCAATTAAAAAACTGACATGAGTCTTTTTGGGGCAATACGTCGGTTTTCTGAAGTTCATGTAAACACACTAGCTGTAAGTAAGAAGCAGAACACCAACTTTTAGCTCTGGAAGCTAGAAGTGCTAAAGCTAACTAGCTGTGCTGCTAATTTCTCCTCCAAATAATCACAAGAGCATATGTAACAACAGTGAAATGTATGGCTGTGTAAAGGTTCATGTAATGTTCACATATACTCTTGACATTTCATTTGAAACTGGCCCCACATTTTTACCTGTGGTTAGCTTGTGATTCTACCAGTACTAGTTAATGTCTCACCAAACTAAAGTTGTTCAAAATTAATTGACAACAGTTAAGCTAACAATTTGAGTTTTAAAATGAAATTATTTTTCATCTGTCTTTACAAAAGAGGTCGACATGTGTATCTGAACTGTCTCTGGTGTCAGAGTACTTTAGCAGTAAACTTGTTTTTCTGTGGCACAATGAAACTGCTTTTTCACTGTGTGTGTGTGTGTGCGTGCGTGTGTGTGTGTGTGTTGAGGGGGTGTCAGTGCTTCAGCTGTGGTGAGGCTCCTTCCCCCCATGAGTAAACTAGCCCCAGCATCTGTTAGTCTTTTCCATTTAACTACCCCTTACTACGTCCAACCTGTACTTATCCCACGACACAGCTCCTTGTTGTTCTGCCTCACACTGGTTCCTTATGTCCTTGGGAGACACAAATACTCTGGATATTGACCCCCACGCTTTAACTTTTGCACGCACACCCTTCTCCCTTCATAGACTGTGTCTGTGCCTTTAACCTTGAGTGACTGCGTAAAGCCCTTGGGCATGGAGAGCACACCCATACGTACAAACATACATACGCTGTGATGTGGGTCTGGTTCTCAATAGGTCAGCCAACCTCCTACCTGCCTAAAATGTAAAAGAGCCTTTTGATAGAAGATGTAAGACATCAGAAATGAACAGAGGGTAGTTTTTCGTACGTTGTACACTGGTTTCATCTCCCATTACAGGTTTGGAGATGACTTCAGGCTGAAGTCATTCAGCCAGCTAAACTAAAATACAACTCTCAGGGAAACAGGACACCATAAACACACAATAGAGAAGCAGAATGAAAGACAAACGTTAACAGATGAAATGACCTGTGACCTCAGGGCTACAGAAGCTGTGCTCTTTAGTTGCCCTTGAGCTGGGATGCTAAAACTGCAACATCCTCCTTTTTTACAGTATCAACCCCTGCTTCAAGTCCTGATACACAACACCTGCTGTCAGAGTCGGACGGGCAAACTCTGTTCTTCGTCCTAATGTGTGTGTACAGTACAGGCCAAATGTTTGGACACACCATCTCATTCAATGTGTTGTTTTTATTTTCATGACCATTTACCTTGGTAAATTCTCACTGAAGGCATCAAAACTATGAATGAACACATGTGGAGTTATGTACTTAACCAAAAAAGGTGAAATAACTGAAAACATGTTTTATATTCTATTTTCTTCTAAATAGCCACCCTTTGCTCTGATTACTGCTTTACACACTCTTGGCATTCTCTTAATGAGCTTCAAGATGTAGTCACCTGAAATGTTTTTCCAACAGTCTTGAAGGAGTTCCCAGGAGTGTTTAGCACTTGTTGGCTCCTTTGTAAATGGTCATGGTCATGAAAATAAAGAAAACACACTGAATGAGAAGGTGTGTCCAAACTTTTGGCCTGTACTGCACTTGCTCAGCTATCCTACGTAGGACCAGAACTAGCATTATCACTAATCTTCTGAAGACCGATGGGTCATTTTAGGACCAAAACCCGGTACTAATATGGTGGACCCCCTGTTTTAGTCTTAGGGGTGAGGTTTAGAGGTAATATGTGAATTACGTTTTTGTTACAGTTAAGATTAGAAATACACTAGGTAGGGTTAGGGTCTGGGTTAGGCATAAATGCAGTAACTAAAATTAATGGAAGTCAAAACAAAGTCCTAAAATGGATAGAAAAATGAACTTGTGTGTGTGTGTGTGTGTGTGTGTGTGTGTGTGGGTGATTACTACCACTAAGTGTGTGTTTTCTTATTTTTTAGTACATTTTCCTGTCTAATGTGTTTGGTTTGTGCCCTTTTCCTGTTCTCTTAAGGCAGATTGCCGCCCTTCCTGTGGTTGATTCTGCAAGTTTATTTTCCTGTTAACAAAAGGTTCTCCTGCTGGTGCCAGCTCTAACGGAGGGAGACCTCAGCCTCGGCCCATCGTTAAACGTGTTACAGCCTAGAAGGCAGAGGGTAGCTGAGTCACTCAAACAGTTTTCTGGCTGAAAGTGCCCACCAACCTCTGTTAGCTTTAGTTAGCTCAGTCATAACTATCGGCTCCAGTCTGACATATGTCAATCATCTGCCTTCACCCTCACAGCCCCATTCTCAGCTCCATTTTTGTGTTTCCCATGAGTGACGGGACACATTGTCACACCCTGTCCTGTCTCCCCGTTTTGGTTCAGCCTTATGTCTCGTTTATTGCTCCCACCTGCCTCTCGTTTCCCAATCACCTTAGCTCCCTGCCCTCGTGTATTTAGGCCCCTTCTGTTCTGTGTCTTGTGTCGGTCCATTGTTTCATTGTCCAGCGTGTGTCGAATAAATCAGTGTTAGAAGTTCTCACCTGTCTGCCTGTTTCCTCCCTGGTCTGGATCCTCGCCTCTCCTCGGCTTCATTCACCGGCACGCGTGACACACATAATGTGGCCAAGATGGGGGTGGAGAGAACTGCCCACGGGGGCTTTAAACGTACGGGTGACGGCACTGAGGTTTTGGCCATCTTATATATGTACAGTCTAGTCATTGGTGCGTGTTAGCAGCTCGACCCTCTTCTCAATCTCATCCCAACAATGACAATTGTCACATTTTATTTTACAGCATACCTATTGTTGCTCTGGAAGGTGCAAAATAACATGATTCATTATATATAAATATTACTTTGCATTATATTAAAACCATTATTGCAACAAATGAAAATGCAGCGTGAGCATTACAGGATTAAAAAGCAACACCTTTCTATCCTTATTGGTAAAAGTAACTTTTGTATATCTGCATATGTAACAGTTAAGTTTTAAAAAGCTATTCTTCCCTGACATTTAAATTAAAACTTTTATTCACACAGCATATGTGGAATAACAGGTGTTCAGCAATGTGTTACTACAAAAATATGTTTTTTAAACAATTTTATATTTTTAATTGGATTAAACAAAATTTATTTGAATTTAACAAATTACAAATGTGCGTCTTTAATATGGTGTTTTCAGTATTAGTTTAAAAACAGAATCCTTCTGTGATCACACACAGAGACGCAGAAAAAAACAGCCTCCATAGATAAGAATTAATGTAGAAGGAACTGCTGATGGCTCAAACTTGGAACACCACTGTTAGTCACCTTCTTCTTCTTCCAGCCTTCTGTCAACAAGTGACAAAATATGTGGGAGTCTGGATCTGAGTGTGGGCTCAGTCAGTTACTTATTTTGGCCTCAGAGGAGGGCGTAACACCACAACAGCCTCCTGAAAGAGTTCCTGCTTCACAGGATCCCACATCCACTAAGAGCCGGGTTCATCCAGGTCATTTCTTTAATTCTGCTCTGAGTGGATCTGATACTCTGCCACTGTTTTTATGACTGTTCCAGGTTGAAAATGTTTCTTATTGTGGGGTGCAAAGTGTACTTGTTGCTTTTATTTTTTCCACCAGTGGGCACCCAAACACCAGCTGTTTTACTGCGCATGACGATGCTGTCTTTTGGGTTATTTTTATTCTGTTGGGAAGCACTATGTCGGTGTTGCATCAGTGTTGGTTCAACTGTGCAACCACATGAGCAACTAGAAAATTAGCATTTCTTGCAGAAATAGTGTTTGAATACTGGATGCTGAAACTGTAAGCTGAAGCTGCTGAACATCTGAACTGAAGCTGAACCTAAGCAAAACTGTCAAAATGAGCTGAAAGTTTTGAACGATTTAGAAGCAAAAAGTGCCGACAAGCAAATAAAGCACAAAAAGTAAGTGAAAAATAGAGACAAACATCCTAAGCAGCAGAAAACTGAAATTTGTGAACATTGTTTAAAAATCTGGACAGCTAAAATGTCCAAACACTTGTTATTTGAGTAGGACTAGTTGAACAGTGGAATTTTTACATTTAGTTGAACTGTGAAATTAGCAGCATATGCTGAATTCAGAAACTGATTGCTGAAGCTGCTGAGTAGCTGAAGTGAAGGTAAAACTAAGCTAAACTGTCAAAATGAGCTGAATATATTAAAAGATTTAGAAGCAAACATCACACAAAAGTGTAATAAAGCTCAAAATATAGGTGAAGAATGAAGAAAAAAATGCTTAACAGCAGAAAACTGAAAAATTTGAACATTGTTTATAAACTAAAAAGTTGAAAGGTTTAAACAGCTGGCATTTGAGTAAGAATAGTAAGTAATTTTTTACAATTAGCTGACCTGTGAATTTAGAAACACTTCCTTATATCTGAAACTGATAGATTAACATATGTTCAGACCTGGTATGGGATGGATGAATGGTTGGATGGATGTTAGATGGTTTATTGGATGGATGGATGAAAGCATGTACGGATTGATGGGTGGATGAATTCCTTAGGCCAAGCTGACTGATTTGATGTATTAGACGTGTTGGTGTGTAATTCCATTAAGCCAGAGGATGATTGAACTCTCTCAGCCAATCAGAGAGCTGGGAGGGAGTGGGGCACTTTCCCGAATTCTGACGGTCAATAAAATTTAACTTGTTTCCAGTTTTAAGTACAGATAGTTCAGAAAGATCAGATTCAGCAGTCTGTTTGTCATGTAACGTCCAGCAATGGTCAGTTTCTAGGTACAGTTTGACCATTCAACATCTGGTCAAAAAGGAGACACAAGACTGCATGTGACCCCTCCAAATCAGCCTGCCTCCATTCCACCAGCTGGAGCTCAGAGCCTGCGGCTCTGAACACAGATAACGAATTGTCAACAATAATGTTCCTCAAGGTCCAATCTTTCAGGATTCTTCATGCCTCCATATAAGGAACAGTCGCAGCCCGGAATAGTTACTAAGTCAAAGAATGATTTCCTAAATCAGATATGAACTTCTACAACTTAAAAGCTAGATAATCATTTAATAAACATTTGTTTATTGCTACTTATAATAATTATAATAAAATGAAATGTTTCATTAATCTGTGCTCAATGATTGAAGTTTGAAATGAATGTTATGTTATGATTACAGTGATTGAAATATGTTTCAGCGTGTTAATATGACAAGGTCATAACCATTTGCACTCACACAAGGACAAAATAAAGTTAAGTTAAACTCTTGCCACGTCCATTACCCAGATCAGAGCATCCGGTATCAAAAAAGGCGTGTGTTTCTGAGATTCTTGGTAATATTCCTCAAACTTGTCAACCTCTGGTTGGCTACACAAATCATAACATGAGAACATTAAAACCAGGTCACTCTGGTAGGTCCTAGAGGTGTGAATCTTCACTTGTCTCCCGATTCGATTCGATTACGATTATTGGGTAAACGATTCAATTCAATTCGATATCCCAATGCATCATGATGCATCACGATTATTTCATATTGATTTGTTTTCATTGATGAATAGAAGATGTCAGATAATTGCTTTTTATTATTATTATTGTTTATCTAAAACGTAATTGACACAACCTGCCATCCCTCAAAAGCTCTCCATTCACAGCAGGTTAGGACAAAACATTTTAAACATTTAAGAAGATTTAACAAAGTAAAACAATCCGTTTCCTCGTTCAACACCACGCCTCAGGCTGAGAAAAACATGCTTTGCAAAAAGTCACAAAATCTAAAAAAATACTGAAAACCTACAGGAAACATAATGTAATAATAAAATCCATAATGGGTTCATATATGAGTGTTTAATGTCTCTGAGCAGCTCTAGAGTCAGATGTTTATGCCGCAGTTCAAGGGTGTCAGAAATAACACCAAATGAAATGTTTGACTTAGTTTGTTATTTTATTTGAACCCAGTGGTTCGTTTCTGAAATGTTGGAGAATGAATCAAGTTCTGTTTGATGCAGAAAATAATAAAACATCAAACAAATTCTACACTTTCAATAATATTTAAGATGTGTGTTTTATTCTTTCTGAAAATAACACCAGCAGAAGGCTTTGGGCTGGATTAGGATTAAATCACTCAGCTGATGGATCTCTTTCACTAACCAGCTAACCTTTCCACTAACCTGTCCTGTGTGACCCTCACCATGTGACCCTCATGTCCATGCTGTCTCTGGAGGAGCAGATAGGAAACAAGATCTCATGTAACTTGAAATGAGCCAAAGCTTCCTCCCAGTTTCTCTTTAAACTTAATTTAACATCAGTTTATCATCATGAAACAAAAGAATAAAGTGGAACAAGAACTTCTATCTTCTATTTCTCTCTCCTTTTAACTTCTCCGTGTCCCTAAATAAAAGAGAGAGACGATCACGCTGCAGCTGCCATCATTGACCCAGCCCCTCCCCAAGACCAGATCTCCCGGCATCACAACACTCGGTCTGTTTGAGCCCTTCGAGGAGAAATAATAATTAAATTATGAAAATAATAGTGTGTGTTTAGAGCATCGGTTTGGAAGAGCATCCTCCGATCCTCTCTTGTGTGAGCAGACAATCTCTCTCTCTCTCTCCTTCTCTCAGTTGCTGTGCGAGCGAGCGGATCGCACCGTGTGACAACCCGTTCAATTAACGTAATTCACTGCCCAAATCCAACAGAACCGGTTGGGCTGATTCGGGTCCGGTTCGGTCTCAGGTTACAACTCTAGTGCTCAGCCCTGCAGTACCACATTAAGGCGGAACCACTTGGTAAATGTGGAGGACGCTCACTCTGACAGATCTGGATGCTGCGCTGGTGCAGTCGTTAAAAAAAAACTACATTCCACTATAATCGATTATGGCGTTCTCTTCTACGATGCAGAACAGTTCATGTCCGCATCCCGATGCATCGATTGTTTGATTATTTTCCTCAGCTCTAGTAGTTCCTCAGTTCTAGAGAAAGCTTCAGACCGGCCATCTGAAGCAAAACCCTCTTTAACCCTTCAAAGCTTTTGACACGTCGTCCAAACATTTTTTCACCTGCGGATGTCACAAAGTGGAAAAGTTTGGATTTAGTTTAAATTACATGATTTGTGTTTTGCTGTTGGCATGCTTATTTTGTGTTTTGAATGTTTTTTTTCCCCTTTGTGGTACCTCCCAGAGACACTAATTAGAACAAGTGGGAACAGGTGTGGAATGGCCACAGGTGCAATGGAAGTATAAAAGGAACTGAGGAGAGAGTCCAAGAGAGCAGCAGACACCTGAGACATGCATGAGGTCTGAGAGTGAGAGACGCCCCTGGACGGTGACGTCTCTGGCAAGGACACGAACGCCTGACCACCCGGGAACGCAGAACGGCACCTGGAGCACCGTCCCGGGATGTGGACAAGCGACCAAGTGTGGAGGATTGTGAGTTGCCCTCTCCTCCCCATGTGAGTGGTGCGATGTTGGTGCTGGTGCCTCTGCATCTTGTTAGGGCCTTGGGCCGAGGAGGGCGCGTCGTGTCCAAGGAGCGGAGCTGTGCCACGGGGCTGCAGAGAGACTGGCGGTGTGCGCAGCAGCCAGCGGGCAAGAGGACGACGCTGGAGCCATGGCGGCAGCACAGACAGGTTGCTGCAGAAGGACGACGCTGGAGCCATAGTGGCAGCACAGACAGGTTGCTGCAGGAGATCGACTTTGTGCCTGTCAGCCAAAGGACAAGGTGGGGCAGACTGGGTCCCAGCTACGTGGGTCAACACGGGTCAGCTGGAGCCAAGAGGTGGCTCCTTGTATTGGACACTGTCCCACCCCTGGTGCTGCACAGGATGTGTTAGACTGTTTTTAGGACTGCTTTTATGTTTTTACTTCTTCAGCCTCTAAAGGACTTGAACTTTTAGCTGTGTTTTGCTCCTCCAAATAAAAGACTGGTTTAGTGTTAAGTGGTTCCCCTGCCTGTTCTTTGGACCATGAGTTGCTTGCTTTCCCCCTTGTATCCGGAACCTGCAGCCGTGGACGGGCTGCTGCGGGGTGACACGAAGGAGCCTACATTTGTGGCCTTTAATCTGCCGATCCTGCCATTCCATCAGCTGGAGTCCAGGCCTCTCTGCAGCTCAGAACACAAGATAACATATTGTCAACAAACTGATCCCTTCTCAAGGTCCTTCTGTGCCAAGCCTGCCTACTTATCTAGGCCGGTGTCGGTGCAGGATCTGCTCGGGTGCAAGATCGGCTCGGGGTCCGTCGACTGCCGATGACGTCAAAGTAGTTGATTGGCTGAACATGCACCTTATGGAAGTTACGTAATCACATTACGTTGGTCCAGACAAATTTTTCTAAATGGACAACTTTTACAAAGAAATCCATCATTACCTTTTAAAAAGGGACTTATCACAGCCTTACCATCACCTCTCAACTTCCTGAGAGCAGAAAGGCCACCATTCGAAAGGCATCGAAACGTTACACAATTAATAGTAAGTATGATTGTGACCTAATGTTGATTTTTAGCGACTCTTTGAAAATACACCTTTAGCATAGAGCTGCATGTATATTAGGGCTGAATGATTAATTGCATGTGCACTTAAATTGCGATGTGACAAAAGGAGATTTTCTAATCGCAAAGGCTGCAATTTTGACTCACAGCGAGTGGTTAGTGCAATGCTAATACACGTGGAAAAACCCATAGGAATGCTAATATCACTGATTTCATTCTTACAAATTATGAATGAGAAACGTGCCAAATGATTACATTTGGAGTCTAATAGAAAGTAAAACTACCATCAATCAAATAAGTACAGACAGGTATTTTAGTAAAGCCAGAAAACTTTTAACTCCAGAGTTTTGGCTAGCAGCTATGAGCATAACTGAACTACGCATGAACAAGACATCAAAAACTAAACACAAAATACTTCAATAAATGGGACACACTTCTTTCCTGCAAATACAATTTCACAGGTGTTGCTTATACCTATGATCCTTCAAGGGATGTGCTCCTGGCTGCAAAGCATTGCACCTTCAAATACTACAATGTGTTTGTAGACAAATAAACTTGTAGATATGATATGTAGATAAATATGTAGATACATAAACTTGTTTATATTCAGTACAAGTTACATAGAATTTTTTTTGCTTCTGCTAGTTGAAAAATATGAGAAAAGCCCCTTGAGAAAATAATTGTGAATTAAATCGCAATTGCAATATTCAAGAAAAAAATCGCAATCAGATTACTTTCCAAAATAGTTCAGCCCCAATGTATATATAGTGCAACCAGTTGTGCTTAAGTGCTAAACAAATGTTTTATTTCCCTGGTGCATTAGATGAACACCTGTATTACAAGTACCAGAGCAAATTCCGCTTGGTGGTGTTTCAGTCGCAAATTTGCGATGTATTGCCACGACGACTTTGGTAGTGGGGGACATCCTGGCAGACGTCGTACACTTGAAAAGGTGTCATCATCCTACCACTGGAAGACCTTATTCAAGGATGTCAATAAATGGGTGACAGTTTTCTTCTATCCAGTTGTTCTTTCAAACAAAATATGGGCTACTCTGATGGGAAAAAAAACTACAAAAAGCCTACAGTGCTGGTCCACCAGTTAAACCAGCACCAAAATACAACATATACTGGTAACCACTTATGCTGGTCTATGCTGGGGGGTCCCAGCTGAGTATGCTCAGTGGAAGTGGCCATTACATCTGACTAGTTCTATGTAAATTGTGATATATTTAATTTGGTGTCATCACTACATTGCTCCAAATAAGCTGATGTGTGTCAGAAAATGAACCAAAATTAATATATCTTTTTTAATAGGTTGATGAGTGTCCCCGCTGTCAGCAGCATGACACAGTAAAGACTGTTGCACCTGTCCTTCATCCAATCCAAGTTCAGGGAGCATGGAGTGTTCTTGGAATAGATCTGATTGGTCCCCTTCCTACCACTGCAAAGGGCAAAAGGTTCATAAGATTTTGTGTTAAATATGTAACTGTCTTTGAAGTTTGTAAATGCAAATGGTTTAAAACAGAGAACATGAAATTCATGCAATACATGTTTTGAACAATCTGCATTATATGTTCCAGGTTTATTCTTACAGCCACAGATCTCTTCACAAAGTGGGTTGTGGCAAAATCCCTCTACACTAAAACAGCAACTGAGGTGTCAAAAGAAATTGTCAATATTCTTCTTGATTTTGGACTGGTAGAGAGGATCATTACTGATCAAGGATGGGAATTTGTAAACGAGGTACAATTGTGTACTTTAAAGCCATGAATTAGCAACTTAGATTATTTGTAATGGATAATACTGTATTTTCTAAGGTGTACACTAATGTGTCTGCAGGCCAGTCAGTCGTGGTGTTTTTGAGGCTTTGAATGTCAAACATTGCATTACATCAGCCTACCATCCCCAAGCCAATGGACAGGATGAGCGCACCAACCAAAATATAAAGACAGCACTGGCCAAATACTGTGGGGAGGATCAAAATGATTGGGACATCCATTTAAGAGGAATTGTGGCGGGGATCAACACATCTAAACAGGTAATATTATTTAAGAAGTTGTGATGGAACGTTATTCACCAAGATAGACTGAAAAATGTTATTGATTGTATTTTTTTAACAGAGATCAACCAAGTACACACCTTACTGTGCTATGTTTGGAAGACAACCTCGCACACCTGGTGTGATAAACATCACCCAAGAAGGGGGGGATGACAGATCAGTTGTTGTAGAGGAAACAGAGGATCATCTGGAGGCCAAGACTGCAGCAGTTGCTGATCTGCATGCAAAGGTGATTATGAAATGGAAATCTATTCGTCTAAAAAACTACAATGTAATGTTTTGTTTTGAATAATCATTTTATGAGCATTTTATATTTTCTCAGATTTACCAGAATATTAAAAATGCACAGGTCAGACAGAAGAAGGAATATGAGTCCAAAAAAGACGTCATGTGAAATCCTTCCACTTCGAAGTTGGTGATGAGGTCATGAAAGCAAACAAATGAAAGGAAGGTCGAAAAGGAGGGCGGCTGGAAGCCAACTGGTCTGGGCCCTACGTAATAGCCTCACTTTCAGAGAAGGGTGTGGCAACGCTGTTGAACAAATCAGGGAATCAGTTTAAACAAAGCATTAATGTTTCACAGCTGAAGCCTTTCATCAGCCCTGAACTAAGAGGTATTATCATTGTTCTTATAAAGACACAATGTAGTATGTGTAGATCTGTGATATTTGCATCACCTTCTCTTCAGAGTCCAAAGAGCCAGACATGTCAACCACTCAAGGTGATATCTTCCAAGGTATATTTATGAATGCAGTTTAGTCAGTCAGTATGGGTATAGTAGTAAGGAACAGAACCTATTTGTACTCAGAAGAGATGTCTTTTTGAATTTTAACTACTAACAATTATAATTTGCAAGTGTTTTAACCACTAACAGCGGTGCAGGAGCCAGTTTCTAGTCAGCTGGTAACGCAGCAGGCTACACATGATCATGACTACTTGCCTGGTCAGGGATGTAAACAGACTATCAACCCAGTTCAAGCCATGCTGGTGGGTATTAATGTCTGCTGTGAATGAAATTTTTAAATGTATATTGTTTAAATCTCACAATGTGTTTTCTATTTTTAAAGTACATTTTGCAATTTATTATTTTAAGCTCAACTATTTACTTGATAAAAACCGATCTGGAACAGAGATTGTTGTCAAGGATGGGGATGTCTGTCTGACACGGGAAGACTTCTGGAGCTTGGGCCTTCCTCAATGTATGGAAGCCAATGTAGGTATATTAAGACTTTTATTAGGTTGGAGAGGAATCCAAAAGGTACTGACTTTTGTTACTCTGTTGCAGATTGGAAATGCATGCTTCAGACTTGTCAAAGAAGCTGCCCAAAGACATGTATGTTTTTGTTGTGTATTTAAACCAACATAATGCCCTTGGTGAAGTAGGCCCTAATCTAATCCCTAATTTTTATTTTCTGAGTGGTGTATTCTGATTAATGACACATACATGTAACATGACACATGTAATCAAACTTTCCATTTTTATCAATGTAGGGAACAGATGTCCACATTCTAGACATGTATGCTGTTCCAACATGGAAAACAAAGATGGACGACCCAATGACGGTTCTACCTGTAAGTTTTTCCTTGTTATCTGCTCTGTTCTTTGATGGAGCTTGACAGAATATAACGCAAATTTACTTGTTTAAATGCCAGGGTGACATCTTTTCAAAAGATGTTATAATCATCCCTGCCTGGAGTCGACAACCCGGAAAACCTGACCACTACTTGCTTTGCGTGAGTCTGTTTCAAATCTTATCAACAGTCGAACTACATTTTTACTCCTATTTATTCTCAACGTTTATCTAATTTTAGAGTGTGTCTAATTTTCTTTTGGAAAATGGTTCACAGGTACTGAAGCCAGCAAAGAGAGAGCTTTTTTTTGCTGGACTCGCTCAAACCAGATGGCTTTAGCGACAGTGGTTTCCATACCATCTTTAGGTTTTTTCAACATAAAAATCAGCCCTGTTCTGTGGCTTGTTCAGTTTGGGAATTTTACAGAATTCATAGTATTCCAAAAATGCAGGTACACAACTCATTGGCTTTATCTGGCAAATGACAAAATTTAATTTCTAAAAATTATTCTTAAAGATCACATCTGCTTGAGGATACTATGAATTTCAACGTTTTGCTTGAATAATAATGAACACACAACCTCGTTCAAAGGCTGTTTTAAAGTTAGGCCTTGTTCAAAGGCTATTATAATTTTAGATTTGCCTTGGTTTAGCCCTGTTCAGTGGCTTTTTTTTAAACACAAATAAAAGTATGAGGTTGCTAATTTGTATTTCTGGTGATTTTGACAGTGACCTAGCTCATCGCATTTCTCCAGGCAAGTGGGCAACAAAGTATGGAAGAGACACTGAGGCACCCCAGTGTATCAATATTGTATTTCTGTGCACATGTCCTTAAACCTGATTTTATCCTAACTTTTTATACCCAACACACAGGGTTTTCCTCACCAAACAGCTGGGAACTCTTGCGGCATCTTCATGTTGATGGTAAATAGTTTTATTCTGTTCAAAAAATCTTTGGTGTTATTTTAAACTTCATTTCTGAAAAACTTTAATTTTTTTTTACAGTATGCACTCAACATGACCACAGGCATTCCATTTTCATTCACAGAGGTCAGAATTTCTCCTGAATAAGAGGAAAGTATAAAAGAGGGCCATAGATTTCATACTTTGTAAGGCCAAGCATAAGCTAGGTTTGCATGCTGGACTAATGAGGCTAAAGCATTGCTCCAAGGGTCACTGCAACCAATATACAGGATCCCAAAGGCCAGAAATGGGGACAATGAGGTTAACTTGGCGAAAGCATCTAATTGCATGTCTCTGTTTGTGATCGAACCATTCACAAACTCCTAATGACGCTTCATACTGGAGGTAATCTCAGTTTAATTATTTTCTTAAACTTCAGCCATTGAACACAGCTGAACACACAACATATGCACATTTCTTCCATCTCAGGAACATTTCAAAGCTGAGTCCCATTCTGTCCTGCTCTGAACTCTGAGATTGTTATCCACACCTTCATCTCCTCACGCTCAGTGTTGGGAGTAATGCGGTACAAAAGTAATTAATTACTGTAATGCATTGCTTTTTGCTGTAATGTGGTAATGTAGGGCATCACAGGGAAAGAAAAGCAATAATATATAAGCATTTAATATTTCCACATGTGATAGAATCAGATCCCCCCAGAAGTCAGTCCCACATCCAGGGCCGTATCAAGGCATTTGGGGACCGATGAAAAATAGGCTTGGAGCCCCCAGCACCTCACATCCTGCTCAGTTAATCTAAGATGGCAGCATGCTGAGAGTACAGTTTGTTGTTGCATTTATTTAATGAAGAACTGTTATTATATCTGACTGTTTTTAACAGCAATCCTAGCTCAGACACCACATCACTTTCCACTGCATGTGTCGTGAGTTCACTGAGTGTCACATGACCTAATTCATATTGAAATTGTTTTGGTGAAAGTAACTTAAAGTAATGCAAAAGTAGTGTAATGCCTTACATTTTAAAACTGATCACGGCCTGACGCTACCATTGCTAAATTTAGCATTTAGCTGTTTAAGTGCAGAGATGAAACACTGAATTATCCCTCAAACAGTCACAAATTGTTATCAGCAGATGCAGCCAGGTGGGATTTTTAGTTGCTGAAAGGCACTAATTATACTAAAATCCACATAGGATAAGAACAACAGCATAAACAATCAGGTTTAATAAGCAAGGCACTTTTCACATGTCTGCATTCGTTTATTTTCATTTAAATTTAAAGAGAAGGTTCAACATACCTCATTTTTCTATTACTTATTTTGCCTTGAAGGACAATACCATAGTTGAGCAGAGTACTCTCTTAAAAATGCTGGGTTATTTTTCTAACCAAACTGCTGGGTTAAGGCTGAATTTTTAGAGGTTGGGTCAATTTAACACATCATTGGGTTAAAAATTCTGACCCAGCGTATTGGGTTAAAAAAGGCGGGAAATAGTAAGATCCTCCCCCTTGTCTGTGAGCCCACTTCACCATTTTAAACCAGAGGATGACACGGACATTAATGGAGCTTCACACCAGCAAGGATTTAAAATAAGGTAAGATGTTACTAATAAAGAGTTTAAAGATTAATTTAATTAAAACTGGACATGTAGTTGATAAAGTAACGGATTTTTAGCCTGTCTGTTCAAGACAACCGACTTATAGTTTAGATTAGGTAGCTGGCTACTTAGCTTCCTAGCATCGACATATATATATACATATATATATATTTTTATTTTTTTATTTTTTTAGATAGAAAGGAACACAGAATCCGCACTACAAGTGCTCTGGAAAATGTTGTGATCTTCTGTCCACACTCCCTGACATGGTGAAGCTCTACTGGGGAATGTTAGGCCTTCTGGCTATTTTATACCAGCGGTAGCATCCCCGCTAACAGCAGAGGGCCTTTATGCTACAGTCATGTGAATAATGTTACACATTTCAATTTTACAGATAAATGGGTGGATGTGGCTTTGCTGTTGCTGCCAGTGCTTCTCCAAACGGCACCATACAAGTTGAAGGAGAGCATTCCGACCAAGCAGAGGTTCAGCAGGCCTTCACTGACTTCCAACCTGTAAGTTCTGTTATTTTTTACTTCAGTTATCATTCACAGCCCACTCCAAATATGTTTCAACAGCTGTTTGTGAAATCATAACCTTTATGCCTAAATCTGTTCTTTTTTTCCTCTATCCCCCTCAACTTAGACTGGAACCAGCCGGTGAAGAACCTGAATGGGACCACAGTGGAGCACCACATGTCCTTATGGCTGCAGAAGACCATCGATGTTCCCAAGAATTTGTGATCATCAGTGGAACTGGAATACCCATCTGTTCTTAAACATTTTTGTGTTGATGTCAACTCTCCAAAACCACGCGCACAGATTTTGGGGTTTAATCAGACATTTATCTTTGCATCATGAATCAAATGCTGTGAAGCTCTGAGGGCTCATGTTGCTATGATGTAAGGTTGATGTTCTGCTGACTAAAGCATTAAGGTGAGTGTTGGGTGTTGATGGACATTTACTTCACTACAGTTCTTCCATTAAAGTTGTTTAACGTGTTGAAGACATTACAAATTACAAAATGTTTAATATTTGTCATTAAAAAAATGCAATTAGTAGTCATTTACAAAACAAGTTTGAAAATGAATGCATGTTTGAGAAAGTAGAAAATGCAACGTTATTATCTATGTATTTTGAAAATTAACATAATTTTTGTGATAAAGATTTGACTGAGACATGTCCAATTTGTTTTATTGAATTATTCAATTTGTATTTTATTTATTGTATTGTATTTACTATAGAATTGCGTCATTTTAACCCAAGCTTTAGTAATTTAATAACCCAGAAGTTGGGTTTTATTTTAACCCAGTTTTGGGTAGTCCTAACTATACAGTTGGGTCATTTTAACCCATTGATTGGGTAGAAAGCCTAACCCAATAAGCTGGGTCAAACTCATAACCCAACCCTGCTTGGTTAAAATAACCCAGCACTGGGTCGGTCCCTTTTTGACCCAGCACCTGGGTTACAAAACAACCCAAATTGGGTTATTTTTAACCCAGCAGTTTTATTTGAATGATCTCTGTAAAATTTATTTCTTCATCAAACCCCACAAGTCTTCTCATCATTCTGCTCCACTGTTTCTCCCCCTTCACTTTTTCCTCTTTGCTTTCCTCTGATATCTATTCCTTATTTATCATTATTTACTTCTGTTCTGGGCTTTCCAAAACCATAAATTAAGTTCTAACACAAAAATGTGTTCCCTTTTTATGTCCTCTCTCCCTGTTTTCATTCCAACTCCGGTGTGTGTGCCTTCTGACAGAAGTCCTAACCTGCAGCTTGCCTCAACCAGGTGTAGCACTATAAATGAAAGGTTTGCAGCCAGGTTCCTCTCTCAGGGATGCCTTCTGCTACATCTTGGTTTTCTTTGGGTTCTCAGTTGACCAGACAGATTGAGTAAAACATGGCAAATAAAGGAGATGAATAAAAAAGAATGAGTAACAGAGATCTGACACCAGTAAAAAGAGCGGCCAGACGTTATTCCTCCCTAAGAACCCACAGCATTGTTTTGTTTTACTCTCAAATCGGGTAAAGAAGGCTAGAGGCTAACATTCATCTAAATATGCTAAAAGTGAATTAGAAACAAATCTCAAGCTACTTATTCAACAACTCAATATTTCAGTAGCTATATTTACATGCGTCACATTTCCCCTATGCCATTCAAATCGGAAATCCCAAATCTCTGTTAGCATGGACAGTAACTGAAATGAGCCAATCATGCTGGGAGTATAAATGCAAAAAGCATTCAATCAGATGAAATAGGTTGAGCATGCACAGAGTTGTCTTTCCCAGAAAAATAAAGGATGTAAACAAACATCATTTTGTCTGCACGTCTTTTCACACACATTTTATTAGATTTTTTCTAGTTTTGTCTTTTGTCTTACCTTTCCAGTGGTTTTGATTTGGTTGATACTTCAGTGAATTCCCGCTTCCTGTGTTTTTAGATGCACTTGAGAGTATCACCTGGCATTTCTAGCCTTTTGGCCATCAAGACGTTCATTAATATTGAGCTCCTGTAGTGTTTCCAGTAAACAGTGCACTTCTGTTTACCTCCCGCCATCTTTTGACTTTTCCTGAGCGTGTGAAAGGCGGAAAGACGTCACGCTGACGTTGTACACATGCACAGTGGGCCTTCTTTTACCCCAACAATCTGAATAGGTGTGTACATCAATCATAATGATGACTGGATTAAACCGCCTCTCTCAATCGGAAGGAAACTCCATTTGGACTGTATTGGATCAGAATGTTCCGATTGGCATGTTTACATGAAGAATTTTTGCTGTGATAGAGCATTGGTTTTGATTATTTGTGCCCATGTAAACATAGCTAGTGAAATGTATTTACCTACTTATCAAATCGTTATGTATTACTCATCTTCACTTGTCATCTAGAATCTTCTGATGCTGATCTGCAGCTGGCAACAATCCTGAAACTGACAGAATAGGATGAGAAAGTCCCCCGTGTGTTTTGAAAGTGTGCTGCAGTTCCCAAATTTGACAACAGGAAGTCATTCTCTCTTCACTCTTAGTCCAGGCATACAGTGTGCGGGTTTTGGCATATTTTGAGCTTTTCCTCTCTTGCGACTGACTTTGAGGTCAGGCCGAGTTTCGCATTGATGATAATGATAAATAACCCGCACTTGTATAGCGCCTTTCAGAGCCAGAGGACTTAAAAGCGCTTTACACTCTAGTGTATCATTCATCCATTCACACAAAACATTCACACACAGGTGATGATGAGCTACAATGTAGCCAAAGCTGCCCTGGGTCGAGGCTGCTGAGCACAGGCGCCACCGGTCCCTCTGACCACTACCAGCAGGTTAACCGTCTCAGGCTCAAAATAAATTTTGATAAAAGGACGAACAACTAAGTCCTTCAGGGGTAATTCTGAGTTAAAAAAATACTCATGAAACACGTATGTGCTACCTACCAGGTAGGTAGGTTTTAGCTGTTGCAAATCTGCAACGTCTGCCTCCAGAGGGTTAAGTGTCTTGCCCAAGGGCACAACAGTAGAATTCTCTGTTCAGAGCTGGGATTGAACCTGCAACTTTTCAATTACAGGACAACCTGTTGAGCTGTTGCTGCCCCTGTGTAGTATACAGGGGGTAACTAGGTGCAGATTACCATCTCACGATCAGCAGTTGTGCGGTCGCACAAATTTGGTCATCCCTCATCAGAAATGTTGTTAGCACGCATCTTGTTGGAGCAGTTGGGTCACATCTGAGCATTGGGTCGTACAGTGTGAGAACATGACTCGTGAGCTTTGCTCTGCGAGGAAATCGTACAGATGAAGCTGAATGCTACGAGTGAAAAAGTAGCACAGTGTGTGTCTGCCTTTACACAATGCACCATTAAGCAATACCGTTTCACAAAACTTGGCTCACTGTTCTTTTCTTTCACCTATTTCATTGTTTTGCTTTGCTTTCCCCTGGAACATTGCATCATCCTACTAACACCATTGTGTCATGCTGATATGAAGTAGTATGTTGGAGCCGACTCTCAGTCATCAAGGACTTGGTCTGTCCTGGGAGGTTTCTTTTTCTTTAGTGATTGAGCCATTTTTCTTGGTTTTATGCTGTTTCACTTCAGAGAACAGACAAAACAAGAAGAACTAGAAAATTTGCATTTCTTGCAGAAATGATTTTTGAATGCTGGATGCTGAAACTGTAAGCTGAAGCTGCTGAACATCTGAACTGAAGCTGAAACTAAGCAAAACTGTCAAAATGACCTGAATGCATTGAAAGACGTAGAAGTAAAAAGCACCAACAAGCAAGTGATGTAAGTGAAGAATGGAGAAAAATAATCCTAAACAGCAGAAAACTGAAATCTGAGAATATTGTGTAAAAAAATTGTTTGGCTAAAATACCTAAACACTTGTTATTTGAGTAGGACTAGTTTAACTGTTTAATTTTTACATTTAGCTGAACTGTGAAATGAGCAGCATATGCTGAATTCAGAAACTGATAGCTGAAATGAAGCTGAAACTATGCTAAACTGTCAAGATGAGCTGAATGTATTTAAAGATTTAGAAGCAAAAATCACCAACATCTGTAATCAAGCTCAGAATATAGGTGAAGAGCTGAGAAAAATATGCTAAACAGAAGTAAAATTGAATATCTGAACATTGATTAAAAACTCGAAAGCAGCTGGCATTTGAGTAAGAATAGTTTAACGGGTACATTTTTACAATTGGCTGAACTGTGAATTTAGAAACATTTGCTGATGTCTGAAACTGATAGTTTAACATATGTTTAGACTTGGTATGGGATGGATGGAGTGATGGATGGATGGATAGATGGATGGAAGCATGTACAGATTTATACATGAATGGACAGATTCCTTTGGCCAAGCCGATCAATTTAATAAATCAGACGTGTGGGTGTGTAATTCCATTTAGCCAGAAGATGATTGAACTCTCTCAACCAATCAGGGAGCTGGGAGGGAGCGGGACACTTCCTCACCTTCTAGCGGTTAGTCAAATTGAACTTGTTTCTAGATTTAAGTACAGATAGTTCTGAAATATCAGAAACAGAAGTCTGTTATTGGCTCGATATTCAGCTTTTTATATTCATTCCTATGAGACTTGGTTAGAGTGATCTGGAGTTCCTTGTGTTGCCATGGTAACAGATGACAGGAGTCCGCTTTAAAGAGCAAGTTACCCCCAAATAAACTTTTTTTTTGCTGATAAACTAAATAAACGAGTGTCTAATCATCCTGCAGACACATGTAGTCAATAATTTGGCACTTCAGTGCATCTTAGTTCAAATTTAAATATTCTGCCTAAAACTGTCAGTGTTGTGCCGTTGTCAGGTAAAAACTCTGCACTGTATTCTAATTTAAATCTGCCACCGCTATTGGCTAAGAGGTATGCTATGATGTAAACTGGTACATTATGATGTCACAATGCTGTGGTGAGCCTGTGTGTGTGTGTGTGTGTGTGTGTGTGTGTGTGTGTATTTGTTAGCAGCTCCGCCCTCTCGGTCTGCCAGGCAACAGCATTTATTGCATTTTTCAAACATGAAGTGGGAGTGGAGTTAGAATCTGGTAGGGGTTGACTTGCTCTTTAATAAAGCTATGTCCAATGTCACATGACTTTTAAAATTTGAATAACATTTTTATGTTAAAGTATGTTGATAAAGTTGTGTTTGAAAAGTTATTAAATGTTGCTAAGCAAGTTGCCATGGTAACACAGAACACAAATTCTAGTTAATACAAGACTCCTGAGACCAAGCAGGGTTGTATCATATGTGTGGCTGCTTATTTCCTTTTAGGTAGGGTGACCATACGTCCTCTTTCCCCCGGACATGTCCATTTTTCACTCTGTCCGGGGCGTCCAGGGTGGGGGGAGGGGGTGGGGTTCCCTATATTGATCAAAAATGTCCGGATTTTCATCCAGGAGCAGGGATCGAATTATGGGGGCTAGATATCTTTCAGGGAAAGATCCAGTTTCTGCCTATATTACAATATTTATGGACTCTCAGCGTAGCGGGATTCTGTTGAGCGGAGAGGACACAGAGCACTGATCATTTGTCCGCCCCATGTATCCACAGCACGATACATTCTCAAGGTGGTGCAACAAAACATTATTAACACATGATCGTTCATATCTGTTTATATCCTCTGGTACTCTGTCTATTAATCGTTCCTGACGTGCTCCGCTCATCGTGTGCTGCGGTGATTTCACCTCACTGACGCAGCATCGAAAGCGCACTCCGCTTTGCGGTCAGGAGATCCCTTTGATCTGCTTAGTTCAAAAGTAACTGATGAGGTGAAAAAGTAAGAAGCCAGGCAGCAGCTTTTCTGGAGAATTTAGAGGAGATGCAGGAAGATGAGAGACAGACAGGACAGGACAACAGTCAAATCAAAACAAGAAAACAAAGCAAAGCGTTTGAAAGTAAAATGTAGGTAGATTTATCTCCACTGCACATTTTATAAAACCATAAGTGATACAAAATGACTCATCATAATACATGTGACAGCCCCATCTAGTGACAACTTTTGTTTCTGCACATACCTGTATTTATCATCCATTTATCGTTATCGAGGTTAAATCCTCAATATATTGTGATATTGATTTTAGGCCATATCGCCCAGCCCTAGTGTGACATCATCGGTAGGCACAGATCTTCCGTCCTCTTTTTTAGAAATGGAAATATGGTCACCCTATTTCAGGCTGAAGACGATCGAAAACTCTCAGCCAATCAGAAAGCAGCAAAGGAGGGGGCAGTTCCTGCCTTCTGACAGTTGTTAAAATGTCAGCTATGCTGCTAGTTTTAAGTGTAGAGAGCTCAGAAAGATTAGAAACAGCAGTATGTTATACGCTCATTATTAGGCTTTTCATATTCATTTAAATGAGACTATTCGTTACAATGAGCTAATCAGAGAGCAGCACTGTTTTCCCGTGTTTTTCCCTGTTGTTGGAGGCCTGCAGCTGTACTCCTATTAATGAGAGAATCCTTTAAATCTGTCCTTCAGAAATGAAATTGGAGCTGTCAAACTTATCATCACCATTTGAAAAGCACTGCACCAATTCAAAAAATTAAAAAAGTGTGAGCAACAGAAGGCCTTGGCGGTCATCTGTATAAAGTCTTGTGTGCCTACCATGAATGTTCTAGAAGATATGAGGAGAACATTTCAGCTGTCTGTCGGCCACAGGAACCTTCTTTATAAGGGGGTTAAATTGAGGAAAGCTGGCACAGTCCTCCTTCTGAGGGTCATAGCACCAAAACCATAATACAGAAAAACCAAAGACATTACGTTGAAGCTGACAAAGTAATCTACTGAATTGGAGAAAACAGTGCTGCAGGCGGGACTTCAGCCCCAGGTTGTGATTCTGTTTGTCAGAGAGCCAGGTCAATTTGGATCTCGGGAGGAGAAAAGTCTGGAGGTGGCGTTGGGGGATTGGATGGTGGCTGCATGCTGGGCCTCCTCACCTGCAGGGGGCTCCAGTTGTGTGGCTGCTCTCTTCTCATGCTCCTCCTCTTGGTTTTTCGAGGGCGACTCCTCTTCTCTTTGCTCGCTGTCGACTGGGCGAGCTCGCTCAGCGTGTCTGAAGACTCGTCAATGTATGCTAAGTTCTCCCCAAAGAAATCCAACAACTGGCAGTCTGGTGAGGGGGTGATGGGGTCGGGAGGGGAAGGAGGACACACCAGTTGCAGTTCAGTGGGAGGAGGGGTGGAGCGAGACTGAAAACTTTCAACAGGTGACTCATTGTGGCAACTGTTTGCTCTGAGTTCCAAATTCTCTGCTGAAATCTGTTTGCGTGTCTCTTGGTCGGTGTTGACTTGTGTAACCCTCATGTCTGCATCTTCCTCTCTGCTGATAGGCTGGAGGACTGGGAGCACAGAGAATGACAGAGAAACCGAGGATCCCTCTGACCTAGAGTCAAACTGAGACTCAGATCCAAAGGGGGACCCCTCGTACATGGCTGCAGCTGTGGAGTCCAGCTGTGAGGTGGATCGGGCAACGGGGAGGGAGAAGGAGCGAGCCAGCAGCTGGTGAAAAGACCTTCCCTGCCCCTGCACACCCACACCCACACCAGGGTCTGCTCTGTTTCCTACCGCCACTCTCATGACCGCTCCCCCTCCGGCTGCTCTCACCCGTGGCCTAGACTTTGCCTCCGCAGCCCTCTGTAGAGAAGAGCGAGCATCCAGCTGGCTCATGGAGCTGGAGAGGCCAGCCCAGCGGTTTGGCAGGTGTCCATTTTCAGATCCTCCCCAGTATCCCAGAGTGCCCTGGGCTCCCCGGCGTATGCGACGACGCTCACTGCGTTTCCAACGCCGGCGCTGAAGGAGGAACGGGTCGTTGAATTCCAGAGGGTTTGGGATGCGGAAGTCCATGTTCTGGGTCCAGTCTGTGGCGTGCACCCTCAACTCCTCCATCTGAGAGGAAAACAATCAGTGATGAGAGTCTGGATTTACTGCAGCTCCTCCTCTCCTGGCCTGTCTAAAAAAAACCTCTCACCTCAGCGCGGGTTTTCTTGGACAGAATCTTCAGCCAGTTACCAATCATGGTGAGGATAGAGGCAAAGTAGGCGAGCCCAAATACGATCCACAACAACACCAGAGGCTTAAAGAAGGTACCATCTTCATAACCTCCCCCTGGACAAAGAGATGCTGAACTTCAGAAGGTTTTAATCCCAAGCGATGCCCCCAAAAGACAAGGAGATGCTAATCTCTAACATATAACATTTTTTTGTAATTACATTTTTCCTAATGTTTTATCACCAGGTGTAGGTGGTATTAATGAATCTTATGTTTATTATGAACTGAGGTCAAGGGGACATAAAGACACTGAATTTCCCAAGAGAAATAGAGTACATCTGAAAAAGAGACGGGACAGAATTTGTATTATTTGTGTGTGTGTGTGTGTGTGTGTGTGTGTGTGTGTGTGTTTGTGTGCGTGTGTGTGTGTGTGTGTGTGTGTTTGCATGCGTGCGTGCATGCGTGTGTGTGGGTTTGTGAGAGAGAGATTAAAAACCTGGCACATAGTCTCCAAATCCAACAGTGGTGAGGGTGATGACCACAAAGTACAGCGACTCCAGAAACGTCCATTTCTCCACTCTCTGAAACACAACTGTTGGCACGGCGAGGAAGATCAAACAGCCAATCAGGATGGAGAGAACTGCCGAGATCACACGCACAGTGTTGGGCTTGATCTTACGTTTCTACAAGAGAGATCCGACAAACGCTGCTCCAGAATTAATCACTTTCAAAGGACCGACATTTCAAGCAGAAATGCAAAGAATAAAAATAATTCTTTACAAACTGATATAATTTCTACGGTAAAAGAAATGTTTGTCAAAATATAGAACAGCAGATCATTTCTCAACAATGCTATAAGTCCATTCATAGTAGTTGGTATTATGGAGTGTAGCAGGGATCAGTTCCCCAGCGTCTGAGAACCGTGCAAATTAATATTTGAGCTCAATTTACCATCACAAGATTTTATGTGATAAAAGAGCTTCTTCATAGTATTTCATAAACTGGTATGTGAATCAAACATTCTCTCCCCCAGTTACCATTACACTGATCCCCCATCCTAATGTGATATCTGCATTTAAAAACAATAAAAGAGAAGTTCTGACTGGATTGAAGAGCTAATGGCTAGTCACAGTTAATCCAGCATGAAAATTGATAAACTCTAAAAACATTGATCAAAAATCTATTTGTTGAAGTTCAACAATTTTCAGGCTATTTTTACAACTGGCAACATGTTCAAATTTCAAAACCCTTTCACAAAAAAGGTGCTGAGGAAAGGAATTGTGATATAATGGTCAAATAAGCTCCATGAACCTTGTGTTTTCTTTAAGCCAATAAAAACTATTGGTAACAACAGTGATGGTAGAACTGTTGTTTTGTGTGGCATTCTGGGACTGACAGGAAATCTGATTGTGGAAAAAGGAAATAATCATGAATAGTAAAGTTTCTTGGCCAGGATACAAACATTGAACAAACAACTGGTCTGTTTACCTCCAGAAGTGAGGTTGTAAGAATGAACTTTATTCATCGAGTACAACAGAAACTTGGCCTTGGCCTTTTAGTATGAGCTGAGATTCAGTTTGGTATAAATCAATCTGAGATCTGTTTCCTGCACAGGCCAGTGGGCGTAAATGTGGGGAGGGGGTGGGGCATGAGGCAGTTCAGATACATTCATGATTTCTACCCCTAACCATAACCCGTGTTTTTCTAGTCCTAACCTTAACCTAAACTAAAAGTTAGTTCACACCGTACCACGGAACAAAGTGTTCTCACCAAGAACAGGGTCTCAATCTTGCCCACAGCTTTCCGTAGCATCGTGCCCATGTGGTCCCCCACTCCGGCAAGCAGGATGCCAAACATTGGGATGCCAACCAGGGCATAGCACATGCAGAACAACTGGCCAAACCACGTCCGAGGTGACAGGTTCCCAAAGCCTGTTTAAAGCCACAAAAGTCTGATAAATTGACATGCACGCGCATAATGAGGTTTAACTTTAACTTAGCTAGATATGCAACTGTTTCTGTTGAGCTTACCTATGGTGGTAATGATGGAACCACAGAAGAAGAAGGCAGAGCCCATGTCCCAGCGGCTGGTCAGGTTGGCAGACAGGTTGCTAACGTCCAGACCTGCCTCAGCAGCAGACACCAGCTCCTGCATGGTTGGGGTGTAGTAAACTATCCTTATGCACAAATTTGTTCTGAAACTTTATTTAGTTTCATTATTTCTTACTTCTAGTGTAGATAAATTATTTAAAAAACGTGAAAAACAAGGAGAGTGACTTTTAGTATTTGTTTAAAACAAAGAATTCAAACCTAAAGATCAACAGTCTGAGCTACTGAAGGTCTCTGAAGGTGGTATGTAACATTGATTCATAGTCAGCTCATAGGTGTTTAATTCTTTCTCAGACTGAGAAGAACCAAGGAACATTTTAAATCCTCCACCTTTTAAGATAAAGCTCCAAAACCTATCACGGGTGAAACTAGAAACCAAATGGCTCAGAAATCCTTCATTCAACCTGCAGTTGGCATAAAATAAATAATGTAAGTGACGGAATATATTTTCATGGTTTTATTATGTGCTTGATGCTTTTTTAAATAAGAACATGATGAAAAAGAGCGATAAGCTGCAGCAGTGCGTCATCTCACTCTGAGTGAGGACCGAATCAGTACAAACTTTAGCTTAGCGGGTCAGAGGATACCTTCACAAGTTCATGGAATTCCACTTCTGAGACACAGGAGTTATTCACAAGGAAGTGCTGTTTGGCTTGTAGCAGGTTTTTGTGTGTAACATTCTCGTTGGGGGTCTCCAGGGTGACGAAAACAAGCGCCCCCATCCCCAGGTACAGCATGACCCCAGTGAGCAGGGTCGTGAGGGTGGTGCATTGCATGTTCTCCCAGCTGACACCCCCACTCCTCCAGGGTTAAAGGTCCAGTTGGGGTCTCAGTCAGGACACAACCAGAGATAAGACATTCTGTCAGAGAAGTATTATATACATTAATAGGTCTGAATGTACTGGATGGAACTGGGACATAATCAGGACTGCTCCATCAAGAAAATAGGTTTTTACCACGAGGCTTGTCTGTTTTCAAGTTTAAACTTTTAAGGATCAAATGTGACTAAGGGAAATTTTCTGATTTAAAGGGGGCCAAGAATGCAGTTTAACACTGGTTTGAATCTCTAAGAAGCATAAGAAATTTTCTTTTGGCTTTCATCTGTCCCAGGAGCCCACACAGGACATAGGGAGCCTAAGTCACTTCCGCATCATGGGTCCCCGGAAGAACGAATAAATGAATGCAAGTCAACGGGGCTAAAAACGCTATTTTCTAATTCTGCTTGTTTTGTGCCATGGATTTCACAAATGATGCCCGTGAATTTTAAAGACACATTTTGATACCAAGAACGTGCTTATTTGCGAACGGGGGGAACGATATTTTAGGTTTTCTGTGAAAATAAGTCCAGAACTACAAATGCGCATCACGAAAGTGACGTCATCAAACCAGACACCGAGAAAACTGAGGGAAAAGGGCTGTAAGTTCAGCAAACTTCCCACAGGAGGAAAGAACCACCATACATCTGGTCATTTGGTAAGTAGCAGCTACATTGGGGAGAGGAGATTATGTGGTGATGTCACATATGCAACGTGCTGATTTCTAGTTTGTAGTCATGCCAATTACAAACTTTTACAAGCTAATAAATTTTAAAGTACGCGACTGACGTGGTCGAAACACCCATCATTACTTTTCATTTATATTGCAGTACAACTTATGTGTGATCCAGGGTGTAAGGCACAGCACATTTGAAAATAGCGTTTTTTAGTCACGTTTACTTACATTCATTTTTTCGTTCTTCTGGGGACCAACGATGCGGAAGTGACTTAGGCTCCCTATTTTACAACCCTGCGGTTTGCCCCTCCCAATTGGCCAGGACATGAATATGCTAATGAGCGGCTTGCTGATTGGTTGGTTTAAACCAGAAGGCTTCAGACACTGGACACTGCAGACTGGAGGAGGAAGGGCTCCACATTGTGAAGTTTTAATAAGAGGTTTCTCAGAAAAGAAGTTTTTCTCTGGCCTTTTAAAACTTTCTAATTTACATAAAAAGTAGGTCACACACGGCTTAGACGTTTTGGCATGCTACTTCTGCCCATCCAAGCTGTCTTTATTCACAAACAACAAGAAAGTGTTGGTTTAGATTCTTTGTCCCCTTTAAAGAGGACATTTTATTACTTTTTTTTTCTTAAGTTATATGGTCAATACAAAACATGTTGATTAAGGTATTTGCACAAAATCTCCCTCATATGATTTCAGTCGTTTCTGTACATTCTAGAATGAGCCGTTTCATGACTCTGCAACAGAGCAAGCCGTCCCCCTGCTAGAGTCCACCCACACTTCCTTTTAAAAAGTGCCCAAAATGGAGAGATTGCCTGGCAGACCGCTGCTCAAATATTTGCTATCTGAAAAATAAGCCGCTAGCAAATGTGCGTGCGTGCACACACACTCACACAGTAGCAGGAGGCGTGGCCGAGACTCGGCTCTGGTGTAGTGCAGAGCAACCATGACAGAAACACTGACTAATGCAGATAATATCAGCTTAGTCAATTGCCGACGGTTGATGTGGCTGATTCAAATTCAAATATGGAGCAGACTTTTTACCTGAAGAGGGCACTACACTCATGGTTTTAGGCAGAAACTGTATATTTTAACTAAGATACACTAAAATACAAAAAATAATGACTATACATCTACATCACACTAGAGACTAATTTATACAGTGTTTATCAGAATAAACAGTTGATCAAGAGGGGAACTTGCTCTTTAAGAAAACAAGCTGAGCTGGTGCTTGGCATCCATCTCCCACTCAGGTTGCTATAAGCTGAGAAGCTCCAGTATCCATGAGGGGCTCAGAGTAGAGCCACTGCTCTCCTCCAGGTGAGGGGTGGTCCTATGCTAATTTGTCTGTTTGTGACATCACAAATGGGGACTTTTTGAAAAGACACATTTCAGGTACATATTTTCTAAAACCCAACATTGACAGAGAATGAATGCAGGCTTGGAGTGTTAATAGACACAGCAGAGACCCACACGGCAGCACAAAAAATGCAAAACAGGAGTTTGGTTTACTTCATACTGACTATTTAGTAAAAAAGCTGTTTTGGCATGAAAAATGGGTGACTCAATCCTCTTTGATGTTAGAAGAATACATTAAATTTACAGCCTGGATCAGAAAAATCAAGTGAGGAACTTCAAACGTCACGCAACCTTTGGCAAAATTTTTCCATGTTTGTGTTTTATTTAGCATGAATCCTGAATGAAGAGAAAAGTGTATACTTCCCACTTCGCAAAGGCCCAAGGGACCAAGGACAAAAAGGTTTTTATAATGAACTGAACACAGAACAATAATATCTTTGTTTGAGAATGAACTTAGCACTTCAGAACAGATGTCAGAGAAAGTTCATTAAAACATGGCAAACACACAGTGCATTGTACTTTTATCTCTTTAAGAGATATTGTATCATCAGTGTAAGTGTTAAATTCACTGTCATTTGTTTTGATTTTCAAGGCCTTTTTGTGCAGTAGTGAACTTTAATGGAAAGCCACTGTAACAAGGACTTAGCTAACAGGAAACCACAAAGCAGACTATTATATAATGTGGTTTCATGTAAATAATCATGAGGTATTTCCAGGACTGATGGATTTCAAACAGCTCAAGTTTCAAAATTCTCTCAAATGTCCCTTTAAACCAGCAGGCAAACACATATTTAGTCCAGACAGCATTAGGACTTAGGCCTGACTTAGCCCAAACCAGGGAAGAAAAAAAAAACACATAAAACCATGAATTATAAAATTACAAACTTTTACTCACCGATTTTAGCTCATCCCATGTTTTATATCCTTTCTTCATTCTTAATATCATTGCTTGTTTCTTGTTCCCTTCAAGCTCAGAAATGAGGGATTATGGGTCCATTTTCTTCCCTTTCAAGCCATTTAAACACTTTCAGGAAAAATATGTATAAATTAAAATACAAATCTGAAATAATACAGTATAATGATTCATCTACAACATGGGTTTGCTTTAATTGCTTATGTTTTATTTAAAAATGCATTGATGGAGTGACAGGAACCAGATCCCCAGGCCAGTGGTCTCACATGTGATTAGGCTCTGCCCAACCTCCAGACACATCACATTAAAAAACATGTTTAGCTCTTATCTTCCATTGCTTTCTTTGAACTGTGTTTACCTTTGTGAGCAGCTCAGACTAACAGGACTGGGATTTAGGAGCTTCTTGCTGTGGGTCAGCCATTTCTGGTCAGCACCTCCTGGACTCTGACAGTGTTCTGATGTTTCCCAGAGTCTGGTCCAACTGTTAGCATTCTGCACTAATGGATTCTGGCTTTGTTTTGTGGGGAGTGTTTTGTTCTCTGCTATTGGCTTCGGCACTGACAGATGTTATTAGTTATCACAGTCCACACTGGACAATTTTGCTAAGATATCAAGCGAAGGGGAACTTCGAAGGAGGAGAGATGACAGAGTGAGATCTAATCTGAAATTAAACAGCAAGGAAGGTGGGGCAATAAATCACTAGTTGGGCTGTTTGGAGAGACGGATCGAGCCGGGACAAAATCTAAACGAGCTTCTCTTGGGTTTACATTTACAACAGGTGTTTAAGACAAGCGTTACCACACTGGCTAAAAGCCAGATAACCGCCACGTTCAGTTTGTTCTCTGTTACGACATTTCTACAAACCCTAAAACTGGCTTGGTTTTTTACCTACAAGTTTCACTACATATGACAGTAAGGAATTTTTTTTACTAAAGTTACTTAGTGTCTTACTAAGCATTAATAAACAACAGGTACCTTTATTAACATTCCTTGGTGCATTATTAAGCATTGATAAACAAAGGATTCCTTATTAGCGTTACCATTGTTACCTTTTAAGTGTCCTTAAAGTTAGGACAAAGGGCCAGGAGGGTGTCCACCTAGTACTGCATTACATAATATGGTTAAGCAGTTGTTGATACTTTGTTTAATAGTTTAATAATGCCTAATAATACACTAAGTAACATTAATAAAGGGATCCTTATTGTAAAGTGTTACACATTTTTCATGAGGTTATTTTGAATTCATAACATGCAAACAAACAGGATTCTTAACACCACTGCTAGTTTTAAACACAAGTTAATTTGATCAGGTGTGTCACATCCTACAAAAAAGGTAGTTATTTTTTTCTGAACAGTAATGTCTGCAATTTTTTTTACTGAATCACTGAATGTGTTATCATTCTTTACAAAGCAGTGCTCTTACTCTGCCTTCTTACTGGTTTCATCTATCCCTTATAGATGTTTTATAGCGGTAGAGCAGTTTAAGTATCAAACAAAGATCACCTGAGTAGCAGGTAAAAAGGTTCTCCAAAGCAAATGAACTCAATGAGCAAAGCTAGTTGAACTCTAAATCTAACGACTCTGTAATGGGATATTTGTGATCATAAACGGGTCTTTCACATCACCATAATGGAGTTCTGATCCACTTGCTATGTTTTAATTCAATTAAAAAAAATGTAATTGCAGTTTTTAAAAATATTTTCTTGCACGAATAGGCCTGTAAAAATAAGCATGCATTTGAAGAAAAAATCATTTCAATCAGTTATAATGAGGTATGGAACACTCGCTTAATCAATACATTTACAGTGGTCTCTAGTAGAAATGAATGGCTTTTAAGTCGTACACTGGGAAATTAAAGTTCCTTTGCACCAGTTTCAGGAACTAGAAGTGAACTACATCACATCTGAGCTTCAGACGGCAGGCTTTGGAGTCTCAGCTCCTGATAATTGGACATCTCATCTCTGATTGGCTAACAGTAATGTGACTCTACCACTGTCGCCATTAGCTCTGCAACACTGATGTTTTATCTCCACAAATAACACAAGCCTGGAGGAGTTCTGCGGTGTAGTGGAGTTGCTAATGCCAACGGTTAGCTTCTACTAGCCGAGACGTTCTCTGCTGTTTCCTGGACGCCAAACCAAGAACAGCTTATCGTGAATCAAGTGACATAGATCTGTCAGGCTATTCAAATCCTAGAGTTCCCCTATCTATTTTCTCTCAGAAGCTAATGCAGGAGATAGGTGAAGACTATCTTCATGTTCAGCCTGTATGAAACCTTAGAGTGACCGATAATAATCAGAAATAATAATTTAAAATGGGTTTTCAGTGTTCCACACCTTTAACACAACAGAAACGTCTTTAAGGCACCAGGAATCGAATAAGGCTGCAGAGTTATCATTATCCAATAGCCGTACTGTTTTTACTGTAAACCACTAAACAAGAGCTCTGTTTGTGATCACGACTGACTGTCAGAGCTACAAGAAACAGGCGCTTTGTGGACAAACCTCCAGAGATCAATGGGGCCTGCCGTGGGAGAGGATGTAGCATCTAAAGAAATTAGAGCCATGAGGTTTGAAACGAGCTCTTTCAGATGCATTTGTGCTCCGAAGTGTTTACCAGAGAGCCAACGCTGACGTCAGAAGCAGATCACAGGCTGCAACTCTGAATGTTTGTTTAGAATGCCGGGACATTAAGACAGGCTTGTTGTTGACACAGAAGTTGCATAAAAAGATAAACTTCCTAATATTCTACTTTTTAGGCATGAAAGCAAAAACAATATTTCAAATTTAAGTTGTAGCAGCTCATCGCAAGTCTTAGCAAAATCTTTTGATGAACTTTGCTTCTCCTTTCTATTTTTAAAAGGAACTGAGATTATATCTCCTTATTAAAGCTGCATGACAGTTCATTACTATACATGGTAACACGAAAGAAGGCCTCAGGGACAGAAAAGAGATGTGTGAATAATTTGTTTTCAACAGATAACACATTGAGTCTGTATCACTGTAATGAAAATAAAGACAATGAAATCATGTCTTACCTTGGTCTTTGAAAATCGCTGCTCCACCAGTTCCCTTCAGCAGTAAATGAGCTCTGAGTGTGTGTGGTGCAAATGCGTGCGTGTTTTCTCCTTGGTAGGTGTTCCCCCATTCCCGTGACCCTACATCACTTGGGCAGAACACAGCCGATCATATGAGGAGGAGGAGGAGGAGATGAAGAAAGGGACGAGGCGGAGACGTGTGAAGTCCGTTAAGAGCTCCGTCAGTGTGATTAAGTGGCGTCACCACGGAGGAAGAGCAGAGGGCCCGGAGTTTCCTGAGCTGGATGTGGGGGGGCCTTAGCTCTCCAAATCGTGCAGACTTTTGGAGAAGCAAATAGAGACACTCGTTCCTCTAAAGGCAGAATTACGGTGCACACATTTTCTAATACTTGTTGTGAAGTAAAGCAGAGTCTAAAGCTTTTTTCTTCCACCGATCCAATCTGCCAACTGAAAACATTCAGCACCTTCACAACAATGCGTTTGTGACCGACAGGAAGAGCACTTTGGTAATTGCGGAAATACTTACGTGATTTAACCAAGATATTGTACTTAAAGTTACTTTGGAGCGATCTTCATTGGACCATGTTGCTCATTTAGACCTAATTGTACTCTGGCTGTTAAATCTCCTAATGCACAGCTAACGGAAACACTCCTAACGTCACAAGTCAGAGATGAAAAGTTAACAGATCTGCTTCTCAGACTCAAAGGCGCTTCAAGAAAAACAACAGTTAAAATAAAAGCAGGACTTTTATTGTTGCTACACACACAAAACAGATACACCCACATAAAAGTGTCTGAGGCAACAAATTCAGAGTTTCCCTGCTAACACAGACGAAACCACCTCAGTGTCAGAGAACTACAGATCCCAGAGATATTCGCAGGCAGGGAGGGGTGTGTGTGTGTGTGTGTGTGTGTGTGTGTGTGTGTGTGTGTGTGTGTGAGTGTGTGAGGAGGGGTCAACATAGCAGATAAATAGCAACAGAGTTGATAGCAATGCCCAGGAGACAAACAAATACATTTAAATAAAACAAAAACTTCTAATACATCTGTGTCTTCATTAAAGCAGAGAATTACAAGTTCAACCTCACTATGTTTTACAATTTACCTAAAGCACTCATGTCTCCACTAAAATAAAATAATAAATGTTCAGTTCAAATATTCATAAACTATATGACCCTAATAAAAATCTATTTTCTAAAAGCAGTTTCAAGTTGATGTGAAGCAGTCAGACAAACAAAGAGGTAAATCTTTTAGTTTCCATCCACCAAAGCTGGAAAAGAAAACTTTGCCCAGAGAACCAGAGAGGACGTTTTTGTGCGTAATCCCAGAAGGACGACGGCTGCAGCACTGTGGTGCCTGCAGCTGCATCTGAGTGTTTTTTAACAAATAAAAGAACAGATTTGAATCTGCATCTAATTAAATTCTCACGTTGACTGTATTCAGACGAGGTCGAGCTTTTTCTGAGACAACAGAAGATGTGACTTTAGCTCATTGGTTCCACTCATTTCTCCCATCGAAATATCCAAAAAATAAAACAGAAGATCGGGAAACAAAGAAATCTTTGGTATAAACTGTGGCTTTAATTATTAGTGATATGATCAGGTACTTCGTTCTCTGCCAAACACATTTTTGTTTCCTGTTACTTTAAGTGTGTTTTTGAATGAAAACCCTGTAACTTCTTATGATTATGTTTTTGTTCAAGTAACTTTGGCTCCACCAAAAAACCCAATAAAAGTTGAATCTATACGTAAACTGGTCCTGAAGGTAACTAAAGGTGAAATTTGCTACCACACTGGAAATTATAGCTCAATTCAAAACTCATCAACTCTTGACCTAATCAACTCTGCAAAGAAAAATTTTGCATTTTTGTGAAGCGTCTTTGAGTGACCTAAAAAGCACTATATAAGTTTGATGTATTATTATTATTATTATTAAAATTAAAAACAAAGATAAGTTGTGTTTAAAATAGTGAAAACTGTCGATTATGTGTGTATTCTACAATAATAACGCATCACCTAAGTAGTTTTCTGTTTAAGTCACCTTGAAACTACGGTTTGTTAGTGTGCTACAGAGAAGTAAGGCAGGACAGAGAGGAGAAGGAGCGCAGTGGGAATTCACCATACATGGAGCGGAAACCAGTGCAGGTTAGTCTGAGTCATAGACGTGCTCACACACACTCCCACACACACATACTCTCACACTCACACACAATAGCGCAAAGACGAGGACACATATGTTCATATTTACAGCTACTATCCACACACACACACACACACACACAGACTTCTGTAAACCCCAACTCACTAAAACACATTCAAGTGACCATAAATAAAACACCTGGAGAAGTTAAAAAGGTAAAAACTATGTTGTTTTCTCAAATCTCCACTAAACCCTCCAGGAAAACACGTCAGACTTATCTCGACTAGCGCTGGTTTAGAAAAACATCAACTAGGCATTGTTTAGTTGAACGTGAGCCGAAGCCTGACCCGTCAGTTCATTACGAGTTAAAATTCCCTCATGGAAGGAAAAAAATGTTGGAAAAGTATCACAAATTCCTGACTTTAGGGCCTGATTATCCAGCATCTCCACACTCCAATTTCAGGATAAACTAAGAGCAGGTAAAGTGTTTGATATCTTCGGTGGAGGTATTAGTCTTGTCAGCGCAGGCCCGTTTACCTGCAAGCACACGGGCAGCTTTTAACCAACGTCCTGTTTCAGGGTCTGAGGAGCTTCACGTGTCTGTCCATGGCTGCTTTAGTCGTCCACGTTCCACGTAAAAGAAATCAGCTCCATCCAGGAGATCTGGAAACGTCTGTTAGAACAAAACAACATCAACACATCTTGAGTTTGAGATCAGGATTAAAAAATTGGTGAGATTTATTTTTGGAACATGCTAAATCTTTAAAGGTAATTTGAATTGAAGAAATCATTGTTACAGAGACGTATTTAATTGTGAACTGGTGCTTTAACGAGTCAGTGGTGCTGTTTTGGTTTAAAATAAAGACAAGGCAAAATTTTAAAACAGGGAATTTATGAGGCACAACATTTGTTTACAGTGAAATTGCAATTCAAAACCTAATTTTCCCGGCCCTGTCAGGACTTATTTAGAAAATGATCTACCCATATTAGTGCACAGTTATATAAATGAAGGTCAGAATAAAAGTACATTGACTAATAAAGTTCTTGGGGATAAGCTTTACCCAGTAAGAGTTGAAGATATCTACAGACATTACTCATAAGTTTACTAGGGCAGGGCTATTCAATTCCTGGCCTGGAGGGCCGGTATTCAGCACGTTTTGGTTTTAAGCCTGCTTCAACACACCTGATTTTAATTAATAGGTGTTTAAAAGGCTTCTGCAGAGCCTGATGAGCTGCTGCACAGGTGATTCAACCACTGAATCAAGTGTGTTGGAGCAGAGAAAACCCCTAAAACCTGCTGGATATCAGCCCTCAAGGCTCAAAATTGAATAGCCCTGTACTCGGGTTTATAAAGACTAAGCTTTTTACTTGAATAAAAATAAAAAAGTACTGGTTAAACAAACTACTTGAACCATAAAAGCAATAAAAGGACAAAGGTTTAAGCAGCGCCACGGTATTCACACCTCCCCAAAATACAGTTTCTTACTAAATACCACCATGACTGTAATGTCATATAAAATGTTACTGTTGATCAGACTGGGATACAATAGGCTACCTGCTTCAGCCGCATACAGACTGTTTGAAAAGGAACACATTTTACTGAAAAGCAAATACATTAAAGAAGAATTTGTGCACTTGTGAGCATGAACACTAGCCTGGCCTGCCAGACTCCTCCTGTTTAATTCTGCAGAGAGAAAGGGTCTGGGAACTCTCCTATTCAAATAACCCCACCCCCTGAGGATTTTAACCAAGCCAATCAGCGCTGAGTAGTGTACGTCACACACCACAACGCTGAGTTTGCCGAACACGGCGACTGAAGCAGAGTTCACTGCAGCTCTTTCCTCTGTTCTAAATGGCTTGAATGTCTTTAAAACAACAAGTAGGAGTGCCAAAAGCCTTTTTTCTCAAGAAATATGCTTGCGTTGTCACCAGTCTCCATTTTTGACAAAAGCAAAAAAACTACCGCATCGCGGACGTCACACACAGCGACGCTCAGTTTCTCATAACAACGAAGACAGCGGCGGAGTTCTCTCGGACTCTTTCCTCTGTTCTAAATGACTTGAATGTCTTTAAAACCACAACAAGTAGAAGCTCTAAAAGCATTTCTTCTTCTAAAAAAAAAAAGATGTTTGCACCGTTGCCAGGTGGCTTTTTTTTTATTACAGCTAAAAAAACTCCAGCGTTGCGCGGTACAGTCGGCATTGCTGTCTTTTTTCTGATTGGTTATCTTTTAGCTGTCTAGTCCCGTCCCTCAAGTGCCTCTCTGCCTGTGAGTTACCAGACTTTCTCTGTGCAGAATTAAACAGAGGACAAATCTGGCAAGCCAGGCTACATGAACACATAAGCTGTCTATGTGCAGTATAGATTAGTCCTGTCAGAATGAATGAATGCCCTGTCTCATGCACAGTGTGCATAGATCTCCTACAAATCAAAAGGGTATCAGATTAATACATGTTCAAAATTATTATCCAACTGCAATCAAATTCTCTTTATCTTTATTCTGGTCTGAGTTTTTTTTACCAATAACAAGCCAAAATAGAATAAGAGTAACAAGGCTAATAAATAATTACTCCTGTGAACTATAGATACCAAAATGTTCTACTTAAAGTGACAGTGTGTATTTTTCCTGGCGATAGGGGGCAGTAGATATCTAAATTGTTTTAAGCAAGCTGTATTTTTATGTTGTAGTAAGACCTTACCAACGGATGCCCATTAGGGTCAAAAAGCCCTGGGGAGTGCAAACTTCAGCAAAATGACAAACACATCAGACCCCCTTTCATCATTGGCTAAGAGTGAAGAGGTAAATGTGTAAAACAGCAACGTTTGTGAATGGTGAAAGATTTGTAACTGTTTCTTACAAATCAGTAAATGCATTTAGTCCTCATAGGCTCCCGTAGAAGGAAACATGTTGTCTAATATGGCGTCGCCCAGAGACTTAGGGTGTTTCTCAATGTCAAGGCACCTGGCCTTGCGAGGCGATGTTTTGCGAGGCCAGGTGCCTTGCTTACAAGGACACTGTCCTTCCTTGGTCAAAGAAAACGGTTAAATGGAACAGACTTGCATCACGTGACCGCGGCTTCCACGGCGGTCACATAACGTTATATTTTATACGTATTAGTTTCAATATAAATATATAACAAGCCTTTTACTTTTTAAATTGTGTATATATTAGTTAAATTAAATATTTAAGTGAGTTACTACCCGCTAGGGGATGCATGACTTAATTTTTTTAAAGTCGACCATCAAGTAATGAAAATCGAGTTGACTTCGACTAGTCGTTGATGATGTCACACACCTGAAGCTGCTAAAACTGACGATGGGTGACCAAGCGTTTTTTTTTTCCGATGCACGGGGGGGGGGGGGGGGGGGGGGGGGTTCGCTGGAGTTTTTGACAATTAAAATTGCGCCCACATTTTCTAAGTTAACACACATTTCTTTTAACAACGGTAGTTTCTGCATTTTGCTTCAGCCCTCTCCCCCCTCCCCAACGCAGCGGCCACGAAATCACTGATACGCCTGCAGCCTCTCAGAGTTCCTGCTGCTCTAAACAATAAAATAATTATTTCATTTTCTGTTCCTCACTTCTGATTACCTTCAGTGGTGTCTGTTTGTTGCAACCACCAGGTACAAAAACTAACTTGTTTTTATTTGACTATTTTTCTGTCTTGTCTGTTTATTATCGTCCTGAATCTCCTCTCAATCCTAAAGAAAAACTGCTACATGGGTTCATATATATTCACCTTATGAGTTACCTTTGAACTGCAGTGCTAAAAGATCTACCGATCGCAAAAACAGCGGAGTGCCGTTGCTCGCCGGCCGCATCGGTGAGGTGCGTCACCGGAGGACACAACAGGTGATGCGCCCCGATCCACAGCAGCGAAACACATCAAGCACAAATAAAAGACAGAAAACATAAAAGGAAATGAGCCGACATGAACGATCACGTGTTAAATTTGTTTTTGAGGTGGCAACACCTGATTTGATAATGTTACTGTGGCCGTGCTCAGGACGCAGATGTCTGGAGCGCGTCAACAATCAGAGCTTTGCATGCGCACGCTGGTTAAGGTTAGGATGGGGGTGAGGGGAAGGTTAAATTGCAAGAGAGTAAAGGTCACAATTCGGTCAAATGTCCGTTTTTCGGCGGGCATCAGATACCAACGCTCTGGTACAGCGCATCGCCTCCCAACGCACAGGGGCTCACCACCTGCTGTCTTTCCTGAGGACTGCATTTTGTCGGTCATTATCACGTGACAGCGACTAGTCGATGAAAGGCATAAAAAGTCACTACAGACTAGAGCAGTGAAGTGACTGGTCGACTAGCTGATACAACCCCTACTACCTGCTAGCCACCGAAGTTGCAACTGCTAAGCAACTAACCGACCATAGATAATTTCTTTGGATCTAAAAAAAACATTTTCAATTAGTTGACTTACTTTTAAACTTGAAATTTGCCCCCGAAGTAGCTGCCAACTTCTGATCCACCATCCTTTTGAAAATACAGCTGTGTATTCTGGGAAATTTTTGACCAAGGCTAGGCTACAAGACACCTCCCATGTATCCTTGCTCAGCTAGCTAAACAGTTAACAAACGGAGAGCACACGCCTCGGTAGAACATGAACATTAGAACACGTCTTGGCGGATCCTGATAACGTATCTCCTAGGCAACCGGAGCGGGGCCACGACATCAATGCAAGGTTCCTTGGCATTGAGAAACACCCTTAGACCCGCTCCCATGTATTTTAGACCTGATTTTTATGGTTAAATGCTAAGAAGCCACCAATATTTTTCAACAACTGGGCATCATTTAATTCATTTTCAACAACATTTTGATGGATATTTCCAGAGATTAATAATAAAAACTACACATTGTCCCTTTAAGTAAGGTAATGAAGTATTTGTACTTAAAGCCACAATGGTAAATCTGCAAAACAAGCTAGCTTAAAAAAATGTTTCTGCTTCTTAACAACATTCTAACATAGTATAGCTATAAATATATTATGAGATAAAAACAAACAAAAAAATAATGAAGAGGTTCTCTCGCATTTGTCTAAAAACCACAACCAATAACACGGCTCGGTCTAAAACCGACAACTGGACCATCCGGTTGTCGGTCTCACAGAACCGCCGCATTTTCCTGGGTCATCCACTCATTACACACTTGTGTACCAGAACACTGTTGATGTGAGAGGTTCTCAGCTCAACAATATCAGACGAGGAGAAACAGCTGGCTGCTACCACTTCATAAACTACCAGAGTCCCTAAAAGAAAAACACTGTTTGAAGTCACAGACAACAAAAGACATTTGGACCTAGAAAATAGCGACTGATGTTTATTGCTCTGTGGTTTCTTCTGGTATCAGGAGGACGTGGCCTAGGGATGACAGCTGATGGGAGGGGTGAGAGTTCCTTGAGTTTGTGTTTAAAAGCTAGCTTGTGTTGCAGATTTAATGTTGCAGCTTTAAAAACTTGACACCTATGATCCAATATTTAGTTTTATTTTTAGAGTAAAGGAGAGAAATGCTGATTATGTACCTGCCACCATATGTTTTAATCGGTCTCCTCGTCCTCTTGCTGCTCTTTCTGAGACTTGGGGACAACGGTTGTTCCTAACAACCCTCTTCTCACAATGTAGGGACAAGATGGACCACTGGGGATGTCTGCAAAACCTAAGAAAACAGAAAAGGAGGTGATAGAGGGAGAATGAAAACATAAATAAAAATAACACAAATTCAAAGAAAGGATAAGAAGGTCTGAAAGTAACAAACCTAGTTATTTAAAAGCTGTACTGATTGACTTTATTAGAACTAATAATGCTTTAAATGCCTTCTTCCACCTTGTCAGAAATTAAATTATCTAAAATTGGTCAAAATGTTCATTTGATATTTTCTATTTGAGTAATTTGATTAAGGAAGACTCAACGCTGAAGTTAGGGACTAAAAACAAAACATCTCTTATTTTCATTCCCACTTGTGCTGACTATTTTTGGGTTCCCTAGGGGACAGTAAACAACATCTATTTACCTTCGTCACCTTTGGGGTTTTAGAGTAAACTCGTTAGCAAATAGTTGCTTATTTATATCACATAAAGCTCAAGACAAATATGATAGTCGTGTCTGTGTTCACCTTGCCAAAGTAAAGCCAACATAACTTTAACATTTGTGCTGGTTTTGGTTTCTGCTGAGCCCTGAAGGGAGCGGTGTTCTGATTAGCTGATCAGTGACTCACTGTGTTCTCTGCTGTTGGATTTTTCATGAGCTGGTTCACTTTTACACAAACCCAAAACTGCCCCAGTCTGATTTTTTACAATGACAATTATTTCTGGCTCATAATATTTAACACTACCTTTCATGACGACTTCGGGCAGGCCGTACGGTTCATACTCGGTATCATCGAAGGCAGCTGAGAGCTGTGTTCTGTTGCGCCTGATTCTTTCTGCGAGGCGGGCCGGGTCAGCTGGGATTGGGAAGGGACCCGGAAGCAGCATTTTATCACCTGACTCAGCCGCCTCCGACACGGAAATAGGAGAAATGGGAGGAGATTCCACCCATCCTTCTTCATCTTCCAGCTCCTCCTCAGTCTGCGTGCTTACACACACCTTTAGGGTGTCAGAAGAAGCCGGACGCTCCTCAGTTTGGCTGCAGACACTTTTCATTTCTGTCTTTTCTGTGAAATGACTGGTTGTGTTTATTTCAGAGTTTCCTCTGGGAAAGTCCTGTTTGGCCTCAGGCGTTCCTGCACTAAACTCTACAACTTTGGTCGGATTTGACACGGAGACTTTGTGGGAATCTTTGGCAAAGCTGGGATGAGCTGTTCTCTGTGATGAAATATGGATCAGCTCCGGGTCTCTCTTCACTTTGCTTTGTTCTGGACAGACAACTGACCGCTCGACATAAATCTCCTGGTTTTCTTTTTCAGATTCCTACATAAAAAACAACAACAATATAAACTTGAGTAGAGTACAGAGTCTATTTTAAATTGAAAAAAAAAAGACTTTGTGTGTGTGAGAAATGATTTTAAAACAGAACAGTCACCTGATCAAGCCTAGAAGTGTTGGTTTTTTTAGAAGAACTGGTCCTCTTTGGGTCAGGTACGCTGCTGTTCTGAAGTCTTAAGGTAGAACAAATAAAGCGTTACTTCCAGAAGACACAAAAGAAATGTTTTATGACACTCGTTCCTCTATTTTAACACTTTCCTTAAAGCTTAAAGCTGCGTTACCTGGAGAACAACATGCGGCCTCGTAGTTTGTTAGAGGAGCTGCAGAGCGATAACTCATCCTCTCTGATCACTGTGATGATGTCCTCGCCTGTATGAGAACCCCACATGGGCACCTGGGTTTGGACAGGAAGAGTCTGAATCTGGCTTTGGGTCAGTTCGTCTGGAGGCTGCGGGTTGAACTGGGACTGACTGACTTCAGAGATCTGATCTAGAATCTGATCATCCAGGTTGTGATGCAGGTCATTAAATGCTGGTGCTGGCTGGGAGGCCAGTCTCCACCTAGCGAGCTCCTGGGACTGAGTCTGGGTCTCTTCAGAGAGAGACTTCACTTTTCTCTGCAGCGCCTCCACCTGGACAGCAGGTGCATAACAGAAAGACACACACAAGTAACTACACATTAAAACATTACACATAATAAACTATCCACTGCTTTAGGTCAGTGTAAATAAATGATGTACCTGGTAAAAGCAAAACAAAAGGAGCTTCTCTACCTGTTGCTGCAGGTGGCTGACCCGCACGTCAGACATTTCCTGTGAGTCATTCTCACTGCTCAAGGTTGTCCTTTCTTCTCTTTCTAAATCTTCATCTTCACTCTTCTTCACATGTTCCTGCACCAAACCCTGTCCCTCAGTCCCGCCATTACACAGAACACTTTCTGTCTCCTGGTCTGCCAAACATGAGACAGGAGTGGTATTTTGTCTTTGTTCCATGGAGTCTTCTTGCTTTTCAATTTCAGTCTGTAACAACATTGAGTTTCTCTCATCTAAAACACTCAAATCCTCTAATTTTTGTTTCAGTAGCAGATTTTCCTCCCTGAGAGTGATCAGTTCTGTAAACACGTCTGCCGTTCCTCCTGGCACCTCACAGACAGACTGCTGATAACTCTGGGATGTGTTCAGGTCTACAGAGACCGGTTCCTGTTGCTCAGAGGTGACTACTTCCCTCTCATCTTCTGTTACATCACACGTTGGTGTTTCAGTCTCAATCTTTGGTTGCATACTCACACCAGCTGGTCTGTCTGCAGAACGAAAAACAACAACACACTCTTTGTCTTGTTCGGGTAAGAGTTCTGTCACTTCTGACTTATCGCTTCGTTTCTCTGCCATCTTTTCCTTTCCTTCATTTTTTAGTGAATCCAGCTCTAGCTTGCATCGCATCAGTTCCTCTCCCAGACTGAAGAGGGCACTGTCCTTCTCCTGAAGCTCAACCAGAAGGCCTGCGATGTGCTGAGTCTGCTTCTCAAAGGCCAGCGTCAGCTCCTTGGTCTGACGTGTCACCTGTGAAGAACAGACATTTAACAAGCAGCTCACTCCTCACAGCGTAACTACCAACTCTGAAGTTCTGGTGTTAAACAAGAAAAGGTAAACAAGAGCTCCTGTGATCACGTACTGTATGTACGTTTTTATTTACCTGAATCTGCAGAGCATCAAATTTAACCTGGTACTGATTAGCACGTTCCGACTCTTTTGAGTATTTCCTTCTCAGGTGCTCTACTTCTTTCACGAGGTCAAAGGTCACAAGTTCATCCCTCTGGAAGCCAGAAGAGAAGAATTTTCCAGTTTTGTTCTGTTCAGTGTTTTTCCTTTGACTCTTCTCGAGATCTGCTTCTGTGGTCATGAGTGTGTTAAGCTGGTTGGTGGACTCACAGACGACTGCGTCCTCCTCTGGTGAGGCGGGTTTGTTGTCAGGAACAACGTTGGAGTTGAGCTCATCGTCAAGGAAACCCATCTGAGAGTGGTTGCTATCAGCTGAGGGTGTTTCCTCTTCTGCTGCTTCTCCTCTTGTGTGTTTCAGGACCTCAACATCAGCCATTATCTCCGCCAGTTTCATGCTCAGCTCACTATTCTCATCAGAGTCTGTGTTCATCTTCTGGTTCCTCTCCTCTTCCTCTAGCTTTCGCTCCTCCCGTTCTAAAGCCAGCTGAGCTTTCACCATCGCTAGCTGATTTTTCAGCTGGATATTTAGTTCCATCAGTTCACTCTCCCTGTCTTCTTGTGCCTGGGTTTTCTCCTCTTCCTCCTTTATTCTCTCTGCCTTGTCTTGTTTCTCTCTACTTCTCTTGATGTCGGCCTCTAGAACAGCAATGTTCCTCTTCAGTTTCTCTGTCTCGGCCTTCTCGTTTTCCAGCTTTTCCTTCCATTCCTTGTCCTTCTCCTCCCTCTCAGCTGCCTGGCTGGTGCGTTTGCGGCTGAGCTGTTTGAGTCGTGTCCTGGCTTCTGTCTCGGCTCGTCGTTGAGCTTCCAGGTCCTCCAGCCTCCTCTGGAGCTCTTCGCGTGTGTCACTGAGCTCAGCGCGGAGCTGGGCATTTTCCCTCTTTAGGTCTTCAGACTGGACTGTCTGTTTAGACATAACAACATTTGTGTTTTCAGGAGACATAGTTGAACTTTGTGCCAGAGGTGAGAGTCCAACATCTGCTGCTCCTTCCCCAAATGAGGTGACAGATGTATCAGAAACATCCCATTTTATTGCCTCGTCTCTACTTCCATTTCTTTCTTCATCCCCTTTTCTTCCTTCTCCTGCTCGTATGACAGTGATGTGCTCTGTATCAATTCCTTCGCCTGGCTCTCTGTCAGAAGGATAAATGGCTGTGACCTCTCCCCTCCTCTCATCTCTCTTCTGCTCGGCTTGGGGGGCAGCAGACCTCTTGCTGTGGGCTGGAGGTCGAGGAGGCTGAACCGAGGGAGACTGAGATGGAAAACTCTGTCCAACAGGGCAGAACTGGACGGGTTGTGGAAGGGACTTTTGTTCTGAAATTAAAAATAAAACACACTTATCACAAATTTAGCATTACCGTCAGATGTGTGTCCCTTCCATTTGAACTTTTCTGGTTAAAACTTGTGTTTGCTATATAAACCACATTAACAACATTAAATAGGCTAAAATGTTGATTATAAGCATTTACATGTTTAAATATTACGGCCCATCGGGGAAACAATTATATGAGCAATGAGTACATTTTTGGTGAGTATTTTTTAACTTCCCCAAGCTATTTTGCACTAGTGGGAGGGTAAAAACTAAACATTTAGGAACATTTAGTTGTTAAAGAACAATAAAAAATCATTTTTGAATTTAAATAACTTTTTATAAAGTATTTGTATAAAATAACACAGAAAAGCAGCACATAAAACATAAATAAAGTAGTCAAAGGCCTTATTACTTTAGCCCTCCATCATTAAAACTGGCAAACAGCACCACCCAGTGGACAGATTTGCCACATCCCTGGACCTACTGGGAGATTTATTCCTGCTTCTCACGTTTCCCTTGAATAAATAAGCTGCTTTATTGTGTTATGTGGTAAAGCTATAGCGGACTGATTATTTGATTATTATATAGCATATTTATGGATGGGTTAACCAATACCAGAATAATTGTTTAAATATTTTACTAAAATTCCAGTTCGAAGGCATGACACTGAAACAATGCCCACTAAGTCACCGGAGTTTTCACCCAAACGAAGCAGGAAGTGAGGTGATGTTGCTCCAGTTCGTTACAGAAATCTAGAACAAAGACAACAAGGACTAATTTCTCTACAATGGAGGATGAATCAACTATTCCAATGCGTAAAGTCAAAACCCTACTACGTTTTAAAATGTTCTAATATTGGGAGATAACTTAATCCCAGTCTGCAAGTTTATTTCATAATCAGTCACAAAAACAAATAAATCTCAGGGATTCACTTGCTCATCCTCACCTTGCAGTTCTTTGAGGAGACGCAGGGTGTCATCTTGCTCCTCCTTCAGTCTCCTCCCCTCCTCCTCCAGAGCTCTCTCTCTCTTCCTGCTTTGCTCCAAACTCACAGCCACACCCTCTGCCTCACGCAGTGCTTCCTAATGCAACCAGAGAGGAAAAAGGAATCTGAATGAGGAGGATTAAACCCAGTCAGACAGGCGCACCTGTTCCAGAATTAAAGAGGAGAGCTCGGTTTGGGCGTGCTAAAGGTCTAAAAACCCTAACAGTGGATTAATCAAATGTTCAAGAAGGTTCATGGTAGATTTAGTTTACATCAAAGTAAACCACCCATAAATGCATCTAAATAAATCAGTGTTTGTATCTGTGTGTGATTTTGCTGAAGTTAAGAGAGCAAGTACTGAGAGCTGCATATAAACACCGTCTAACAATAACATGAAGCAACAAGTTACAGATAACATCAGCATTAGCAGCTGTCACGTCGGTACAGTGCGTTACACTCAGAATGAACCCTGTTACGTTTTAGCCAAACACACACACACACACACACACACACACACACACACACACACACACACACACACACACACACACACACACACACACACACACACACACACACACACACACACACACACACACACACTTTTGCTGTAGGCAGCTTCAACAGTTAAAAGTGTTTTGCAGCTAGCTTTTATTCCCTAACATGGTGACGTTTAATTTAAGTTATTTTTAACTGAAAAAGCTAGAACATTCTCACAAAGCTTAATGGATTAAATCATAATTTATTCATTCACATTTCGCTCATCTGACACATGACGCAGATGTATTTAAATATGTATGATGTTAGCTCTATAGCCAGCTAATGAATAACACACGTGAACAGGTGTGTTTCTTACTGTCAGCTTAGCTTGTGTCTGAGCCTCTTTCTTCTGACTTTCCTTCAGCTGCTCCTCCGTCCACTTCAGTTTCTCCTTTAGCGTGTCCAACTCTTTGTCCAACGTCTGCTTCTGCAGAGACAGCTAATGGAGCCAAGGGAAATGTATTAACCCCAAAAAGTGTAGACTTCAAATTAAGAAAACCTGGAAGAAACTGAATTAAATGAAACAGAGAATAAATGATCACATCTCTCTCTCTAGGAGCAGGTTGAGCAAACAAAACCACTAGTGAGATAACAAGCAGTGATCTCTAATTACTTTTTATTTCATTAGTTGTATTTTTAGAAAAACGATGAAGTCCCAAGCAGATCTGTTTTTCATCATCTCATGTTGGTGTGCAGAGAAACTCAAAACTAATCTACAACTTTTCTGTAATTAAAAATACAAATTTCATACAAATATTTTTATATTTTGCTTCCACAGAGCCAGACTCTTACAGTTTGAATATGCTAATGAGGTTTTCTAACGGCCTTTTCACCTCTTTACATGAACATTGGATGTTTGCAACTTGCTTTCAAGTTTATTTCCTTTATGTTGTAATTTATTTTAGTTTACTAAAGATGTGGGTGACTTATTTAATCAATACATTTGTAGTGGTGTCTAGTAGGAATAAATGCCTTGAAAGTCATTCTTGGTATTTGGACATCACGCCTTGGATTGGACAACAGCAACACTACAGACTTGCAACGTTGATGTTTGGAGGAGTTTTGCCATGTTTTGGAGTTGCTAATGCTAACGGTAAGCTTCTGCTGGTTGTGACATTCTCAGCGGATTCCCGGAGGTTAAAACAACAACAGCCTCTCCCATCGTGAGTCAAGATGAGTGAGTCAATGAAAGCTAGTTCACAGTGGGACGTAGATCTGTCAGGCTTTTTTAAATTCTAGCGTTTCACCATCTGTTTCTATCAGAATCTAATGCAGGAGATAGGTGTAGGCGACTATTTTAATGATCAGGCTGCATGTTAAACTCCATCCATCCATCCATTTTCATCCGCTTATCCGGAGTCGGGTAGCGGGGGCAGTAACCTAAGGTGAGAGGCCCAGACTTCCCTCTCCCCAGCCACTTGGGCCAGCTCCTCCGGGGGAATCCCAAGGCGTTCCCTGGCCAGGTGAGAGACATAGTCCCTCCACCGTGGCCTGGGTCTACCTTTAGGTCTCCTCCCGGTGAGCCATGCGTTGAGGTGAGTCCGACTATATCTAGTCAGAACATCTCAACCTCACACACCAACTCAGGCTCCTTCCCCACCAGAGAGGTGACATTCCATGTGCCAAGAGCCAGCTTCTGTAGCCGAGGATCAGACCGCCAAGGTCCCCGCCCTTGACTACTACCCGTCACACACTGCACCCAACCCCTTTGGCCCCTCCCACGAGTGGTGAGCCCATGGGAAGGGGGACCCACGTTTCCTCTTCGGGCTGTGCCCAGCCAGGCTCCATGGGTGAAAGCCCGGCCACCAGGCACCCGCCAACGTGCCCCACCTCCAGGCCTGGCTCCAGAGGGGGGCCCCGGTGACCCACATCCGGGCGAGGGAACACGGTTTCCATTTATAGTATTCATCATAAGAGGTCTTCGGGCTGCTCTTTGTCTGATCCTTCAGTGTTGTTAAACTTAGTGACCAATTATAATAAAAAAATATGTAAAACATATTTATCATTCAACCACACATTTAAGCCACTTGATGATAAAACAATGAATCGTTCAGACATATTAACCTAAACAACCAGCATTGTGTTGACAGAAATAATGTTTCACCTGTGATTAGTCCTCTCTGTCCTTATGCTCAGTCACAACGACGCAGTTTGGTCCCGTTTCTTTTGTTGTATCAAAATGAATATTTCAAGCATATAAATCATTTGAAAGACTATTTTTCTGTCCGCTGAATATTTGTTATTCAGCTGAAGTAGGATGATCTCAATTCTGTGTCCAACGGTAGTGATTTTTTTTGGTCATCTGTTAATACTTTTAGGTTCATGGTTACCTTTTTTGTCCCCTGCTTGTTTAGTTTCCTCATTTTTAAGGGTTCAGCAGAAATAACTGGACTGAAAAAAGAGGAGGGAGAGCAATCATACTTAAAAAAAACTACAAAACATAGTAAAACAGAAAATTTCTTAAACTTTTAAAGGATGCTACTCCCTTTTCTATGGTTTCTCTAGTTTTTTTCTTGTTTTGCTTTTGTCTTTTTTTTTGTTCCAAGAACCATGAACACAAGCATTCACTTCAAATGTAATGTTTGTTTGTTTGTTTATTAAGATACCCATTAGCTGCTGACATACAGCCGCCATTCTTCCTGGGGCCTCATCTCATACAGTCATTACATTATATATATATATATATATATATATATATATATATATATATATATATATATATATATATATGTATGTATATATATATATATATACATATATATATATATATATATATGTATATATATATATATATGTATATATATATATATATATATATATATATACATATATATATATATATATACACATATTGTGCACATCATTCATACATGACCATACACATACACACACAGTCACACACACACACACACACACACACACACACACACACACACACACACACACACACAACTAATTTCAACATAATATTGCAGTGTAGAAAAATCTCAATTCAATTCTCAAAAGCCCAAACATAACAAAATACATTCTTAAAATTTGAAATACAGCTCACTTCAGACGATGTTTAGCTTGACATCATCTTTGGGAAAATAAAAATGTGTATGTAACTTCTGTATAAGAAAATGAATGACTTATAAAAGCTGAAGACCTATAGACACCATTTTAGATACTTTCATATTTTACAGTTTACTGGAAGCAAAATATAAAAAAAATAAGTGGTGGATTAGGAATAAAATAATTTTGTTGTTTCATTTCTCACACAATTCCTGTTGTTTCATGTGCTGCACGCATCACGCCTCCTTAACATCATGCTAAAAACACCAAAGACGATTGTAGCAATAGCAACAGGGACAGATCAGGCAACATTACTGTGGGAACTGTCCACACATTTCAACAGCAGAGTCCTACTGAGAGAAGTGGTTGGACCAGATTTTTTTTCTTGTCATGTTTCCTGGAACAACACTAACAATAAATCACACCTAAGCTTACAGACAAATGAGTCAATCACAGATCAGCTGATCGGTGCCTCCTGCTTGTTGGGAGATCTATGAAAATGCCTCCTGAGCTCAGTCATTATCTGATATTTGAATGAAATGTTACTTTATCCTAAATGAAGTTTCACTTCAACGTTACAAGGCTGTCAGATGACATAAACAGATGTGGGTCCCTGTAAAACAGTTTACTACAGCGTCACTCACCACACTATAGGCAGCATAGTTAGTGAGATGATCTGTGTGTGTGTGTGTGTGTGTGTGTGTGTGTGTGTGTGTGTGTGTGTGTGTGTGTGTGTGTGTGTGTGTGTGTGTGTGTGTGTGTGTGTGTGTAACAAGAGAACGCTTTTTAATAAAATCTGAGTGTAGAAATATAAACTCTTGGGATCTTTTACATCTTCCAAACAAACAAAATAAGGTCAAAGAAACTTGATTTATTAAATGGTTTTTAAATGGGAGAAATACCATTAATATATATTCACATTAATGCAAGACTCGTTGTGCATTTCTTGTTAAAACTCCCCTAAATCCAATTTTTATTTTTCACACACCAAGTTGATTTTAGGTGTTTGTTTCACGGTTTTAAAACCAAAACACTTCAGTATTTTCAAATGCAATGACACCATTATTACCTTCACAGCTTAACTCTTCCACTGGGGAGAAACCGAGAGGAAAGAAGAGGACGACGAAGTGAAGCAGGTGGGAGGGAGACAGAAACACAGGTAGCAAAAGAGTGAAACAGAAACTGGGAGGAAACAAGCACAAGAAGTAAATACAGGAGAGGAAATACAGGTGCTGGCCAGTAAATTAGAATATCATCAAAAGGTTGAAAATATTTCAGTAATTCCATTCAAAACGTGAAACTTGTACATTATATTCATGCAATGCACACAGACCAATGTATTTCCAATGTTCATTACATTTAAATTTGATATTCATAAGTGACAACTAATGAAAACTCCAAATTTGGTATCTCAAAAAATTAGAATATTCTGAAAAGGCTGAATATAGAAGACACCTGCTGCCACTCTAATCAGCTGATTTACTCAAAACACCTGCAAAGGCCTTTAAAAGGTCCCTCAGTCTTGTTTTGAAGGCACCACAATCATGGGGAAGACTTCTGACTTAACAGCTGTCCAAAAGACAATCATTGACACCTTGCACAAGGAGGGCAAGACACAAAAGGTGATTGCTAAAGAAGCTGGCTGTTCGCAGAGCTCTGTGTCCAAGCACATTAACAGACAGGCGAAGGGACGGAAAAAATGTGGTAGAAAAAAGTGTACAAGCTCTAGGGATAACCGCACCCTGCAGAGAATTGTGACGACAAACCCATTCAAAAATGTGGGGGAGATCCACAAAGAGTGGACTGCAGCTGGAGTCAGCGCTTCAAGAACCACCACGAGGAGACTCATGAAAGACATGGGATTCAGGTGTCGCATTCCGTGTGTCAAGCCACTCTTGAACAAGAAACAGCGCAAGAAGCGTCTCGCCTGGGCCAAGGACAAAAAGGACTGGACTGATGCTGAGTGGTCCAAAGTTATGTTTTCTGATGAAAGCAAGTTCTGCATTTCCTTTGGAAATCAAGGACCCAGAGTCTGGAGGAAGAGCGGAGAAGCACAGAATCCACGTTGCATGAGGTCCAGTGTAAAGTTTCCACCGTCAGTGATGGTGTGGGGTGCCATGTCATCTGCCGGTGTTGGCCTACTCTGTTTCCTGAGGTCCAGGGTCAATGCAGCCGTCTACCAGGAAGTTTTAGAGCACTTCATGCTTCCTGCTGCTGACCAACTTTATGGGGATGCAGACTTCACCTTTCAACAGGACTTGGCACCTGCACACAGTGCCAAAACCACCAGCACCTGGTTCAAGGACCATGGTATCCCTGTCCTTGATTGGCCAGCAAACTCGCCTGACCTTAACCCCATAGAAAATCTATGGGGTATTGTGAAGCGGAGGATGCAATACGCTAGACCCAACAATGCAGAGGAGCTGAAGACGACTATCAGAGCAACCTGGGCTCTCATAACACCTGAGCAGTGCCACAGACTGATCGAGTCCATGCCACGCCGCATTACTGCAGTTATTGAGGCAAAAGGAGCCCCGACTAAGTATTGAGTGCTATACATGCACATTCTTTTCATGTTCATTCTTTTCAGTTGGCCAACATTAGAGAAACAAACATTTTTTCATTGGCCTTTAGAATATTCAAATTTTCTGAGATACCAGATTTGATGTTTTCATTGGTTGTCACCTATAAATATCAAAATTAAACGTAATAAACATCGGTAATACATTGGTCTGTGTGCATTGCATGAATATAATGTACAAGTTTCACGTTTTGAATGGAATTACTGAAATATTTTCAACCTTTTGATGATATTCTAATTTACTGGCCAGCACCTGTAGATGTGTTTACTTTATTGACCTTTTGTACAATAATAACAGCTGTACAAAAGGTAAAAAAAGGAAAAGTTTAGATAGAAACAGAAGGCAGAATAAAAACAAAGGAGATAGCTGAAAAAGCAGAGCAGACCAGAGCAACGTGCTGGTTCGCAGTTCCGATGTTGACTCAGAGCGGATTTACACAGATGTGGAAATATTGTTTTAAAAGAGCAGCTTGCCTGTTATTGTTTTGTGTTTGAATTCACCTTATCAGCCTGGGCCTGAAGGGCATTGTGGGACTTCTGAGCCTGCTGGAGCTCCTGATTCAGCTTATTCACCTCCTGCTGGTGCTGCTTCTCCAGACACTGCCTCTCCTTCTGAAGCTCTGTTACATCCTACACACACGTACTTAACCACGTTAAAAACGGACAGACCAACACGTTATTTCCTGCTGTTTCTGTACATGTCTGACCCTCTGATGCTGTTTCTCCAGCTCTTTTGTGCGTTGCTGGTGCTGCAGTCGACTGCTCTCTGCATTCTGTCTCTGACACTTCAGCTCCTCTTGAAGCTGCTTCAGTCGATGCTCCGTTTCTGACGCCTGCATTCACAAAACCAGACAAAACTTTACAATTCATCTATTAAATCACTTTATTAAAATTAGGAATATAAACTGCTGTATTTTGATAATTGAGACTTCTATCACAGCAGAGAAAAGTCTAGATAATAAAGGCCAACACCCATATTTTAACAAGTGTTCTGGTAGCAGCAGCAGCAGCCACACCTTCACTATCAGCAGCAGCACTGGTCTGTGTGTTTACCCGTTGTCTGTCCTGGGACATGCGTGTGTGTGTCGTGTTGAGCTCGTCACAGATTTTCTGCAGGTTGATCTCTTTGGCAGCTAGCTCCTTCTTAGTCTGCACCACTTCCCTCTGGATGGACTTCAACATTCCCGTTTTATCAGAAAGTTCTTTCTCCAGAGCTGAGAGTCGACTCAGCATTTCTAACGAAGATGCTGAAGGATTGGGCAAGAGCAGAAACACAAACCATCAACAGGACCATTCAAATCCAGAACAAAAGTCCAGGAAAAATCTATACTTACAGTTTAACAGTGTTACACAATGTTTTGTCTCTGATACAGATAAGTCACCTAATAGTCTCAAGCTGTGTTTGAGACTAGAGTTGTCCTAGTTGACCCAACTGCTGAGATTAGATTGGGACATCCCCAGCTTTATATCTACTTTTGCTTTGTTCTATATACCCATTTATCAAGAGCAGGGTATCTGCAGGTTTAAGGGAGCCAAGTTTAAGACTTTTTAAGACCTTTTTTAAGGCCACTTTGACCAAATTTAAGCTATTTTTTTTAAAATTTAATTTAGACTATAATTTCCAGCTATTGCCTGGAATCGGTGCTAACCACGTTGCGAACGTGGGATTAGCCATCCAGTTACCATAAAAGTGGCACGTCCCCATGGCGCAATCTCCCACTAGCCTAACCAGCTAATGTGCTCATCTAAAAAAGCTCCCTTTCACAACCAACTGAATGTGTACGGTTCCACTTATGCCAATATCATACACAAAAAATGCTGAACACTAACTAGAAATTCATGAAAATTGAAATAAAATAATCTTGTTTATTGGGTCTTTGGTAATTTAAGACCTTTGGAAAGTGTATTTAAGGATTATTTGTCATTTTTAAGGATTTTTAAGGCCTTAAATTTGGAAAAGCAAATTTAAGACTTTTTAAGACTTTTTAAGGACCTGCGGATACCCTGCAAGAGTTTACAGCATCTTTGTGAAGAAAATGCTGCTCACAGAGGTGGCTGAGTGGGTGGAGAATGAAAAAACAAAGAAAACATATTTAATCATTTTATTTCCAAATGACTAAGAATTTAAATATAAGCAAAATACCTGAATTTCCATTAAAAATCCACCTAAAGGACAAAGCAGTAACGTGCAGCTCGAGTTTTCATTAATGAGGTCAATCAATACATCCTATAACAAACACAGCTGACGTCCCTGTGTGTGACGAACTTTGACACCGTAGATGCAAACCTGCTGCTTGAGTCTGTCCTGTCTTACACACATATAATCTAAAGTTATTAATAACTTCATTATGAGAGTGAACCTCATTCACCTCCATAATGAATCTTCTACAAAGAACAGAGTAGAGAAGAATCCCTGCTAAAGAATTATTGTTTCACATCCAGACTGTCCTCCTCCCCCACTAAACAAACACGCTTGAGCTGAGAGAAATAAAAGTCTTGCATCAGAGTTTTAACAAGAGTGTCAGGAGCCACTGGGCTTGGAGCAGCCAGAGGAATGTCTGGATGGGCTGCTGTGACTTCTAAACTATTTCTAATCTTACATTAGACTGATTGGTTTAAGGAGGCATGAAAACGTCATGTCCTGTGTCCTGTGTCTCCCCAGTCCCTCCCGTGCTTCTTCCCTCTCTTCATGTCCCCCATGCTTCACTCTCCTAAAGGCTTTGGGGAATGAGAGGCTTCTACCCAACACAAATTACTTAAGAGGCTGTGCACAAACACACGTGTGTGCTGGCAGACACAGAACGGTGTTTTTCTTACCTAGTTTGAAACATCAACACCAACAGGGAACGCACTGAAAAGACTTCTCATAAAAGTAGGAGAGGACGGGATGCTGAGAAGCAGTCCATCCCAAAATCAACTCAGGAAATTCTTCCTGAACTAAACGAGGATGCACTGGATTCTGAGAGGAAGATCAGAAACGATAGCACATGTGCTTCCTAACTACTTTTTACTCTTCATTGATTTAGATCTATACCGTTTATTTTAAAATAAATTTGATCTAGTTGTATATATTTATATAATAATTTATTGTACACTGAGAGGCAATCAACCACAAGACAAAGGTAGAACTGGAAATATGTGTGACCAACAAATCCACTGGCTTGACCAGAGCTCTGAAGTGGAGGCAGATGAGCACGGACTCTTACAGCCTCAAAGTTATGTCCCCACCTCACCCCTGCTGGGCTCTGTTCAAGTGGTTGAGGCGACATTGTCTGATGTGTGTTTTCTTCCTGCTAGCAGGAGTGTTTATATGTGTGAGTGTGTGTGTGTGTGTGCGCATCAGGACAGAGAGCCAGGACAGAAGAAGGGGTTATTTGTGAACGCGTGACCAAGAGAGACAGAAAGGATGTGACTTCTGTGCTCTTGTGCGGCATAGAAAAAACTCGACCTAGCCTTCCAGTCCCCCCACAGTACTGGTTTGACATGCTGACCAATTTAATCAAAGCCTCCAAAAGTATTTTGACCAATAAGTTGTCGATTACAATAAAACCCAGAATCTAATCCAAATCCAGTCTACTAAGACTTGTCTCAGAGCTTTAGGACTACTAAGTTAAAAGGATAACAGTGTGGGGATGCTGTGCCCTGTCCTCGCAGTAATCTAACTGTTTAATCTTGCTTTAGGATCAAGACAGAAGGAATTAGACGTTTATGTTGACATTCCACCCAACAACCTCATTTACCGTCTCTGTCAGTCTTCTCTGCCCCACCAACCCCCCGCTCCAACCGGACTTGGGTCCTGGCGTCAGGGCTGGGCATTTGGGGAGAGGGCTGTGGTCGTCTCCTGGATGAGGGTCTGGAATCGTCCCGTTCCCATGGAAACACAGCTGAGGGTGTGGAAAAGATGTCCGACTGATCGGAAGGGTGGCGGTGGGGTTGCGGTGAAGACGAGGGCATGTCTGAGAACTGGAGCTGCTGCTGAAGGAGGAAAAAAAGGTTACTAGTACCACAAACGGCCGCTGGACCGAGGCTTTTCAGTTTATCTAACTTCATCAGGAGTTTCTGAGTACATGTTACTTTCTACATCACCCCAATATTATCAGTTTGGCCAAATAAAATCACTTTACAAGCTGATTTCATGTCTTTGATTACCTTTGCAAACAAAACCTATTGATGTGAACATCTATGATTCAAGAATGACTAAAGTAGCGCACACTCCCTTTGTTATAGTGTGCTTGCTCTATCAAAGGGTTGTGTTCAGAGCACGTGAACAGCTTTTCTATTGTTTAGTGATGAGCTCATCAACACTGCAGCGAAATTAGTTCCAACAAAACAGCATTTGATTTGGTTTAGGTTTTGTTTTGATTTAAACTTCATTGCCAGAAGATTTCATGTTGAGACTTTTAGCCTTTTTTTTATTTTCACTCATTTTTAATCTAGATGAAACTATGTAGTTTCTGAAAGCTGATACAAGCAGGCGTATCGTGTGGTAAATTAAGAAGCCATGGTAAATAAACTTGTTGCTCATTCCTTAGTTTTTAGGCTTTTCTAAATGATTCCTCCAAAATCAAAAAAATAAATTAGTGCCCTAAATACAAGACCAAAGTGGATTTTTACAAACTCCAAGCACATTTACCACCTAATTTTTTATCTAAATCAACAAATAGTTTATTACTTAATTTTTCTACCTGAAGAGTTTCAGGAATGAGAAAACACTCAACTTTCCTCAAACAGCTTAAAGCCACCTGGACCACATGGGTGGAAAGAGATGATTAATTTAAGCTAAACAAACGAGGGGAGGTTCAGCCTCTCTGAAATTAAACAAACCAAATCCTCTCAGAGAGAACAGCTAAACTCCACAGGAGTCTTGGATTTGTCCACAGGAACAGTAAGCTTCTACTTACTCGGATGCGATGTGCTCGGCTCTGTCCGTCATCTCGCTGCCCAGACCTTTCTTCCTGCTTGCTCCCTGTAGGGCAAAAACAAAACATGGCGACTGAACTTAGAGCCTAAAACACCACCAAAGTTAAACGGGAGCAGCAGCAGTGAACAACCGAGTAGTTTGGTGACAACAGTGGAAAGACAAACACAACAATCCCAAGAGTGGTGGTCTGGGAAAGCATGAGAGCCGAGGGGTTCTATTTATAATCCTTCTGCTCATCTGGGAAACTTTGGGGTTTTATCATTTATGTTTATTCTCTGAATTAAACGGTGCATCAGCGGAAATATAAAAGTAAAAACCACCAAATGGAACAAACACAGGAGTCATAAATATCTGAGACAGTACCATTGTGTTCCCAGGGTGATGTGGTGCTCCAACAGGGTGTGGAAAACAGAGTGGTGTCGACCAGCCGGCTGCTGTTCTGCAGCTTTTCCAGCTCAGCTTCCAGCCTGCCACAAAAAGAGGGATGAATAAATGATAAATGACCCGCACTTGTATAGCGCCTCTCAGAGTAAGGACTCCAAAGTGCTTTACACTAAAGTGTATCATTCATCCATTCACACACACATTCACACACTGATGGTGATGAGCTACGATGTAACCACAGCTGCCCTGGGGCGCGCTGACAGAGGTGAAGCTGCCGAGCACAGGCGCCACCGGTCCCTCCGACCACCATCAGCAAAATAAAAACACACAGGACAGAAAAACGGCACAAACAGAAAACAAGGATGGTCCTGATGCAGAAAACCGATATGGGTGAAGCCTTGGTAAAAAAAAAAACATCAGAAAAGTTAAATTTATATTGATATTACACGACTTTGAGATAGACAACAACCAAGCATCTATTGCAAATGCGACATGTAGAGGTCATGGTCAGTCGATGGCCGGTATGTGCTGGTATTTGGCTGACATGTAGACATTTTCCACCTTATCTGGATGCTAAAATGTCACCAGTGTTTAAAGTTTAACAGAGGATAAACAACATTTGTGATTCTTCTCAGTGTCTGAACACTGAATTTAACCAGCCGTTTAAGCTTCATTTGTGCACTGCTCGCTACTAAAATAACACACTTAAACAAAGTAAATCAAACGTCAGGTGACGGTAATGTTTTAGAGCATTTATTAAGCTGGTGTTTGTCAGGACCGTAAATATGCATTTAAATAAAATTGGACAGCAACACCGGGCTGCCCATGGATGTGCCTGACTTAAAATCGGCTTTACTAAAGAAGCATATCGGCCCAATATAACGGCCGACCCATACACCGGTCTATCTCTACTCTGAGACGCCTAATTTAGTTAATAATCTGTACATCCTTGACTTTATTGATGACATGAAAAAAACTACAAAACCTAATATGCCAAATGTTTACAAAAAGCCTCTCCTGCTGACCTTTTGACCTCCTGGGTGAGCTTGCTGTTGAGGCTGCGGGCAGAATCCAGCTGCCCCTCTAGAGCACATACTAGGGCCTGCCTGGTGTGAAGCTCCTGGGTCAAGTGCTCTTTACTGGTTATGGCCGTCTGGGCCTCTTCCTGGACACTCTGGAGCTCTCTCTGTACGGAGTGCAGCTCTCCGCGAACCTCCTCATACTTCACAGAGAAAGGGAGGAGAAAACACACAAACAACAATGTAAACAAATCTAAAAAAGATTTCTTGTTATTACTAAAAAGACCAAGTACAGCCCAGTGATAGTTGTGTATGGATGAGATGAAGCCCCCAATGCATCGTGCCTACAGGCGACAACAGTTAAAGCCACTAACAGGATACTCTCTGGATACCTTCACAGTTTGTTTTTCAAGGTTGGTGTTGATATTGTCCAACTGCAGTTGCTTCTGTTTGTTTTCTCTAGACAGCCGCTCTTTGTGGGTCTGCAACTCCTTCACCTTATGGAGAACCCGCTGGGACAGGCCCACTGTCCAGTCCTCCTCAGCCCAGCTCATGTCTGTGTGTCTGGGCCTGACGGGATAAAAATAACATAACAAAACAACTAAAACACTTTTTACTCTACTTATTTGTTGTTTTACTAATCAAAGTGTTTCTTCAAATCCTAAAATCTAGGTTTAAGGTCTAAGTTTCTGACATAAATAAAACAAAGTTTCCAGGTTCTTGCTACATTTAAAACTAAAAATCTTAATAAAAAAACAGAATTGCACATTTTTACTTTAATAAAGAAGTGCAAGTGACTCTTTGCCCTGTGTGACACAGAAAACAGCCAATAACGTATCTGAACTTGTTCCAATTACTCTCACTACATCTTGTCTGGAAACTATCATGTTGTTAAGGCTCTGAGGCCTCAGGGAGGTGCTGGTTGTCACAGCTGGGCAGCTGTAACTGAGTGTTTTCCAACACACACTTCCTGTAATGTTCCTGGGTTGAGAGATCAAAACAAACATCTCTTTGGTCAAAGTTTACACATAAAGCTGCTTTAACAGCATTCTTGCAATGCTGTGACTGGTGGTTTGTACATAAAAGATAGCAAATACAAAGATATGAATATGGCAGGTCAAAAGAGAGAGCCCGCTGGAATGAAGAAAGGCCTGATTTAAACTGATCATCTAGCCAAAGCTTAGTTTTGACACGTATCAGCGCCTCAAGGCTATCTGAACTATAGCTTTACCCAGTCATAGCACAGAGGTGGTGTCATTGTTTATGTGTTCCTTCTTAGAACCATCGCTTAGAACCAACAGAGTGTAGAGACAAACATCTGACTGACAAAATCCAAGCAAACAGCACAGCAACAGTTCTGGACAGGAGCCTGGTGGGTGTTTCCATTTTAATCAAGAGCACATGCTAATACTTAATTTAATAAAAACAAGATGCTGTTTTTAATTTAAGTGTTTGATAGTTCAAATCAACAACAATCAAACCATTTTATTAATGTGCCATTGAGTGAAAATAATAACATATATATATTATTATGTGGACAAAACAGTTTTAAAAGTAACATCAAAAAAGTGAAGTTTGCATTTTGTCACAGTACTTGGATGGTAAAAAAAAAACAAATCTAAAAAAGAGAGTTCTTGTTATTACTAAAAAGACCCAAGTAAAATCCAGTGCTAATTCTGCTTTGATGAGATGAAGCCCTCAATGCATCGTGCCTACAGCCCCACTTGATGTTAATTACTTTTCTTTCATTAGGTAATTGTTAAGAAAGAGTCTAAGCAGACTTAATTCCACTGTTGCATCTGGTGTTTTGAGATGATCCATCTATTTATCATGTCAGACACAGATTAAGCTAGTGACCTATCATCTTCAGCAAGCTTCCTTTGTCCAACATCTGATGCATGCCATCAGCATAGCTACTGGTGGTTATGGAGAAAGACGTTTGAGTTAGGATAAGATTCACACAACTAATTTTGCACATATAAAACAAACAAGATGGTTCTAAATAACTAAAAGCAGTTTAAATATTGCACAATTATTACTTAATAACCACTGAAGACAAATATTATTCATCTGCCTACTGAAAATGGTTAAATGAGGACTTACACGACAGACAGAACTAAATTATTTAACCAAGTCATAAATAAAAACCCTTTCAATTAGGTCAAAAGGGGCACACGTGAAAAGATCAAAACGTAAACAAAAGTTGACCATCCGCTTTGACAGATTAATTAAAACCAGTCTGCTGCTTTCTCAACAAAGTAAGTATGACTGCCCATGTTTATTTCATTTCCATTTGAATAATGTGATCAAAAGTTTCTGCCGTTTTAAAATGAACGAATTAGCACATCCTTAGTAACATGGGAATAGACAAACACGAGCGGTGTGTAATCACGAGGCTTAGACAAAACAAAACCTACCTGTCAACTCTGAAATTAACACGTTTACATCTGTCACTTGTTTATCGTGGACATTAGTCTGTGAGTGATGCTACACCGAGCGGAGACTCGCTTTATCATCCGTGGTTTTAGAGTTTGGTCCATCAGTGATGCTACAAGCTAACCCCACAGAAAAGCTACTCACCATTCACTTGTTACAAAGGGCGCGCGCGGCGGGGGGAGGCTCGTGCAACAGCTCTGACACTGTTTTCACAGTGATGAGTAAAAGTACAGTAAAAAAGTAACACCAAAGTCCAGCGAGCGAGAAGCGACTTTTAACAGGACAACGTGAGCTATCAAGCCGACACTTTTTACTGAATAAACAGGATATCTCGCGTCTAACGAAGCCAGGAGAACCCGCAGTCTCTGTGGCACGAGACGGGAGGGGGTTAGTGACGTAGCAGCAGGGGGAATGTTTTGGGAAAAGTCCTCGTGGCGCTGTGAACCTCGGATGACCTCTAGCGACGTGAAGTGGCTACGTCTGCATGAATGGCAGGCCATTGTAGTATATAATCACAACAGTGATAACAATTCCATCAGTCTACACATGATTCAAATTTCAAAACTTTATTGTAATATTAGGAATCATATATGTCTGCGTTATGAACAGTTTCCCCATACATTAAAGTTCTCACTTCTTGCTGAATGCCAAACATATACAGGTAAATTTCCTCCATAGAGAAATTTTAGAGCAACAGCAGCAAAGTAGGTTCACAGTAAGTACATAGGATTCAGATTCACAAACTCCAGACAGATCAACCCAAAAGTGCATGATCACAGCTTTGCTGTCATGAACAGGCCTTCAAAAGTGGACTGAAATTGTTCTGGTGGAAGATTGAAACTCTAGTTGTTTCTTTCTGACTTAATGCAACAATAATGGCAATAAACGGTTGTGTTTTGTACTTGGAAGGAACAGGCAGTTTAATTTTTACTCAGAGCATTATCACACACAGTGGAGAACAGTTAGATGTAAGCATCCAGCTGTCATTCTCTCTCTGTGTATGGGAGTAAATAGTGAGCCTAAGCATTCTCTCCTTCCGGGTGGCTCATGGGTCCACTGACTGAAAAAAGAGTGAATGGAAATGAAAATGACAATAAAAGTTATTTCCTGATCCTCTTTGCCCTGGATCACACAAATGTTGAACTTCAATATCAATGAAAAACAATTGTGTGTTTTGACTACATCTGTCCCACAATTTGAGATTAGCTTGTTAAAATTTGTAAATAAAATTACTACAAATCAGACAATGTACAATTTCTTCTCCCCAGCATAGCCACTACCTTCCATATAACCAAATTTATAGATGTTTTCTCCACGTTTAATGCCTGTCATCCTGAAAGAAGGATTCGAAGCTCGCGAAGCTCGCTAGCTCACAGCCATTTTTCTTCTCCTTGTCTGATTTGATGACGTACATTTTGTGAGACAAACAGCTATGCGTTTTCACCTGTCAAAGTGCTTTCTTGGCATCAAAATGTGTCTTTAAAATCCAAGGATATCATATATTAAATCCATGGCATAGATCAATCAGGAACATGCAGAAAGTAACTTTTATTGGCCTATAGACTCTTATTCATTTTTTTTGTCAGTAGGGACCCGTGGAACAGAAGTAGCTGGGTGTGACTTGGGCTCCATAAACTGACCCTTAGGGGTTACAGAACACAGAAATGTACACACAGAACTTTTTTCCTAATGAATAAGCACAAAGCAATCAGTCATTTTTACATGAACTCAAAACCTTTAACAAAAGAATACACCTAAGTGACCCACTGTTATGGGGTGAAAACCTCGCGCACACAGCTCTAACACTGTGCTATTCAGTGTTAGACCTAGGATGACACAGACTAGTTCACATATGAAGCTTCTATCACATATCAATATAAAACATTAATATAAGCGATAGAAGATCATACACCAACGAGCTTGGTCTATGATTAATCTACGGATTAATACTTAATTTAAGATACTTAAATTAATAGCAAAAGTTTATTTATTAACCAGAAGATTCAGTAAGATTCTTTTCATTCGATAAATGGAAATGCAACCCTTTTCTGTGTTTCGTTTCAATAATGAGGCCAGTTTAAAAATGAAGAAATTTTATTACTAACAATTTTAAATGAAAGATTTGAAACGACAGTTATAAAATGACAATTCATGGATGGCAATTTTAATGACAATCTTTAACAGTTTTGATATTAAACTTGTTTAAAAACAAACCTGTGACTGAATGGAGCTAAAATGAGGATGGTGAATTTTGGATGAGTGAATGAAGTTCTCAGGTTTCTTTCAGAGAGAATGAAAGCGTTCTGGGTGGAAATGATGTTTTGCGGATAACTGAGTTATTTTGAGAGAAACAGCATCAAACGCATTCTGTCGAGGTCTACCTCACCCAATCAGAAGTCCCCCGTTTGGATCCGAAGTGTCCAGGTGGAGATGGGTTTCCTCCAGGCACGAGGTTGGTAGAAAAACCTCAGGCACGACCAGATCGGTCCTGAGATGTCTTCTTGGGTCACTCGATGTATGAAGCGTTTGTCAGATGAACGTTCTCGTCTTTAACTCAACTTCAGAAATCAATGACTCTGGTAGAGCCTTCGTTTTGGTTTACAGTTACGTTTATTCTTTTGCTATTCTGGTCAACGTGACTAGAACAGCAGGCAGAGGGTCAGGGCGGCCGTCCCTGGCTCCTCAGGATGATGTCTTGTTTCAGAACTGGACTTGAATCTGTGATGGTTAGTTTTTACCAAAAGCTCTCAGGACCACTCCCACTCTCTCCGGAAGAAAGCTTGCTCATGCGTCAAAAACATGTGATGCAGTTATTGTTTATCTGAACTCTGTGTTAGCTGAATAGGGTGACTTGACCTTGTTGCTAAACACATCTTTAATCATTACAATAATTATTATTATTATACCCAAAGCATAATAATCAATTTCATGTAATTAAAATACCTTTATATTGAACCAAGTGATCATGTTATGATGATTGTATTAAACAGTAATAAAATCAATGAATTTATTAATTATTATCTAATTATTATCATCGTGGCTTGAAGTGTCCTTCTGGATGGAACAGCAGATATGATGTTATGATCTTGAGCAGACATCGTGGCTCCTTGGGCTAATCTGTGGATTCAAAGTACTGTTTGACCCAGCTTGTGTCAGGTCCGAGTGGCTGAGCTGAAGTGTAGCGGAGGTTGCTTGTAGCGTAACTGCGTGACCCAGACGCGGAGTGGCTAGCGTTGGGTTAAACAGAGCACGCGGCTTTGATCTGGGAACGGCGGCGCAGCGCTCGGAGAGAGCCGAGACTGACCAGCAGTTCCGAATAGATAAGGGAGCTGACTTACTGGTAGTAGACAGCGTGGAAAGATCCCTTTCCTGGTTTGAGGGCTGGTAAGCCTGAGAACTCGGGTCGATGTCTGGTAGGAACGATGACTGAGTGATGAATGAGCGGAGGCACTTCCGTAAATGGAGTCGGCGTGATGACGTCGACGAGCCACGCTGGTGATGGGAATGCTGAGAAGTGTAGTAACCTGCCAGTTGGGTCCATAGGGAGTGGTCAGCAGGAGGAGTTCGTGACAGGTTGACCCAGCTGGGCAAATGTGACCTTTGCCACAAATCAGAGAACCTTCATCACGCTACACCACTTTACTCTCAAAATGTTTTGTCTTACTACATGACACATTTATTAAGCTTATCACAATCTTTCAACCTGTGTGGTGGTCTCCTTACATGAACAGAAGCACTAGCAAGCCCAGCAGGAGTGTTGCTGAACCACAGCAGGTGATTCCACATGCAATAAGTCCAACATAAGTGAGTCTGGAACAGCAACGTTGGCAGGAATATAGGACAGAGTCAAGCATGAAGCATGCCACTTCTGATCATCTAGTAACAGATAAGTTCCTAAAGTTAGCTGTTTTCTAATATGCAATGGATCAGATAATCCCTGATGTGCTTTGGAACATGTGTCCATTACTGAACACGGACAATCTCTCTCTCTCTCTCTGTCTGAAAGTATTGAACTTCTTAAAAGAAATGAATCAAAAATAAACACAAAAGTATGAACATTTGTGTTTTGTTGATTATTGCCTATTTTCTCTTAGATGGTGCCACATATGGGTGGCATCAAGGAAAAACAAATCTTCTCTGCCAGTGCCAGTAGCTTATGCTGCTGTTGACTGTTGAGTTTGGGGCTCCTGGTATCCCAGGTGAACCTAATCATGTGTCTGATTGCCATCACCTGTGAGCACCTTGCAGGCTTCAGTTCCATATTTTTGTGTTTATTAAGGTGGCGGTGGCTCAGGGGTTAAGAAGTTTGCCCTGTAACCAGTGTGTTGTTGATTGAATCCAGACTCTGTCTGTCGTGGGGTCCTTGGACAAACCGCTGTATGGCAGCCTCACTTCTGTCCCAGGTCAGCTGTGGCTCCAATGTAGCTCATCACCATCTGTATGTGAATGTGTGAATGAATGGATGAATCACTGGAGTTCTCTGACTCAGTTGCCAATATGCATTGCTACAGCAAATAAAGAATCAACCAAACACAAATGTTCTTACTTTTTGTGTTTTTTTAGATGTTTAATTTTCATAAAATGACATTCTCCATTGCACAATCCTCTCCTTGGAGCCACTTTGTGCAGTGTTTGATCCATATTTAGTCAAAAGCTGACAGACTTAAGTGGAGGTTAAGTTTCATCTACCCCTGATTCAGAATGAAATGCATCCATGCATTTAGAACTGTGATATACACAAATGCTTCCTGTTTAGCTACAGCGTAGCAGCGGTGAGTACAGGACAAGAGTAATTAGATTATAACGTTCACAACCGCCAGTCATTCTTCCAGGTAGGCTCTGGATTTGAATGTAATCTGGGATTTGGTGGCTCAGTGCTGAGTGGTGTGGAAACCCACAAACTGGCTTGATGTTCCTCATATACAGAGCCACAGACTGGCTGGTGGACAGACTGACCACGTCTGAGAGTTTACAGGTGCGTGACAAAACGATTACACAGGTAGTTATGTCATATCAGTGTGAGGCTGAGCAATAACAGCCTGACGATTTGGAGGATAACTGCCTGCCCTGTGGGAGAGATCTTTCTATGCTTCAGATTAATCTGTGTCAGTTATAATAAATGTCATATCTGAAGGTTCTAAAGAAGAAATTTTTGTAATAATGGACCATCCAAGGATTTCCAGGTCATTTGAGCTAAAATCACTCAGCAGCAACTAACTTTAAAACTGGGAAACTGACGCTAAAGAAAATTCAATGAAATTAAAACATCTACTTAGACAGCTGTTATATAACCTGAAGAGTCTCCGTCACACTGATGCCCAGGTCCCCACTCATGTCATGAGGTAAGCTCCTCTTGTCACTCAATCTTGATTAATACAGGATGACATTTATTCTCAATCCCAAACTCATACACTCACTTCCACATTCACCGTCCCAGGAGGACACACGTACGGTCTGCCAGGGACCGCCAGCGGTAGCCAGGCAGTCAGGTAGCAGTGTGCCACCCGCTGGAGCCTCACTCATCCACTTCCCACATGGGCAGCTGCTAACAGTCTTTGCAGAGCAACTGGTTGATTTCTGTCACACGAGAGTACGCCACGTCTGTTTGAATCCAGCTTTCGAAAGGTGAGATTGTATTAATTTGGAATATAAAAATGATTGAGAAAATGTGCTTTACATTGTTTGTGCACAGGCTGGAATCCATTGAGGTTAACTCTGGGTTGTTTGTCATTTTAATAATAAAAATAAAATGAAAGAGACATTTTTAGTCCTCAAATGCGACAATTTTTTTATCAGAATGTTTAAAATTTTCTACTTACAAGGCACAATTTATATTTTACATAAATCACTGAACTCTTTCCATCTTTTTCAGATGTTTCCCTGGTCTGCTGTTTTCTCCCTGGAGCCCAAAGTGCCGGGCCAGCGCTCCACTGAGGAGCTGGTGACCAATACTCTGATGCTGGAGCTGGGGGCCATGGTGAAGCGCACTGAACGGGTCCGTTTGGAGAGGGCCACGGAGGGTCGGCGCCGCCGTCGCAGCTCCTCATCCACGGCCGACTACAGCTGGCTGGCGAACAACCCAACCCCACAGCCCTACCAGCTCACCCCCAATGACCTGCTGGAGCTGCAGGACCTCTGTGCCAAGATCCCTCCAGCACAGTGTGGCCCTGCTATTGTCAGGTAAGACTTGAGTTTTAGCTGTAGTAGCTGATGACGCATACAGTTTCAGGACCAATGAGGCTGATAAATACAAAGTAATGAAAAATAACAAGAGGTGAAGCCCTCAGCATCAGTTTTATGATGAACATTAAAAAAATAAATAAATAAAAGACAAAGCCAGTTCTGAATCACCTGCATGGAACAGGCCTAACATACAACTTTGCAACACAGAATGTGAAAATAAGAATTTAGAGCTCCAGCTATCTCCTTTAACACCCTATAGACAATAATATGCTCAAACCCTCAGGTCATCTCATGAAAGCGTTCAATAACTCAGGACAGAACTTCTTTCAAAAGATGGCTGACAGGATTAGTTCTTCATTTCAGGGATCTTTAATCAGCCCAATCTTTAAAAAAAATGCTTAAAATGATAGGTTTCATTGTTGGCCCAAAACATTGGGGGATTAAATGTATGTAAAGGGAAATGTCTGATTTCAGTTTATAATAGTTCTATGGTTGATACAAAACATGTTGATGAAGTTCTTTGCAAAAAGTCACGCATAAAACAATTTCAGCAGTTTTACAGTTTCATTGCCTTCCAGAATGGGTGATTTCAAGGCTCTGTCACTTTAAGAAAGCATGCTGGAGCTGATCACGCCCACCCATGCCCCACTCAGTCTGCTATAGGCAGAGAAGCTCTGATATTCGGGAGGGGCTCAGAGTAGAGTCATGCTCCTCCAGCAGCAGTTCTCTCTTGCACGTGAGAGTTGGTTCCTGAGTAAATTCCCCATTTGTGATGTCACAAATGGGGACCTTTTGAAACTTCTTGTTTTATGAACGATTCCTAAAACCAAACACTGAGAAAAAAATGGGTGGACAGGTTTTTTCATGTTTCGAGTGTTTTTGAGGCAGTAGAGAACGATGGCAGCACTAAAGAATCCAAAAGGTGTTTTTTTTTCACAATATGGCTCCTTTAAAAATATTTCCTGTAAAACAAAAATGCAAATGGAATTTCTGGTTAGATGTCACACGAGTTCTCTAGCATCAGCACCTTGTCAATGTTTAAAGATAGCAACTCCATTCTTTGTGCAAAGTCTTCTCTCAGTCCCATATTTACTTCTGTAAATTTTCCAAACCCATGTCATGACCAACCTTCTCCTTCCACTGCAGGTTCAGGAGGCTGGTGTCTCAGATGGAGCCGGAGGTTCACGAGGTCCCTCGGCTGTTCCGCACCGTGCTACGGGACTGTGTCGATGAGATAAACGAGAATGACAATCTTCAAACTCCCAACACTTTCTTTGAGAAGCAGCAACGCAGCAAGAGCCTGTCTTTTGTTACTTTTCGCACAAAGTTTCGCACTGGTCAGATGTTCAAGGGCAGCGGTTTGAGAGGCTCCAGAGGGAATCTGCAGCAGCAGGTGGACTGGTCCGAGGAGGAGTCGGACGGAGAAGGAGAGGAGGAGGCTATCAAGGCTAGGGCCAGGAAGGGAAGGAGCAAGAGCATGCCAGAGATCACCCCAATGGAGCAGAGTGCTCATGGCTGAGGAAGCAGATAGAAGGTTCAGAAGGACTGGTGTAGAAAAGTAGGCACGGAGGAAACAACGTGAGTCTGAACTGGTGATAGTGAAAATAATCACAAATGAAAAGAAAAGGGGTAAGGAATTGTCAGAGAAATAAAAATGAATTTTAAAAAACTTTCACTTCTGCGTCATCTATAGCTTTTTGTGAACATGAGGGAAGTATTTAAGAGATTTCATAATCATTAGTTTAACTCTACCTGCTTACGAACTTTAGTGAAACTGGTATTAAGATTAATTAGAGCTGATGGTTAAGGACAGTTTTAACCTTGCAGCAATCCTCTGGGTAGCAGGCTATGACACACTGACAGTAATCAAATTTAGATGATCTCCTACGTTCATCACCACGTTAAATAGCAGCTGTTAAAAAAACAAAATGGTTCCGTTTTAGTTTTTCAAGTTTAAATGGAGGTTTAGACAAGCTGACTTGACTTTGACCTGATAAAAGTACAAGATATAAAATGTTTAGATCAAACTGGGTGCTACTACATTTCTTGTTATATCCATAAAGGAGAGTAGCTGCTGTAGATTCAAAACAAAGAGACCCTGATGGGACAGGACCACAGATCTACAAACAAATCAAACATTAGATGCAGTCTCCTACTAAAGATCCCACAAACTGTTCCTTTATATTCTGTTACCGATGCAGACTGGTCTCCACCACAAAAGGGAAACAGTTTCTTCAGCAGCCACCGTTCAGGTTAATGAAAAGCTGCTCTCCTTCAGATCTCTGCAACGTAAATCATGTCAGTTGCATGTTTTTTTTATTTTAAATATACATGTCTGTTTGAGAAAATATACAATGTTCTAATCCTTTCTGATTAAAGCATTGCATTTTCATAATAGTGTCTGTTTTACTTTGAAAATGGGTGCATGTTTGAAACATTTAAGGTGAAAAACTGGATTGCACATAAACATTTCCAATTCAATATTTCTCTAACATTGAAACATGAATGGATCCCAGTGATAAACTACTTTTTAGCATAACCAAAAACCTTTGGTTAAAAGAATTTTGGTACAAAATACATTAAAAAAAATGCCTTGACCTGAAGGATGAGTGCTGACTGGCTGGAAAAAAAAATCATATTTAAATAAACCAGTCCCTTCATTCAACCAGATTTACCTTAGATTGGTTCAACTGCATAACTTAGGCTCTATTCTGCTTTCTAATAAATCAGATTACTTAAATGTTTTACATAATGTATTTTGTTGAGTACTTGAGTGAAAATACAAGTAATCTCTTTGTGAGGATATGATTAACCAGCATTCTAATCCCAAAAAGACATTAAACATCAGTGCCAGCATCCCATTATTTTATTAATGCACTCTTTTCCAATACATCATAACTATTTGCACTTTATACAATGAAGTCAAGGCATTTGGCTAAAAACATGGGAAAACAGGAACCATTTCTTTTTGTTGTAATGGTCAGTTAAATAACACTAATCTGAAGAGGTGGGGAACTTTAACAGACACTTCCAGGGTATCTGTTGGATCAAATCAGTTCATTATTGGGTTGTCTCCAACCAGAAAAACCCCTTCATTAGCGCTGATCCTCTCTGAGGCATTGCACCGGGGACTTTTAAACCCCTGAACCTGACGGCTGCTGGCCAGACAGCTTCAATTAAAATAACAACTATAATATAACTACACTTTGTAGGACTCCTGCCTAAAACTTCAGCTTGGATGGCTCAAACTGCTTTCTTGAGCATCTTAGTTTTATGTCACAGTTCAGTAAGTCTACCCATTTGGCAAATTAACTTAGAAAGCAAAACTGGAACTAAAACAAAATCACATAAATGAATGCTGTTGAATTAAGTAATACCGATTAATGAAACAAAGTCATTCAGTTGTAATGAGAAGTAGAAACACAATAGAGTAGACTTCCATTCTATTGTTTGGCTTTGGAATAATAAAGTTAAGGGGTAAACAAAACAAATTTAAGACAGTTTGCAGAATCAAACCATTAACTTACAGCCATTTTGAGTAAATGTAAATCTTGGTGAAAGTACAAAGCAGAGCTTCCTTCTGCTCAGTAACCAACAGAAGATGTTTATTATTTTGACAGAGTTCAACCTCTTTATTCCTCATTAAGCTGTAGAATCAAGAGTCTGTAGCTTGGAAGTGAGTGAAAAGTCTGTGTGATTCTAAATCCCAGCCTTTAATAAACCGTTGTGGAGAACTTCATCCTTCCATTATGTCGTGCAACCTGGTCCAACTTTAGCTTCTATGTGCTTTTTCCTCCATTTAGCTGGTCCTCTTCACTTGCTTTACTTTTTCAAGCGAAGAAGACAACAAAGATGATAAAGAAAACAGCGAGAACAAGAAAGATCTTAATCATCAGCCAGCGGTTGGAGGAGACGGACTGGAAGTACTTGAGGATTTCTGTGTGAGCTGACTCAACGTTCATCTGGGCATCGTCCACGTTAGCATCAATCCTGCAAGAGGACAACAGGAAGTGAGCTACAGCTGTCATTGCTCACATCTGGTTTCTTTTTTTAAAGAGGTCCTTCACTTAGAAACTATTTTTTACTTATTTTTGAAAGTTGGCCACTGAGTTTAACATTCAGGCAGCATGTCTCCTGCCTTAGCTTCTAATAGAAAATACTGTGAAAATCGAGGATTTGAAAACCTGACAGATCTACGTCGCACCGTCACTTAACATCCATGGACTCATCTATCTTGGCTCGTGACAGGGAAGGCTGCTGTTTTAGCTTCCAGCGAACAGCAGACAACATAATGGCTAGTAGAAGCTAACCATTAGCATTAGCAACTCCACCACACAGCAGAACTCCTCCAGGCTTGTGTTATTTGTGGAGGGACAGCATCAATGTAGTAAAGCAAATGGAGTCAGTGGTAGAGTCATGTTGCTGTTAGCCAATCAGAGGCGAGATGTCCAAATATCAGGACATAAGACTCCAAATCCTGCTGTCTCAAGCTACTTTTTCCTGTGGTTTAATTCTCTGTGCTGAAACAGATGCACCAGTTTTTTTCTCTCTAGAGTATGACTTAGAAGGCCTTCACTCCTGCAATAGGCCACTGCCAATGTACTGAAAATATGAGTGAAGGACAGTTAAACCAAAAGCAGGGCACATATGGCAATAACTTGAAACCACTTCTTTTAACACAAATCTATTTTGCCATACATACACTGAAGGGCAATTATAAATATATATACACGTGTGTGTGTGTGTGTGTGTTAAGACTGAGCATCTCACAAATTTCCTTTATTTACTGTAATCTTCTCAGCTGACCAAAATGGACGTGTACAACATATTCTTGTACTAGGTGATTTCAGTGGCCATTTTCCTACTTGTACTCCACCTTTGTATGGTCTCTTCTTGTTCTTTAACCATGTGTGCCAGCTGCTGGAATATAGAACCCAGTTCCACGATGGTGCTCTCAATGTTCTGCATTGTATCTGCACGGCTCTGGATGTACGAGTCCTAGAACACCAAACATTTTTTCAAGTGTTAAGGAGTGTTCTGTATAATACAACACTGCCCATTTACTGGTTGTAGGTTAACAGCGATGTGTCTGATTGCCAAATGTCAGCAGTGCTACCTGCTCATCAATAAGCTGGAGCTGCAGAGGGTTGCTCTGAGAGTCCATGTTGATGGCCACATCTCCCATGCTCCGGGACTCGTCCTGCATCAGAACAGAGCTCTCTGAAAGAAACAAGAGGGTAAAACAAACCCATGATCAACGAAATTGGAATAAATCTCTGAATGTTGCAGGGGAAGGCATAAAAAAATCAGCAGGTATATACAGTAGCGATTCATACCCGCTGGGAGAGTCAGACATTCCAGGGAAATACCTTTTAAATTTGTGGTTGTATAGCCCTGGTAGTCATTGCGCGGCTCGCGAGCTGCTTGCGGCTCCTGGGCCCCTTTTTTGCGGCTCCCTAAAATATTTTTTAATTTTTGCATTACAGAGGACCAAATACAATAATAATCAATCACAAGGACTTTGAGCAGTTCCCTACAGCAACAGCTGTTGGTTTCAACACAAGAACACTGGCAGTCAAAGGCTCTCCACAACTTGTAAAGAAACGTGGGTAACACTTTACAATAAGGGTCCCTTTATTAACGTTACTTAGAGCACTATTAAGCTTTAATAAATAAAGAATCCCTTTATTAACGTTCCCGATATTGCTAACTATTAAGTGTCCTTAAGGTTGAGACAAAGGGCTGGGGGGGCTGCTTAGTGATGCATTATTTAATAAGAACATTAAGCAGTTAACATTTTATTTAATAGTTTATTAATGCTTAATAATGCACTAAGTAACATTAATAGAGACCTTTACTGTAAAGTGCTACCGAAACGTGAAGCAGCATGCGGACAGAAAGATCTACTTTATGAATACTTCATTAAATATGTATTCTGATAAATTTACAGTAGAGATAAGTGAAAGGGTACAAGTATTGTAAATGAATTATGGGTTCAGGGCTCTGTTTAGATACATTATTTTAATGATTTTTAAACAAAAAAGGAGAATTGATGCGTGAATAAAAGGCAGAAGGACTAAGTGGATCAAGCGGTTAGAGAGCAGGACATTTCCAGAAATAGAAATTATTACAAACACATCATGTTCAATCTTTAAATGTATTTATGAGCAGTTGCATCAGCTTCAGCCAGAAATGCTTATAAACAAATGCTGTTTTTATTGGTAGAGTAGATTCATGCAAAGGAAGCATCAGAGCCCCCAGCACCCTTCAGATAACCCCTGCATGTGGAGCAGGGGACGGACAGTAGCACCTACAAGTGGAACAAATTAGACTAGTGTTTGTAGCTTTCACCACTAAAACTCCAAAACTAAAGGCATCTATATTAGTTTTAAATGTGTTGTTGACGGTTGTTTGCTCAAATAACATAAGCCGTTTAAACATTTTGCCTGAATCTTGGGTGGGATTTCTCCCACAAACTTCATTCGTGTTGGATGAGCGTGTCACCATTAAGCTACACCAGCATGCAACATTCACTTGTCACCAGTTTTAAAAAGTGATCATGGCAAAATATTGTTATATTTAGTGACTGAAAGCATGAATCCAAGAAGGGACAGAGACTTACTGAAGTTGTTGGCCATCATAGGAGAAGAGGAGACGGGGGGCTGGGAGAACTGCTCTCTCCTGCTGCGCTGCTGCTTCAGGTTCTACACAGGAGACGTACGACGACGCAGAATTAAATTACATTAAAAACTCCCATTCTAGAACACCAGTACTAGTGTTTTCTGCTCGTAATAACATGGAAACATTCTCACCTCAGTTCTGATTTCTAAGACTGATTTGAAGTCATTTGACATTGATGCCAGTTTGGACTGCAGATAGAAACATAAAAAAACAAGTCCATCATTCAGCTGAAAGCACATCTAAAGAAGCATAGCACGTAATAAATACAAGCGATGAAAACTTTTTATCTGATATTTTAAAGGACCTGTATCATGCCATTTTAGACCTTCCAATGCAATGGTAGGCGGGGTTTTTCCTGCGTTCAAATTTGTGCGGCGGCCGCCTCCAGCTATTTTTCTGCCGCCCCATCCTGATTTCACTCTGCCCCCAGCTATATGGATGTTATTTTAACATCCATGTTGAGTGGAGAGGACGCAGAGCGCTGATCGTTGGTGCGCCCGCTGCGTCCACCACACGATACATTTTCAAGGTGGCACAACAAAACTATTATTAACACATGATTATTCATATCTGTTTATATCCTCTGGTACTCTGTCTTTTAATCGTTCCTGACACGCTCCGCTCATCCTGTGCTGCGGTGATTTCACCTCACTGACGCAGCATCAAAATGCGCACTACGCTTTGCGGTCAGGAGATCCCTTTGATCTGTTCAAAAGTAACTGATGAGGTGAAAAAGTAAGAAGCCAGACAGCAGCTTTTCTAGAGAATTTAGAGGAGATGCAGGAAGATGAGAGACAGACAGGACAGGACAATAGTCAAATAAAAACAAGAAAACAAAGCTTGAAAGTAAAACGTACGTAGATTTATCTCCACTACACGTTTTTACCAGTATAAAACAATAAGTTATACACATGTAATATTTGTACATCTGATACAATTCAGATCACCTTCAAAACTCAGTCACACGCCCAGGGCCGTTTCAAGGCATTTTGGGGGCCAAGGCAAAACGGAACACCCCCTAACCCTAACCCGTACATAATAGACATGCCACCATTACATTGTTAGCAGCAGAAATTAAATGTTATTACCATTTCCAATACAAATGCATGTTAATGAAATGCATTATATTTTACTGGATATATTTGTGTTATTTTGACTAAGATGAGTGTTATTAATACAAACCTAAAATGTTACTGAAATATAGGTCATATTTAAAAATATTTTTAACTATAAATATCAGATGGGAAAAAGGAAACTAAACACTAATCTAAAATTATTGAGCCTTTTATAATATTTTGCCTTTAAAAAGTGAGGCAGTTGAATGCACAGAGTATGCATGTGCTGGCACATGGTCAGGGTGGTACCACCTCTGCCTCAATTTGAGGCAGGAAAAACCCTGGTAGGTATGATGAAACATTACCGTTAGCACTATCGAGATGTTTTTTTTTATAAAGTACAAGTTATTTTTGTGAGCCATTACTTCAACCCAGAAATAAGAGGCTCAGATTAAATCAAACCCTGCTTCCTGCAATGTGAATTTCAAATTAGCACACAGCTGCAGACTTGGAGACCAGAGGTTCAAGCTGACATGTGCAACTCAATGACTGCATTATTTAAAGTGCAGACTAGACAGGAAAGAAATCACAACTGTGGAGATTAAAGTCTCTGCTAGCTACATGGAGAGACTGGGTGTTAGTGTTTACAGTCCAGGGGAGGAGGGATGCAGACTCAAAACCACCTAGATGAGGATAATAAAGTCGTGACATAGCAATAACCCACCCAGCAGCATGAAACAGCTTAGCAAAAAGTTGCAGAGCTGAAGGAAAGAAAATGCTTCGACATAAAAATGCATGCACACATGCATAAAAATAAATAAATTTGGGTTGTTTTTCATGAGGAAGTAATATAACATGGTCAAAACCCTCAAAAAGTAGATTTTGCATGATATAAGACCTTAAAATAAGTTTTTTAAACCATTATTTTGAACAAATATGAAATATACCATATGCAGATCAGATATTACAAATACACAAAATGTACCTGTAATGAGACCACTATAGTGTTGGAATGGGTCTGGATGTGTCGGCCACCAGGAGCACTGCGGGACCTGATCAAGTCCTGCAGCTGTGCAATCTGTTTGTTTAGGCTGTTGATATCCTTTGGACAGAAGAACATATGAAAAAGTCAGTATTTTAATAAACAAAAACTGATATTTTTAATACACATTTATAAACCTCACACCTGCTGGAGAGCAACTTCAACCTACCTGTTTAATGATGTAGGTTAGCTCCTCAATCTCCACTGCCTTGTCATCAAATAAAGATTTCTTTTTGGCCACTGAAATAACAAAGCAATAGCACGCAAAAATCAGCACTTCGGAAAACAAAATATTTATTTCTGCAGAAATGACAAAACCATCACTTACAAATTGTGAGTTTTTCCAATTTGGCAAATGTATTGCTTAAGTCTTTCCCAATCCTCCTGCAAAGAAACAAGCAGATGAAACTTACTTTTGGTTCTCAGTGTTTCCCCTAGAAATTTTTCTAGCTGTGGTGGTTGTGGTGGTGGGTGGGGATTATGACACGTCTCACCTTTATGTTAATATTGTTTTATTTGATGCACTCCACTTTGAACTGCACCAATCCAGCAACTGCTGCATTTTAATAACTAGTATTAAAAGGTGAATACACCAATATTTGCACAAAAATAATTTTTGTTTTAAACTCTCAGTGACACACTTTGCAGGGTGGATTTGGCATTTAATTTTTCTTGGCGTCTGGAAAAACATCTCCTTCTGCCCCCCTTTATTTGACTTTCTTCCCCCTGTATTTTGGTCCGAGATCATTACTGGGCTGGCCCTATTAAAAACGTTCTACACCCCTGCTTAGTTGACTTAATGAAGTATTTTTAAGTCAGTATAAAAATGACTGAAACACAAATTTACATATTTGGCATTATTGACCAATATCTTTGATTTAATTTATTTGTTAAGAACATCAATATGCGTTACAGTGATCATTATAATGAAGCACATTTTTCTAGTGCAGAGAGGAGACAACCCATAGAAGCACTGATTTGATCTCATTTCAGAGAAAAATAGAACAGGTCAGACGCACCTAATAAATAAAATTACTAGCATAAACTCAGGAATCGGTTTCTTTGCTTCATTGTTCTGGTGCTGAAAATATCACTAATGTCAAAGGAGATACACAGATGAATGCACCTCTTATTTATTATTTGGAAATTAGTGGGTGTGGTTTACATCAATACATTATTTTAAATCTGAAATTGATATGGATTGATCAGAAATTGCTATGTGTATTGTTTATTTGAAAACTATTTACAGAGCAGCCTCAGAATTTAGATTAAATATTTTTGACCACAATAGTAAAGGAACTATTAAAGAACAAGTTTTTCAGTAAAATCAGAACATTAATATTTAAGTATATGAGTTAATACATCTAAACTCATGCAGTAGGAACTACTGACCCCAATTGAAATACTAGAACAATTAAAATACTAGAACCAGACAAACCTTTTTAATGTTTTTATTTTAATTTGATTAAACTGATTTTTTCCTAACGTTGTTGGCATTTTCCCCACACAAAGTTAAACAAAACAATGTTGATTAAGGTGTGTGTGTATGAGAGAGAGACAGAGAGAGAGAGAAAGTTAAAATAATTTTAAAAAACCCGACCGGAGCTGAGGCAGTGACCGACGCAGCATGAGCCGTTTTCAGCTCTGTCTTGTCAAATGCACCACGTATGTTACGGAAAAGGTAACTTTAAATATTCAACCGAAAAAGAGGCAAGCTGAAGAAAACCTAGGGAGTAATGAAGAAACGTGAGCAACAGTGAAGCAATCACAGAGAGATCCGTTACTGTCTGTGTGTGTGCGTGGATGCCTGGGCCGGACTGAGCTCCCGGCTGCAGAGTTTTGTGTGTAGGGAGGGGCGGGCGCTCTATGTGACTGGCCAATCACGGAGCATGAAGACAGTTACCCAATGGGTATTTTCTTTCAGCACGATTACAGATATTTATGAGTTTTACTCGTTTCATGCTCGTATTCATCAAAAATGCTTTATCCGCCCTATCTGTAACCACCCTGCCCTGCCTCCTCCTCCTTGCTGCCTGCCGGCTTTCATCACAAGCAACAACAGAGTAGTTCCCGCTGCTTCTTCGGGAAATGGCACAAAGAAAAAAAAAATCAATTAAACTTGGGATCTTGTAGGCGTGGCGCTGGGATTTCAGCCGTGGCGGGCCGCCACGGCTATGCCTATGTAAGGGAAACACTGGGTTCTGCTTCATTAACACGTGTTAGAATAAAACCTCGGGGGGTGGACTACTGGCGGTTGTGAGTGGGGCCCCTTGGGGGTCTTGGCGGAGGCCATGGGTCGCTGCCTGGCAGCTGCATTGCCCCTGAGCAGGTCTGGGTGGGGGCCTGGGGGCTCAGGGTGTGGCCGGCCCGGTGTGGGGATCTGGGCGGGGCCTTGGGGGTCGGGTCCTGACATGTATGCTGCCGGGAAGAAGGCAGGAACATGCGGCAGTGCCTGTCCCGGGTTCAGGGGCCTCAGGTAGACCTCGGCTACTCTGCTGTTCCATCACAGGGGAGGGGGATGTCCAGGAGGGGGAGGACCCAACCTTACCTCGATGTCCAATGTCTTATATATTCTGGGAGTTGTGCAAATGCAGGGATGTGATGCTGCTCCTTTGGTTCCCTGGCAAGATGGGCTGGGGTCTTCATGTCCTGGGTGACATTTTGGCAACAGAGGTGCCTATCGGGGCCAGTGGGGGAGCTGGCTCCCTGGAGGGCTTAAGTCCAACCAGCAATTCCTCCCCATCCCCACACATTTTTCTCCTCCTGCTCCCTCACATCATCACACAATCATGCACATAGGACCTTGGAGGGTGGACAAGTCAGGGGGTGCAGGTATGGACCCCATTTCCGCATTCCTGTGGCAACCTGCCCCCCAATTTTACTTGCACCTTACTTCCACCAACGACATTCCACGCAAGCACACACTTAGGGCCTTGGGAGTGAGCACATTCAACGGCATTTGGCAGGGGGATTTTTCAGCCTCATCCCGAGTGCCGGTGCCCACTTCCAATTTTAAACAGCACTTAGACACTGAGGGCTGTGGGTGCAAGTGGGGTAGTGTGGTGGCATCAGCTGGCATAGGCCAGACGATGCCCGCACTGGAACTTGGGCACGTTCAACACATGTCTTAAGGCTGTGGTTGGCACTAAATGCACTATAATTTATTATCGTGTGATTGTTCAATAAAACAATGTTGATTTTACATTTCTTCATCAAGTTGAAACAGTGATAGCTTGCTCCTGTTGTATTGTTGTGTGTGTCCCTTTTCTGCAGGTCTAGAAGCAGACTCTTGTTCATCATTGATCGTTTATTTTCGTGGACCCCCCCCCCTCCCCTTTTGTATCTTCCTTTCTCTTTCACCTCTGTCTCCGTGTCCGGTCGAAATTACAAAGCATTCGAAAAACATTAACAATAAAGTTTTAAGTATCAGACATGACATTAAAAGCAGAAGCTTTGATGCTCCACCTGAGAGTAAAATCTGTAAGGCTTGTCTCCAGCATTCAGACATTAATTCTGTTTGCTTCACAGCCAGACAGGACAGGAGAAAAAAAAAAAAGAATAAAAAATAATTTTTATCTCAACCACTCTTGAGAGTTTTAAGACAGGTTAAGAATCATCTGGAACACTCAAAACTAAAGTAGCTGTGGTATCAGTAAAAAGAACATTTGTAACACATGAATAAAACATGTAGGAAAACCTCTAAAGCTCTTACTTGGCCATGAGTGTGAAGTCACTGCGTTGCCTGAGAGACTGAGAAGCAGGTTTACTAGGCTGGACTCCATTCTGACATGTGGGGGGATATGAGGAATAAAATGTTAGATTTAAACCAACAGTATGAAGCCACACAGTGGATAAATAAAAATATATTATTAGATTATTAATTAAACATTTTTGTTGTAACTAATATATTTGTGGAGGTATACAGTATCACCTGACTGATAAAAAAGTGGAACCAAAACCACACACACACACACACACACACACACACACACACACACACACACACACACACACACACACACACACACACCAAAAAGCAAAACCAAAAGAATCATTGTTATAAATGCATTCCAATTTACTCACAACATGAAAGCAAGGGTGAATTTAAGGTGTACACCTTAATGGTGGCCGTAGTTCACTCAAACATACCTGTCTGCCTTGTAGAGATTTACAGGCTGACTGAAACTCGAGGGTTCGGTCACGGCACGTCATTCTGACGCAGCTCAGTGTCACCAGCCTGCTGTGGACACCCGAAAAACTCTTCCTAACGTCTGTCTGCCTGATGAATATAAACAAGGAGACCTTCTGATCTGGGGGACAGACTCACATCCAAGGTGGTGTGTCCTTCATCGGCACAAGCACACACATGTCTGCAAAAACAATGAAAGGATCTTTGGTGAACAGCTTAATGAAAAGACTAATCAAAAATACCTATTCGGTACCGTTAGCCCCGACTACGAAAACAATTAAATCGCAGCAACAATGCGGTAAATGACAAAGACCACAATTCACAAACATTCCCACGTGAGAGCAAAATATAAATACCATTAGGTAATAATTATTACCCCCAAAGTCTTCGAGAACCATCACGACGCACAGCTGATCTCGGCCTCACCGGCTAACCACCGGCTAACATCTGCTAAAGAACGCTACAGGCTTTTCATCCGGTTCCGTCACCATTAAAACCGAACTTTATTGCGCTCTAAACTCAAAACATGAAGATTATTCATATTTCAATTCGTTTCACTTACTTGAGTCGGCATCACACCATTTTTATCGAATATACTCGATGTTCTGGTAAGAACTAACCGACCGTTTTAGTTAAAGTTCCGATCCGGGTCATTTCCGGAATTGACGTCACTGCCACGTCTGCTTTACTGAGACGTAAATCCCCGTAGGTGCAGATTAGCTCCACCAGGGGGCAATGTTCCCCCTCTTAATGAGAGGAATGTAGCAAATGACTAAACACCAAAGATCAGCACAAATAAAATAATGTTTAATTTTAACAGGGCCCAGCCATTTAAATCTATTCGAATTTTTAAATTTGCAAAGTCACTGCAGATAGGCATGTTGTTTCATATGTGCAAACCCCCAAATAATTCAAAATTGTACCTGACTGATCTGTCAGTGGGAAAACTATTGTGGTAAAAAGCACTCAGTTGCCACATTACAGGTTGCTTGCTCAGCATATTCAACATTAGATCCAGCAGATTTTTACCCTGTTTATGTTTGAAGTAAATTACTTATCTGTCAGCTTTGAGTTGTGTGTCATGTAATAGATTTCAACCAGGTTTGGGTCTGACTTTACTTGGGTAATAATTCAACATATTAAAATACAGTTTTGTAGTTTGACCTTGGCTGAAGTTCCCAGTGCATTCAAACATGCTGTTGTTCAGCCGATTTTGAAAAAACCTGGTCTTGATCCCACTGATTTCTCTAATCTTCGACCAATTTCCAAATTGCCATTTTTATCAAAGGTACTTGAAAAAGCTGTGCATGAACAGTTAACACATTTACCATCAAGTAATGCACATTTTTCAGTCTGGGTTTAGACAACAGCATAGCACTGAAATTGCTCATGTTCATGTGTTTAATGACATCTTTCTGACTTTGGATTCAGGGTTCCATGTGGTTCTGGTACCTCTTGATCTATCAGCAGCCTTAGATCTAATGAGCGCCTTGAATGGCAGCTCTCGTGGTCTGCCTGTATCTGGTCAGGCTGTACTGCCGAGCCATACTTCTGTGCTTCGGGACGCTGGGGCACTGACAATAAAGATGATTCTGATTGATCATAACATCTTGATCTCCAGACTACACACATGGGCTGGCATCACAGGTTTGGCTCTTGACTGGTTTAGTTCTTACTTTTCTAACAGGACCCTCAGGGTCAGGCTGGACGACTACTCATCCCAGTTGGTCTACGGTCCCTGGGGGGTTCCTCAAGGTTCCATTCTCGGCCCATTACTGTTCTCCCTCTACATTCTGCCTTTAGGAGCCATTCTCAAACAGCATGCTGTTTCATACATGCAGACAATTGCCAAATCTATGTTTTGCTTAAACCCACTGACTCCACTAAACCTCTGTATGACTGTGTTCATCTGAATGACTCTAAAACAGAAGTAATTGTTTTTAGTCCCGATAATGTTAGAGCGACTCAGCCACCTGACCACTCTCATCCTCCTAATGTAACTTCTACTGTTTCCAACCTCGGAGTAAAAATGGACCCGGTTCTGAAGATGGAGGCTCAGGTCAATAGCACAGTGAAGTCCTGCTTCTACCACCTCAACAAATTTCTAAATTAAAGCCCATCCTGAGTGCCCGTCTTCTAAATCGGTGATTCATGCCTTCATTACATCTTGGCTAGATTATTCCAACTCCTGCCTTTATGGCACCAGTAAAGCTACTCTGGCCAGAATTCAGCAGCAAGGTTCCTGGCTGGAGTTGATAGAAGACAGCATATTACACCCGTTCTCTCCATTGGTTGCCCTCCTCAGCTCCTCCTCACCGTCCCTAAGGCACGTTTGAAGACCCGCAGGAAAGGGCTTTTTCTTTCTATGCCCCAAAACCTTGGAACTCACGATCTCTCCAGGTCAGGCAAGTGCCCTCTATCACCATTTTTAAATCACGCCTGAAAACACACTACTTCTCCCTGGCCTTCAGCTCCTAAACCATGAAGCACTAACTCATACTTTGTCATCCTTCTTTCCACCTTGGTTGCTCAATTTTAAATCTGTGGATTGGTATTTTGTGGTTTCACCTTGTTTCATTGATTTTACTTCGTTGTTCTTTTTAATTGTTTTAATGACACACGTGATGATTTCTGCTTGTGATGCTTTATTTTTTGCAGCGCTTTGGTCAGTTGCAGCACCGTGTCAAGTGCACTCTATAAATAACATGGTATGGTAAAGTAGGGTACATGTTACTTGAATACAAATAAAATATTCTAACTCATGTCACGAACATACTAACCTTTGCCTTCTTAAGAACAAGGGAGAAAACAGTAAACAGAGGATTTGATTGGCTGGTACCTCAGGTGAGTCGACTTGCAGGTATGGTATGGAACGATGAAGATAAGATCCAGCAGACACTCTGATGTTCTTCTGCTTCTGCTGGTACCAGCATCCTCCTCGTGGCAGGATCAAGCATGTCTAAACCACAGCTATGTCCTCACCCTTTACCTGTTGTACCCCCCAACAGTGACCCCTCCCAACTTTCCAACATATTGTCAGAACTATTTACCAACCCTCATCGGCTCAGCTATGGTCTCCATCACTCTTTATATCGCACTTTAATCGTGCCGGGAAACTCCTCTGCTTTCTTAACGTTGGCCCATATGAGGTCAGAAAAGAACAGTTTCTTCGTCTTTTAGCCATAACTGAAACCCTTTTCTTACATGTGTCATGTATATTACATATTATCCATTGATTTTGACTGAATATGTTAAAAGTCTCTGGGTCAGGAACATGTGCATTTGCATCCAGAAGATGATCCTAAACAAAAAAAAAAAAAACTCCTGTCGGCTTAACCTTTACTCCGTCTGCAGTGGTAGCGGGTGCAGTCTGTGAACATGTCACATTTTCATTGTATACGCTGAACATAGTGAAACAGATGACCATCAGGAATTTCTTTATCATGGCAGACATCTCCATGCTCCATTCTACGCATGTTTATTTTGCGCTGTTTCCCATGTAGTGAGAAGAACGTTTTTTTCAGTGTGCTTCAGTGGAGTTGTGGAGTGGGACAGACAAGGTCTGTGGATCCACATTTCTGCTGAAGATAACAAAGTTTTGTTTTCCTGCAAAACAACAAAAAAAGTTCTTTGTGTTCACCGTGTTAACAATGGACTAAATCCCAGTCTTTCACTCCTGGTTTGGTTTAACACACACGCACTGATACCATCTAACAACACACATGGTCACAGAGCAGATAGCGTCCAGTACCTGCTCCAACACAGCTGCTGCTACACTGAGCAGGGAGGAAACCATGGCTGCAGTTATTAGAAAAACAGTGAGAACAAATGCAAAGAAAAGCAAGGTGGAAAAATACAGGAAGTCCTGGTACAAGTGCAGACTGGGGTGGGTGGGTGTGGGGAGGCTGACGAGGAAGGAGACATAGCATATGAATGCATAAAATATATGACAACATGGAGAGAACAATGGTGCGTCTGCTCCTTTTTAGCAATCATTTTGAAGGTTTTAGAGTCGCAAAGTGCTAAAAAATAGACCCTGGATGGGACACATCCTCTCTGTATCGAGACATATGACTCACTCTGTCCTTTTCTCTTTCTCTGTCTCCATAATCTTGCTGCTATATTTAGTTCTGGCTTCGTGCCCTTCGACAGGGAGGTTGGTAGCAGCACTTAGCTCCCCTCATCTTTCTCTCCTGTTTCCTCTTTCTTATCCTGCCCATCCTTTCCACCCCTTTCTTCCCTTAGTTTGTGCAGATTTGTGAAACGTTAGCATCGTCCTAATCTGTAACTGAAATCTGAGTATCGGAGACAGAAATCTTCTTCATCTGTATTATTAGGATATGGACATAACCAGCACTGAATGCAGACCAGTCCTGCTGCAGGTAGGAAGAGTGTGTGCACAAAATACACAGATAAAATGTTGTTCAAGTGGCTCTTGCACACTTGCAACAACTAACTGAAACTGCTGCATGTTCTGATGAACAGTGTTACAACAGTAGCGCAAAAAATAGCTTCATGAGCATTTAAATACATGTATAATGTCTCACACACACACACACACACACACACACACACACACACACACACACACACACACACACACACACACACACACACACACACACACACACACACACACACACACACACACACACAGTGAGACAGCACACCGTTGTCCCTCTGACTCAGCAGCAAAGGCGAGAGGAGGCGCAGCAACAATATTATGTCTCACAACATCACGTCACATCACATACGCACTTTTTCACCGTGCCCAACTCCCATGGTGGCGGTGTAATGAAAAGACCCTGTTTATCTTTCATTACCGTCAGAGGACAGATTAAAAACAAGAGAAACAAAGACGGGAGCGGGTCGGAGCAGAGGGCAGGAAGAAAACCACAGGGTTATATGAAAAATAAGACATTTCCTTTAATAATATCTGTAACATCATGATTGTATTCTGGTATAGATCTGAATATATTCGAGGATGCAGAGTACACTTTTATGAGGACATTGAATCCATTTTCTTAAGCTAATAGAACATAAACCTGCATTATTTTCTACAAAGACGTCATAAAAGGGCACAAATGGTGTAGCAGCAAAAAAAGAGTGTAGTATTTTTCTTCCACATAGGCTACAGTAGTAGTTGCAGAGATTCATGGCGATGAATGGCTAAAATGAAATTACAAACACACTTCTAAAGTACATCATACACAGTATGGATAGGGCAGATTATTAGATGCTATATAGTTCAATAAGGGGAGAGATATTTAGACACTGGGGCTACCTTTACAGGACAATGCAGACTTTGCAGATACAAAGCACACCGATGTTTGATGCTCACACAACATCTGAACAAGGCATTAACCTTTAATCTTCAGGGGTTGGGATGCTGAGGAGACAGGACAGAGAACAGCAACATCTCAGCGGAATGAGGGGACAATGAGGTCAAAAGGAACAGAAGGTGAAGAAAACATATCTTGAAGTTGTCTGAGGGGAAACATGTCGCTCTGTCCTCGATAGACATCTGGTTTTCAGTGGACTCATCTACAAAATGCGCTCTGCAGTCTCAAACACAATTTGTACACAGCAAAAAGTATTTTCTAAAAAGGTAAAAACAAAAAACATCTACATTTTTAGACAGTTTATCTTATTTTTTGTCTAAAAAGAAAATAAATTATCCTATAGAAAAAATAGCATTAGCTACTTAAATAAGGTAAATAATATTAAATATGATCCATATCTTCTTGTTCTGAGTTTAAAGATCTGCCAACAGGGTACGAAAAAGCTGCTTGGTTAGAAATCTTACAACTAGCAAAGTAATCAAAATTTAGGTTTATTAAGATTTCTAGCCAAACAGCTTTTGAATACCTCAATGGCAGATTTTTTACAATTCAAAACAAGAAAATATGGATCATATTTAAGATTATTTACCAAATTCTAAGTAATGTTTTGTTTTCTAGAGAATAAATGCATTTTTTAGATTAAAATAAGATAAAATGTCTAAAAATCAGGCTTTTTAAAAACTTTCTTAGAAATCTGTTTTTGCAGTGATGCTCAAGGGGTCTTGAGTTTCCCAAAATACTTGTTTGCTTTTTTTTTTAATAAAAGTTTTTTATTCCCTATTCATAATAAAAACAAAGTAATATTCAGTTGATTCAAATGATGAACACTCAAACAGGAATGCCTGGAAATAAGCAAATACAACCAGGAATAGTTGTGAAAAATTGGGAATTACAGGTTTCCCCTAGATGAGATAATTGATGCCATAATTCATGTACATCCTGGATCTATGTGGTTTCGCTCTCAGCTGGGTGGCTCAGTCTAAGTGAGAAGAAAGGAAACAGGACTAAACGGGCCCGGCTCTACCCAACAGTAACATAATCTGCCCACAGAGGACCTTTAACCTCTCCACCTTGGAGGTCTGTGCAACAGGACCATCTGTTATTAAAACTCAACTTGCGGAGAAAAAAAAGAGGTTGCTTAGGCTGGCATGTTCAATGGAAGAGAAGATGAAAAAAAAAAATTCTTTTGCACCAAACGGAGTAGACTCATTAGGAGGTTGTTATTTACGCCCATGGAGCAAATCTCACTGATGAGGACGGTTCCAAGTGTTTCCCTTCTATGGAGCCAAGGGGTCAATCACTTTGGCTTTGTGTTCCTGAAGGTGTCGCTGACAATAATCTAGGAATTTTTCAAGTGGAATTAGTAAATAGTATTTTAATGGTGCCAAGGGGTTAAAGCATTTTGAAAATTCAGTTTGAAAACCATCTAACGAGGTCTTTCCAAAAGCAACGTTGATCTTTTACCAAACAAAAGACGATTCATCGTGTCACAGAACACAAAGGTATATTTCCCCCAAATTATTCCTATAAAGCCAAAGCCAAAGTTGGTCAATATCAATTTGGGAATCTGCTTCCCTTTCCTCCATCGTCTCACAGTGTCTGGTCTGTGTTTGGAGGACCAGTTCAGCTCTCCTGCCATAAAAAGTCCTTGACGTTCCGTCTCCTAACCACCGACGGTGCCAGTATCGTTATAGTCTGATCTAACACAGAGAAACTAACAATAATGCTCTAATACTTTGTCATTAATATGTTATATATATATATATATATAAATAGAGGTAGTGATTGAAGCATTGATTGGCAGCAATAAACACTGAACAATAAGCATCAGAGAAAATAAAATCCAATCTCAGGAGAGCATAAATACTAAGCTTATCTCAGCAGCCACTGAACAAAGTTCTGTTGCTTCAGGGCTGACATAAATAATTCACACTGGAGGCAGCGTGATATTGGTTGGTATGAACCCCGTGTGGGGGAGAGAGCGTTTCCGAGCTATTGTTTCTCATTTTCCAATCCCAACCCTAATATGTCACGGAGAAAAGGTTCTCAGTCAAATTTGGCAGAGCAGGCAGGCTCTGAACAGGTGTAAACAACTGGGTTTAAACTCCCTGACCTGCCTCTTCAGCTCCTCACACCGACTGACAAGCTGCCCAGGAAGCAAACCTCTCTGAGGCAGTTACATTTCAAGTCCACGCTCCTCAAACGGCAGCCAAGCCGTCACAAAGCAGGGGAAAAAAGAACCTTGTCAGATTTCCTCAGACTATTAACAGGCTGTGCTCCAAATGAATATTTCTCGCTCCATCCGGGCTCAAACATGCAACAACAGCTAGGTTTTCCTTTCGCTGCGTCCAAACATGGCTGTTTGCTTGGTTTCTGTGCGCTGCACACAACACCTCCCCACTGATTGTTTGAGTTGCACCTTGTAGTGTTTAGAGTCTCCCGTTTGTGGCCGGCGTGAGCCCTCACTGTTTGAATTCAATACATTTGGGTATCGGTAGGGCGGGCCACCCAGCGTGACTCGTTACGTGGAAGGATGAAAAATGAACACAAACATAAAAAGGACACATTCTGCAATACATACTCTGCTATATCTCTCCAGTCAGCTCCACAGATTTATAATAAAGTATAAAAGTGACATGTTATAAAATACTCTATGCAGACTTTGCTTTAAGTTGCAAATAAAGAACTGGCTTATATTGTACAAACAAAAGCATATGGCTACCTGCATTCATTTCACATTGCATGTGTGTGTGTGTGTGTGTGTGTGTGTGTGTGTGTGTGTGTGTGTGTGTGTGTGTGTGTGTGCTTCAGCAGGGTGAGTGTTTCTGCATTTATAGTGCCGTCTGTGTTCCTGGTATTATAAGTGTGAATGTTTGTGTGTGTGAAGCGGTGGAGAGCCGCCAGGCCTCATTATTGTCATTCTCCTCACTGCCCAAAAGAGAGGCAAAGAGAGGAAAAGCGAGGCGAAGCGGCTTCTTTCAATCGAGGAGCTGAGGAGAGACGGACACAAAAGGCTCAAATTAAACAAATGCCGGAAAGCGGCTTGGAGCGCCAGCCCGTAGTCATACGCTTTGAATGAGAGTGAACGGGTGTGGGGATAACCCATCTGCGTCTTTCAGCGGGGAGACCACACAGATACCATCCACCCCAGCTCATAGGTCCACAGACACCAGGGTGCCAGCTCATGTGCTCGTCCAAAATCCCTCTGGTGTATTCCAGGGTATGAATGTCCACCACTAACACTTGGCTGCTGCTTCTCAAATCCTCCGGCCTCGACTTAAACATGGTATTTGTCTCAGTTTGCAGTTTCCTTGAGAGACATGGTCAGAGATTCCACCAAATCCAGTTCCTCTTGGTCCCCTCTGCTGTTTAGTGGCAGTTATAGCGATATGCCTTGCAGTCCAGTCTCCACAACATCACAGCAGAGTATGCTCACCTGCAGAAGTCGTTCACAAGTTGGTGTTTTTCTGGCACCTTCTTACTCCACTCGTGTGACACGCGTGTACATGAAAGCTTTGCCACAGAAGCAAGGGGGGAAATATGCTCGCACACATGCAGAACTACAGCACATTTAGGGTGTTGATGATGCACTAGTGCAGGATCTAGTGTGTGCTTGTACTGATACATTCTTCAGTTTGAGATGCTGGGTGTTCAGGAGCACCTACGCTGTCCACGGCATTGATGCTGAGAGTGGAAGATGGTCTGAGACGGGATCGGTGGTGTTGGAGGAAAGCGGTGGGACACTTCAAGTCCTCGTCGCTTCACATCTACAACGACAAATAATGAATAGAGCTTGGTGGCACAAAAACAGTTCATTCTTAATTTTAGCACACCTGTGTAGAAAATCAAGCACATCCGTGTTTTAAGAAACACTTGTTCAAGTAAACTTAGTGTTTCTTCACCAAATACACTGAGTTTGGGAGTTATTTGGGGTCATGTTCAACTTCCTATTTTGGTGATTAAAAGATGGAAGGACTTCGCAATTCACCAGAAACATGTTTAAGTCTAAAATCCAAAGTTTAAAGGTGTGAAACACTCATTTAATCAATACACTGGTGCACCATTTCCAGTAACCAGAAGTGAGCCACATCCCAGCTGAGCTTCAGACGGCAGGTTTTGAAGTTTTATTTCCTGATATCGGGACATCTTGCCTCTGATTGGCTAACAGCAACAAGACCTAACCCTTCATGTTCATCCTACATTAAAAACTCAGAGTGACTGATTATGATCAGAAATAAGAAAAATGGTTTTTCAGTGTTCCACACATTTAATGCTCGAAGAAGGGGTCAAACTCATGCTGGCAGTCAGTGGAGCAACGAGAGCAAATGAGCAAAAACTGGACATAGTTTGGGAAAGATTTCCGATTAAATGAAAAAATTATTACAAAACAAACGGTGGAAATAAGAATTGGTCTATGAAAAGTACAAAATTGACTGGGACAATGTAGTGTGAAAAACTGGTGGATACCAAAGAATTTAAAGAGCAAATCACCCCCGACCAGAGTCTTACTCCACTCCTACTTCCTGTTTGAAGAATGAAACAAATGCTGTTGCCTGGCACACGGAAAGGGCGGAGTTGCTTACAAATGCACACACACGCAGACTCATCAACATTGTGACATCATAATGTATCTCTTAGCCAATAGCGATGGCAGATTTAAATTCAAGTGCAGTGCAGAGTTTTTACTTGAAGACGGCACAACACTGTTGGTTTTAGGCAGAATATTTAAATTTGAACTAAGATGCACTAACGTGCCAGCTTATTGACTACATGTGTCTACAGCACAATTAGACACTCATTTATATAGTTTATCAGCAGAAAATAGCTGATTTGGGGGTGACTTGCTCTTTAATGAACTGCTCTCCAGGATTCTGTATCTAACAGATGTTAAATAACTCATTAAATGTTTCAATATAGGGTTCTTTAATTAAAAGAAGAGTTGTGAAATTATCAAAAGCTCAGAATGCTTTACTAAGTGCATTTTTCTACAAGTAAAAGTTTAGGCAACAACCCAACCTCTTCAAACGCTCTGATTTAATGTCTTTTGTCCTTGTATTTGTATTAATCTCTGTATTTCTGTGTTTTTCTAATAAAAGTGCAGTTTCATTTGTTGCCTTTGTGTGAACTGACTTGCAGCGGCGAGGGTTGAGACTCCGGCCTTTCCGGCTGCAGCTCCCAGCTCTGAGGGTGCACCTGCACTGACACAGCGTCACATCCAGGACCCAGTTCCTTCCTTTGCAGGGGTGGCAAGGAGGAGTTGTTGAGGGTGGGAGCGGGGGAGGAAGGGTGGTGGGAGGCAGTGGGGATGACGGTGAGGGAGGGAGGGTGGTGGGAGGGGTCAGTGGAGGGGAAGAGGGAGAAGTCAGAGGAGCATAGGTTCTGGATGGAAAAGAACCAAAAACAAGTATTAAGTTTCAGAATTGATTCACTCACTGGATAACATGGCTAAACCAGCTCAGTGGCTTAGTGGTATGAGCCCTGAGACTGGGAGATTGTGGGTTCTAATCCACGATCAGGTCGCACCAAAGACTGGCCTGATGGTGGATCTGAATGATGACAAACTGATGGATTCTTTCAGTTTTACTTTATCACAAGAGGCGCAAGACTGTCATGGACAGTTGATTTCATTCATGCAGAGCTTTGGTATCCATAAATGCAACAATCAGTTAAATAACAGTTGAGATATTTCTGTCTGGACAAACGTGATGCACCTCCTGAGCGGCTATAAATAAAATGTAGGGCTTGTTTGAACACGAACACTGCCTGTCTGAGACAAACCCCAACAAAGCCGTGTGTGGGAGATGTGTGACGAATGTGGGATAATGTTCCTTTAGCTGCTGACTAACTAGCTCCCCTCTCTGTCCGTCTGTCTCTCCGTCTGTTACCATGGCTATATGTTCGCCTTGCTGCCTTTGAGACCTTCAGTTCCACCTCTAGACGCCCTCTGAGGTCTGAGTCTGAGAAAGTGGCCAGCATCAGTCGGTCCATTAACCGGAGCTAGTTCTGCCTCTGTCTTCCTGGGAGGCTGACAGTGTTAATGAAGTTACTTAATGAGGCAGAGAGGGGCCATCTTTGTTCCCGTCTCAGTGACCACGCCTGTCGCTGGCATGGAAAGAGGAGGTGGCGTTTGGGAGCAAATTACACAGATTTCACCCCTGCCAGAGTTTGAATGAAGCCTTTTTGGGGTGATGGATGGGTACGGAGGGACATCACACCCAAACGGAGCCAACCTCTGGCCCCTGGGGGCCGGAAATCACTGACAGTAAAGTGAAGGGGAAGCAGATGAAGAACACTGGAGAGGAAAAGAGCGCTAACCCTTTTATCCTTCTCGGCTCAGGACGTGAGGGTGCAAGTGACCATGTTTTCACACAAATGTAGTGAGAATCATATCATCACATGACAGGAAGTCAGACGGCTGATGATAGCAAGTACTATTCAACAGGCTCAACACTGAGGTGATAACCGTGACTAAGGAGTTTAAGAGTGGATTATGGTGTGTGTGTGTGTGTGTGTGTGTGTGCGTGCGTGTGTGTGTGTGTGTGTGTGTGTGTGTGTGCGCGTGTGTGTGTGTGTGCGTGCGTGTGTGTGTGTGTGTGTGTGTGTGTGTGTGACCTTGACTGTTGCTGTGGCTGTAATACAAATTGTCCTTCAGTTAAACTGCAGATCAGATAACCCAGTTTTCCTAATCACAACGGTCTCACTGAGCCTGAGAGGACCTGCTAAAACTCTGACATATGTGTTGAGAATGTAACATTTAACTTACGGGGGTCTGACTGTTACAGTTTTCCTCTGTCTGTGCTTCCTGCCCTGCTTTTTCTTCTCCTTTCTCGCTGGCTTTAGGTAGGGCCTGAGAACAGACAAGATGTTGACACATGTGGTCAGAAGTTCACATCCAATGTCTTGCATCAGATTTGACATCTGTCACAAAAAAGAGCATTCAGACCTAAATCCCAGCACCCAGCGGGTGCTGAATGCATCCCAGAATTCATTTAAATCTAAAGGCAGCACATCATTCTGATGGTTTTCTATTGTTTATTTATTCTTTTATGTCACAAATATGGATTTAAAGGATTCCTTTCCAGTCATTTTGCTTTAGTTAAGCAACTTGACCATGCATTTAGATGTTTGGCTGATTTTGTTGAACAAAAAGAGAGTTGAGAACTGGTGTCAGGAGATTTTAACATAAGAATCAAAATGAATAAGAATAGATTTCAATAGATGAGTAAAAATCACAGCTGGCAGATTTCCCAGTGAGTTTTGTGTGTTAGAGTTAAGAAGAAAAGGGGCCATCAGAAAATATCCTTAAAGTATCCTTACTTTATATTATAACTTTATCTGATTTTAACCTAAATGTTAATGAAAATGTACATACTTTAATACAAATAGATGATGAATCAGAACTAATATGTGAAAAGTCTGATAAATAACGACTCTGCTGAAGCTGGCAGAAACCAAATGGAGACTCAAGCCAAGGTATGGCTGTATGAGCCAGTGAAAAAAGGGGAGAGTTGTTTTGGTGCTTCATTCCAACTAACAGTGGGACGTAATGAGAGAATAATACATTAAAGAGTGAATTAAATAGTCTCACGTGGGATTAAAAAGAAAACCGAACCACAAAACTTTATAATAAATTAAGTGAAAAACTGTTTTACATGTGGTTCAAATCTGGGTTTTCACAACAAGCGCTGTGTGATTTATTTTACCTCCACCCTCCTGGTTTCTTGCAAAAAAGATTGCTGATGGAGAAATTATACTTTATAAAGAACACCTGAATATTTATCGCAGAACGTTAGGATAGCTGAGATTAAACCTATCTTTTGAGAAGTACAAGGTTGTGTCAAAAATATAGAAAAGCCTCCATGCAATGAGAAATCTTTAATTTTTAATAAAAAATTGTTTGAAGGTAAATTTTCTTGGATGAATAATATATGATTAACCAAGATTAATTCTTTACAATACCTCTGATTAATTGGATTAATTTTTGAGTCCCACCCCTAAAAAACTAACCACATCATATTTTGTGAACCGTTTTTGTTAAAGAAGTGGATCACTCGTTTAATCAATACATTTGCAGTGGTCTTACAGTAGCAATGAATGCCTTGTAAGTCGTTCTCGACGGGAAAGAAATGTACACCATTTCTTGGACCTAAAAGTTGCCCACATCACAGATGAGCTTCAGCTGAGGTTTTGGAGACTTTTATCTTGATAATTGGACATCTCACACCAGACTGGATAACAGCAACACTACTCTAGTAAGTAAGTAAGTAAGTAAGTAAGTAAAAGTTTATTTATATAGCGCCTTTCACAGATATAAATCACAAAGCGCTCTACCACTGACTTGTCTCTAGGATGGCTTAGCTCCACAAATAACTCAAGCCTGGAGGAGCTCCTGCTATGTGTTGGTGTTGCTAATGATAATGGTTAGCTTAAACTAGCCAAGACGTCTGCTGCTGATTCCCAGACGCTAAAATAACAACACGTTCCAGTCCTGAGTCAAGATTGCTGAGTCCATGAATTCTGTAAATTCACAGTGTGATGTAGATCTGTCAGGCTTTTCTGATCCTATAGTTTCACCATCTATTTTCTATCAGAAGCTAATGCAGGAGATAGGTGTAGGAGTCTGTTTTAATGTTCAGCCTGAATGAAAAACTCAGAGTGACTGATCATAATGAGAATTAACATTTTCAGTCAACCACACCTTTAACACTGCCATCTTTACCATTTCTTGTCCACACCACAAAACAAATCAAAACAACATTTATTGTGGTTTCTGCAAATGTCATATTATAGACTTTTATCCTGTCATAAAAAATTATATTGCATAGTTTATTTATACAAAGTTTTATGTATTTTTGCAGCAGAAATTATCATCAGAGTTCCCTAGCTGTATTCCAATTTCGCATGTAGCTATTTAGTTGAAACTTTTTTTCCCCTGTGTCCTGTCCGGCTGTAAAGCAATCATGTCTGAGTGCTGAAGACAAGCCATACAGTTTTACTCTCACAGGTGGAGCGTTATAGCTTCAGCTATAATGCCTCGCCTGATACCAATACTTTATCAGAAATATTTTCAGTTGTTTTTAAGTCCAACAAACACGGAGACAGAATGGAAAATAAAAGGGGGGAGAAGAAAGGACGAGGTGGGGTAAGAATTAAAGGATGTAGAAGAATCCGCTTTTACTGTAGACCTGCAGAAAAAGAGAAAAAAAGGGGAGGGTGCTCAAAAATACACCAGAACCAAAATATCACTGCGCCAACCACAGAAGGATATATAACAGTAACAATTTTTGCTGAAAAGAACACGGCAGAGTGTTTAGTGCCAACCACAGTCTTAGGTTGTATGTTAAAAATGCACAAGTCCATACCTGTGAGAGCACCATGTGAGCACCTGTGTGCGTACGTGTTTGTGTATGTAAGGCTTCAGGAGTGTCCAATAGTGAGTGTGAAGGGCCACAGACCTGGCCCCAAGGACGTGTGGAAGATGAAGGAGTTCCAAGCTCCAGAGATCCAGGGGTCTTCCCAGAAGTACGGAGACCCCAGGGAGTTTGCCATCAGAGAAGCCCCAATCCCCCTCCCGAGAGGCACAGAGGATCACCTCGGGTGAGCCAACCAGCAGCGGCGCCAGAGGCCCAGGAGATAATAACAGCAAGCCCCCAGGCCCGCCCACAGCTGCCCACTCCACGGCAGGACTAGCTCAGAACTCAGCGGCCAAGGACCCAAGGGCGTCCAACCCTGGCGGAGACCCGACAGAGCCCAGGGACTCAGAACCCCATCAGGCAGCCACCGGGACCAAGCCAGCAGATGTCAAACCTCCAGCCCCAGACATGCAGTTAAACTGAGGCACCACACACTAGCAGGAGATGTGGCAGGGGGAGGGGTAGGTGAAGATGTTGTAGCACCACAAGATGTCGCAGGAGAAGGGATGAGTTCAAGACCCCACCTGACACAAACCCAGTCACACACTCCCACCCTCATGCTCACACATTCACATTCAACCTAAAGAGACACAAGAATGTATGACATACACCCACTTGTGCTCTCCATAAGCAACCTACTCACTCTGGTTCCAGTACTGCTGCACAGGGGGCACAACCATTGCCGGGCACCAGAGCTGGTCCTGTTCTTTCTGGGGTACTGATGAGCAAGGATCCCCGCCCAACGCAGAGCAAAGCGACCCACCAGTCCAGCACCCCAACCAGAAAGCCAGCTCCCACTCCTAGCCTCCAGCCCCGGGTAGCTAACCGAGAAACTTTGTAATATTTCTGCTGGAACAACCATGTACTTCCGGATCAACAGCATAGATTCATTTAATATTAAAATAGTGTTGGGACTGAAAACTTTTTAATAACTAGCCCCACTGTGATTAGCTTGTAAGATACTTTTTCAATCAGAACTATTTTGTATTTCTCCAAACCGAGATAGCTGATTTTATCTGAATGAACAAATGAATGAAGAGACGTAATTAATCCCACGGTGGATAAACTGTAGATACATGTTACATATTATAACTGTTCACAGCCTATCCACAAAATCCCACTTCTAAAGATCGGAACATTCTATCATTTGTACTAAACTTTATTCAGTTTGTCAACAGTGTTAACCAGTTGCGTCCTGACATTAATAACAGCTGCAGCTGCTGTTGTTGCATTTGGAGCTTATTTACTATCATGGGTGCGTGACTGTGCTCCGTCCGTCTGTGGCAGCGGAGATAAAATCATCACTATGGTGACAACAGGATGCGGGCCGTCCCGGGGGGGGGGGGGGGCTGGCAGAGATTCACACAGATGCTAAGCTCCCTGAGACACACACACACACACACACACACACACACACACACACACACACACACGCACACACACACACATTATATAAATTAACCCTACAAGTTGTAAAATAATTGAAAGACAATATCAGATAACCAACATAAAGTAATTGTTAAATCAAAAATGTCTACATAAACGCACATGCATACATTGGAGTCCAGTATTTATGTTCACATCCAAACAGGAAGCAGGGGCACATAAACATTAAAGATGCAATTATGTGATTATCTATGTAACAAACAAGTCCAACAGAAATGCTCCTTTCACAGCAATTGCTCTTGAAAACCTAACGGGCTATTTTGCCTTGGAGATTATACATTTTACTTTAATTTTAGCAAAACCAGAATTAAGTAACAAACTTATTCTGGAGTTGTGTCCTTTGAACAGAGATCAGTAGCTCCAAACCCCCACTGGCCTTGAGATCAGCAAACCCTACAGAGACACTGAATAAGTCAAGAATCCTGGTGATCCAGCACTGTCAGGCCAAGAATTCAAAACCACAACATCTCTGGACTGGTTTCATTTTAGTGGCATCATGTTTACAAACGTTCTATCTGGTGTATTAAAGGCACAGTGTAATGCTCAACAGTAATATTCTCTGATGAGATGTTAAGGGTCTAACAGAGGTCAGTGTGTACAAACATGTCCACAGATGACGTGGTTTCACTGATTTACAGGCGATAACAGGCCTGACTATACAGGAACTGAGGAGGAGGAAGATGCACATGAGCAAATATGGATGCAAAACGTGTTTATAAAACCCAGATTGTAGTTATTTAAAGGAGCATGGGGCAGGATTTGTTAAAAAATAAGCATGCATGTTCATTTTTTTGAAAGCTAATTAGTGATGAAGCATTATAAACCAAAAAGAATGAGGCCACACATGTATTGTTCTGTTTTCTTTAAAGAGACAGTGTGTAGTTTTTACCATCAGTCTCTGGAAATATCCATCAAAACATTGATGACGTCACACTAGATGATTGGCTGAATTTATGACTTTCAGAATTTATGTTACCACATTCAAAATCATTTGGGCAGTAAGAAACATAAATTTAATAACAAAACTGCTAAACTCTTTCCAAAACCTATGTGAAAGAACAGAATCAAAAAGAGTTGCAATATATTTTGGCCATCCGGTATTGTCTGCGCCTGCCGATGACCTTGTAGAAGAGGTCATCGGCAGGCGAAGGACCCCAAGCAGATCCAGAAAGTACAGTGCCAGAAAATTAGCATCAGCACTGCATTCTCTCAATGGAACTTAAGTAAGGACTTAGGAGTTAAGGCAAGGTTGCATGGCATGCTTTCTGCTCCACGGGTAACAACATTTATCGTAATTTTTTTTAAACTAGCATGGTGGAAAACTACCCTGAAATGTATACTGCCCCTAGTGGCGAGAACTACACACTGCTACTTTAACAGGCTGTGTGCTGCAAAATGCGCTGCAGTTTGGTCCCAAATTTCCCACATTGTCCTATGGATGTGACGTCAATTGACACTGTTTGCACATTCTTGATCGCTTCAGAACAGGAAGAAAATGTGCTCCACACTCCAGACTGGTAGGTGGTGGTAATGCACCTTAAAGGCCCCGTGTGTGAAATCCATTGAAATCATGATTAAAAAATGTGACTCTTCAGCGCCATGCAGTTCAGAGAAAGTATTGCAGCTACGGTGGCCCACTCATGAGTTTGAGTGTACAATCAATTTCCAATCTCTCTAGCCTGACCCACACGAAGCTTATAACTACTGTTTCAAAAAAGCATTTTTAATTATGACTGTTTTATCAACCTACCAGTCCTGAAGGAAGTAAGTAAGCTAGTTCTGTTAGACTTTGAAGCTGTCACGATTCACACACAGGGGGGTGGGGGGGTCAGGTGTTGTGAGAAATTGTGTTCCCCTGAAATATTCTGCCCCCCCCCCCCCCCCCCCCCCCCATGTCGGAAGGTCGCACTTCAGGCTATCTTCACAATATTTGTGATACACTTTTACGGGGAAGTTATGTAATGTAATGTGATAATGCCATGTTTGTGATGTTTTTATACCAATATGTCCTAAAAACAATAAAAAAGTTACAGTAAAAACATTCTTGTTCACTCTTTTGCAGCAAGCTTATTTATCATTTTTGAAAGTTATGTAAAAGGATGTAATCTCACTCAGTTTAACCATCTTTTATTTGAGGTTGTTTAGTCCTCATAATGCACAATAAGTTCTGTGAATTTGGAAATATTTGCTCTTGACTGCCTAAGGGAAAGAAAATATTTGTGGGGAGCATAATTTTCCACAACACCTGTTTCACTTGGATCTGGGAGCAGCATTGTAAACAAGCTGACTGCCTCTACCAGCTAATGGATAGGGAGCAATCACTGCTGCTTGTTAGCCACGGCTGGTTAAGGAGGGTTGGAGATCAAGTAAACAATGTTGACTTAGCCACCAGCTAATCGTGGCTCACGGCTGGCGTGGTAGAGATCTTGTCAGCCACTAATCGGGGGCTGGCGTCCAGCTAATAGCAGGTGGGGATCTGAACATATGCAGCTTCCTAGTGTTGGACATGATGACTACTTGACAAATTTGACGTGTCTTTTGATTTCATTGTTTATTATTCAAACTAACAAGATACAGCAACGGTGTTGCTAGTCTCTTCTTCTTCTCAGAAGTGTAACCAAGTCACTGCTTTGCAAGTCACAAGTAAGTCACACGTCTTTCCAGTCAAGTCTCGAGTCAAGTCCAAGTCAAAGACAACCAAGTCCAAGTCGAGTCCAAAGTCAATGGTATGGAAGTCCAAGTCAAGTCCAAGTCCTTAACTTTGAATTTTCAAGTCATAATCAAGTCATCTGTCCAACTTCAATTTAATGACAATGATAATAAATAAATTCCAGAAATAAAGCTTTTTAAAGCTTCATTTATTTGCTCAAACAAGCAGAAAGTGCAACTGAAACTGATCATAAACAAAGTGCTGCTGCATTTAGCAGTAAATCAAACCCAGAACCAAGACTGATTTATGATTTTTGTCCATGTTGTGCCACTTTTGTGCTAAAATATGTAATATGCTCAAGTCATCATCAAGTCAACAGATGCAAGTTGATTCAAGTCGCAAGTCATTGGCGTTCAAGTCCGAGTCAAGTCATTAGTCTTCATAGATTTTGTCAAGTCAAGTCAGAAGTCATTAAAATAATGATTCAAGTCTGACTCGAGTCCAAGTCATGTGACTCGAGTCCACATCTCTGCTTCTTCTTAGTTGAATTAGCAGACTCCATGCTTCCAGGGCACACGGCTGCCTTCTGCTGGTTCTTCCAGGTTACAGTCATAGTCCAAATGCTAAAAGCAGGGGCTCTTATGTCCCTAAATAGCTACTTTATTTCAAGATGGTGGCTGACCATGGAGCGTTGACCACAGTTTATGTATTTAAAAATGTAAAATTTCAAGCTGAGAGGAATGTTTAGAATTGATGTTGGTGAGAAATATTAATGAAAAAGAACAAGTCTGTGAACTGGAAACACAGGATTTGATGTAAACAGGTTAAAAACATTACACACTGGGGCTTTAAGCTACTTGAGGCTATCTCATTAAAGGGAACATCAGTATAAAGGTCCTGAACATGAAGAAGGGAGCCTATAAAGTTATAAATTAGATAAATGACAAAGTGAAAAAACAGATCTCTGTCAGACAAAACCAAAGCAGAAAGACTCAAATCCAGACACACAAATAGGAGGAAATGTGAAGTTACCTTGTAGGTGTTGGCTGGAGTAGCTCTTTTAATCTGCATGAAGATAAAAAGAGTTCAAGGGTGCAACGAGGTGAATGAACAGCAGGTAGGCAAAGATTCACTCACTCCACACACACACACACACACACACACCCACACCCACACATGCACGCATGCACACACACACACACACACACACACACACACACACACACACAGTGTGTGTGTTTATGCTACCTGCACTCGCACTGGCTGTGCTCTATGAAGGACAGCTCAATGAGCTCGTGTTTCATGAAGGACGTTCTCATCAGCTACACATAGAATAGAAGAAAAAAGATTTTCTATTTGTCATCTACATAAACACATAAAGATGTATTGTGTGTGTTGGCTGTGTGTACCTCCATAGTGAGTGTGTGTGTGAGCAATGGCACACACTCCAAGGCCTCATCTGCACAGCAGCCTCCACATCGCTTCACTGACACACAGGACGGTACGAAGAGGTGGTGGGTCTCTCCTGGAAGCTCCCTCCACACCTCTATCAGAGTGTCCCGAGGCTCGCAGGCGCTGCGCGAGTACACCTCCAACCAACGTCGAACTGCATGTGAAAAACCATGATGTGTGTTAGACATACATGTGAGGTGAAAGTCTTTGTAAATGAAGGTGGCGCATACCTTCTCTACCTTCTCTGGATTTGGGGGAGTCTGCAGGCAGCCAGTGAGCAAGCTGAAAAAAAAAAAGTAAATTTGTGTCGAAAGGTTTGTTTCAATGAGTTTTCAGGTCAGCCTGACCTGTCAGAAGCGCTGACAAAGCTCTACCTAAAAAGAGATTAGTGTTTCTGTTACAAAGTAGGTACTTGCTACTGGAGAAGTAGAATTTTCATGCAAGACATTTTTTTTAGGAAATTAAGACTTATCTACCCATGGGAGTCCCAGATTTCCACTAAATATTCCTCTCAGCAAAAATTCAATTTCAATTTCAATTTCAATTTATTTTATTTTGGTCATTTAAAAGGAAAAAGAAAGAATACAATAAAACAGGATCTCAATTATAGTAACCAAAAAGGTGTAGGCTGAAGCCTAGCTTTTTATGCCTACCCTATTTACTCAGTCACATTACTTATCAAGAAAAAATGACAAAGAAAGATAAAAGTCATAGATTAATAAAATGAAAATAAGATAAAAGTAATAAAAATGCTAATCATGATTGAAATATAGTGAACAACAACAAACATAATTCAGCAAGAGGAAAAATACACAGAACTAATGACAGAACTATACAAAACTACCAGTAATCTTAATAAATCGATGTATGACATAGATCAAAACAGTCAAAAAAGTCAAAAATGAATGAAAGACCTATATTCCTGGAAAGACTGAATGTTACCTGCTGTTTTTAGATGCTAACGATGAGTTCGTAAATTATGTCGGGAAAGGACAGAGTTGTATTAATTTGAGCTAAATACCAGTGATAGCTTTATGCCTTATCTCACAAAATATCACAACACATTGGACAATCCGAGTGTGGAAATGATTGTAAACTATTAGCACATAAAGAACTTTAATTAGTTAAAGCAAAGATCTCTGGATGTGGCGATGACTCTCAGCTACCATGTTACATTTAACTCAATATTTGACTTTTTATCTCAGTTACAAACAGCATTGTGTTTGCTAATGCTTCTCTGCTTTCCAGCTGCAGGTGATTGTGGGTAATTTGCCACCAGGGAATGATAAACCATGTTAGCTTCAGTGTTTGTTTTGCTCCTGTATCAAATGCAGCTGTAATTATTCACTAAGCAGCATTCATTATCCCAGGTAAGCAACTGAATGGCTGCAGGCTTGTTTTATACAGGTTCTGGTTTGACACTGTTGCAAAACACGACCGAAGCAGATCAAAGAATCTCCTGTTAATGACCACCTGAATATTTGATACCTGGGTTTAGAGCGTGACAGGGTCAATGGAGCCTGTTGGCTGATAAGAGTAACAAAAACGAAACCTCTGAACCCCGATGCTCAGGCGCACTTGTTAAGAGGCTAAGAGCAGGTGTTGCAGCTAAATTAAACATCAAGGGACATTTCTGGCAGCACATTATACAACAGCCCTCCTGCACAGATGAGTTCTGCAGGTCCATTTGAAGTGAAATGCACACATGATCAGGTTTCTCCTTGGTGATGGCGCTGCTGAATGTATGAACCAGTTGCACTTGCTGCTTTTTGCCCTGAAGCCTGAATTTATGATATTTGAGCTACATTACAGCCAAGGTGATGAGTCTCTGGATAAACTGTCTAAACAAGGCAAATATAACCTCTAAGTGATATAAATATTTTGATATAATTGATGCTTGGCATATTTAAAGCACATGTTCTACTTGGTACCTTTAAAATGAGTCGTTTCAGGGCTCTGTCACTTTAAGGCCAGGAAATGCTTTGGGTTTGTTTTTTGGTTTGTGTGCATCCCCTGAAATAACAAGATGCGTATGCACGCTACAATATACGAGTAAGTGGAGTTGGCAAAACGAGCGAGAGACACTCGTTGTGGTCACCCAGTCTCAGGTCTTTCATACAATCTACAATTCCGCTGTCCTTTTTTCTGCAGTGTGCTCAAAACTCTTCCATTGATGCCATGTCGGTTTAGGTTGTACCCTAAAAAGCCCGGGACTCTATTTGGTCTGAGTTTGCTACTGTGCCCTCTAGTGGAATACACCAGTACTATGTGCATGGTAGCAGCATGTGTGTAAAGAAGGACGCTGCCTTCTTCCTGCGTCAATGCAACATTAAAAAGCAAGTATATCCCAGGCCTAAGAAAACAAGCTGGAGCAGGCCACGCCCACCCATCCCACACTCAGGCTGCTATGGGCTGAGAAGCTCTTGTATCTCAAATTCAGAAAACTGAATTTGTCATCGAGGTGCAATTTAATGCACAAGTTAGCAGCAGCACAGCAATAACAGAATACAAGTTATAAATATTACTAGACATAAATGATTAAAAAAAATGTTAAAATGTCCACTCGGAAATATAAACAACTTTTTGAGTAAAATACCTAAAATGCAAATGCAGATTTCAAAAATGAATATTTATATTTACAGTACAGTAGACTGAATTATAAAAAGCCATAAAAACGATCTTGGAGGGGCTCAAAGTAGAGTTGCTGCTCCTCTATTCTACCTTTCTGGTTTGTGATGTCACAGTCAGGGGCTTTTTGAAACAGCCTGTTTTAAACGCATAATTCTTAAAACCAAACACGGACAGGGAACTGATGCAAGGATTGGTTTCATGTTTGGAGTGTGTTTAGAGGCATGGCAGCACTAAAAGATTTAAAAGGTGAGTTTTGTCTAATAAATAAATAACACGTCACAAATTATAAGATAAAACTTTTTAAATATTATCATACATAAACGTTATTCTTAAGAGGGATCATGAATATCAAGCTTTGGAGTGATCTGTCCACATTTATACTTTAATATGAATAATATTCTTTAATAAATACATTCTGTCACATGTCAGCATGAGTTTTTTAGGTACAGATAAGCTTGTTGTTCATTTAGGGCTGCATGATTTTAGGAAAACTTGTAATTATTTTTGAAAATCTGTTGCAATAAACCTTTATTTTCTCTGCTTTCTCTGTTCTGTCGTTTTAATGCCCTGTAAATTTAAACATTTTGGACTGGGTCATGTGAGCCGCATGTGATCATCCAGGGCAGTGAGAGTCCATCAGGCAGTTTAGATAAATTACTGACAGGCAGAGAATTAGTGCTGTGGTATGAAAATAACCTGATTTATTGCAGACCTCGGAGATGATGGTGTTGTGCAAATTAATATTATGAGAATAATAACTTTAGTTTGAAATCTTTTTCTTTTCTACTTTAACAACACTAGCTTGAAGGGGGTTTATTTGAGATGCATCACCTCAACCTAACAGCAGTTCACCAAATTCCAATATGTTGTGGTCGTAACTCACCACAGGATTTCTCTGAACTGAAAAGTGAACCAAGCACCTACAAGTGCTGAGTTCTGCTGAAAAAAGAAAAGCCTTCACAGCAAATATACCTGGATGACCCTTGCAATGCCTAAAATCATGTTACTGAGCATCAATGGCTCCTATATGCTTAGCACAAGTCGCCCGCTCCACTCTGATGTGCCCTCATACCACAATAGAGGACGGCGTTTAAAATCTGTACTGATAACAGCCTCCACTTTAGCATCATGATTCCCAAAAAGAATGTCATATTTAGATCATGTCTCAAACCACAGGACAGCTTAAAACATCACACCAGACTCTAGATGAGCAGGAGCTTGTTGTTTCTGAATCTTTTGAAGATTTTCTTCACTTGCAGTAAAAAAAAACTGTTATTATTTTTTTATAAATATCTAAGCCTGTAGGGTAATTTAAGACATTTCTTCCTAAAACCAATGTATTTTAGCCATTCAGTGTGATTTGTTTTTGTCGTTATGCAAAGAGACCTTTTGTAATATGTTACTATGATGATTTCTGTTTATCTCCAACCTTAAGGCTCTTAAATAGTGAACAATCTCCCCACATGGTGTTTGATTTAGTGGTGAACTTTTATAACATGATGTAACTGATCTGTTGCTAATTAACAGCATTAGTTGTTCCTTCAGGTCCGTCTCTCTTGCTGTTGAACTTCATCTTTACCCACTGATCTTAAAAACAACATGAATGGTGGATAGATTCCCACAGACTGATTTAAACTTAAAACACAGCATTTTAAAGAAATAAAATTGAATCCTTTGAAGCAATGTTGGTACTCTGATTCACAAAAATAACCCAAAGACCTTCTCATTCTGTCAAACATGCATTCAGAGAAAAATGACTTTATAGCTCTGTGTTTAGGTTTCTGCATGCATGAAGACCAAGGCCACTTGTAGGGGAGAATAGACTTTGTCCAGTTGTCCCGCTTTCTAGTGCTCCACCCCCGTACACACACATGCACCCACACACACACGCACATACACAAAGACATGCAAAGGTCTGGCCCATATATTGACTCAACAACAATGCTGAAGCTGAGGCCCTTTTGTGACAGAAATTAGTGTGTCCTCTCTGAACTATCAGTCTCTGAGTCAAGTCTAAGATTAACTCTGTTTGGCAGCCATATCTGACTGACACACACACACACACACACACACACACACACACACACACACACACCTCTAAAGTGCCAGCCTAGGGCCATCTGCACTGGCAGCGCTATCTGTCAGCAGTCTAACCCATCTAACTCCCAGCCAGCCACTCCCTGAGCACACTGTACAGATGGGCTGTGTGTGTGTTGAAAAGACCTCCACACCAGCTCTCCCACCAACTCTCATCACCACAGGAGAAGAAGGATGACCCCTTTATTTCTAATAAGCTGTCAGAGCAGCAGATAGCATGCCATGAAAGCAGAGCATTGGGTGTGATGGTGAAGAGGCTTTCTGGTGTGTGTGTGTGTGTGTGTGTGTGTGTGTGTGTGTGTGTGTGTGTGTATGTGTGTGTGTTGTCTAGGATGATGAATGGCTAAAAGATACAGCAGCACTGAGTCTGGGCTGTTTCAGAGCACTGCCTGTTCCTGATATGATCCTCCAGACATAAATAAAGGAAAGCAGAATATGCAGGTTTTCTTTGTGAGTAAACGCAGCAATGAGCAGATAAATCACACCAAGCACCAATAAGCATTTCTTATGAATGATTAACCTCAGTGTGAACTTCAAAACTCCCCAATAACACACTATTGTATAAAAATGACATGACAGACATTTATTTAAGTTACATGAGCATTATTTGCTCTAGTTAATCAAGAAACAAAATATTCAGTTAGTTCTTCTAGTGGAATGTGACTTTGTGTGTTTAAATGACCTTTGAAACTTTGCAGTTTGTTATTGGACAATAATTCAGCTAAGTGATGAGGAAAACCATAATCCAGTATGACGTTTATCTCTGACTCAGAGCTGCACTTCCTATTAATTTCTCTATGAAATAAAATCAATGTATCAGATAAAAAATGTCAATGAGTGTTAATGGCAGCCAGATCTATTACTTTTACAGGAACTTGGCTGCTCACAGTGTTCCCCAGCGGTATCTCTTCATTCCCTTAGCAGCACAAAAATGAAGCACATGTTCAAAAATGTCCATCTACCTTTTTAATAACACCAAGGAAAATGTCTAACCTTAAAATCTGACGTTGGAAGCAACATTTTAACAAAAGCTGCCAAGTAGCTGAAGGAGGGTTTTTTCTCCACAACCTGGCAACTCATTAACTGTCGCACATCAGCGTTTAGTGGGCGGAAATGCTCAGAATGACCTATAAATCCTTTATTGGGACCGTCAGGTAAAAAAAAAAATAAAATAAATTAAAATATAAGAGAAAAATCACAAAGCTGTGATATTAAGAGTCCAAAATGTCTGGAAGTTGCCAAATAACCACATAATATCCTTGTAGATGCAGCTTTTGTGTGACCAGAGGTGACAGGTGTGATTGACCTAAAGGTTAACTCCCACAAATGTAACAAAAAAGAAACAAAAAAAAAACAAAACATCATGAATGCAAATATAGTCCAAATGCGTGTGGAAGGAGGCGCACTGATGGCAGTGTGACCGCTCCAGACGCACTCCTCTCGTGTCAAATACATACCTTGGCATGGAAGGTCGGGATTCTGGTGAGCAGCAGGAACTGAAACATTCCTAGAATAACTTGAAGCATAATCCCCATCGTGCAAGAGTCCAGAGGCGCACGCAAAAACAATAAAAAGTGTTTTTTTAAGGCTATCCTTAGAAGAGGTTCCTTCCCCTGTCCGACTAGAGACGCAGTAAAGCCGCTTTCATTCTCCAGTCTCCCTTCCCTGAAAGCGCTCCCAGGGGGGCATCATCAGTGTTGGAATATTAACTTTGCTTTCTTGCATTTGAGCCTTATTTAGAGTACAAACATGCCCAGGACCAGTCTGAATCACTGCGCACAGCAAGTTTACCACAGAAAACACTGGGGATGTGTCTTTGTGGACTGATTTTTAGGAATAACCTTGGCACCAGAGCAACAAACCCAGGCCCGTTCTCTTGGAAATGAACTTTGAATTAAAAAGCGTTGCTCTTTTAAAAAAGATTGAAATTCAGAAAAGTCTTTTGGTCCTGATCCGCTGATGGTAATGGGGTTCCGGGCGGCGTGGCGTGACGGAAGGATTATCCAGATTCCCGCTGAAACGTGGTGCGGTCGTAAAATCGTGCGTGTCTAATAAAAACGCGTCAGATCATCCAGCTACAGGACGTCTATCCGGTAAAGATCCGCAGGTTTAGCGCGTTGTACGGAGGGGCAGTGCCGCATATTCCTCTTCCCGGCTCGGTCACGCTTTCACCACACTGTCGCTCCACACGAAAATGTGACGTTGCCTCCAGGCGCATCTCCCCGCTTTTTCCCACCTCCTTATAAATAAACCTTGAATCCTCCTCTGACATGCAGCTGCAGCAGAGCCAGCACAGCAGCAGGTTAAGTCCACACACACACTCTCTTACACTTTGTCGCACACACACACACACACACACACACGCACACACACAGGGGAAGAGTTATTAAGGTGGGTTTTCTCCTTTCTTTTGCCTTTGAGACGCATGTGGTGTAACCATTGCGCTGCCAACTTTTTCCCGAACGGGACAGACGCACTGGATACAGGTGCAGCGTGTCTATTGGTCCATGGGGGGGGGGGGGGGGGGGGGGGGGGGGGAATCAGGATCAGGGGGGCCCCAGGGGCCTCATGCCAGAGGGCAGCGAGGCTGAGCGCTCCTCTGAGGTCAGGTCTCTGGAGGGTTCTTCAAAAACTGTCAGGATTCAGTGCCCCAGAGGGGCTGACCAGCACATGTTGAGTTTGGGTTGTTTTGGTGAATAATAAAGTCACAGATTTAAAATAAATTATATTTTCTGATTGATTGATAATTTAAAATAAAATTAAATTTAAAAAATATCTGCAAATATTTACAATTATCCCAAAATACCTTGCTGGGATTATTTCTGCTGAATTTATCTTATTAATAAAGGTAAAAAATAAATTTTACATGCCATTTTCTTTTTATGGCACCGTTTTAAACTTGTAGAACTGCATCAAAATTTCTACATTTTGTTTTTTCAAAAAGGATGCTTGTCTTAAACTAGCAAATGGTCTTTGTCCGCGCATCTAATTCAACCAGCAAAAAGTCCAAATTAGTTCAAAATCAAGCCTAAAATGAAATGATCGAAGCAAACAAATAAAGTGAGGAAGGAGAGGCAATCAGATCAAATGAGGCATATTTGTTCTTGTAATACTTCTAAAAATTCTGTATAAAACTGACAATCAAAAAGTACCATTAAAGTACAGAGAGAGATGATTTATTTATTAAATAAATTATTTAATATTTATGACTGGATTAAAGAAGATGAATAAATGGTTTGTGTAAACATGACTTTGATTCATTAAAAGGGATCAGTGGGGTGGCCAAATGGAGGTTTAAAGTGCATGGTGTAAGAATGAAGTAACAATGACATCCTGTGTTCAAATTTGGTTACTGCACCCAATGTTTAAAAGCACACAGGTGACCTTCTCACTTCCGTGGGTGTCATGGCTGTCGCAAGCTGAAGATCAGCATCAGAAGGGTTCATGATGAGCAAAGACGAGTCATGCAGTGAATTGATAAGCAGATAAATAAATGTCAGATTGCTTGTTATTGAAAAAGTTGATTGAGATATTTTTAGAGGCAACCATTTGTTGCTAATTCACCATTAGCCTAGTTAGCTCAACATTAGCTTCTAGCCTTCTGCAATAACAGAGGCAAACAAGAATGGTTTCTTATGAGTACAAGAAATAACTTCTGGGTTGCTTCTGTTACTGGTTTAGCATCTTTACAAAACACTGTTGTGTTTTACCGGCCAGTGTTTAATTACAAATGCCAGCACTGCAGCATTTGCCAGCACAGGCTCAACAACTTAGCAGGCTCACAGATTTAAAACAATGACTACGTTCCTCTTTGGCCATTTTGAAGAGAGAAAAACCTTCAGTTTGAATGAGTTGTTGCAGGTTTTGACTTCAGTCAGATTCTAAGATGAACAGTTTCAGACTTAACTAACAAATAATCTAATTAAAGAGCAAGTCACCCCCTACCTGAGTCTTACTTCACTCCCACTTCCTGTTTGAAAAACGCAACAAATGATGTTGCCTGGCAGACCAAGAGGGTGGAGCCGCTAACAAATACACACACACACACACACACACACACACACACACACACACACACACACACACACACACACACAAGCTCACAATGTACCATCTAACGTAATAAAGTACCTCTTAGCCAATAGCAATGGCAGATTTAAATTAAAATGCAATGCAGAGTTTTTACCTGAAGACGGCACAACCTTGACAGTTTTAGGCAAAATATCTAAATTCTAACTAAGATGCACTAAAGGGCCAAATTACTGATTACATGCATCTACGGCACAATCAGACACTCATTTATATAGTTTATCAGCAAAAAAAGTTTATTTAGGGGTGACTTGGTCTTTAAGTAATCTTATGTGTTGGTTAGGAGTGTGATCAAGCCTGAAGTTCTGTTTTCTACTGAAAGAAAATAAAATTGTATCTTAAAATAGAAAGTGTGAGTCTTGGGTCTATTGACTCATTAAACTAAACAGAAAAGTCAATTAAAATTGCATTCATAGCAATTTCTCCTGTGCAGCAGCTCCTCTCCCATGAACCTTGTGTGTGTGTGTGTGTGTGTGTGTGTGTGTGTGTGTGTGTGTGTGTGTGTGTGTGTGTGTGTGTGTGTGTGTGTGTGTGTAGGTGTGTGTGTGTGTGTGTAGGTGTGTGTGTGTGTGTAGGCACTCCAACAGCACAATCATGTCATTATGGTGTGTTTGGGTTATGACAGGGCACTCACACGCCACATGAGGGTGAGGGTGTCTGAGTGATGCGGGGACACACACTGTTATCTCCTGCCGATGTCTCTGGGCGGAGGCCACTGCTGACAGAGAAAACGGTCATTTCTGCCCTCGAAACACAGCTCACAACCCATGATCACATATTAAAGCTGCAACGACACATCTGCAAAACAAGCTAGCTTTTAAACGCAACCATGGTCACAGAACTCTCACTCCTCCCATCAGCTGTCACCCCTAGGCCACGTCTGCCAGAAAGCACATTGCCGCAGTAAACAAGAACGTGCTGAACACCGGTCGCCGTTTTCTATATTCTAACATCTTTTGTGGTCCATGACTTCAAATGAGGTTTTCTCTTTGGGACTCAGGTAGTTTGTCCTAAAGTTTAAGTGGTAGCAGCCAGCTGTTTCTCCTTCTCTGATGTTGTTGAGCGGAGAACCTCTCACACCAGTGGTGTCCTGTTGCTAAATATGTGAGTGTGTGATGAACTGAGGACCCAGGGAAGTGTGGCGGTTTGGTGAGACCGACAACCGGATGGTCCACTCATTGGTTTTGGTCCAAGCCGTGTTATTGCAGAGGTTTTTTAGACAAATGCGAAGGAAGCACTTAATTGTTTTTATTTTTTTTTAAATCTTCACAATATATTTATAACGATACTATGTTAGAATGTTTAGAGGCATGAAAACAATGTGTTAAGTTAACTTGTTTGGCAGATTTGCATCTAAAGCTTTAAGTTTTACAAATAGAACAGAAAATAGTCACAAAAGGAATGAAAGCTGGATATTATCATTAATGTTAAACACATCAGTTTGGAGCTAAAAAAATAAATACATAAATGATCAACTGAACTTCGGTTTAAAAGATCATTTATTCACAAATTCCAGACATAAATGATAGGAAATGGTCTGCATTTCTGAGGGAGACCAAATAAATCTTAATAACAGCAGCACTGACTCTCCTAAGCTTTTGCTCATGACAGAGCTGCTGTTTACACTTATCTAAGCCTCCTGTTATCTCTGACGAGCAGAGGAAATAAATTTCACCACGAAGGATTTCAAACGTGGATCTGCACAAGAGAATCAACTTTCAGACACAAGCATTTCACAAACGGGAAGTAAATGATTGAGGGAAATGTTGAGCTTTTAATTATTTCTCTCTGGTGTTCCCTTTGGGGACTATGTAAGGCATTCAGAAACAGATAAACAACAACAACAATCCCAAATCCTAGAAAACAAAGAGGCAAAATCGGGTAATGTTGACTTTAGATACCCAGATAGTCATAAATAATAAATGTGTCTGCTTTTACAGTCTCAGAATTTTTTTATTAAGTGATTATAAATCAAATTTTAATTGGCACTTTAAAGGACTCATAATGATGGTCTTTAATGATTTCTGTTTAAAACAACCACAAGTTATGGGACAAAAGGAAAAGCAGCAAATAAACGCAGAAGGCCCTAAATAAAACTGAAAATAAAACTTCACCTGGAACCGTGAAACATGCTTTTAACTCAACAGCCTGAAGCTCATCTGGGAACAACAGAGGTGTGACCAAGTCACTGCTTTGCAAGTCACAAGTCTTTCCAGTCAAGTCTCGATTTAAGTCCAAGCCAAAGACAGTCAAGTCCAAGTCGAGTCCAAAGTCAATGATGTGGAAGTCCAAGTCAAGTCAAAGTTCTTAACTTTGAATTTTCAAGTCATAATCAAGTCATCTGTCCAACTTCAATTTAATGACAATGATAATAAATAAATTCCAGAAGTAAAACTTCTTAAAGCTTCATTTATTTGCTCAAACAAGCAGGAAGTGCAACTGAAACTGATTATAAACAAAGTGCTGCTGCATTTAGCAGTACAAGATCCAACCCAGAAGTAAGAATGATTCATTTTTGTCCATGTCATGCCACTTTTGTGCTAAAATATCAAATATGGTCAAATCATCATCAAGAAAACTGATGCAAGTCGATTCAAGTCGCAAGTCATTGGTGTTCAAGTTCGAGTCAAGTCGTAAGTCTTTATAGATTATCAAGTCAAGTCAGAAGTCATTAAAATAATGACTCGAGTCTGACTCAAGTCCAAGTTATGTGACTCGAGTCCACACCTCTGGGGAACAATAATGGAGAATCCTCTGGAACACCGATTAATCATTTTCATTAGAAACCTGCTGGTGTTTACAAAAAACCATCATAAACCTCATAGAGAATTCAGGCTGAAAACAGTAAACTACATACTAAATATTGAGCTAACACAGGCTTCAGCTGGAACACGTCGGTTAATGCGTCGACTGTAACAGAGCAGCTCTGTGAGTTCCAGTAGCAGCACCTGTGTGATCAGACCAAACACTCACACATCCCAGCCATAACCTGCTGTGTCAGGCGGATACCTGAGGACAAAGATGGCACAGAAAGTCAGAAATCAGGAGTTTTCCCCCTTTCAGGAATTATGCATGAGATTTTTAGAAATCCGTAACAGTGACAGTCTTGCCTTGCATTGTGTTATGATGTAAGTAATGCATACATTTTCTTTTTGCTAACTCCACCCCCGTCCTGTAGAGCCACATGCAATTTTACCTGGCTGCCGCTCAGAATTAGCCAACAGAGTTACGTACAGACGTCAATCACAAAGCGTACGCATGTGTTTGCAGGAGCACTGAGACTGAGCAATGTTTGAGAGATGTTTACCAAAAAAATGTGGATTCATGGTGCAGCTACAATCACCTTCACAACCACAAAAAAAACCCACGACTGTCTGCTTCTACTCACAGACAAAAGTAAAGAAAAGCCCACAGACTAAACTTGCCACAAAGCAACTCGAAGACTGGCAAAGAATTTACTTTTGACCTGCTTTTCAAAGGCAAAAAGATGGACTCTTACACCAACTGAAGGTGTGCATGAGTGTCATATATATATATATATATATATATATATATATATATATATACACATACATATACATATACACCTTCAGTTGGTGTAAGATATATATATATATATATATATATATATATATATCTTACACCAACTGAAGGTGTATATATATATATATATATAATGTATATATAAATTAATTAACAGCATAACGTGAAAGTTATAATCGTAGAAGTGCATGTTTGTCAAGGGAAAATATAAAAAATAGAAAGAAGTGTACGTTCATGAGAGACGGGTGTTGCTTGCAGTGGTATCACCGAAGCAGAGAGAGGGGCTCAAGGGTGCAATACATTCTCCGCCTCTAGGTGGTGCCTTTTCAGAAAAAAAACTCAGATTTCTGCTTTAACAGTTCTAAAACTAGCACCACGTCCTCCCTCTGCTGGAGACTCCACCATCACGGGGCGCAGCTGGACGATCGTCTCTACTTGTCGTGGCCACCATTTCGTATTTTGTATTTTTCCTGAAACTCTGCGTGTTTCTGCCGCAGGATTTCAGTCTGTTTCCTAAAACCGTTGACCCTGAAGAAACCACACATAAGAAGCCGTCAGATTCAGGTGAAGGAAAACTAATCAAAGAAGAAGAAGCACAAAAATGACTTGAGATAGCCTTTGCCCTCACCTGGCTCTCTCTTTGGCATCATTGTAGATTTCTGTGATGACTCTATCTTTCTCATCCATGAAGTTACTGTGAACCTCTTCCAGTTTCCTGACAGAGTTGGAGAAACACCATTCAGAATTCATGTTTGCTTGACCTGAAGCCCCAGTGGTCAGCGGGCACTTTTGCATTTATGAGTTTGTTCAGCTGTTGCAGCAGCTGCTGGGATCACAAAGAGGCGAATCTCAACAAACACAAGTGGCACCAAGTCATTGTGTGGAAACAAACAGGAGGAAATGAGTCGTGAGGCTGTGCCGGAGCACCGAAGCATGCGCGAAAAATGCCTCACTCATCTCGGAGCAGCACAGAAACAGGGTTTACATTAACAGGAAGGTAGGAGAATATAAAAACCAGCTTATGTGAAGGGATGGTTCCGGTGTTCACATTTCAAAGAATTGATGTTTTCTATATGAACGCGTTTTTCCCAACTCCACAAAGTGCTTAAAGCTCAGTGAATAAAATGTGTGGATGTACTCACTTAAAGAAGACCATGTGCGCTGCGATACTGAGCATCATAGTAGTGACACAATAAGCCACCAGCCGAAAATTCCTCCTTCGACGATGCTTCTTCTCCTCCGGTGTCATCTCGGGACTCTGGGAGTGATGGAACTGCTCCCAGTAGTGAACGTTGTCCTCAGAACTGATGGGAAAGCAGCAAAATATGGATCATGTCAGTTTCACATTTGACTTTGACAGAGGATTGGGTTTAGGCTATTTTACAAACATGGTTTATTAGATCAAAAGACGTTTCTGTTATCTGCTGAAAAATTTGCCCCATTAATGATGAACTTTGAGCTTTCACCTTCTGTAGGTGCTGTGACTGGACGCAGATCTGAACACCTGGCGTCCACTGTACGGGTGCTGGAGTTTGATGTCATACTCCTTCCTGCTCAGGTCTTTGCTTAGGGTCCTGTAGGCCTCGTTCAGCTCCACAAACTGGCTGTGCAGCGTGGGGTTTGATGGGTTGCTGTCCGGGTGCAGCTGCAGGATGAACAGGTCCGAGTCAGTAATAAAATACACAGAGGCGTGGTTTAAATTTCCAACCAAGCTTTTCTTTTCTTGTGAAGAACTAAACATCAATTTTCTCAGATATATAAGAGTCACAACACAAATAAGCATCTTAATCCTTATTCATATTACAAGCCCCAAAACACCAGTCAGGAAGCTCACTAGTCAGGAAGAATAAGTCAGATAGGCAAATACTGCCCTCTGGTGGTTGCATATAAAATATAAATAGAATAGTTTTTAATATTTGAGGATACCTTCTTAGATTTATCAAAAAATGCATTCTTTATTTCGTCCAAAGAAGCATCTGATTTGACTCCCAGCAGGTCATAGTAGTTCACAGCTTTTCTGTAGTAACAAAACAAACAACATAAAGCAAGACTTTTGACCCTGTACACAAACACAATCCCTTAGCAGTTACAAATAAACCTAACACAACACAAAGGAGGCACCCACCTTTGTGTGTAGCTACGGTACAATAGTTGTAGTGCACTTTTGCGAAATGTAATACAGCTGTGGTATAGCCGCAGCTGAGCCTCCAACTGCATGTTCAAATTTTCTTTAATTGACCTGAGAAGAACAGATATAGATGTTAGCCGTAATCAAGAAAGAAATCACTACACATAGTGAAGAAGTGTTTCAAACCAAAGGAATGATGACTGAAGAGGTAACGATAATGGTGGGTTATAACCTGTTCAAATGTAAAAATGTATAATACTTTTGATGAAGACATAAAATCTAGAGTTTAAATCTTTTTAAAAGTGACCAAAGTTATTTAGGGTAGGATTAATAATCTGTTATAAAGTAAGCAATTGTTTTAGCTTTTTTCTTTTAAAAATGAGGTCAAGTATCTTCTTATTTTCTCTTGAGACAAGGCTAAATCTATTCTTGAGAATTGTGCCTTTGCAAAACTTAGGAATTAAAAACAGGAGATAAAAAGGCACACGTTCCTTTTGTAAAGTGACTGCGTACAAAGCAAAAATATGCATTTGTTGGTCTTGTTTCTTGCCTAAATGTAAATAGTTAAAGCTTATAGGCACCTTTTTCTCCAAACATTAAGACAAAATGACATTTAAAATAAGGAAAATACGCTAGTCAGGAGTTTGATATTACCTTTAACTGTGTGTCCATTTATTAAGGACAGATTAATGTCAGCAGCTGTCAGCACATGACTGAAGACCCTAACAGAAAATGAGATAAAACAATGACAGACCGAAGACAATAAACGACTGAAACAAAATCAAATCATCACCAGCCACCCTGTTGTGTTGTTTAGATGGTGGACAAAACACTAGAGATTTCCTTTGTCTTCAGAACATACTCCGGTGTCAAATTCACAGCGATCACACCGCTGGTTTAACCGCATTTATTAAATGAATATAACACATCTGTCAATAAGAAAAACAACAACAAAAAAGACTACAGTGCTCAGTTGCTAATGCTAGCTACTATCTAGCAGCTATTTATCCTATTATTAGCTAAGCCCGTGCTACTTTGGTAAACGTACAAGAGTTATTACATTGTTGTATTTCAACTTGGGAATAATTATAAAAACTGACAGTTATTGAACAAAATGTGACATACCATCTTTCGTAACTAAACAGTTACGTACATCAAGTCAATTAGTTACCGAAATCAAAGTCGAGTCATACTTTCAGAATAAAATAGTCGTTGTGTCACCACTAAGATACATCAAATGGTGAATGTTCAAGTTTCGTTAAAAAATCATTAACATATTAGATCTTACCATTCTTACAGTAATTAGTAAAACATAATCTTCTTTAAAAATTATTTTGGGAACATCTTCTACTTTCTAAAATAATTGTTTTGAAAATACCAGGAAGTGACGTAACGTTTTGTATCCAGAAGTTATTTTCAGTTATGTGGACGTCCCTGAATAACACTACCTTCTCATGCAATGTGTTTTCTTTATTTTCATGACAATTTACAATGGGAGGTTCTCACTGAAGGCATCAAAACTATGAATGAACATGTGGAGTTATGTACTTAACCAAAAAAGGTGAAGTAATTGAAAACATGTTTTATTTTCTATTTTCTTCAAAAAAAAGCCACCCTTTGCTCTGATTACTCTTGGCATTCTCTTGATGAGCTTCAGAATTGATTTTCCAACAGTCTTGAAGGTGTTCCCAGAGGTGTTTAGCACTTGTTGGCCCCTTTGTAAATGGGCATGGTCATGAAAATAAGGAAAGCACACTGAATGAGAAGGTGTGTCCAAACGTTTAGCCTGTACTGTGTATTACTACTGTAAGCCATCATGCACCTGCGGTTTTCATTTCTGGTCGCTAGATGGTGATAATGAGCACTGTTCGATATCAAAAACAGCTGTAAAAAGACAGAGGAAGAAGGAAGGCTGTGATGTTTTACAGGTTCTTCCACCTCGGAAGAGGTAAGACATGCTTAGTTTATATATTTGAAAGACGTTTTTAATGTCGTGGTGTTTCAATGCCGATTCGAGCAAATTTTAAAAGCACTGTGATTTTGACTCTGCGTCTATTTAAGAAATAATGAAAGTTTCTGCGTGTTCCTTCCTCGTTAAAAGGTTTAATCTTGTGATTTGGAAGTTTTTATAGGTCTATAAAGTTAAGATTTTAATGGCGAGTCATCATTTTACCTCATCTTGACTATATCCAACTGATTTCTGTGCATTTTCATTCCTGCAGGACTTTGCAGCTGCAAGGTGATCATCAAGGATGGAGTGGGTTGATTTACAGTGTCAACAAAGAAATGCTAGATCATTATAACACGCTCATAACAGGTTAAAAGCAGACAGCGTTTCATGGGTTAAGACTGTCAAATTAAATTCACTTAGAATTTATGATTCAAAAATTCCAGTAGGAAATTATTCTTAAAAAAAAAGTGAACAACACTATTCACCAAATCATGCATATTAGATTAAATATAAGCCTTTTTGGGTGAAAGCCCCTAAATCAATAAACAAAAACCTACTGTTAGTGTGATACAAATCAATAGTTAAGCTATTACAATGACGCAAAGCCATTAGACGCAGGAGATTGCAAAATAAATGTGTTTGTTTTTCTTGACTGCGTCTTTACATAAACTCAAATAAGCAAATGAACATAAATATGAAAGCAAAGCCATCGCAATGACAACAATCCAATTTATTATGATTAGACAATCAGTTGTTAACCGATTTATTATGATTAGACAATCAGTTGTTAACCGTGGCGTGCCTAGCTGTGATCCTACACCTCCTTCAGAATTCACTAGTGTTGCAGATCTGTTGGCTGTGGAGGTCATAATAACACGTGTCCCTCAGTTTTATCTGTTTGGGTGAACTTTTGCAGATTGCTGTCCTAAAAGAAGCCATTCCATTAAAGTTAAGATACCTTAACTCACTCATAGACTACAAATAAGGTCTCAGATCAGCTTTGATCTCATTAATAGACATTCCTTCAGGAAGAAGTGACTTCAAATTACGCCAACAGAAATGTGATTATGTAGGTGTGCCTTGAACTCGTAAGTATTAATTACACTTTCAAATTTTTCTTCGGCGGTAAGCTCTTGTAGTATATTAATCGGGGTGCTGAATGTGATGATGACCTGTTACAGGGTTGGATCAGGATCAGATGAGCGAGTGAGGGTGTGACTGACCACTGATGGTGAAGCATGATGGACCCGGAGGTGTCTGTGCTGCTGCACTGTGCAGAATGGAGGGGGCTGCTGCAGACTCAAGTACAAGTAGAGCTTTCTGACAGGTATTCATGTTTCCCACAAAGAACTTCACATGTGTGCACAATTTTTTTATACAACATTGCTTAAATTTGACGTATTGAGTTTCTTCGGTCAGTTTCAACAGGCAGACCAATCCGTGTCTAGAACTTCACATCAGTGAGGTTTGGACTGAGCGACTCTCTAAGGAGCCGTGGCTTTTTAACGGGGCCAAATTCAGGCTACATTCATCCTGCTTGGTCTCTCCGAAAGATCCACGTTACCCACAGCCCTCCCATGTCCCCGTGCAGCATTGGGACGAGGACCAGGAAAAGCAGAGAGGGGATGATGTTGCAGTCTGGCACAGGATGGAAGTTAGGAATGAGTGTTTAAATCAGACCCAGAATGTTGGAAGTGTCTTTCGGAAGACTGCCAGCATGCTGTCACAGGAGAGTTCTACTCCACAGGGCTCCACGGGTGATGATCAGTCACACCGTGGGCCGTTCCTCACCCTGAGGCTGGGCCTCACCTGCTACAAGGACTACCTGGGAACCAACTGGTCGGGTCGAGTGTCAGAGCTTTGTATGCGTGGAGAGGAGGAGTTTGGTGATCCTCTGGCGCTGCTGGCTCAGCCTCTTGGTGTGGGCGCCGTGCTGTGCACAGCCGACTGTCAGGTGGTGATGATCAGGAGGAGCCAGAGAGTGGCTGAGGCGGGGGGGCTCCTGGATATTCCCGGAGGTCACCCAGAGCCAAAGGTAAGCCATGGAGATTTTAAACGTCCAGTGTGTGCATTTTTTATCCTTGTGTTTGCTCTCTGCAGGCGGTGTGTGAGTGTCTGGGTCTGGAGGTGAGAGAAGAGCAGATCAGTGCAGTGATGATGCAGCAGAGACCGGACGCCGTCGTCTCTGAGCTGTTCTCCTCTGTGAGCTCCGAGATCAGAGATGAGGTGAGCTTACACTTTCACAGTTCACCGCTGTTTTATGAGCAAAAGGAATGAAGTTAGGTAATGACATCGCAAAGATGGTTCATGCACGATGAGCATCTCACCCCAAAAGATTTAAGATGACTTATTTATTTGAAAAGAAGAATCGACGAGTTTGATGATAACCCAACCTCACTGCTGAATCCTCTTCATGCAAACTCATCCAGGTGAATATTCCTGTGGATTTCCTCGGAGCGCCTGTCCTTTTGGGCGTGGCTCTGAATAACACCAACGCTGGAAGGCCGAGCGCTGAGTTCTACGTCAGGTTGGTGTTCGTTACGTCTTTAATCCATGAGACAAACTCCAGGACTGTTTTATCTTTCAGCAGTTTTCTCTCAGGCTTAATCGTGAATTTTGCTCAGAAAAATACAACATTATAAACCCGTAAACCTGTGTGGAAGTGGGCCGAGTACTGAGGTTTTTATTTTCAAGAATTACAGGACACTCGTACGGTTATAAATAACTGATGTAGAAACAGATGTTTGCTCATTTAACCAGGTCTGTTCCCTGCTACCTGGTTTGAAACCAGCTCCATCAGGGACGACCTACAGACGTGTTTTTCTGTGATCTGAGATAAATAACTTTATAAACCAACATTAGGTCACTTGTGTGTTTCCACAGTTGCTCGCTGACTTCTGATGAAGTCAGAAAGTTGTACTGGAAAGGAGGAGCTGAGGCCAACGAGTCCACGGACGTGGTCTTCCTCAGCAGAATGGTCAGAGGTCACTTCCTGCTGCAGTAAAAAGGAACAGTAAACAGGAAGTAGGTTGTTATAAAGTATTTTGGTCGTTGCAGGAGGTCTTGCAGCTGAACAGAAGCAGCCCGCTCTGGTCTGAAATGTGTCCATCAGCTAAAGGAGCCGTTCTTCTCTATCAGGCGGTGAAACCAGATGGAAACCCAACAGCCAGCAAACCTGAACTCAACTCGTCTCATTCACCAGCACCACACACCGACCAACACTGGTGTTAAAACTCTTCAGAATACCGTTTATCCATCTTTATTCCTGCATCATGACATGTCATAAAACATTTTCAATTAAAAAATCTTACAAATAGTTTTTCTTTGAAATAAAAATCTTTGAATGTCAAAGCAGACGTACAAGATATTTGTGTTTGTAGGATAAAAACTTGCTGATGTAGCTGGTGATTGTTTTTAAAAATGACTTGATACCAGTAGCATGTTGTGTGTTTCACCCGTCGCTCTGATATCTGCTGCTGCGTTAGTAGCCGTGGTCCTGATAGGGTGTGCTCCACTGAAAGGACACAAAAATCACGAGGAGATTTAACTGTAGGAATTTGTAAAAACCAAACCGCGCAGCACCAAAGTTCGTTTTAAGTTTGACTCACATATCGTGGCTGCTGCATCTTCATTCTTGTATCGTTCCAACCTGCAAAAACCAAAACATTAATCGGCACATCAAGATATACCCTCTCCTAAAACTTTGTTCAATATAGCTCACGCCGACCGTAAGACCCAGTCCACCAGATCCTCTGTGGGAGCGGAAGTCTGCGATGGAGGCGTCTTTTCTTGTAAAATCTAGGTTTCTTCTTCTCTTGTCTGAGAACGGGGGGCAGCAGTCTGTGAGCGTTGTCTTGGTACTCCTTCAGGAGTATTTGTGCTCGTTCCTGCGACAGCTCGACGTACTGCAACTCCTCCAGCAGGTCAGCCTGCGGCTCTGGAAGACTGCAGCTAACTGGAGAAGAGGAAGGATCTTCAGGAAACGTGTTCATTATAACTGCATAGTGAAGCATCGCAGACCCTCCCAGCTTGATGCTCCATTCCCTTAGCCTTCAGGTAACACCTTATTGAATTAAAACACTTTATCATCAACATCTTCTGTGCAGGACAGGAAACTAAAGAAGAAAGAATAATGCAAAAGTCATGAAACACAATGAAAAAAAAAATACCCTGGAGTTTCAGCAAAGCAGTCTCTGGAATGTTCCCTCCATCCTTCAGTCGATGCTGAGAAAGTCGTCTTTTCCACTCGTTCTCCAGAGGAAAGACCACCACCACCCGCCGCCTGAAGCCTGCAAACAGCTGCAGCTTGTGACGACGAGCAGAGATGAGGACGTTGCACTGGGAACAGAGAGGGCCAAACCACACGTTTTATTTAAAAATGGTGGATAAATAAACTTTTGCAGGTTGGTTTCATGACTTGATCTGCAGAGTTGCATCAAATGGACGTTGGTGTTGATAGGTCACCTGATCAAGGATGTAGTTTCCAGGAGTCTCTGCAGCAATTTTGATTAATTCAGTCAGACACTGAGAAGCCTGCTGCAGCCTGCCCTCTGTCTGACCTCCACTCTACACACACACACACACACACACACACACACACGATCAGGAAGTGTAACACAGATGATTATCAAATTGTGTCCTATAAAAAAAAAACTGGAGCTCTGACTGACTATCATGCAAGCGAGCAGCTCCTCTGTCCCCAGCAGAGTGAACTTCTTCTCTGGATGTTGCTTCATGTGATTCTGGGCCCAGAAAGTTTTACCAGAACCAGGAAGACCAACCATCATCACCACCTGGAGCCACACACAGAGACAAATGTTACTGTTTTTCTGTTTTTAACAAACATGGTTTTCAGTTGCACGGTACAGCAGTGTGTCATCGTGGGTAGTAACTGATGTTTCCTTTTTATTTTTACTACAAAAACTGAAGCTCTAGGTAAGCAAAGCTTGTTGCAAATCCAACAACCATGCAAAAACACTATTTAATATTTATTGAATCACTGAATAAAAGTGTTCACTAATCCATCATTACATTTAAAACAGAAGTTTGGCTTTCTTAACACAGCGAATTAGCTCAAAATCTGTTTTATAAACACTACGACTTACTTACGCTGGTCCTGCCTCTCACCTCACACTGTGCTCTGGTGGTAGGAGTTGATGTGGAACAAACTCTTTGCGCAGCAGGAAGAGCTGCCAGCGGTGTGAACCCCATCGGGCCTGGGTACCACTGAGGAGCTGCAGGATCAAGAAGCAGTCGAACAGAGCAGCTTCTACACAAGATGTGAGGGAACAAAGGACGACCCGACAGCACAGAAGAGCCCAGTGAAAAGGCACCACCCATGGAACGACCATTCTTATGGAAAAAGAGCTCGACTGTACCATCTGCAGACAGAGACTGTGGGTGTAAACAAGAAAACGAGGTAGAAATCAGAGTAAAGTCAAGCATCATTACCTAAGAGTAAAAAGAGAAAAAGGATTTACGTACAGCGTAGCAGCCAACAATGTCCCCTTCTGACAAACGTTCACCATAATCCTCTTCTTTTCCACCAGAAACCTTTTTACTGCACCCATCATAGGCAAAGGAGAGGCCATCCTCACCTAAAGAGCCCAGTCACTGAGTACCCAGTCAGAGGCCTCTAGAAAGAACTGTTTCAGATACCAGACCTGATCCTTACCCAGCAGCAGAGACGAGTCGGCCACAGACCAGCCGACTCTCAGTCCGTACGGCTCTCTGACCTCTCGGTCCTCTCTCTCCATGCTCAACAGCGTCCTTTCCAGCCTGACCTCAAAGCCCACGCTGCCCTGCCGCACTCCGTGACTGAGCCTACATCCTGACCACAGCAAAGGGAACTGGTCCCAGAACCGCGGCTGCCCACAAGACCCATCTGGACTCAAGTCGAAGTGGAGGTGATGAGCATCTGTGGAAACAACAAGCAAAAGTCTCGATTGTCCTTCTGAAAACACGGTAGCATTAAACTTATTCTTCTGGGAACATCACAGTCAAAAACAAACTCAGACTTACGTGGATCTAACTGGACTTTATCCTCTCCGTGCTTCTCTGTGCCCTCCCACTCCTGCAGCGACTGAGGTGATTTGACTCTGGTTGAGATCAAAAGATCCTCCTTCAGAACGCTCATCTGATTTTTACTATGCAAGACTTTTTTGTGAGATTCAAAAGATGCCAGTTGGATGAAAAGAAGGATGCTGTTTAGGACATTTGGTCAGCTGCTGTTCTGTCAATATGCTCAGGTATGACCAAAACCAATGTTATTTGGTACAAGAACAATTAATAACAATACAAGACTGGAAGGGCTATGAATAGCGTTGCATCTGTAACTCCAGCCAAGGGTTAAACATTCTGGCTCCTGTCATTTCAACAAAATAAAGTTTTATACAGACATTTTCTGTTTGTAATAATTGCTGAAAACATATGATTTGTAGTTGTAGAAAGTAGCATGCTTCACGTTGAATCCGTTCAACATTCCTGCAAACATGAATGACCATGATGCTGATGTTTGGGCTTGCTGCATGTGAAGTCACCTCGGTCAAACAGTCCTGTCCAGATTCACATTGCTCCAGCTCATGTGAGAAGACCTCCACGATGGCTACGTAATGATCTAACATAGTCGGATAAGTCTTAAAAATGTACAGATTAATAAAACAATGTGTTTTGAATAATGCTTTATGCCTATTGAGTTGATTTCTTGTAATATGGTGTTGTTTAAGGAAAGTGGGAGACGTTGTGTTCTGACACTAGGGGGCAGCAGAGCGCTATGTGGTGTATGTATAGAGATGCAGTGGAGAGTTCAGGGGAGTCCTTCAGAAGTGCTGCTAGTTGAACTTTCTCACCATTGCTGCCCCTCTTGCTTCATTAAAGTTTTAGATGGATGAAGTCACTGCCTGCTACTTTCTACCAACTACAAAACATTATCAGAATGGAAGTCCAAAATAATTTGTGGTCTTTAGTTTTATGCCTAAACTATTTAGAATATGATGCGAGAAGATCACAGAAGGTGACAGAAATATAATACGATTAGAAAGTCCGTGATCACATCTGCATTTTTGGTTTTCGACTCAAAAAGGGCATTTCAAACCAGTTTTCCCACTCCCTGTGCATCTTTAGTCTGCTCTAATAACTAGACTAGGTTATTCCAGATCAATGGCAGCATCCTTAAAACGTTTGAAACAATCAACTTTTATTTAATAACTATACCAGTTCGTTGTATCAATGAACTAGAAAGGACATGCGTTAAGAACAAATTAAACATTAAGTTAAAGGCTCCCGAGGCTGCAAATACGCAGGTTCAGTTTGGTGTTTTATAAAATTTGAGCTCTGCGTTTAGTTTGTTTTCTCAAATGAAGCTAAACTACCTTTTGTAACGTATTTCCTCTTTGAACTCGTAGAAGGCCCTTCCTCTGCCAGTATCCTGTGACACAGGACTTTCTACGTGTCCCAGCCCACCATCCTCAGCCTGGAAATCGGTCACAGGTCCCGGTTCACGTGCCCTCGGACCTGGTTCTGTCTGCGTAGCGGTGTCAGGGTCAGAAGGCGCAGCGACACGATTCACTGCGGACGGTGATGAGGACACCGTTTGGTTCGGTTTTGACGGTGTCTGCGTACTGTCATTTTGTAGTAACGTCGCCTTTTCTAAAGCTTGTGCTGCTTGTGACGCAGACCACAGTCTGTCCACCAGCTCAGCTTTCAGCCCTCTTGTGTCCAACCCGAGGTCAGCAAGTCTGGACCGCAGCTCGGCAACTTTAAACTTTTTAATGTCCGCCAACTTCATGTTATCGATAATAGTATAAACTGACTCCACTTGAAAATGTAAACAGAAAAACAAAACGATCCTGTTCGAGTCAAATCAGCCTCGGACTCTGATTGGTTCTTTGGTTCTTCTTCTTTCATTTGACAGTTACACGCATCTTTATCGACACCGCGTGGCAGGAATTGTTACTACACCAAGGTGTACAAAGATCCAACTACCCCACTTCACAAAAAAATCTTACTTTACCTTGACGGTGTTTTTGTCCTTCCTGTTTTTGTGATATTTAAGTATTTGGGTGGACAAATATGATTCATTTGTTTATCTCTGTTTCAAAACAGCACAGATGGGTCTATCTGACCTCACAGAGGAAACTTTATTTTACTTGAGAAAGATGTTTTAAGATGAACTTATTAAAACAAAAAAATCTTCAAACTCTTCAAGGTTTATTTTTAGATGAACAACCTTTAACACTGTTCAGACTTATTTTTTGATACAAGTCGCATGAACAGGCTGAATAAAAGGATTTTTCCCTTTGTTGCATTTAACTATTTCTTCTTCTTTAAAGAAGTGCTGATTCAGAAGAGAATAACTGCATTTAGGAAGATGATGACTTGCTACGTTTTTTCTCCAGCAGTAAAAAAGCTCTAAAGCTTCTCTGAGTTTCTCTCCCTCTCAGCCTCTCTCAGGCCTAACTATAATTCAGAATGTTGTTATGAAAACGGAACGTGTATGGATACCTATATGATTGTATTAGTTGTGAAAAGGCTACCAATGTAATCAGTTATGCATTATGGTTTATCTTATGATTTATTTATTTTTTGTTTATGCCTAGCTCTTACGTTGGTTGGTTGATGATACAGACGGCTCAGTAAATTATCATTCATCATCAGTTCCGGCCTTCTCAATATTGACTGAATGCTACACCCAACAACACCCTCAGGCAGAAACTGGTTCATCCAAAAGACAAAGCACACAAACAGAAACTCAGTGGCATTGTTTATGCTACCATACCACCACCACCACCATCTTCATGATCATCATCATCATCATGATCATCATCATCATCATCATCATAATCGGCTATAGCCTATTATGCATCCTCATTCAAGAATCTGAGTAGTAGCTCCTCCTCAAACATTCCTGAACATTCAGAATTTGTTCTTGCCAAATACATAAAGGAGTTTTTTTTTCAGTAAACAAAAAGTCCCATAATTTACTTTTTATTTAGAAAAATACTTGTTATTTACAAACGTGATTCAAATACTGCAACTAGAAATTGTTTATTTAATTCACATCAAAACTCCAAATAGTAACAAAACAAAGTATAAAAGGACCAAATTTAATTCTATGTTTGTGTTTTGCTTTTCATGTGTGAAGTGTAAAACATTTTGAATTTTAACAAAAACTAAATGTTATAGAATCACAACATGGGCAAGCTCACAAACTAATTTGATGATAAAATATTTTAATTTTTAAAATGTATTCAACTGGAACAAGTTATCACGTTGTAACGACATTGCTGCTACAGCCATGTTGTTATTCAAAGTGCCAGATAAGTTGCAGAGAGGATGTTTAACAGAGGTTGCTAAGTGACTTTAGGAAGATGTTGTATTGTGACGTTTCAGCAATGTACCGACAACATCCCCTGTGGTACGTGATTAAACGAAATCAAAATGTTGCATAATGTGACGTTGTGGCGACATTCTGTGTCATTAGGGATGTGTGTGTTAGTAATGTGTGTATATTAGTAAATACATGTTAGTAAGCCCCGTTTCTAAACAGTGGAGGTTCTAGATCAGTGGTCCGCAACCTTCACAATCCAAAGAGTTTTCAGTTCGCCTAGATATAAATTGGAATGTGCTGGGGAGGCTTTGTTTAGCGGTCAGTCTCTACCATGATCAATGCCAGATCTTGGTGACAAATTAATGAAATACTGGATGGACATAAATCGTGTGACATTGCAGAAGCTTATCAAAACAATGCCACTGTGAATAAGCGCTGTAATGAATGTTAAATATTAGAGCAGTGGTTCTCAATCCTGGTCCTGGAGGGCTGGAATCAAGCACGTTTTGGTTGTTTCTCTGCTCCAACACACTTGATTCAGTGGTTGAATCACCTGTGTAGCAGCTCAGCTCTGCAGAAGCCTGTTAATCACCTGCTGAATCAAATCAGGTGTTGAAATAGGGTTAAAACTAAAACGTGCTGGATATCGGCCCTTTAGGACAAGGATTTAGAACCACTGAGTGTGAGATCTTTTGTTTTTGGTGGCAACTTCTTTTGGCCAGGCATTGCATTGGGTATACATATCACAAATATCTCAGTACTCTAAAACAGTGGTTCCTAACCTGGGGGTCCCGACCCCCACAAGGGGGCGCCAAAGCCTCTCAGTGGGTCGCCAGGACCTCTCCACTTTAAGAGGTTAAGACTTCATTTATTACTTGTTTATAGCCTACATTTTGCTCACATTTTTTTCATGAGTGAAAAGTTTACTGATATTAAGACAGGAAATAATTAGTACAGAAAAAGTAACACACTTTTAAGAACATTTTGCTCAGCTCGGCCAATTTACTTGGCCAATAAATCTGAAATCTGAAATCTGAAGTGTCAAAAGTTCATAAAAGATAGGACTGGTTGATTAATCACAGCCTTTACAGTAAATAATCTAGTATAAACAGTAATATACACATTTAAGTACATTTTGCTCAGTGTATTTTTTATGTGTCAAACGTTTATTGAAAGGAATGATTGATTTATCAGTGTTTACAAGAAACAATGTGTTCAGAAAAGTAATACAAGCTGTCAAGCACATTATGCTCTGTTTGGTTTTGTTAATGACTTTGTTCTGTACTGGAGCCTACTATTACTGTTATCTATTGAATCAAAGCATATTAAAATGTGCTTGAACAATTTTATCATTTCTTAATACTGTTTGTACTGGAAGAGAGAATGGGAGGGGGTCGTCAAAAAATTTACTGGTAAAAAACGGGGTCCCTTGGGAAAAAGGTTGGGAACCACTGCTCTAAAAGATCGATAAGTTAAAGTCCCAATAGTCATCCCACACTGGTGAAATTCAACTCCGCATTTGATCCATCTGCGTGGGAAGCGGTAAGCTGCAGCTGTGGCCGTTCTCTGGGTAGAATTAAACAGAGGATGAGTCTTGCAGCCCTGGCTAGCTTCTCACCTCCCATCATATGAAGTTCAAAATCAAGGAGTACAATTGTTTTGAAACTTCCTGTGGCTCCAAAGATAAAATAAATGCAGTTTAAAATGATAAATTGTGTTAATCCATCTGGAGAGCTCTTGAGAGACATCAATTTAATTTGAGACATAATTTCTGCTCATTTTGTAATGCTCATATAGAAACCAATGAGCACCTTTTTTTTGGCTTTGAGTTTGTCAAGATTTTCTGGAGTGAATTAAAGATTGCCTTCGAGGCTATGTAATCCACCAAAACTTTCTAAAGAAAATGTGTTGATTGGTTATTTTACAACAAATAAGAATATTGGGTTACACTTTACAATATTGGTCTCTTTATTGACATTACTTGGCGCATTAATAAACCATTTGATTAAGTATTAACAACTGCTTAACCTTTTTATGTAACGCATTACTAAGCAGACACTAGGAGCAATTATAAATGAATCCTTTGTTTATTAATGCTAAATAATGCACTAAATATCGTTAATAAAGGGATCATTATCACAAAGTGTTAAAGAATATTGATTTCACTTTAAATGTTATAACTGTCCAGGGTAATTTTTTTCATACACAAATGCCGTTATGCCAAAATTCACCCTACTTTCAATGGTTTATTATTAACTTTTGTTTAAACTCATGAAAGGGTCAAAAACTTTAACTGTGAGTCACAATGTGAAATAAAATTACATACTAAACATGAACCCCTTGCAAAATTTGCCTAATGATGCTTCACACTTTTATGTTTTATTTGCATCATGACTGTTTTAAAACGTATTTATTCTTTTTTGTTTTACTGCTGTTTCCTTCTCACACTGACACTACACTTGTCTGCCTGTAATCTAAGTTACGGACGGTGTAATGTGCCATGTTTTATTGGGCAATAAACGCTTTTGAAAAAAGAAAACAAAAAGCAGGAAGTAGCCCAGTGACAGCCAACCAATCAGGTGCTTCCTTTCTGACGGGCAGCTAACGAATGGGGTAAAGTCAACAACGGAGGTAAACATTTTACAAACTAACTTTAAACCAATAAATGGACAATGCTAGACTTCATCACGAACAAATCTATTTAGTTTTTGCCAAGCTTACTCTTTTCGGCATCTGTAAGCTGCCTAAATTAAGCTAGTCTGAACTCGACTTCTGGGGGAGTCGCCTTCATCATGTGATTTAATGGGATGCCTGTTGCTGGACTCGTGTGAAGTCTTTTAATTCAGTCTCGGTAGTTTAACTCGTAGTTTTCGTGTGTTTCTAGATGGAAGCGAACCGTTTAGACTTCTACATCGGTCTCTCTCTAGCTGTGAGCTCCAGTTTGTTTATTGGAGGAAGTTTCATCCTGAAAAAGAAAGGACTGCTGCGATTGGCCAGCAAGGGTTCGACGCGAGCAGGTAATGGAGACTTTAGTTATTAAACGACACCTTTTAACAACACAGAAAACTCTGTGAAGTAAGGTGACTGTAGTTTCTTTTCATGGGTTAAACAGCACAGGAAAACATTTATACTACTGCTTACTAAAGCAGTATAGTATTTCCTTTTAAATATGTATATTCTTACATTTAATAACGCTGATTGTCCTTTTTAAGGGATTTGTGGAAAACGTTTCAATCAAGATTCTAAAAGCGTATCTAAAACACTTTGGTTGATGTCTCCAGAGAACATGACCTTAATCTCTAATCAAAATTTATTCTTGATAAATAAGGAAGGCTTGATTATCTTGTAGCAAGTCAACAATATATATATATATATATATATATATATATATATATATATATATATATATATATATATATATATATATATATATATATATATATATGTATAGATATGTATATATATATATATATATATATATACATATCTATACATATATATATATATATATATACATATCTATACATATATATATATATATATATATATATATATATATATATATATATATATGTGTGTGTGTGTGTGTGTGTGTGTGTGTGTGTGTGTGTGTGTGTGTGTGTGGTTGTGGCTGCATGGTGGTGCAGTGGCTAGCACTGTTGCCACGCAGCACGAAGGTTGCAGGTTCGAAACTCGGCTGCGGCCTTTCTGCGTGGAGGTGTTCTCCCCATGAATGTGTGGGTTTCCTCCGGGTACTCCGGTTTCCCCCACAGATCACAACATGCCCTATAGGTTAAAAATTGTAAGTCGCTTTGGATAAAAGTGTCTGCTAAACACACACACAGACACACACTCACTTTATTGGGCATACCTGTCCAATTGCTTGTTAACGCAAATGACTAATCTGGAAAACAGTAACTCAAATAACCACTCATTACAACCAATGTATGCAGAAGAGCATCTCTGAACGCACAACACGTTGAACCTTGAGGCAGATGGTCTACAGCAGCAGAAGACCACACCAGGTGCCACTCCTGTCAGCTAAGAACTGGAAACGCAGGCTACAATTCACACAAGCTCACCAAAATTGGACAATAGAGGATTGGAAAAATGTTGCCTGGTCTGATGAGTCTCAATATCTGCTGCAACATTCAGATGGTATAAATGGTTCAGGCTGGTGGTGGTGGTGTAATGATGTGGAGGACATTTTCTTGGTACACTTTGGGCCCCTTAGTACTAATTGATCATCGTTGCAATGTCACAGCCTACCCGAGTATTGTTGCTGACCATGTCATCCCTTTCTGACCACAGTGTACCCATTATCTGACGGCTATTTCCAGCAGGATAATGCGCTGTGTCATAAAGCTCGAATCATCTCAGACTGGTTTATTGAACATGACAATGAGTTCACTAAACCCAAATGGCCTCCACAGTCACCAGATCTCAATCCAATAGAGCACCTTTGGGATGTGGTGGAAAGGGAAATTCGCATCATGGATGTGCAGCCGACAAATCTGCAGCAACTGTGTGATGCTATCATGTCAACATGGACCAAAATCTCTAAGGAATGTTTCCAGTACCTTGCTGAATCAATGCCACGAAGGATTAAGGCAGTTCTGAAGTCAAAAATGGGTCCAACCCGGTACTAGCGAGGTGTACCCAATAAAGTGGCCAGTAAGTTTGTGTGTGTGTGTGTGTGTGTGTGTGTGTGTGTGTGCTACACAATATCTCACTGTAAAGTACATGTTCTCTAAAAAGTAAAGTGTGGCAGCTGTAAAAGGTTTATCCCATCTTAACATTTAAGGAACTTAACTCACAGTTTTTATTACAATATCTAAATAGCCAGCCACAAAAAACCCATTAAGATCTGAGAAGTCAATGATGCTCAATGGTCAATATATCAGTGGCGCGCCAAAGGGGTTTCCAATGGGGACCAGGATCACCACTGAATAATTGCTGCCCTGGAAAATGTCCACTGGCTCCCCATGAAAATTTTCTGGGGGGACCACTGATCAGAAAAAAGCTCAATCTTAAAATAAAGTAATAATTGTTTACTGAGTAGGTGCTGTTATCTAGTAATTTTCTTGTCGTTTGTCTCCCAGGTCAAGGAGGATATGCTTATCTGAAAGAGTGGCTGTGGTGGGGAGGACTTATTTCAAGTAAGTGAATACAAATTTCCGTGTTTTTCGTAGTAATTCTGGTGAGCGGCCCAGACACAGGGGTCTTTGTTTGTTAGTGGGTAAAGGGTCTCTTGTGGATTTGGTATCTTTGCTGACGTTGCTGTAGATACAATATCCACACTGCGTCTTTGATGCACACATTCCTCCAAAGACCACATTTGCATTCGTAGGTTGGGGATAAAATAATGTTATTTACCTTGATCTGCTTTGTGCAATATATTAAATGTGATCACTAATAACTGATTTAACACGTTACAGTGGGAGCTGGAGAGGCTGCAAACTTCGCTGCATATGCATTTGCACCAGCTACACTGGTTACCCCCCTCGGAGCACTGAGTGTACTTGTCAGGTAATTGGTTTTGAGGTGTTTTTTATGCACTTTATTGTGACTTTTGTTTACTGGAGTGAAACCATTAAATTTTCCCCTAAGAATAAATGGAACCCAATGGAAAAAAACTTTATTTAGAGAATTTTGAATATTAAAAGCTCTTGAAGTGGAATAATTTGTTTCTAAGCTGAACCAACTCTACTTCTTACTCTCCAGTGCTGTGCTCTCCTCTTATTTTCTGAACGAGCGGTTGAATGTTCACGGGAAGATTGGTTGTCTGCTCTGCATCTTGGGCTCCACTGTCATGGTGATCCATGCGCCGCAGGAGGAGGAGGTTTCCTCACTCAGCGCCATGGCTGAGAAGCTCAAAGACCCAGGTAGTTTTCTCATCTTAGTCAGTTTAATTTGATTAACCCTGCTGTGAAATCCCACATTTAGGGCGGGTGCATATTTCTGGACTTACTGTTGATTGCTCTCACTAGGTTTCATTGTCTTTGCCGTGTGCGTGGTGGGAAGCAGCCTGATTCTAATCTTGGCTGTGGCTCCGAGGTTTGGACAGAAGAATGTGCTGGTCTACATCCTGATCTGCTCTGTGATCGGCTCCCTCTCTGTGTCTTGTGTCAAGGGCCTGGGCATTGGCATTAAACAGCTGATTGCTGGGACAGCGGTGCTGAAGGAACCTCTGTTCTGGTCCATGGTCATCTGCCTGATAGTGTGCATCAGCGTTCAGATCAGTTACCTGAACAAAGCTCTCGACATATTCAACACCTCCATCGTCACACCCATCTACTACGTCTTCTTCACCACGTCCGTCATGGCCTGTTCAGCCATCCTATTCAAGGAATGGCTGAGTATGACCACTGATGGCATAGTGGGAACCATTAGTGGGTTCCTCACCATCATTTTGGGAATATTCCTCCTTCATGCTTTCAAAGACATTACATTCAGCTGGGATTCACTTCCTCTCTATCTGAAAAAGAGCCCTCAAAGCTTCCTTTGGGGCCAACAGCCTTATGTGGCTCTACCAAGCCATGATATAGAAACAAAGGATGAGACAATGATGCCCAGAGAAGATGGCTCTAAAGGAGAATGGGGACTGCACCAGAGAGCTCCTTAAGGGGGCAAAGACCCCTGAAGGGACATGCAGCTTTGAAGTTAAATAGCTGGCGTAATCTGAACTTTACAACCATCTTATTCAATGCACTGGATGAGCAGTTACCTAAAGTTGAACTTATCTATGCTCTTGATACTTGGTTTCATCTTAATTATAGCATCTTTTTATGTGGTTTACTAATAAAAACACAAAACAGAAACGTAGAGAATAATAGTATTGAAGTCACTGTTATGGGTTGTTGCACTGTTGTGTAGATATTTCAGTTTTGAATCCCAATGAATCTATATAGCTAGGTTTTAGTTAAGTTTGCACTTTGTATTCTTAAACAAATGTATAAATGAAATAGCAACTAATGTTAAGGTGATCTGCTCAGAACAATTAATTTGAGTTATTTATTACCTCAGTACCATACACACTTGACACCAAAGAATGTAATGCCCCTGTTTAATTACCAAAATGTGCCAAGCAGTAATTATGTAACTACTTTTTGGTTTTTATATTGCTAATTAAAAGAGAACAAGAGTACTTAAATACATTTTCTAACAAGATGTGAGTGCTTATTTGGCATTTTTTATTGCATATTTACAATCCAGACTAACTGCTGTGCGTGGCACCTCCAGTCAGAGAGGTCTTCGTGTTTTTGAAGTCAGGAACTGTACGCAAACTCGATGTTCCAGAGGTGTCCATGGTTCAAACCTGCCTTTACAGTTTGAACTCACTTTCTGTGACCCGATGCAACAGCAGACGTAACCACATAAACTCCAGCAGAGACCAAGTAAAACCTGACATAGTTTTAATCCCAGGCACTTGATATGGTAATACTTTTCCAGCTGATTAGAGTTCTTCAGTATGCTGAACGGAGAATGGTGTCAGGATCAAACGGACCCCCTGAGAGCGGAGACCGTGTGCCATCTCCAACCTTCCAGTTAGATTTTAGTCTAACATCGTTTCAGAAAATGTCCCCTTGCTCTTCTGAGTTTGCTCCAGTCTGTTTAGGATGAACTGGCTGGTGTCAATAAATCGCTCCACGCAGTTAACAAAGCACGCTTCAGTCCTGGAATCCAACTTGGGCCCGGGTTTATCCATGCATTTATCCTGGAGACAGAGAATAAACAGTTTAAACCAGAAGAAGAAGTTTCTAATCCCCTCAAGATTAGTTAAATACTGGAGTAGAAAGCCTTGACATAGCTGCATGCATGCAAACATCAGAATCAATTTGGTTTACAAAGTATGTAAAACAAGGAATTTGGTTCTGGCTGTTGGTAGCACTCAGAAACAATTATACACATACATTGTGCAATAAACATGGCAGACAATAGCAATATACTAATATTCAGACGGTGTTGCATTTAGATCGTATTTAAAAAGGAAAATTACATTCCTTAAAGAGACAATGTGTAGTTACTACTGTTGATCTCTGGAAATATCCATCGAACAGTTGTTGAAAGTTAATTAAACGATGCCCAGTTGTGGAAAAATACTGGCGGCTTTGTAACGTACAACCATAAAAGTTGGGTCTAAAATACATGTGAGTGGGTCTAAATCTCTGGGCAACGCCATATTAGACAGCATGTTTCCGTCTACGGGAGCCTGTGAGGCCAAAATGCAATTACAGATTTGTAACAAACGGTTGCAAAACTTTTGCCGTTCATAAACATTGTTCTTTTACACATTTACCTCTTCTCTCATTGGCAGCGATATAAGGGAGTCTGATGTGATTGTCATTTTGCCGGAGGTTGCGCTCCCAGGGATTTTTGACCCTATTGGGCATCTGTTGGTAAGGTCTTACTTAAACGTAAAATTACTGTATATTTGCAATGATTTAGGTATGTACTGCCCCCTATCGCCAGGGAAAATACACAAGGTCACTTTAATGATGTCCAGTTAATTTAGAAATATATTCATATAATATGTAGCTATATAACTGGATTTCATTTGCATTAATAATGGCAATAAATTTCTTACAAAGAATGGAGATTAATACAGGGATTGACTAAAAATATATAAAGCACAAGTGCACATGTCACTCCTAATATTTGATTCTTGTGTATAATTATGTGACAGTGTGAGCGTCCTGTCACTGTGACCCAAGCCCTGGCTACTTGGCCAAGGGGATGTCCCTCTGGCTGACTGGTTAGCATGCATGACTCTCACCTGGGAGTCTGGCTATCAAATCCCACATGGGCCCTCATTTCTCCACCTTGCCACAATTAGATTCAACAAACAATTGTATATAATGTCTTACTGATTAACTTTGGTAACTGTGTAATATCACTAGAGCTCACAGGTTAAAGACATGTTGCTGCGGTCTTATGCTGAAAAAGAGCAGCCTCCTCAGGAGGAGTTCACTTTAAAGAGAAAAGAGTAGGAAACATCCAATCACTGTCCTTAGAACACTTTAATTGGAGGAGTAACAAGGTAAGCAGGTATTTTTTGTAATCAAGGGCTGGGAAATATCCTGACAGACAAGGGCTGATAAAAAAGTCAAAATACAATAAATAAATAAATAAATGACGACATTAAAAGCAGTGAATCCCGCAAGTTTGTTGGTCAGTAGTGACTTTTCCCTCATACCTTGAAAGGCACTTCGCTGCTTTTCAATGGTCACGTGGGGTCGGGGGGTTCGACCCGATATAATCTTTTCTTCACAACATCTTAGCAGTTAGCAGTTTTCGTCTTAAAAACATGTTATTCAGCAACAACCCACTCCTAAAATAATCCTGACATGATTCAGACAGTTTGGTGAGACAACGCGGTATTTGAATGTTCTGGTTCTGAAGCGTCTGTGTGCTCCTGTATGGTACACGTTTGATCAGGCTATGTATGCTAGCAGCTAGTTGTTTGAGAAGTAAATTATATTTAAAGGGTTATTTATCACTAATGTATAAATAATCAGCAGGAAATTAATGAATAGTTTATATGTATCTTATAATAGCTGAATTATACGCATTATCCAGACAGCACAGATTTAATTCACGGAAGCTTTGAGAATACTTATCGCATGAAAAGCATGAGTCTGTTATTTCTGTATCGGCAAGAGTCAAACTAACGATCTGTCATTAGCTACATAAAAATGTATTAAGTAAACAGCAGAACGCTGCTGCTGCCATCAGATAAAAAACTGCTCTTACCCAGCAAACCTCTGTCATCTGGTGCACCAGCTGCTGAAATCTCTGTTTTTGAGACTCGATTTCGATGAATTGCTGAAGCTGGGGGTCTGCTGTCGCTCCCTTGCTGTCCATTTTTTCTTAAAAACTATTCGAAACGGTCAAATTTCTTGTAAATTTCACTGCCGATGAGCTTTTTTTACTGACCTTCACGTGTGTGAATGAACGAAAGAAAGCAGGAAGTGGTTCAGCCAATCACAGAGCCCGTTGGTGTATACGTCACATTAAACATAAATACAATCATTTTAGCGGAGTTAATTTATATATTGCCCCCCCCCCCCCCCCCCCCCGCGACCCTGCGTGGACAAATCGGGTTCAGACAATAGATGGATGGATGGATTTATATACTGTCCAAAATTAAAAAAGAAAATAAGGCTAAATATAATTCTTTAATTATATATATATATATATATATATATATATATATATATATATATATATATATATATATATATATATATATATATATATGACGCCTCTCAGAGTAAGGACTCCAAAGTCAAAGTCAGTTTTATTGTCAATTCTGGCACATGTTCAGGACATACAGAGAAATGAAATTACGTTACTCTCAAACCCTAGATAGCAGATAAAAATTTAGTATAAATAGATTGTTAAAAATGCAAGTACAAAATTTTTTTTAATAAATACAATTTGACATAAAACAAGAACGCAATACAATACACAAGTATGGGCATGACATTAAGTGTAACCAGAAAAAGTAGTTCAATCTAGACATACAGTGCAAATGGAGATTGTAGTATTACCATAAGTGACAGACAGAAGTCTTTTGAGGTAATTAGCAGACCAATACTGCACAAAATGACTTGTGCAGGCCACTGAGTGAGAGTGTGAGCATGTCAAAGTGACCGAGTTCAGAGAGACCGTGGGGGAAAAGAGAGGAGAGTGGGCAGAGCCGGGAGGGAATTTAGCTTCCTGACTGCCTGATGGATAAAGCTGTCCTTCAATCTGTTGGTCCTGGCCTTGAGACTCCACAGGCTCCTCCCTGACGGCAGCAGCTCGAAGAGGCTTTACATTGGGTGAGTGGGATCAGCCGCAATGCGAAGGGCCTTTTTTGTGAGGCGGGTGCTGTAAATGTCCAGTAGGGAGGGGAGAGAGACCCCAATGATCTTCTCTGCTGCTCTCACTATGCGTTGGAGGGTTTTAATGCAGGACACGTTGCAGGCTCTGAACCACACAGTGATGCCGCACGACAGGATACTCTCGATGGTGCCTCTGTAGAAAGTGTACGGGATGGGGGCTGGTGCTCTTGCTCTTCGTAGTTTGCGGAGGAAGAAGAGACGCTGCTGTGATTTCCTGGCCAATGCTGTGGTGTTGTTCGTCCAGGAGAGATCCTCTGTAATGTGCACACCCAGGAACTTGGTGCTGCTCACTCTCTCCACAGACACACCATCGATGGTCAGAGGAGCATGCTGAGTGTGTGCCC